AAGATGCTTTCGAAGGAGCAAAGGTGAATGTTGTATGCGAGACGTTGTCAGTCAAGGCTGTAAGAAAGAGAGGCAAGAGAGACAATTGACAGTGAGAGTGACGACCAACTGACCTGGTTGGCAGCCACATAGAAGAGTGATGCTACCGCAACGCGCATCCTTGCAGTAACCCTAACGGCAGGGCGCCACAACCACGTGAAACCCGACTCCCTCGGCCGAGAGAGGCACCAACCCAACCGCGCCCGTTTACATAGTCCAGAGGGCTGGGGAGTGAGAGGGCCGCTTGCTGGCGCGCTGTCGAACAGGTTAGCCATGACGCGCTTAAACTAGGAGACACGCATGTCCGGCGGTTCGACATACATATGCATGAACGAGAAGCACTAGGCTCAACGGCCTAGTCAACTGTGCACCACAGCAGACAGCACCAGTGTGTGTACCCTTGGCAGTCCATCCTATCCATCAGCCGGCAGCATTCTTCTGGGACTTTGACAACCCTATCCTCCCACTTTTGCGTTCACATCACCAGTTTATGTATTCGCTCGTCAGCGCCACTCCCCCACGAAATTGCAAGCATGGCAGCGAGCCAGCCAACCGGCCGACCGGACCCAGTCCACTGGAACATTGTTCGCATTGCACGCACAAACCGGCCGATGGGCCCCCATCGGCCGTGCCAAAAAAAAGATAAGAATGCGGAGAATAAGCGCCAGAACGGGAGCGAGGAAATAGGCAGAACAAACAAGACCACTGAGCCCAGACGCCGTCCTCTCCACTCAGCGGTATGGGATAAGGGGTCCTGTTGCAATAGAATGCGATTTATATGATAGACAATGCACTAGCACCGAGACCCTCTCCCCCTCAACCCCCTCGCCCGTGCTTTCCTCGCTCCACTATCCTGGATAAGCAGCACCAGCATCGTCCCACTGGCTGCGAACATACATACATACGGCCGACGCAGGCCACTTGCTCAACGCGCCACCTCCCCTACCCGTCCTGTCGACTCGCCACGCGCGTGGTCTACACGGCGAATCTGCCCGGCCCAAGCTCGCAGTCACTCATGATGGTGCACCTCAGCTTTGCCGCGCTGCTCATACCGCTGTTCGCAGCCATCGCGCACGTGCAAGCCGTGACGCCACTACTCAGCCGCCACGCCGCCCTTGTCGCAGCCCGCAGCGGTGGTAGCAGCGGCGGCCGCGGGGGCACTGCTAAAGGACTACAGCAGGTTCTGTCAATCGGACCCAAGGGCTCCAGTGCGAGCTCTGCCAAGCAGCCCTTCTGGGTGTCGCCTCCAGGGCAGAAGGCGAGGACGCTGAGCGTCGCGCAGGCCCGGTGGTACAGCGCAAGCGCCCGTGCGAGTAAGGCGACACTCAAGGAAACGTACACGAGCCAGTCGCGGGACGGACACTGCTTCCCGTTCATCAACACCGCCGACGGGCGAAACGGCACGCAGGCGATGCCGCGCAGCCCCCCGGTCGCGCTCGCCGGCTGGTGGTGCGACGACGCGAGCGAGTACGCGTTCGTCGGCTTCAGCTACGAGACAAGCAGCTGCCAGAGCTACGCGCAGATGCGCAGCGATTTCATGGACGCCAAGCACTCGTTCAATGCCCGCTACATTCGCATCTACGGCGCCTGCGACGACGACGGCTACTGGGACCAGATCGTCAATGTCGCATACGAGGTCGGCATTGGCCTACATGCGCTGTGAGTGCGAGCAAAAATCAAAGGTTGTGCTCTCATGCGTGAGACGAGACGAGCCTCTGACTTTCTTTCTGCCTTGTGGCAAGCGTATGGTTTGGCTTTAATGGCGACTCAAGCTACATTGGGCGCCGCGACCAGCTTCTGCAGACGCTCACGACGAACCCTAAAGCGCCATTCGTCGTGAGGCTGGTCCAGTTTGGCTCCGAGCCGCTGTTCGACTATGTGCTCCCCGTAAACGAGCTCATGTCGGAGGTTGTGCGCGCGCAGCAGATCCTCGGTGGCCCGAACATCGCGATCGACGTCACGATCAGCGAGCTGGCGTACGGCTACCAGGCGCAGCAGGACAGCGGGGCCTACGACCTGTTCGATATAATCGACCCCATCAACCAGCACCAGCTGCCGTACTTTGCTCAGGACGCCTCGAGCGCCTCTAACTCGTGGCACGACCTGCGGAACGACCTCGACTTCTTCCTCCAGCACGGCGGCGGCAAGAAGATCTACTGGGACCAGAACGGTTGGCCCAGCACGCACTATCCCGGTGTTGAGCCCAACTCACCCGATGCTGTCGCGAATGTGCCCAACGAGCAGGCCTACTTTCAGCTGCTCGAGAGCAAGTGCACCTACCTCAAGTCCGTCCGCGGCGGCGGCGTTGGATGGTTCTTTCACATCTACAGCGATTCGCAAGTGCGTGGCTCCCTCCGTCTCTTTAAGCATTTGGAAGCGCACATGTGTGCATGTGCATGCTGACGCGCCGCTCGGTCTGCGTACCCTCTGCTCTTCCAGGAACCTGGCTACGGATACTACGGCATGGACGGAAATCCCAAGGTAGGTCCCTTCCCCCGTTTCTAGGCCTGAGGCCGTTGTGACCTGACACCATCGACGATGCTCGCAGTTTACTCCGTTCCAGCCAAGCCTCTTCTGCTGAGCGAACTGCGCTGGCCCCCTCTGTGTTAATTTTGCCACTTGCCATGCATGTTTGAACGTAATGCTGTACATATAGTGATAGTTAACTTTTTCAAGGGGAATATATTAGACACTTTTGAAGCAGCAACATGGTCTGTTAGCTCAGCTGGTTAGAGCGTGGTACTAATACGTTCACACAAAAGTGTGATGTTGCCGTAATGCCAAGGTCACGAGTTCAATCCTCGTATGGACCATTTCTTTTTGTCGTTTTGCTTCCTTTTTGTCACCGCTCTCAAGCCTGATCCTTTTTACATGCGGAACCAATCGGAGGTGAACATTCACGTCCAGCACGGTTCTCGTAGCAGGGCAAGCTAAAAGGAGCTCTTTCAAAGGATGGGCCCGCGTCTTGTTTGAAGGTTCTGTCGTGACAGGCAGGACGAAGATGTCTATTCTTTATGTTCAGTGGAAAATGATGATGCGGGAGACGAGTTGCGCGATGCAGTCAATCTGAGTGTGCCGATGGCTCCCTAGGGTGTTCAATTCCTTCAGCCCTGTCTGTCTGTCCGTGAGCAGCTGTATCGGCGGTCTCCCCTTGCAACGACGGGAACCGTGTCACTGGTGTTTGGTGTGGGTCTGCTTGCGCTTTCTCTCGATGGATGAATGCATGTACCTACCTGATCGCAGCACATGTTGGGCTTGAGTTGTTGCGTCTGGACCAAAGCGCGTTCAAAGTGAGACAGCCAAGCGCGTGCGTGCGTGCCAGAAGCCGATACCATACGTGGATCTAAACGTGTTGTTCCTCCGCAGACGATAAATTGATCCACCTCGATTCTCTATCGACCCCTGCCTGCATAATCGGCGTCGGACGTATTTCTTACTGGCATCTCGCTGTCGCCGCTCAGCGCAGACAGCACGAAAGAAGGGCGGGCGCTCTCCTCGGACGAAAAGAGAAGGCATGGACGCGTATAAGCAGCACCTGCGATAGCCGGCCCCTCGCCCTCACTTGCGCATCCTCCACGCATCCTCACTCCTACGCACATAGTGGCAGTCTCCCCGCCACCCGAGCCGACCATATCCGTCTGCTTTGGGAGGAGGAAAAGGAATAGACCGCGATGAAGGCCTTCTTCTCTTCACTGCGTGAACGGCGCGACAGTCAGAGCCGTCCCGACCGAAGCGGTCCACGACCTCATGCTGGGGACGCGGCCGGCAGCAACGGCGAACTGCACGATACCTACGGCACGCTCTCGTATCGCGAAGCCGCGGCACTCAAAGGTATCGGTCCGAGTACATGCACTGCGGCTGCCGCGCCATTCGCAGCTGCAGTTGACACGAACGCCGTCGGCGCGGGTCCATCAATAGCGCACGTCGTCCGTCCATCACTCCAGCCGCCGGCACCGAGCATCGGCACACGACGCAAATCATGGGGCCTCGCTTCGCTGTCAGGCCAGCATCAAACGCATGGGGAATCCCAGGCTGCTGCCGCGGGATCCGGCACGTCCTTGCCGCAGTCGAATCAGCAGCAGGAACAACAACCGCAAGGCCGTAGCACCGTCCCGCTGATCCCACTGCATCCACGACCACCGGAACGCTCCAGCTTGCTCCCTGCTGCGCAGGGTGGCAGCGGCATACTTCCGCGGAAACGCTCCATACGATTGAGCACACCGAACCAAAAGTCGTCCAAAGACGGCGGCAGCAGCAGTGCGGCATCGCAATATCCGCCGTCAGACAAAACGAGGCAAGCGCAAGTCCAAGCGCTGGACGGGACCTCACTCGCGACCAAGCTTAACGAGCTCGCGGTGGCCTATGGAGATGGTTTGCTGAGCAGCGAAGAGTACCGCACGTTGCGCCAAGGCCTTTTCGCGAGCATGCGAGCAAAAGAGCTGGAGGTACCCATCGATCACACCATCCATGGCGTGCCTGCTGTCTTTGCGCAGCCCAAGAGCCCAACAGAGGTAGCAACCGAGTCGCCGCCGCTGGCGAATGGCAAAGCAAATCGCACGTATAGAAGTGTCTTCAGTCGTCCTGGTATATCGCTGACGAATGCCCTACCCTTGCATGACCGCCAGACAAGCCAGCATCAATCCACTCGACGAAGTCAGGCCACTCGCACCTCGTCTCTCTCTTCCGCAAAAGCAGCAACGGGAACAAAGCTGACGCGAGCATTGTCACGCCTACCACATCGCCCTTGCGTGAGTATCCACCCTCTGCTTTCCAAGGCTACGTACCCGGGCCCGACTCCTCCTCTCATCACGGTCACGGCTCTGCATCCGATCGCGACTCGCTGCGTCCGCCATCCATGAGTCGTGGTGGCAGTGGCGGCAGCGGCGGATCTTCGCCTGGCGCACGTGCGCGTTCGGGCACAGGTGCGAGTAGTTTCAGCTTCAGTGCCGGCGGTGGCGCCGGCGCTTCGAGCGCGTCGACACTGTCGCGCTTCCGGTTCGCCAACCTGAAAGGCTCGCAGCGCATGAGGGATGAGGAGATGCAGCGCGAATTCTCCGCGGCGCGTAACGCACGCTCCATCATGCTCGGGCACACAGGCAGCACCGGCGGGGGCAGCACGGATGGACATTCGCTCTTAAGCGCCGCTGGTGCTGCTGGTTGTGCGAGTGGTGGTGGTTATGTCGATGGTGATCGCAGACTGGCCGAAGAAATCAAAGCGGAAATCACCACCGTGCAGATGGAGCGCGAGCGCCTGCTTGCGAGCTTCGAAGCGCTCGAGCAGGCGGCCCTTGTGCGGTCGCCCGCGCGTCACGTCGTGCGCAAGGCCAAATCGGTGGGCATGCTTCGCGCTGGTGCTGGCTCTGGCGGATCGACATCGGTCACCACCACTGACGGGAGTGGCGCTGCTGGCACGCTGGGGGAAACAAATGGCGGAGATGCGGGAACAGCAGGGAAGTCGCTTATGCGCCGCTTCTCCACAACATTCAACAAAAAGCGCGAGAGTGCCATGGTGGACCGCACGACTGCTGCCGTAGCCGCCAAGTTGACGGACTACGCCGATGATGACTTTGCAGCAACAACAGCAGCTGCTGCGGCTGCAGATAGCCTGCTGGCTTCTACGAGCCTGGATGACGTAGAGCTGAAAGCGGAGCAGGAGCGCCTACAGCAGGAACTGTTGGGCATCGCGGCGCAACGCGAGAATATGGCGCGGCGGTACGATGAACGCATCGCGTACCTGCGCAGCACGCTGCGCAGCGCCATGATCAAGGTGAAGGCGTCAAAGTGAACGACCCAAGGCGGCTTTCCTGCCGATTGTGGAGCGCAGGTGATCGGCAACGGACAAGGCGGATGTGTGCGTCCCCACCTATTTTTCGTCATTGGATGATATGATCACGACGACAACGATACACCATGCTGGATACCCTCGCCTCAGCCACTCTGAGCACTGTGAATGTATCTTATATATTTTGCACCTGATCGCATTTCTCAGGAGGGCTTGATCCCACGCGACAAGTAAGCAACAGCCTGCTGTGGACTCCACAATATCAGTGTGGCGAGCTTGCTGGTACCATTTTCGACCGCTGCGGTCGCGCTCTCGTCCTGCACCTGCATGATGGCATCCCCGTCTCCGTCCTTTGTCGCCACTGCCGGCTTCTGATCCTGGCCGTCTTCATCCGTACCATCCTCCTCTTCCTCGTCGCCAGAAACGGCGTCATCCCCACCGCTGATGCGCATCTTCCAATCATACGTCTCGCCAAACTCGTCCGGCGCGCGCTCCAGGTGGTACCACATGCGGAGCGCAGTCAGCACAACCTGGTCGTGTGCCTCGACCTGCATGCGTACGTCCCTGAGCAGGTCTGCACCGCCCTCCTCTCCGTGCTCGTCTCCTGCAGCAGCGGCCGTTGCTGCTGCGCGCCCTCCTCTCCGACGGGCGCGCGCGTGCGCGCGCCCGTCCGCGAGAACGGCACGCATCTGCGCCTCACGACGCGCTTCCAGCTCGGGCTCGAGGCGCGTGCGCAGGAGCGCATTCACTAGCAGCGCTATCTGCTGCTCGTCTTCCAACGGCTGCACCGGATGCACGACGAGCGCGGGGAGCGGGTTCCCGATGGAAATCGCGCTGCCGCTTGGGCCCGCGCCTCCTGCTGTCGCTGTAGCCCTTCCAGCAGCTGTTGATGCTGGTCCTGAACGCACGGCAGATGCAGAAGCGTGCACGTTAGTAGACGCTGATGGCGAGGCTGAACCTGGCGCAGACGCAGTGACAGTCGTCGCATCGCGATAGCGCACGCGCGGCAGCTGGTCCGGCTCGACGCCCACTGCTCCCAGGAGAGTTCCGACCGGCTGGCCCGCGTACAGGTTGGCCGTGGTGGACTCTGTCGCGAGAAGGTTTGCTAGTTCGGTTGTCTGGTGAGAGAGGAACTGCGGCGCGGGGGACGTCAGGGATGCGGTGATGCTGTGCAGTTGCGAGAGGAGCGTGGCGTAGCGCGAGCACAGTGTCGGCCTGTGCGATGGAGAACGATTCAGCCAGTCAGTTCTCACGCCGTTGCTCATATCAAGGCCAGTATATCATCATGGTTCGCACACGCACCAATCTTCAAGGGTCGGATGGCTGAACATGAGATTCTGAAGCTCCTGGATGCTCCTCGACAACTGTCCGAGGCGTTTGTGCAGCATTTGCAGCTGCTGCACCGGTGCAACGCCTTTTTTTGCTGTTACCACTGCACCAGACCCCAGCCCCGGCCCTGGCGCGACGAGGCCCGTGGTGCCGCCCATGCGCGCATGTTGAACTGCGCTGGCCGGCGCACCGGCGATGCTCGGTGGACGGAGCGACATGCTGGCCGGCGCCGCTGTCTTGGGGAGGCAGCCCCGACGCGGCGTAGCGCAGCACCGCCAACACCCCCCTGGAGGACGCTGGAGACGGCCCTGCTGTGGGAACCGCTGTGCGAGACGCACAAGAACATACGACAGGTGGGGGGCTATGTAGGGGTCAACGGCATTGATGAATCATTGATTGCTGTACTGACGATTAGGATGGCTATGGCCGCGTCGAGACCTTGACTCATTCGAGAGGATGAGGTGTACGTTGAGCCTCCCCACCGATCCATTGAAGCAATGCTTATGTAATCAAAGAGCTCCTTTCCCCCACGCTCTTCTTTCGATCAATCCATCTTGGCCGAGGCAACGCCTCTTGGGCTGCGAACTGCCTTCATCTCTCTGCCTCCTTTTCCGCAGACATACCTCAGGGAAGTAGCAGCAGTACTAGGCAACAAGCTGAGCAGGCCGTACACCATCAGCGAGTTTACCGGGATGCCCTGCCGTCAGGTCCGGATGAGTGCATGTATTGCCCAGTGCTTTTGCAACTCGGGCAGAATCTTCCGCATGCAAAAATGGTATCACATTGCCAATCTATCTCAAGCGTCGAAAGATAGTGCTCTGAACTGGCCGACCGTCCTCGATCGGCTCGATCACTTGCTCGAGAATATCCCATTGCTGCTGCATCTCCTGTGCTTGCGCTCTGGCCGTTGACGAATGGTCACGGGCAGGCAGCTGCTCCCAGACATGCTTCAGGCACAGCATATCCCCCGATTTGATGCGGGCATCCACAGGCGGGTTTTCATAGTCTGCGCGCACTCCTTTCGGAATAGCCGCCATGCCGTCGCCAACATGGAAGAAATGGCTGACGACCACTAGGCTTCCAACGTGTGTGAGAGCGGGGAGCGCGAGCAGCAGTTGGCGCGGCAGGAAGCGCACAAGGACCAACAGATCAAACGTTGCTGTCGCTCTCGCAGCTGCTTCACTCGACAAGTGCGCTCGCGCAAAGTCAGCCAGTGCCGCGTGCCGCTCCAGTAGGCGCTGCTGAGATTCGAGTCTAAAGCTGTGATCAAGCGGCAAAGCAGACAGTCTGCTACTTCCGCCTTGAGCAGTTGGGAACAAAGGTGCGGCGCTGGTGGTCTCCTTTTCTTGCTTTTGCAAGCTCGAGCTAGAGCAGGCATCCAGCCTTGTCGCCTTGCGCGGACCTCGGCCGCTTCCTGAGAGTGCATTGAGCGTGCCCTCGCGCGTGACCTCGGCCCAGAGGAGCCCTTCGCACTTGCGCGCATGCGCCTCGGCAGCTCTGCTGTTGTCGCCATCGCCGGTTGGCAGTGGTAATGATGAGGGAGGAGACAGCCCGAAGTCTTGCATTAGCAGCCAAGCACGTTGCAGCGCAGGCTTCAGATTGTCCACTCCGCGCACGCTCCACGTGATTGCGCGTCCGCGCTCCGTGGACCGCGACCAACCAAGCCAGGCAATGTCGCGTCCTGCGCCGCAGCCCAAATCGAGAGCGCGTAATCTTTCTCTCTTCATGCCTTTTGCATTTGTTTCTCTCGGGCGCGCGTCCACGCGCAGACACTCGGCCCATTCTGCTGCTCGGACTACTACGGGCGCAGGCTTGCCAAGAAGGAACGGCCGATCGAGCGGGTTCGCCAGACGCCGAGATGCGAGCTGGTCGACGCTGCATGTCTGTGTCAGCTTCAGAGCCTCAGCCAGGTCCCAGAACATCTTGGTCCCTGGGATGTCCCCCTGGTGTTCCTTTCCACCACAGAGCACAACGCCGAGCACGTTCCTGCGCCGTCCGCCAAAGGTCTCTCGGATCTTGCTCTCGTCCCCTGCATCGCAGACGATCAAAAAGGCCACATGCCGCGGCGGTAAGGTGCTGTACCGCTGGTCCAAGTTGTCGAGACCCTGGATGTACGTACTATGCCGTACATGCAGACGGGCAAAGTCATCAGGGCTGCTGCGCAGGTCAAGTACTAGGCGCTCGCTAGGAACGAGGGCGAGGAAGGGCAGGAGGATACGAAGGGAGGCCAGCTCCGCCCCGTCATCTTCGTCATCCCGGGTAGTGAGCACACGAAGACGTGAGGCTCTCCTATCAGAGGACGCCATGCAGTGCTATCGCACTCGGCGTGGAAGCTGAGCAGCTTTACGATCACGCTTGTTCAAGTGGATGGATAGTATGAGATGTCGGACGATGATGTTCCCAGATGATGGTTCTTTTGAGTGTTTGCTGTATGATGGGCTGTCCTGGGATGCAAATGAATCGGCGAAATGAATGAGATTTTCTTGCTTGAATAATTCTCTGTAAGGCGTCTCATTATTTCGGGAATGGCCCAGCCCCCCCGGGCCGAGTCGCTGATTACCCGCAAGGATGTGATGTGTGAACAATGACCACAAGAGAGAGGGCACCTCTTATTTCTGTCCATTCTCGAGCTCCAATTGTATCCCACACTCGCGCTTTTGGCGCTTCAGACTGCAGGTACAGGCCGATGGGTTTGCTGTCTGCTACCTTGTTGCAGCACCAAGCGGAGCTTCAAGGAAAAGGAACCATCCAGCCGCAACATGACTGCGACCGTCGCTCTGCGGCGCCTACGCCTTTGTTTTAGTTCAGCATGTGTGGTCGAGCTGCGAATGGGCTGACGCTTGACGAGTACCAAGCATCGGTGCGCGATCTGCTTGATACGGAGCTGGATGTCGACCCCGTTCTATGCGGAAACGAGGGAGGGGGGGAGCCCGAAGGCTTCGGGCGCAACGGCTCCTCTCGAGGTCAATACCGCTCAACGTACAACGTTGCGCCGCAGACATTCAATCCGGTTGTGCGCAATGCTGAGCTGCTGCCGAAAGAACGTACCAGAGACTCCCAATATCAAGGCTTGCACTCCCACCGCGCGGCAAGGACGAGTGCGACGCATGCTCGAGCGAGGATGCAGCCGATGAAGTGGGGCCTCATTCCTGGCTTCGCCAAGGCACTTCCTACCGGGGTCGATGCATATCGCACCATCAATGCGCGCGACGACACGGTGCTCAGTGGCCAGTCCATGTGGACGAACCTACTTCCGCAGCAGCGCTGCGTGTTCTTTGTCCAAGGCTTTTACGAGTGGATGAAACCGCGCGACGGGAGTCGCATCGCCCACTTTGTCGGCATGGCGAACGAGGGCAGGGGTCGCCTGGATTCACAGGGCAAGGGGCATCAGCTCATGCCCCTCGCGGGTCTTTGGGAGAAAAGCCATCTCAAAGAACCGCGAGAAGAGGAGGTGTACAGCTTTACCATTTTGACTACGTGCTCGAACAAACAGTTGGAGTTCCTGCACGACCGTATGCCTGTCATCCTGCCGGACGCTCATGCCATCCGCGTCTGGCTCGGCTTGGACGTAGGAAGCGATGGAGGATCGGGTAAGGGCGTTACTGATCAAGTCGTCAAGCTCGTCAAGCCATACGAGAGTCCGCTTGACTGCTATCGGTGCCCGACAGAGGTTGGCAAAGTCGGAAATAGTAATCCAGACTTTATCCTCCCCGTTTCCTACAGGAAGGATGGCATCATGGCGGCCTTTGGCAAGCAGAAGCAAAAGCAGGAACAGAAAATGGAAGAGTCGAAAGGTGTGGAGGCCAAACTCGCTGCAGTCGGCAAAGGTGATGGTGGACATGATGATGACGTCAGCACCAACAGCGAGACCACTGGGTCAATACCCGAGCCGACAACACGCAGCGATGGCAGCGGCACCGCGAAGAAGCGCAAGGCAGATGATGCAGCAGATGAGACGAAACCAAGAACTAGCAAAGCAGAGCCTGCTTTAAAAGGGCAACAGTCGCCCTCCCCACATGAGTCGTCGTCGCTCTTCTCGCCCGATCCTTACCCTCCATCTGTCTCGCCACCTCGACCGCACGGTGGCTACAGCCGGGAGCGAGCCGAAGGCTCCTCAGCGGAAAAAGTTGAGCAACAGGGCAGCAAGTCGATCAAGAAGGCGCTTCGAGTACAAGCGGCAAAGGGCTCGCCCACGTCCAAAAAGCTAACGAGCAGAACCAAAGGCCATGATGTCACGTCGAGCAAGGGAAAGACGCACCGCACGCCGAGCAAAGAGTCGCCGAAAGGGGGCAAGAATGCGATGGCCTCCTCATCTGCGAAAGTCGGTGCCGATATTCGCGCATTCTTCAGCAAGCGTTGATCTTGCCACAGCTCCAAAGGAGCCAAGTTTGCAAGCGTTCTGAGAGTCGATGAAAATGAGAGAGAAGTATCTGTTGTACAAGTGTCCAAAAACCCATCAGATCCACTTATTCCGCTGCTCCTCGTGGAAGCGCACGATCGCCTGCCGCGCAAGCTCGCGCTCTTGCGGCGAGAGACCATCGAGATCGCTCGGGCTTGCCGTCGCGAGATCAAGTGCGCGCCCAGCGTTGGGAAGCATGATGGATGGCCTCGCTTTGCTTCCCGCCGCTGCTGCTCCTGCCTTTGTCTTTTGGGTACCGCTGGCGAAACCCGCACCGCTGCCGCTGATCCCTGAACTACCGCTGCTGCTGTGCATGCGCTGTTGTTGCTGCTGCAAGCGCTGCGATTGCAGTTCCACCCTGCGACGACTTGTTTCCGCAGCGATAACCTGCGCCGTGTACGCCGCTTCGTCTGGAAGATCATCGACGAGGGAGTCCTCTGGATCAAACGCTTCAGACGTGATAGCAGTTGCGGCGGCATTTGATGCCGTCGCTGATGGTGCTGTTCTGCCCTTCTCAGTGCCCTTGCCGGTACTGCTGCTGCCACCAGCAACGCCAGGCAGGCCCAGACTATTGCGAGGTAAATGTTGCATGCTCGTTAAAAATGATGAGCTGAGCACCGCATCGAATCTGTCCTCCTCTAGCTCATCTAGATTCCTTTCGCTCGACGTGAACATGCCTCGCGAGCTGGATGCCTGGTCGAGCTGCCGCACGCGTCCGTCGGGCCCGATGACGCCCGTCAGCGGACTGCCGTTCAGGCTCATCCACTGTACGTGCTCGCCTGTGCGCGCAGCACGCGGTCGGCCTCCAGGCGTCATCAAGCCACGCGCGAGAGCGGAGGAAGGGGTCGAGCTGCCACCAACAGCGCCGCCGCCGAAGGAGGAGGAGCCGGCAGCCGGCGCGAAGCTGAGTCCTGCATCGACCATGCGGCGCGAGCCTGAAGGCGTGGAGAGCAGGCCCAAGTTACCTGCATCAAGGCGTGAATGAAACTTTGAGCTGGACATGGCGTTGCTACGTGGTGCGGGAGAAGAGGACGAGGCTGCAGGAAAGGCTGATATCTGGGGAGATAGTAAAATTGAGGCGTTAATGCGTCTGTCCAGTCACATTTTGTGCTTGCCGGGTCTCACCGTTGAGTTGAAGATCGAAGATCGAAGGTTAGCGGCACTGTTTCCTCCTGTCCCGGCTGGCGGCTTGCTATGGCCTTGGGAAGTGTTCTTAGCGTAGGCTGGCTTGGCTTTGCCCTTGCCTTGAGGATCCGAAGTGGGGGCTGTGGAGCGTGCTATGGGACAGTATCAGAACACGCAGGTTGTGAGCATCGATCGGGGCAGCTGCACGCTTGCGGTGACTCTCGACTCACTGTGCTTCTTCCCTGGACTCTTCGCAAGTCCATCCTCGGAGCTCCTCTTCCGACCTTCCTTGATGGAGTTGAGCTGCTCAGTCTCTCGCGTGTACTCTTGATCAGCGCTTCCCAAGACGGTCTTCATGAAGACCGCGACATCTGCTTGAAAGTCCTCTACGAATGAGCGGACTGATAACTCTCGTACGGCGCGAGGGATGCGGCTGATGCTCAGCGCCATGCGCTCGCGAGCGGTCTGCAACGCCATCTCAAGCGCCGAACGCATGCGCTCGAGACGCGCTTCGGCTGCCAAACGCGAGGTGGACGACGTGAGGTAAGTATCATAGAGTATACAGCATACTTTTTTACTAGCTCTCAATTCACCTTCAAGGTCGTAATTCGCAAGGATTGCCTGGATTTGCCCCGCAGGAAGGCCACTGCCCTCTTCCGCCTCTAGCTCTTCGTCACTGCTATCCCACACTCTAGTGTGTGTCCTGGCGCTCTTAGACTTGCTGGCGTCGCTCGAAAGCAGATCTAGCGCATCTGGCGAGCCACCTCGGGATAATGCAACGACCGTCTGTGAACCTTTTGACTTGCTTTTACTAGTCGCTTTGGTCGTTGCCGCCTTTTTCTGTGCACCGCCTGTAGTCTTTGCAGCCTTCTCGCTGTCCCTCAGCGGCGAGCTCGGATCCCGTGAAGAAGGCACCGCAACAGCTAGATGGAGGATATTGCTATTGTTGCTAGGTGACAGGGGCATGCTGGATGGAATCAATGGCATGTCCTCATCTTTTGAGTCTTTGAGCGCTTTCTTGGCAGCCGCACGAGCAGCGGTCCCGCGCGATTTTGCGGCCGTCGTTGCAGCTGCTTTGCGAGGCATGGCGCATCAGCGTACATGTACCACCTAGCTGTTTGGTACCCGATCCTGTGCGGGACGAGCGTGATCGACAAAGCAAGGGAGGAAGTGTTGCCAGTAGAGGGGTAGGTACATGTCGGAAGCCCATCACGATGTGTGTTGTGCTGAGCACTATTGGCCCTTTCGTGGTTGCCTTTCATCGTAGTTGGGTTAGACGCGGTCCAGACTTGAGCGCGGCGTGTTGGTCACGTGATCCACCTATTGCTAGCCAAAGACCAAAATGTCTCATTCATAAATGCAGCGAGCGCTCACGGGGGCTCCGAATTCCGAGTGTGACACGCACGCGCCAATGCCGCTCCTTGCTGGTGTCTCCAACCAAGCTTGACGCTTGACGCCACCAGGGTGGATGGTGGAACGGCTCTCAAGCGCTGGGAGTGACGCAGTTCCATACTCCTCCCTCATCAGGGCGTCCAACCGGACGGTGCGAGTGCTCGATCCGGTAAAGCCTCCTGCACGCCCAGCGGCCAGCCCGGCCAAGCATGAGCGCCGCTAACAACAAAGGATGGGACGGCGATCCTTGGGAGATCGATTCGGATGACGATGAGTTTGTGACACAGACACAAGTCGGAGGTCAGAATAATTCAAGCAGCAGCAGAAGCTCGTTAAGGGAAGGGGCGCCAGAAACAACGTCATCAAGTGTGCCGGGTGCTGCTGCTTCTAGCAGCCATGCCAGTACTTCCGCCGTAGGCTTGGGAGGGTCCGGAAGTCGACCAGGCTTCTGGGGCGGACCCAAAGCCTCGGGCACCTCACTGCTCGGCCCCAATTGGTCTTCCGCTTCCAGATCACCCTCGAACTCGAAGCCAAAACAGGCACAAGCTCCACCAGCGCGTCCGCATCCTATCTCGATTGGAAGCTACAAGGAGAAGCGCGAGGCTGCTGCTGCTGCAACAGCTTGGTCGGCTGATGGTGCCTCGTCTTCGCCTTCATCGGCAAGCTTTCGGAAATTACGCAATGGTAGTAGCGGTGCTATTGCCAGTGATGGAATGGGAGCAGGAAGCGTCCAAGCTGAAACGGGCAGAAGTACGAGCTGGCTCATCGTCAATCCAGAAGGACTACCAGCCTCCCCGTCTTCCAGCAGGTTCAAGTACGAGACGGACCGTCAAAGTCCTGCAGCACCCATTTCTCCGGCGCAAACGGAGCCAACAAGGGCCGAAATCAGTCTGGATGTTACGAGTGCAAAGAGCAAAGACTTCGCCAGAGGGTTGGAAATGGAGAATGGCGATAAGACAGAGGCTTCATCATTACGGGACGCCATCTGTGAAGACGCAGATGACTTGTTGCAGGGTAATTATATTCCTTCTCCTGTGGCCTTGCACGTTTCGAAAAATATGCTGATCCTCACCCCTTTCTTATTGGCTTTTTAACAAGATCCGACGTCCGCGCTTTCGAAAATTTCGTTACGATGGGCGACAGACGATTCAATTTCCACAGACGACGCTCCAGGCTCGCCCCTCACGCCCAACGCACCCTCGTCCTTCCTCTCCACCGCAGCACTGCTTCGAACACCATCGCAAGATAACAACTCGAGCAGCTTTGGTCCTCCGCACGTTTTGCGTGCCACGGTTGCCGGCGGCACACCTCACGGTTTACTCGCAGGCAGTTCGTCTTCTACGCCGGCTATCGCTACCACTACTAGCGGCGGAGATGACTCTGCGACTTCTTCGCGATCCTCGACTCCGTATCAGGAAGCAGGCTACGAACCGCTATCCGCTGAGTATGGCGTCATGTTGCAGCGCAAAAAGAGCTCGCGCTCAACACGACGACAACAGCAGTTCCTGCACTGCCTGCAGGCGTCCACGATCGATCTCGCCACGCTGCGATCGCTTGCATGGAGGGGTGTACCGAGTGAGCTGCGCCCGATGGTGTGGCAGCTGCTGCTGGGGTATCTCCCCGTAGCGAAGGAAGCGCGCAAGGCAACGCTAGCGCGCAAGCGGGCCGAGTACGAGGCGGGCGTGCAGATGGCGTTCGCAAAGGGCATCGATGGACTCGACCAGGCGATCTGGCACCAAATCCACATCGACGTTCCGCGTACCAATCCGGGGCGATCTTTGTGGCAGAGGGAAGCGACGCAGCGGTCACTGGAGCGGATCTTGTACGTCTGGGCAATCCGACATCCAGCCTGCGGCTACGTGCAAGGCATCAATGACCTTGCCACGCCCTTCTTTGAAGTGTTCCTCTCGGCCTACATTGACCCTCCGCCCGAGACGTTCGATCCGGGCCTCTTACCAGCCGCGACGCTTTCCGCGCTCGAGGCCGACACGTTCTGGTGCCTGGGGAAAATGCTTGACGGTATCCAGGACAACTACATCTTTGCCCAGCCGGGCATACAGCGCCAGGTCCGGCGCTTGGGCGAGCTCGTCGCGCGGATCGATGCGCCACTGCATGCGCATTTGCAGAGCCAGGGCGTCGAGTACATGCAATTCTCGTTTCGGTGGATGAACTGCTTGCTCATGCGCGAGATGGCCGTGCAGAGCATTGTCAGATTGTGGGATACTTATCTGGTGAGCAATATTAGCAGGCATTTTGGTAATGCGCTTCGATAAAACCATGAGATGCTGACTATCATCGCTGTAACCCTTTTCTTCGGGCACAGGCGGAAGGTCCGGATGCATTCTCCGACTTTCACCTGTACGTCTGCGCCGTCTTCCTCCACAAGTGGACGACCGAGCTACAGACAATGGACTTCCAGGGGATCATCATGTATCTGCAGAGCCTGCCCACGCAGAATTGGTCCGACAAGGACGCGGAGATGCTCCTTAGCGAGGCCTTCATGTGAGCTTCCCTGTCCCTGGGCGTCCCACTTATTGATGCTAGTCGAATGATTTTGGCCGCTGACACCGAGCGGCCTGTTGCCCTCTCTCTTCCAACAGGTATAAGACTTTATTTGGAAACTCGGCGCATCTGAACAAGTGAAAATTACCCCATCATAAACATCGAGCATACCCCCCCCTCTCGCACTCTGACGCCTTCATATATGTAACACGAAGCATGCAGGCTGACTCCCGGGAAAGCACTTCTCGCATTGTGTGGGCGGCATGAGAAGGCCGTTAAACAGCAAAGACCAAGACTATCTGCGTGGATAAATGCAATAACGACTTACAGTATGCAAGAAACCCTATTCCACATACGTTGTGACAATTCACTACCACCCCGGTCGCACAGCAGCCTTCGCAGGCCCACCAAAGCCGATCCCAGCGACGCTGGTCATCTCGTTGTCGCTGCCTCCTGCTCCCCCGCCTCCGGCTCCACCGCCATCTGTGCCTCGCGAACTGACAGATCGATCCGAGGTGGGTTCAGATGATTCATCCTCCGTATCGCCAATATCGGCGCTATTCTGCACGCCGCCGCCACTGCGCACACCCATCGCAGCGCCATATGCACGCGACCGGTCGCCTCCACCTCCGACTCCATTTCGCCCCCGCTTCTTTCTCTTGCCCCCTTTGCGCCTGGCACCGCCGTCCTCGCTCTCGGATGGGTCGTCATCGTTGTACAAGGGGAGCTTGGAGTGCTGGTCGATGTCACGCTCTGCATCACGGTACATGGGCGCTGTGCGCGACTTTAGAATGCTCTTTTGCTGCGATGCGAGAAGGGTCGACCGCTGTGAGGGGGCTGCTATGGGGCGATGATTCGTCACACGATCTCGCTCGCATTCGGATCGAGAGCCCCTTAGTTGCGTCTGGCGGTTGCCTTGCTTCGTTGCCGCTGCTGCTGTTGCATCAGATTGACCTGGCTCTGTCTGCCGTGCATGGCGGTTTTGAGGCGATGAAGCTCTCTCAGGCGCGTCGTCTTGCTGCTTGTGCGTGATGTGTTCCTGAGCGTAGAAAAGAAGGTTGATGACACCGGTATCCAGTGCTTTTATGGGAAGTGTATACGCTCCTGGAGCATGTTCATCAGCTCCTTGCTGACGTGCCGTGGGCAGCGTGGGAATGTTAGCAGCGGCGCTCGCGGGGACCCACGGCCCCTCGGGGGGCTCATCAGGATCGTCGCTCTGCGGCTGCTTGCCGTGCATGCACTCGATGATGATGGCGCACGTCACGTCATCTGGGTCCGGATACGGTGCCATGTCCCCATCGAGTGCCATGATCTTCTGCATCATCGCACGCAGCGCGAGCTCGACCTCGGGCAACGTCAGGTTGCCCTGGATGTCAAGATCGCGGTCGCGTGGCGGCGGCACTGGGAGGAGGTGGGCGATGCGAAAGACAAAGCGCTCGAGTGCCTCAGATGGGTCCGACGCGCGTGAGACGAGCAGCACGACGCTCTGCACGTTCTCGAGTATAATCTGCCGGCGGGCCGCCTTGACAGCGTCTCCGATGTAGGCGCTGAGGCCTGGGTGGCGCGCCTGCCAAACGGGCGTCGCGTAGCGCTTCTTACGCGTGAACACCTCAGGCGGGTACACACCGCGCACGCAGAGCACCGTGTGGATGGCCACCTCGATGAACTCGGTCAGCGCCTGCACCGTCTCGGTGAAGTTCAAGGGAGGGTGGACGCCGTGCTGACCTGCGAGCCCGAAGAGGCCGCCATCGCTCGTTGCCGCGTGCGGTGCCGCTTCGAGAGTGACGCGCGAGGTCGAGGCCATGCCGTGCCGTGCTGTGGCCTGCGTCGGCTGAGCACGCGAGCTGGCTCGACGCCTGGTGACCGCCTGCAGCTTGCTTTCTATGGATGCTCTAGCATCCATCAGTGTCGAGCGGATGAGTGAACCGGCGCATCGGTGCAATTCTCCTCCTCCGGCTCATCCGCTTTAAGCTTCAGCCGGGAGGCTGCTTGAAAACAACGACTTGGTGGGGCACACACATGAGCACTGCTATCAGCTTCCACTGACCGGGTTCTCTTGTTTCTCCCTCCGTCACCATCCTCAAGGTCATCAGCAACAACGGAGACGACGAGGAAGACGTGGCCCCCTTCTCTTTCCTGTCCAGCCAAGTCGAACGGAACGCAATTGGATCCAGTTAGCGCTGCACACATCTGACCCTCTAACCCCCCTGCTCTGCTGGCACCCTCGTCATCATGGTCATCACCACCGAACTGACAGAGACGCTCGGCCTTCGTGTTCCGCTGGTACAAGGTGAGTACAAGCACACACTCTTCGGCCTTCACCTGCCTGGCCTCGCTCGAGGAAGTGCTGGGCAGCAACACCGGACATCCTGGCAAGCGGACTCCAGGTTTTGATCACTGACCACGCTCTTTCTCCTGCTTGAAACAATGCACCAGGCGGCATGCAATGGGTCGGCACCCCTGCGCTTGCAAGCGCCGTTTCGAACGCCGGTGCGCTCGGCATCCTCACTGCGCTGACGCAGCCGTCGCCCGATGCGCTGCGCCAGGCCATCCGCGAGACCAAGAAGATGCTCAAGCCAGAGGTGCTCAAGCGCGGCAAGTACGGCCCCTTCGGCGTCAACATCACGCTGCTCCCCAGCATCAACCCTCCCGACTACAAGGGATACTGCCAGGCTGCGCTTGACGAGGGAATCAGGATCTTTGAGACGGCCGGAAACAACCGTGAGTATCCTTACTCAACACATCTTGAGTTCCTCCTCTTCTAATGCTTGAATGCCCGCCTGCAGCCGGAGAGATCATCCAGCTCGCCAAGAAGCACGGCGCGTACGTCATTCACAAGTGCACCGCCATCCGACACGCGCAATCTGCACAGCGTGCGGGTGCTGATATGCTTTCGATCGATGGCTGTAAGTCCTTTCGAGCTCAATTGGCTGTATTGTTAAGCAATCAAAGCGAAGGCTGACATTACGCACTGGATGGCGGCAGTTGAATGCGCCGGACACCCGGGCGAGGACGACATTGGCGGTCTGGTATTGATGGCTCGCGCGGCTGAATCGCTCTCCATCCCGTTCATTGCCTCCGGCGGCGTCGCCAACGGGCGCGGGCTCGCCGCGTCGCTGGTGCTCGGCGCGTGTGGCGCCAACATGGGCACGCGCTTCATGTGCACCAAGGAGGCTGAGATCCACGACAACGTTAAGCGGCACATTGTACAGTCAGACGAGCGCGACACGATTCACATCTTCCGCACACTGCGCAACACGGCGCGTGTCTTCAAGAACGCCGTCGCCAAGGAGGTCGTCGCGCTCGAGCGCCGGCCCGGCGGCGCGCAGTTCCAGGACATCCAGCACCTTGTCTCAGGCGCGCGCGGAAGGAAGGTGTATGAGAATGGCGACATCGACGCCGGCATCTGGAGTGCCGGCATCACCGTCGGCCTCATCCACGACATCCCCTCCTGCGAGGAGCTCGTTCGGAACATCGAGCGCGAGGCCGAGAGGGAGATTTCAAGGCTTTCCACGCTCAGTAACAAGCAGGCAAAACTTTAACAAGCCTGTGAAGTACAAGTAGGGGGATGGTTTTCACGTCTTTCATCTCCTTTGTAAAGTAAGCAGTTCAAATCCATATCGGGAGTCAGAATGAATCGAAATGCAGAAAGGTGCATGGTGGATATGAGGGACGCATGTAGACTAGATATATTTACAGTGGATGCATTCCAATGAAGGAAAATGAAACAGCACGACGGGACACGTCAGCGGTGGCCTTTTCTCTGCGTGGTACTCGAGCTGACAGACACTGCTGCTGCTACCACTTGCGCAGAGGCTGGAGGTTCGAACGGGTCAGCCGCGCTGCTAGCGATACGCATCCCGCGCACCGTGTCCGGCGTGCCGGTTCGAGCGAGCGGCGACACGGGTCTGTCCTCGGTGCCAGCGCCCCCACCGCCGCCGCCACCAAAGGGAAAGACGCCGCTGCTACCTCGATCGGGCGTCTTTAAACGCTCAGGCGTGCGCGCGCCGATGCCGACGCCGAGGCGTTTCTTCATCGACGCTGTCCGCGAGCGCAACGAGGTCTGGCGTCGCGAAGATGACACCGTCTGCCACCCCTGCTGGTGGTAGTTGTGTGCATCTTTACTGGAATCCGACTCGTCGGCATCGGCATCTGCGTCTTGGCTCGTGCCTTGTATTGCAGTTAGAGCACTCAGATGTGACGGAAAGCCATGATGGGTCGTATGGATAGATGTGGGTGCAGCCATTGAAGGGGATCCTTCTGGGGACTCGCCATTGCTCAATCTAGCGCTTCCCAGCGAAGGCAAAGGCGCGCTGGCAAGCAGAGTAGGGGCGCGCACCGACTGGGCCAGGGCCTTAGAGTGAGCCCCTGGTATGGTGTTAGCCCTCTCGGCGTGGATGTTCTCCGCATCACTGTCGCCAGCGTTGGACGAATCCGAACGTTCGCTCCACTCGGACGACACGCTCTCGTCGCCAGCACCAGCGGCAGCTGGGATTCTTGCGAAGCGCGACCTGTAAGGACTCTCTGGCGTGCGGTGGACGTCACGCTCGGGCAGAGTCTCTTCACGTAATGGCATCTTGCTATTTGGGCTGCTGACTTCAGTTGTAGGCATTGCTGCTGTGATGGTTGAAAGCGCGTTCGTCGAGATTGCCTGCAACGGCAGTGCCTGTTGCAAACGGGAGCCTGTGGGCGAGTCCTTCGGGGAGCTGACCTCGATGACTTTGGATATACCCGTACGCTGTGGTGTCATCAGCGCCGACAATGGGCGAGAGCGTGAATTGGCCTGCTGATGGCCATGCGTGCGAACGGCTCGTTGCGGAGTGCCTGGCTGTGGGTAAAATGCCACTCTGCGGCGTGCGGCATGTGCACTCTTCGGTGTGCCGACAGCGGACGAGTTCGCTGAAGAGTGAAGGTGAGCGTCCCGGACATTGATCTGAGGCGGGATATTGCCTACAGGCTCCTGTCGAGGTGAGGGAGGAATCGACAAGGGCGAGAAGCTTCGCAGATGTCGGAAAGGAGACGTGTTGCCCCGCGTGAGGGCAACAAATCCGAACAGTCCCAATAAAAGAGTAAGCTGGGCAAGGCTGAGCCGCCGCTCCAGCAGGACTTCGCCCGCCAAGACATGGACTTGACTGAGGAGCTGGACTCGTTCTGACTCTGCCTGCTGACGATGGACATCGAACTCGAAAATAGCTCGCTGCAAGTCGACATGCTGGCGTCGTTTCTACAAATAGACGAGGGAAAGTAGATCAGCACATGCGATGAATAGAAACTGCAAAGGATGGCAACTTACAAGAGCTTCGATCTGCCGCCAGTTGCTCGCATTCAGCGAGCGTAGCATCTCACTCAGCCTGTCGTCTTGCTTCTTTTCCATTCTCGCAAAGACGTCAAGAAGCATCTGGCCGTTGTGCTCCATGTACTGCAGGCTGAGGGTCGCGTTCGCCTCAAGCGCATTCAGGCGCTTTGTGATGGCTCGATAGATGGACTCGCTGCCACTACCACTGCCACTGCTGTGGCCGTTATTTGATGTGCCTGATCTATTGGAAGCAACGGCGGCAGCCGCAGCAGCTTGCGCGGGAACAGCTCTGGCTGCATTATCTGGTGTATCGCTTACAGGCGTTGCTGTTCCTGGAGTAGCCTTCTCAGTGGCGCCGGCCGATGCGCCAGCCGGAGATGGTTGAGTCCCATTGGTACCTCGATCGAGATGAAGACCAGCGTCAGAAGGAGTGCGCGTGTTTGCAGCTGGCTCCTTCGATGTTGTAACATTTTTCGCTTCAGCAGATAAGTCACTAGGGGGTGCATCCTCCTCGATACCAAGGGCCTCCACGCGCGAAGCGTCATTGATGATGCCGTGTAATGATCTCTCTATCATCTCGTTGAGTGCCTTCATCATATATGCTTGTTCCTCGCTTTGTGGCGATGAAGCTGGAGGATGAGAAGCAGGGTCTCCACTTGGCGTTGAGGCATCGCCTTTCGCCTCGTGCACGTTTGGAAGCTGTTCCGGACGATGCGCCTCATGGTACATCTTTTGTTGATCGCCTTCTTGAGCTTCATTGTCAAGCTCGTCATCGAGGTCGAATTCCGCATCATCATTTGCCATCGCTTCAAGCAGCCTCTGCGACTCCTCTTCCTCCTTCTTAAAATCGTCCAGCTGGGTGAGCCCGTAAACTCGCAGCAAGGAGAGAGGACAGTAGTACTCTGACCCATAATGTTCGAGAATGTCGATGCGCATGTACCGGAAGAATTGGCGGTCGCCCGTCAGAGGCGGCACGTTGAAGACCTGAAGACCTCTGAGGTTGCGTGCGCGATAGGTACCCAGATCGAACCAGTCTTCGGGATCGTCGAGCAAGTTCTTAGAGACGCGAACTCGGAATCGCTTGAACATGCGACTGAAGAATTCGAAGTTGGCAAGCACTAAGGTGTCGATCTTGATCTCATCACACAGTTCGACTACCACGAATTGGCCTTGAGGGTCACCATCTGATGCCCCTGGACAGGGTGAGAGCATGTAACGGTCTTTCTTCTCCGAGAGAATGGACGAGGCAAATCGCGCGGAGGGATTGGCACGATGGATCACAGCTGCACAATCGAGGGAGGCAAAGTTCCAACGGTGCTTTAAGGTTGCCAAGCGTGTGGCCGGATTGGCGACTGCTGGAGCAGCTCCGCCTTCATCCGCGGGTAACTTTTGCACGTGCCCTTTGACCATGGCTCCTCCTGGAGCCACCATCTGCATCTCGATACGCTGCAGCGCTTGACTTTTATTTGATGCGTTGCTTTCCATGCCATCGCCGTGGGTTGAAGGACTTTCGACTGCGACCACAGGGATCTTGGTACTTGCGACAGATCTCTCAATTGTTACGGTATTTGCTGACTGAATGGAAGTCTGCGCAGGCGTAGGTTGCGTAGTGTTATCTTTGATGGTGGAGCTCGCAGAAAGTGCAGCGGATGTCTGACTTTCGGTTACGATGACTTGAGCAATGGGTAAGTTAGACAATTCGCGCGGCGCAGGAGACTCTGTTGAGGAGCTCGTTACACCTGAAATGTTCGCAGGTCCGCCTTCTGGCAACCCAGCATATGTTGCAGAGGCAGAGTTGTCGTTCCTACTAACACTTAGTAACCCTTCAGTAGCTTCTGCTGAGTTTGGTTGGGCCGTCGGAGCAGCTGCGGCACTCTTCTTCTTTTCCTCGCGCTCCTTGAGTTTTTCCTTCTTTCGACGCTCCCTCCGCTCTTGTTCTTCCTTCTCCTTTTCCGCGAAATGACGCTCCTTCCACTCGGCAAAGCTGAGGAAAGCGGGAGCATTCTGTCCACCTATCGAAGCCTTCCACGCGTCATACTCCTTTGCTGCATCAACGACTGGCTCTGTTACGGATGCCGTGGCATGACCTGCGTCTGGCGGTGCTTCAGCAGGGGCAACTGGACGCGAACTTGTTCCATTGCCGGGAACGGCGGAGCCTTCGGTCTGGGTTGGTCGCGAATCATTGAGCATGAGCGGCTCTGGGTCTTCGCTCGTGGATGGCTGATTTTCGACCATGTCTTCGGAAGCTGGCGGATTGGGTATCCACACCTGCTCGCCGTTCACTTGGCGCCAGTAGCCGTCATCACCTTCTGCAGCCATCTGACAGGACAAAGATAACATGAGCAGGACGTCGTGCTTCAGGTAAAACGCAGAAACTCACTGAGGCCGACTGCGACCCTTTCTCATTTGTCTCAAGAACCATCGTCCCAGAAATCGCATACGCTTGTGCTTCACCTTTGCCATCTCTTCCGACGACCTTCCCATTTGCATTGACCAGTGGCGCAACATCATCATCAACCGGGCAGATGATGAGCTCCTTTCTTCCAGGTCTCCCGCCACCTGCATCTGCACCTCCCTGCATTCCTACGCCAAGCCCAGGTCGTATGGATATATCCTTGGCCGATGATTGCGCGTAATCCACGCGGGCATTCGACAGTTGAGACGCGTGATGTGCACATACTTGCTGGAGGAAATCATCTTGAGCGATTCGGTGACAGCCATGCGGCAAAGGACGAGAGAGAGAAGCCCGGTTGGTATCGTCATGCGCTTGCATCGCTGATCCCCCAGCTGCATCAGCTTCCACGGAATGGAGCCCAGGCAGCGAGGATTGGAAGTTTGGGGCAAGGATCGATTTTGCAACCTGGTTGAGCAGATGCGTGCTTTTGGCTGCAGCTACAGCTTCGGTACTGATACCAGTGGCAGGGATGTAACCACCCGAGTTCTGGCCACATCGATCCCGGGCGTTGTTGAATTGCCCATCCCCACGCGCTTCGAACCAATCTGTCACAATCGGTCCTGCCCTGCTCGCTGTCGACTGGGGCTGGGTCATAATGCTTGTTGAGGTAATCGCTTGCGCGGACAAGGTATCTGAGCTGTTTCCTGCGTTTGCAGACGCGAATGCGGGGTCTGGCAGTGAGGCAGATAAAGGCATGCCTGACGTGGATGGCGGCGAAGCCAATTGCGAAGAACTGCCAGACTGGGTGTTGACCGATCCAGATGAGAGGGGCGCTCCAGGATCGAACAGCGCGTTGACCCCGACGTGTCCATGCTGAAAGGGAATCAAGTGCAGAAGAAAGCACAAGAAGATGAGCAGCGTCAAAGATAATCGAAGGGACGTCTGTGCGATGTTGCCCAGCTGCCTTCGCGGCGGTGGGAGCTGCGGCTTCGTCTCATTGACGAAGTCAATCAGCTCTGACATATCCAGTGACCAAGGTGTATCATTTGTGCCGTCACGGTAGACCAGTTTGTTCACAGCTTTTGCATGCCTTCGCAGAGGACCGAGTGAACGAGCCGGGTCGATGATGTTGTGTGAGCGCACCGGACGAGCGCCATGTCCATCTGGGGCGCCTGCACGAGCAGACGATGACGCTTCTGGGTCATCGTGTTCCTTCGCCAGCAAATCCGAGAAGGTGCTTATGTATGTCGATTTGCCTTGCTCGGATGCGAGTGCCGTCCGGCGGCTTCGCCTAAGCCTCTTCGGCCCGGGTTCGCCCTTGGCGGCCAGCATCATGAAGACCGTCAGCGGTGACGGATTTTCCTGCATCCAGCAAAGAGGATCACGCAGGCTGCCAATTTGTCACTCAGCAGTGAGAAATTTTCAAAGCCAAAGGGCTGAACAGAGAACAGTCCCTGTGGAGTATTGAATGAAGACCATGCTCTCGAATACAACCTCGACCACAGTCGAACCCTCTTTCGATGTCTCTCCACGCTAGAGTCACGAGGTTGTCTCTTCGAAGTCGTCCATTTTCTCTCCACTAGCGCGTGGAGGGTGAGCTCATTGACTATCTACTCACGAGGAACAGTCGTTCGCATGGCGTATCAGAGGATTGCGCAGAAAGTGACGCAGACCTGGTCGATGAAACTGCCGCTTGCATGTACAATGTACACATGTGCACAAAAGTACAGGGATGACCGAGTTCGAGCTGGTTGCCTATCTAGAATGAATCATACATCCTTAAAGCTTGCTCTCAGGGAAGAGCGCATCAAAGTTTGCCCTGTCCCTGAACCACGGTTCCTTCTTGCCCAGTCCATCACCAATGACGGTAGATACGAACGCCTGGCTGCTTTTTGCGCGTCGCTTGGCCGCCTCCTGGCACTTTGATCGCAGCCAAGGGTCTCCAGCGCGTCGAAGTTCCTTGGCTTGTGCGGCTGGCAGATCTTCCCAGTCGGTCGATTGCAATAGCCAGTATTTGAAGTTGTCCCAGCCGACAGCGTACAAGCTGCGTCCTTTCCTGGCAGCCACAACCGTCCCGTCTCTCCCATGACTCTCCGTGCTAGGCGGCTCCTCCAATTCGGCAACATCTTTGCCGCCAGAAGCCCTGATACCAAAAAGGAGCTTGAAAGGCTTGATGTCTAGATATAGCTGGTCGGTGGTGTTCGCGCTCTTCCGAAGTCTCTTCCCTTGATCCAAGGTCCCTGCAGCGGCTGAGGCCGGGAGAACGAGCGCCAACGCGCTTCTGGCGCTGCTGGAGAGGTTCGCGGCCCCAAAGTCTTGGACATCACTCTGTCGAATTTGCCGGTAAACGCTGTCCAATGGCAACACTCGAGTGCGGCGATCGCGTGGACCGTCTGGAGAGCCATTTTTCGTTGCAAGTGGGTGCTTCAGCCCGAGGCGTGCGGCTCGCCTAGCGCCGAGGGGAAGATAAGCAAGAGGCGAGGCCAGTGTGGTGCGGATAGCGATCTCTCGGCTTGCAGGGTGGATCGTCATACGTGTTATAGTCCTTTTGATTGCAGGAGAAAATGCAACCATGAGAGGGTGAAAATTAAGTTGGAAGCTAATTCGAAACTCACCTGATGGGCACCATCACAAAGAACCAGCCACTCGCAGCACCTAACATGACAAAAGCCCCAGCAGCGATGCCGCGTGCCGTCCTAGGAAGGAGTTCTGCTTCCTTGATGTTTCCGTCCTCATCCCTTTCCCACCCGGTGATCCCGAAATTCGGGTAGGAAAGACCGTCGACGATCATTGGAGCTATGGTAATTCCAGCAAATAGAAAGACGAGCGCGCTGAAGATGGACAGCCATGGCTTGAAGGCGGCTCCTCCACGATAGATGATTATCGGTTGCGAAACTTCCGTAGAGACTTCTTGAGTTCCGCTATTTTGACTTCGTTGTTGTAGGGTCCGCGGTACGGTGTGAGCCAATCTAACAGAAAGAAGAACACTAGCAGTCGACCTTGCTTGTAGACCTACAGGCCCCACAGTCACATTGTATTGCATTCGACACAATGAACTCCTCGTCTGCGTGCACAAAGAGTTGGAAAGCGGAATTGATGGTGGAGCGGTCCTGACGACCCTCGCTGGCCACAGCATTTGAGCTCGCAATTTGGCAGTGTTGAATTCGGCGTGCCCTAAGCACAAGGCTGACGGCTGTCGCAAAAATAAGCGTGTTGTTCGTGACATTCTCGCTGGGCCCAGTGGTCTCGTTGAATGTGGCGAGTTTTAGAGGGAGCTTCGACCAGCAAACATCTCCCGAAGCACTGTCCTTCCTTTGGACCCAGCGAGGAGCGTGTTCCGAAGGAGATGAGACTTGTCGTATATCGTACTCTGTCACGTCAAATACCGGTTGCAGTATCCTGTAGCTCCTTTTTTTCTTTTGATAGATTATGTTCTTTCTTTTTGGGCAAAGTCAATTTCTTTCTTTTCCGCTTTTCAATTCCGCTCCTCTTTTCGGCGCGAGAAAGAGAATCGTCCCCCCATAAATTTCTTCCTCGCTTCCCTTTCTTCCTCCACCTGTACAAATTGTGCGGCATAGCCTCGATAAACCGTGTTGCTCCCTTTGGCATTGCTTTCAGTTGTCATGGTGAGCGTCAATCGAGTAGCTTAGACCACAGCGACTCCAGGGGGGAACTAGCCGTCCCCTCGCGTCTGCTCCTCTCACCGAGGACGGACCCGCGCGAACATCTCAGCACCCTTTTCTAGCCATTCCACCATACTCCTCCAAATGGCCGGATGGGTCGGTAGTTCGTACATTCCAATACTGCATCAACTTTGCCTGTGATGGGTAGCCTGCCAACTGACACGATACTGGGGCTCTCGCCAAGGGTATAAGAATTCCCGCAGGAGCGAGAGATCTGACCAGAACGCCCCCAATTGCCGTCTTGGCTGCCTCCTTTTCGTATTGTATTCTCTCACCGCGCGCACAGTCCGTGTGCACAATGTCCATATCTTCATGCAAAAACCACCTTTGTGCCCCCTAGATGTGCTGTTAGGCTGTGGCTCAATTCGCTATTCAAATTTGCCAACAGAAAGCGTGCATAAGGTTTGGTGGCCGACCGCAAAATCGGTGACTTCCCCAGCCCCCTCCCTCCGCTGGCCCTTGGTGATATTGCCTTCCCAGTCCCCTGGAACCTCGGTCCCCATCATCTACGTCAAGGGCTAACGGGCATGACGGCCGGCCAGCGAGCTCCCTCACGCCTCCTTCCACCACACGAAACATGCTCGATTACGGTGACACGTCCAGGGCCAAGCGCAAAAGGCGACTCGTGGCTTGTCGTGTTTGCATTGATACAGGCTGTGGATGACTTAAGTTCGGAGTCCGGCCTTTAAGCCTCACGAGCAATGCGACACCGCTCCACAATCTGCATGCGAGTCGTGGCAAGTGTCAACAAGATGCCGCACGTAGGATCCATTCAAGTCCGGAGCCGAACTCGTCAAGCCTCCCCTTTTTTCAAGGCCGCCCTTGCGGCTCGACCGGTTTGACGAGGCTGCAGCTGGCCTTTGTTCTTGCAGGAGGCACTGGGACCTGGCCGTAATAAGATCAAGGCTGGTCTGATCTTCCCTTTTTGTCAGCTCAAAGATGATATCCATCGCATCGTGACGCAACTTATGCATGTCACTTGACGCAGTATTCGCATGAGGCAAATGTGCTTGGGCCTCTCAGCATCTCCAGACTTATGTGGCCTGGAATATCTCTCGAAGTCCCATTAGTTGGACCTTGCACACAACGAAGAGGTAAAGGAGTACAAGCCGTGCATTGTGCAAGCGTGCACACCTCAAATACGGCCGTGACAATGTGTTTACCGTCCCACAGGAGGCACCCTTTCCCTCGTTTCATCATGCTCTCCAGATTTTCTTCTCAGCCGGGCCCACCTCTAGTCTCCCAGCAGATATTCATACGATGCCCAAGCCGACCCTTGGTCAAGTCGCTACGCTCGGGCTGCATGTCGTTGCTCTTGCGTTAATATTCACGGTGCTTCTGAGCCCTTCGCCCCTCAAAATCAGCTCAGCATCTTTTCTTGAAATCCTCCCGAAACAGCTAGATGTCATCGCCACTGGCGGTACAGCGTCGACCAGCAGCCAAAGTTATTCCAATGGGTCAATATACACGCTAAGCGTGTCAATCTCTTCTTTCAGTCCGATACCTGCCTCCAATTCCTCCGCGACCATTGCACAAGTCACGAGTTCCGGCGCTTCTCCCACTTCCTCCTCGTTGCCATCTATGTCCAATCAGCCAGCTGCACGAGATGGCAAATACGGAGCAGCTGCCACTCCCTACCTCCGCCCACTGCAATTCCATACTCGATTCGCCCGGGAAGATGTGTCTGCACGTCTGTCTGCATCAGGCGTGAGCTCAGTAGCGCCTTCATCATCCTCCACAACACCAAGTGCAACGGAGACAGCACCCATTGGTATGGTGCTCAACGACGCGACCACGGTCAACCAGCCCGAGCTCAACAACAGCGACCCAAAGACCTGGCAGACGCCGCTCCGGCTATACTATGGCTTGCTGGGCAGTTGCTTCTGGACTGCAAGTAATGGCCTAGGACCAGATTGCACTTCGCCGTCGCTCTCACCAGCATTCAATGCTAGCGGTCTCGCAGCGATTCAGTATGACCTTCGAACCAACAGCTCGGCCGCAGCACCCGCAGCACCACTCGTCATCTCTCCTTTGCCGAAGACTTTTCAAATCATTCCGGCTGTCATGCTCGGCGTCTTCCTCACCCTCCTTGCTCTCCTTGCAGGTACCATACTGCCCATTTTGCAGCGCTGCTGCACATCTCAGCGCTTCATCAACACATTTGGAGAAGCGGGGCCGCGGCAGCGAGCCTTACTCTCCCTACAAAGGTATGCAAACCTGCTCTTCATCCCCACCACGGCGCTTCTGCTTGGCGTGACCATTGTTCTGCGTATCCAAGTCAACAGCGCCGTCTCAGGCTTCAACGCCGCAAATCAAGACAAAGTGCTCCCAGGGTCCATCATGCTTGATGCACTTGCCGAACCATTGCCCATGAACGTCACCAACTCCGTTGCGAGCTCGACGATGCTCAGGGCCGGCGCCGGTTCCGCATTCTCACTCTGCATGGTCGCCATCGTCCTGCTCATCATTCTTACCTTCCTGCGTCGTCGGCAGCTCGCGCGCGAGGTCGCTACCGCTCAAGCCCGCACCGATTTTGAAGCCAAGCTCGGGCGCAAGGTGTTCGCGCGCGCAGCTGCGTTTGAACTTGGAAGCCACTCTTCCAGGCCGACCATGGAGATTATCACAACAAAAAGTCCACCCTCTAGTCCTCGATCATGGCGTTCCATACCCCGACCGGTTTTCCCCAGCAAGCAGAGCTTCAACACGCGTCTTCCTTCAGAGGAGCTGAGACACGATGAGGACAACGGCAAGCTCGGCCATGCGACGTCTTTACGATCACTCTCCTCAGCATATACCATTGGCGGCTCACGTTCCGATATTTACGGTCCGGCACCTGGCATATACCGCCGAGCATCAGCATGCGAAGTTTACGACGCAACAGCGAGACCCCTGCAGAAAACGACCATCAGCTTTGCAGATTCCTCGCATTCCCACCCGGCAGGGCGTTGGGTTCTTCAGGAATGAGGCTATCCCATCTTGGGCGGTATACACCGTTTCATTCGTGCATGCAGCCCTCCTGTATATGTTCAAGATTCGCCTAACCCGCACTGCTTTGCCCGCAAGGCATCCATTTGGAGGAGTACGACGTTGTCGCATGTGTCTCAAGGGCAATGCCATCCATTCTCAAGCTGCATTGCTGCTGATCTGAGCATGTAATGAGTACACCTGTTCACGGACATTATAGAAGTTTTGCCCGATGTTGCCTTCAATGACGATTCTACCTTGGCCTGCCTTTTGGACTGTGGTTGCAGAGCAACTGTCGGTGCTGCCTGGCTTAAGACCACACACCAACAGGCCCTCGCCGGCAAAGTCGGCCGGCATTCCCATCTTGCCTGCCAGATGCGACTTAAGGCCCGAAAGTCTTAGGTCACCGACGAAGATAGTGGGTAGGATTGTCTTGCTCGCAACCCTGACGGGTTCTTCCGGCGAAGCTTTAAACTCGCCCGGCTCCTCTCCCTCAGCCCCTTCTTCAATTTGAGCACCTTCGTCTGACCTTCCAGCTGATGCTGTCTGCTGTTCGACACTGTTGAGCGTAGGGAGAGAGCTCTCTTCGCTGATCTTAAAGACAGATCTCAAGTAAGCAATCTCAAAGTCTTCAAATTGGCTGAGCCGGATGCTCTTCATCAAGTTGTCGCCAAGGTTGACGGTGAGTGCCACTGTCGACTCTCCGATGGACACTGAGAAGCCAAGAAGCGGCGCCCAGAGCTCCTTCGACATGGCCTTGACGGACTGCAAAGAGCTGCGCATGTCTCGACGTGTGGCTGCATCCCCGTCAACCATGATGAGTCTTCGCGGGAGCAATTGCGGAAGGACAGTCTTCAGCGCTCGACCATCGTTGAGACCCTCCATCTCGACAAAAGCAAGGTGACATTGCAAATGAAGCTGGACCTTGTCGACGACAAATTTAGATGGCTGGCCGTCTTGAGTTCCCTTTTGGGCCCATGCCCGGTTGCGCTGGGCCTCCAGCGCTTCTTCATCCGCTTTTCCTTCGGCCTGGTTTGCCTCGAGCTCATTCTTCTTGCTCAACCAGCGATTGACATCGATCGTCTCCCCATAAGCGTCGATGCGCCGCTTCTTGTCAACGAATGGGAACATCCTGTACCTGACACCTGCCTCAGCAGCTCCATCTCCTTCGCCTTTATCAGGCCTGGAGCCGAAGAAGGACGTCACTTTCGACGCATCACCCTTCAAGTAGATATCGAAGGAGACCTCAGCCGAAAGACTGTCGCCCATGGCGCCGCGATCAACCGCGCCGCTAACTTCAAATGCCGAGTCAAAGTCTCGCTTGCGACCAAGGCCACCGGCTCCTCCTGAAGCACCACGAGTCGCGCTCGGCAAAGCCCCGAATTCATCGTTGCCGAAATTCTCGTCAGCGTCCGAGTCGTCGTCTGAGTCTTCATCTTCATCAGCCTCAAGTCGTCTCCGGGAGCGGGCGGCCAGCGCGCGTCGCTGTGCAGCCTTAGTTTTTGCTGCTTGGAGGGCATCCTCGTACACTTTGAGCTCCTCTTCATTCAGCGAGATTTTTCTCTGGATCTCCAATTCATGTGATTCTATCGCAGAGTCTCCTGTCAGTTCTGATGTCTTGATGACCTGACCGACTTTTCCCCTTCCCAGCTTGGCAGCTGGTTGCTGGCGCTTGTGCCATTCGTTCCAAAGCCATCGTGTCAAGCTGCCGGGCTCGCCGCGTTGCGTTAGGAGGATGACATCCTGCGGGTTCTGCGAGAACGTAGCAACGAGTTTGCGGGCGGGACCACAGGTGAGCGATGGCGGTACGGCCAGGACGACACGTGCCTGCCCAGGAGGAATGGCATTATTCATAGCCTCAAGGGAAGAGAAAATGCGTAGGTACCTGTATCATGAGAGGGGGCAGTGTCAGAACCGGTCAAAGGACTAACACAAGCTTTGCGACAACTCACTTGAAATCTAAAGGTGCTGCGGGACCTTCCTTCTGCATTCGCTCCCTAGCTCTCCGATCATTCCCTTTCCGTTGCGTATTGTTCTTGAGTCCTGGATCACCATCTTGCCCTTCGACGCCTTCCGCTTCTGCATTCGCGCCCGCACCAGTGGCGACAGTCGCCCATTCGCGAGTCATCCATTCCATGAGCGTCCTAGCACGCTCGATCACTTCTGAGCCCGTGTGACTGACCAGACAAAGCGGGAAACGAGCATGACTGTAGGCGTAAGCCCAGTGTTGATCAAGCAGGACGAGCAGTTCCAGGAGCCTGGCGGATGGATCGATGGGGAATAAAACGGAGGCACCTGCTTGTAATGTACGATGAACGATGTCGAGAATAGCTGCATCGCGGTCTTTGCGCCTGATGTTGGTTATGAGGCCTCGCTGGACGGACGTGATCATGAGATCTGCCCGTCGCAGTGCTTCTGCAGATGAACCTGATCCCCCAACGGAACCGCTTTGACCACTCGCGCCAGTGTTTGACCCCACGCCGCCAGAAGTGGACAAGAGTGCGCTGCCGTCCAGGTGCCGTTCACGATTGTGGTTCCACTCCATGGCGATGACGATCGTTCCTTGACTTGGACTTCGAAGCTTCCATACCGTACCTCCGAGCGAGTGACCCGCGTTATATGCAGTTAGAGTCAGGCCCGCAAGATTGCCGTGCGAGAAATGGTATGGCTGCAGGTATCTTAGGGTGGAAATGGAATCGAATGTCTGCTCAACTTGCTCGACTGTCGGCACGCGTCGGCGGACGGTCGATGTGGCAAGGGATTGACGTAGAGTCAAAAGCTTGGAACCATCAGCATCGAGGAGGTATGCAAGTGCCTTGTCTGCAGATGATTTGATCGCCGCTTCCTCCACTTCCTCATCTGGCTCTGCCATCCCTCCTGCCGCGCCAAGTGCCGAGAGATGCGACCCGTCTTCGAGAAAAGGGAATGCGCCACCCGGATGCAAGGCGCTAAGGGGCGTCCGTGGTGGCTTTGAGGTGAGTGGGGCCTCCGGTCGCTCATTGGAACCCATTGCGGTTGCCTGATCATTCTCTTTTGCATGAATTTTACCCGCGTCAATCTCAGCAGCGAGCCGCATTTCGAGATCAACATCCGTCGCATCGCGAAGGCACTGAACCATTTCCAGCACAGTAAGTCTACCCATAGTCTGGGTCGGTAAGGTTGCAAAGATGGGACAGGTCAGTCCATAGTGGCTTCGAGCCCATGCTAAAGAGCCGAGATGAGCGAGAGTTGAGTGGGAAAGGAGAACCAAGTCGATCGATGCTCCGATGCGAGATAGAACAGTGTCGAGCGAGGAAGATTGAAGATCTGGCGAGGTGACCTTGCCCTCCCAGATGTCTTGCTCGCCCTCTTCGGATCCTTCATCTACTTCCATGCGCTTTGCTTGACCATCTCTCAGAGAGTTCGGAGACGCCTTAGGGAAACTGAAGTCTTCCGTTCCCCCACAGTCAATGAGAACCTTGATATCATCCAGCTCGAGCAAGTAGGCGAGTGCCTGGGGCCGCTCAATTTCGGGCCCATTACCGATCTTGACGGTCGCCCCACTGGAACCCTCGCATCTTTGGTTATCCCTCGCATTTCCCTTAACTCTGTGGTCATTTAAGGGCGAGGGAGCGTACGGCACACTCAGCGGTGTGAACGTGATCATCTAGTCTGAGGATCGCCTCGCTGAGCAAGTTACTCCTAGAGCACGTTGTTATATCTTGCAGAGCCCGCTAAGCGACCCCAGTGTCCGGCAGACAGCCTCACCAAGGGCCAGGAACCTGAACACCTTCTCTCTTGTAGTCAAACCGGAAATGGAGAGAACGGCTCACGTATTGGGACGAGTTGGAAGTTGGTTGATTTCAAACAGAGGACGAACGTAATGCACAGCAAAACTGAAGGATGATCAGAATGGTGTGGTCTCCGTTGCGCGTCAGTGGGATTGTGAGACTTCATCGTATGCTTCTTCACCCACTCATCCATCGACCATTCTCCATCAGGCATCCCCATCTTCTTTGGCCTCTTCGAAACACTTCAACATCCCAGTGACCCCGTATAGCAGATCCGTTGCTGTATCAGGAGAAGTGCCCAAGTGCTGAGCTGCCGTCGAGCTTTTTTGGGAGGGACTTGAACTCGATTGAGGGGCTCTTCAGGGGGCGCATCCAGGGTCCATTTAGCCAAGTGAAAGCTCTTCAACTGCGCAATCCATCAATACCCAACTTGCCGACAGTATTGATCAGAGTAAGCTCAGACCTAATACAAGGCCTTGCCCATCTGGCCACGCTCCTTCTCAAGATGAGGTTTATTTCGAAAGGTAAGCATGCTACCATTCCTCCCTACACTGTCTCCAATTTCTGACACCTGACTGCTATATTCCTCCGCGCCCGCTGTACAGGTGGCATTTGGACGAATGTCGAGGATGAAATCCTCAAATCCGCCATCAGCAAGTATGGGAAGAATGTGAGTTACACCGACGCATCTGCCTTCAAGACACTGCGAAGACTGACATACGTCCGTTGGTCACCTGCTAGCAATGGGCTCGAATCTCTTCTCTACTGGTGCGCAAGACCCCCAAGCAATGCAAGGCAAGGTGGACAGAATGGCTCGATCCGGCGATTAAAAAGACCGACTGGTCAAAAGAGGAAGATGAAAAACTTTTGCACATGGCCAAGCTTATGCCAACGCAATGGCGGACCATCGCTCCAATCGTTGGGCGCACCGCCAATCAGTGCCTTGAACGATACCAAAAGCTTCTCGATGAAGCGGAAGCACGCGACAGAGCAGAGGGAGAAGGTCGCGATGCTGGACCTTCATCGTTGGGCTTGACGGGTGATGGATCAGGCGGTGCCGCACCCACTGCAGACGATGTGCGTCGGCTGCGGCCCGGCGAGCGCGATCCGGACCCAGAAACGAAGCCGGCTCGACCCGATCCAATAGATATGGACGAGGATGAGAAGGAGATGCTGAGCGAAGCGAGAGCTAGGCTTGCGAACACTCAAGGAAAGAAGGCAAAGCGCAAGGCGAGGGAGAAGGCATTGGAAGATGCCAGGCGATTGGCAATGCTTCAAAAGCGCAGAGAGCTCAAGGCTGCAGGTATCATGTGAGAAATTGACGCAGAAGAAAAGCACTCTTGAATCAGAATTTTGATACAATGCTCTTCCGTCCCACAGTGTGCGACCTAAACCGCCAAAGAAGGGGATGGACTACAATGCCGACATTCCGTTCGAGAAGCAGCCCGCTATTGGCTTCTTCGATACCTCAGAGGAGCAGTCTCGTTCTTACAAAGCACCCATCGGCAAGACTGTAACGCAGCTCAACCGCGCAGAGCGGCCTTCCGACGACGAAGGCGGGAAGAAGAAGCGAGAGCGGGAAGCACAAGAAAGGGCACAAAAGACAGGCAAAGACTCTTTTGCCGGCCAAAAGGAGGAGCAGATCAGGAAGTTGAAAGAGGCAGAGCAGATCAGCAAGCGGCGGAAGCTCAATCTACCAGCTGCACAAGTGGGTGACTCGGAACTGGAAGAAATTGTCAAATTAGGCCAAGCAGGCGATCGCGCGAGAGACCTCGTTGCTGATGGCAGTGAGACCAGTGAGGGCCTCTTGGGTGACTACTCTGCCCTCGAACGAGCCAAGCAAGCGCGGACCCCGCGGACAGCGCCTGAAGAAGACGTCGTCATGCGCGAAGCACGGAATCTGCGTAACATGACCACTGCACAGACTCCGCTGTTAGGTGACGCCAATGCCATACTGCTGCAGGGTACCGGTCACGAAGGCGCAGCTCCCCGAGCTTCTGTCATTCAGACCCCCAATCCGCTTCTCACACCTGCTCAGCGTGCCGCTCGAGGCATCTTACCTGGACAGACTCCCCTGATGACCCGGGACGGAGTCCTTGCGACACCGTACACAGGTGCCGGCAGCGTTGCTACCACAGGTGCAAGTGTTGTTGGCCAGACGCCGATGCGCACCCCCTTCCGCGACAGCCTCGGCGTCAACGCAGAGGACGGCATGAGCGCTGTAGGTGAGACGCCACGCGAGCTTAAACAAGCACGTGCTGCGCTCAAGCGGCAGTTGCAGCTGGGTTTAGCCAGCCTTCCAGCTCCAAAAAACGAATTCGACATTCAGCTGGAAGACGACTCGGTCTATCAAGAAGGTGACGAAGGCAATGCATATGGCGCCACACAGGGGCCCGCAAGTGAAGAAGATGCAGCAGCGCGGGATGCACGCATCGCAGCTCGGGCAGAGGAAGAGCGGCAAAAGGCGCTTGCTAGGCGCTCGCAAGCTGTCCAAAGGGGCTTGCCGCGACCCGCAAACGTCGACGCTGCCGCTTTGCAGACTATGCTCGCTGCTATTCCAACCGACGCGAGCTTCGATGACCGTGCACAGAGGCTTATTCAATCAGAGATGATCAAGATTCTTCATCATGATTCTCTCATGCATCCAGTACCAGGCACGGTTCAGGCTGGCGCATACAAGGGCCCACCGATTCTTTCGCATTTATCCGATGAGTCTCTCGCAAATGCAAAGGCGCTCATTCAGAATGAGCTCGCCTCTGCAGTTGGGTTCCCCGGCGCCAACGAAGCTATGCTACAGCGCCTCACCGTATCTCTGGCGGACGAAAATGGGCAGCTGGAAGCACTCGAACAAGTCCTTAAGCAAGAACGGGACTCGATGGTTTGGCACGCACCAATCGGCATGTGGGTCTCCAAGACAGATCTCAGCACTACAGACGTCCTGAAGGGCAAACAAGCGCTGTTGGAGAAGGACAGAGACCGCATGTCGCAGATGTCAGCATCTGCCGCGAAGGAAGAAAAGAAGCTTGGGAAGATTCTCGGAGGGTATCAAGTCAGGTCAAGCAATATACAGGAAAAAATAAAGGGAGGCTCCAGCGCCCTTTCCGAGGCGCTATTCACACGCAATGCCTTTGAGCACCTCGCTGCTGGCGAAGAGATTGCGGTGCAGGAGAGAATATCACGACTCGAACAAGAGGTTCGCGGCTTGGAGGCCAAGAACAATTTTGCTCAAGGCCGATTCCGCGAACTCGACGATGACCGGCGCATTCTTCGAGAAGTAATTGAGGAGCTGCAGGTGCAGATTGACATGCGCCAAGCCGAGCGGGCTGTCGATCTATTGGAAGAGGACGCAGCCTGAGTGAATGCCTTCAAACTTGGACGATGTGAAGATACATATGCGTAAAATGCTTGCAAGATGTTCATGTGTATGATCTATGCTTTCATTCTTATCGATGCTTGATGGGCTTTGTGCGGATCTTGCTGTCTTTATGGTACTGCCCCTTGCGCTTTCTGGCCGCATGCTTAGACGCATTCTTAGCAGCCTTGCGGTGCAAGGCTGCTTCTGGGTTCGTGATGCCCTCCAAGAGCTGCGCTGTCTTACGCTCCTTGCGCTTCTCCAAGGCCTTTTGACGAACGCTGCTGAAGACAGTCGCGTACTTGCTGCTGCCAACCTTTTCGCGAAGCTGGTCCTGCAAAAACTCTGCGGCTGCTCGTACTGCCACTGCAAGTGCGGATTCAAAACGAATAAATAAATATAAAAATCTAACGATTCGAAGGCCGCGTCAGAGCTAAAGGAAAAGGTTGCTCACGGGCATGTTCATCATCTCCTGTCATGAAGATCGTTTCGTCCAAAAAGCGATTGAGTGGGTTGAGGATATGAGGGAGGAAGGGCGACAATCGATCTTCTGAGAACGTCGTGGCGACTGATTGAAAACTCTTGAGTAGACAGATAATCTGTCGCGACATGACCACCTGCAAGCAACGTCGTCGTCAGGATAACGTAGGATAGGGGACATTCACCTAGCGTAGCGTACCTTATCGGCACCAAAGCGTGACCACGCCGTCACTCGAGAGCGCAGCGTAAATGAGAGTCGGCTAAACCACCAAGACAAGGGTGACGCCCGAGTGCCATCTCCGTCTCCCTCAGACGCACTTTCGTCGTCGTCATTGCCACCTTCTTCCACACTGTTCGGCTCACTCATGTCCTGGACCACGTTGACGTCTTGCTGGAGCAGCAAGGCAGACGCCACGAGGCACCGCTGAAGCTGTAAAGAGAGTTGCTCGGTGAGCTCCTCGGAAACGACAGCTTTCACGATGCGATGCGTGGCAAAAACGACATGCTGCTGCTCCGTAATTTTGCCCGTGGAATCTGTCTCGGACTCGCGTGCCGAATCCAGAACATCCCCTAGCAGACTGGACGCAGAGATGGATAGTCGACGGTCCACACTGAGAAGATCCGCCAGAATTGCAACCCATAAGTCAGATCCGCCCAGCTCAAGCAACGATGGAAGCCTGATCTCGTGGACGCCGGCTGCAGTCCGCAACAGCAACATTGCCTCGGCCGACGCGTCGGCAGAGTCGCCAGAGCTGTGCGATGCAGCAGCGAGCGACGAGATCGCCTTCTTCGCCAGATCCACAGCCTCGCTGAGCCATTGCGGCTCTCCTTCCGTGGAAACGACTGCTTCCGACGCAATCGTGTACATCTGCATGCCGACCTTGCAGAGACCAGGCTTTTCTGACTTGTCTGCCCAGCCTCTGATTAGCATCATGTTGCGTTCTGCCGTTGTACTGTCGGAGGCTCTGAGCAGTGTCCGTAGTAGATTGCGGGCCTGAGATCGGCATTGCTCCGAATCATCGTTGGCAACGCTCATGACAAGTCCCACGAAGAGGGTGTCTGAGAACGTCTGCAGAGCACCTCTGTCAAACTTGGCGATGATCGCTCTCAATAGCTCGAGAACGGAGAGCCGCCCACTCTCAAAGGTGTAAGTGAGATTGCTTGCGAGGAAGGACAGTTGATTGCGAAGCCGGCCTTTGCCTTGAGGATAATCGAGCATGAACTGGAGGTAGAGGGAGCGGCATACCTCCCGCACTTGCGCGCTCTGGCTTGTGATCATGACGTTAGCAATCTTGTCCATCACGTCGTACACGGCTGGTGACATGATGCGATTTGACAGCAGCACGCGCAGCAGAGTGAAAAGGCTAGATTGCACACTAGGCTCTTCGATGTCGGACCGCATCCATTCGAGTAGCAGGCCAATGTCCTTTTCCGGCAGCTTCGCATCCCTGATCTCGCGGAGTAACGCTGAGACGACTTTGAGCGCGCTCTGTGACAGCTCCGAATGCAATCCACCATTGCGTTGCATAATGTCCATCAGCTGCTTGGTGAGCAAGCCTGAGCCTGTCCGCACTGCAGGTAGATCGGTTTTAACCAGCTCGATCATTGTTTTCAGGCTTGCGGAGACAACAGTGGAATCTTGCGCATGGAGAACGTTTCCAACCGGTCCTACTAGTGCATTCAAACGGGAGACCTCTTCGTCACTGTGCAAATCAAACTTGGCCTTCTTCAGCCCGATGAGCAGAAGATCGAGGCCAAGGATGACGAAGTGGTGAACGCGGTGCGAGAACGTATTCGAAGACGCCGAGTTGTCGCCTTCCACATCCTTGCGCTTGCGGAGCACGAGCGGCACGAGAGCGGCAATAGATGGCTCGCTTTCTTTTGACCCACCCTTGACCAAAGCGGATCTCTGCGCAATGAGGGCGTGGCAAAGCGATAGAAGCTCTGAATTGCTTATTTCCCTGTTGAAAGACAGCCCGGCCCCAAGTCTTCGGAAGACCTGGTCGAGGCTCGTCGAGACGGCAGGCAATTCCTGAGCCATCACATCTTGCAACGCTGCGAAAAGGTCCCTTAGAGTAGGTGAACCCCCCAGCCGGGCAAGATGCTCTACCGTGTCCAAGCTTTTGCACTGCTTCATCTCACGCGCCTTGAGCTTGCCTGTGGCAGTGATGCGGTCCTCTGCGACTTGACCAAAAAGGTCTTGCAGTGCTATTTCTGACGCGTCTTTCATGAAGGTTGAATCCAAGCACACCTCTTCGGGCTGATTCGCCGCTTGCACAAGCATGGCATGCAGCACGAATGCCAGCACCGCCTTTTGGCTTGTCCGTGTTAACGTTCGGCGCAGCTCTTGCAGAGCAATGTTCAGCGAAGTGGGCCCTAAAGCTGACTGGACCTTCAGGAGCATCTCACGGCCCAAGTCCCGTGTTTCTTGAGCTTTTGCCTTGAGGACGTTCGCAAGAGCCCTAAAAAGCTGAAACACAAACCCTCGTTGATCCCTTGCAGGTAGCCTTCTGACCACAAAGACAACACCCATAGCGATTGGAAGACGGACGTGATCGTCTGCATTGTCATCTTTGTTCAGGTGGCTAAGGAGCGTGGGAATGAGCGATGTTTTGACAGCTGAAAGGGTGCTACTCGTCGTGTTGCTGTCATCTGCTTCGATTGTGTCAACGCCCAAGTCGAAGTCGAAGTTTTCCAAGATAGACAAGACAGCGCGCACGCTTGGCTTTTCCTCAACACTGCGATCCTTGACTTGGCGGAGGTATCTCGATAGAAGGGCGTTGTACGCTCCCCATCGAAGGTTTCGCGCAAGACATCCAACACAACGTATCGCCTCAGTGACCAGGTTGTGATCAAGTCCATTTTTGATACCCTCTGAAAGAATCTGCTCCGTCAGAGGAAGCAGATATTCCTGAATGGCACCATTTGGAAACAAGCGCTGCTGAGCCTGTTCGGCTAGTCGGTGCACAGCACGTATACGGCGATGAAGTTGAATGTGATAGACATTCTCGAAGAAGCTTGCCTCTTCATCGCCTGCCGCAAGAAGAGGACGCAGGTCTTTGAGATTCTGCATGTGCGAGCTGTCCGCCACGGCAGTGGATAAGAGACGTGCGCCCTCACGCCTGACCAGTTCGGATGGCGATCGCAAAGCACGCTTAATAGAGGGCAGCACGTAGGCCGAGAAGAGCTGACGAGCTTGAGAAGTGCCATCTTGGGAGGCGAAGAAAGTTTTGATGAACAGGGCAAACAAATGAGATGATTGACTGCGAATCGCGAGCTCATCTGGATCCTGCAAGAAGAACGCCAAGTTGCTGAGCAGCAGTTGCAGCTCAAAGATATGCAGCCCTGACATGGCCACTGAGCTGATGGCGTCAAACCCGCTCAAGCGCCGTTCGAAATCTGGCTCCTCGATGCGGCGTGGATGATAGGCATTGATGGCGGACAGCCAACCTGATACCCTGTGGATAGGAGCCTGCATCTCTGCCCACCTGGAAAGCAAGTGGCTCAGCTCTTTGCGTAAATTCGCTTCACGCGATGATGCCATTTGATCGCAGACGAATGCCAGGAATGATCCAGCAGGCGCCACCGCCCCATCTGAAACAGCTTGAGGAACGCGGTCAAGAAGCTCAGAGAGGATCCGCAGTACCTTCTCCTTCACGCCTTCATTCCCTCGGAGAGCACCGCGAGCGTAGAGTGCAACCAGAGAGTCGAAGAGCAAACGGGCATCGGACTCGTCTCCGCTGAAGTCGCGAGAAAGTGTGACGAGAACGCCGATCATCCTTCGAAGCAGATAGCCCCTGTTGACTCCGTCAATGCTGCCACGATGACACCACTGAGCAGCATTCCCGATGAAGGAAGACGATAAGGAGGACAAAAGTCGGACCGCTTTCGAATCGGTAGCTGGCGAGTTGTCATCCGTAGATTCACTGTTCGCAAGATGTGCGACGTTCTCGACGACAGCGACGATCCTGTCTGTCACCGGATCCTTGATGTTCTCGGAAGAGAGACAAGCGAAGAGCGACGGAAGAAGTTCGGGGTTGAAATCAAGCCAGTCGAGCAGGGTTGCGTCCCTGGACCAGGTCACGAAAAGCTCTTGCAATGCTGATGGTGCTTCGACACTGTCTTTCTGCATTGAATATAGTCGTGGACTTACAAGTTCCTTGAATATGATCGGACGGAAAGTACCCCAGAGAAACTTCTGTGCTGGGATCTGGAAGACCTCATTGAGGCGTTTCAATGCATCCTGTCGAATCTCACGACTGCGCGTGCCTTCGCTCCCAGGGTGAACACCTGCAAATCGGTTAGCATGAATGGCGATGTTGAGCAACACGCGCATTACGCGATCCCAGGCCGGACCGATACGAAAGCCTAGATGTTTGATGACCTGTTCGAGAAAGGCGAGGAAGCCGCGCTGCTGCTTTGCCGTCGCACTCGGGGCGGTCTGGCTTGGCTCAAACTCTAGCGACTGTTCGTCTGGTGACTCATCCAAGGATGCGAGCATGAGGTCAAACAGTGCTTTGAGCTCCTCAGCATGAGATCGAGCCAGCGAGACTAGCATTGCGGTGCGGACCGAGTTGGTGCGGGCCTTGGTAGACATCATCTGCCCATAGAAAAGATGAATGATGAGAGGTAGGAGTGTCGCACGATGCGAAGGCTGTACAGAGCCGGTGTCCGGCGTGAGATCGAAGTTGGTCAGCTCATCTCGCTGCTTGGATTGTTCGAGGAAATTGGTGAGCGTCTCTTGGTAGCTGATGTGCGAAGGATCTTTCCAAGTGAGAATGCACTGGAGAGCAAGGCGCTGAACTTGTGTATCGCGCGATGCACACAGGGCGAGAAAGGTGGCGTACAGGTCGCTGCTGCGATGAAGCGATTTGGGGTTATGGAGCTTGGCAAAGACCTTGAGGAACGCGGAGAGTCTCTCTTGCCTGTCTCTTGCGCAGAGATCAGAGCTTGAGCCAACGTCATCCCTGAGGTTCCCTTGGACCAATTCGTCTTTTGATTTCAGAAATAGCGAAATGAAATGTGCGTTATGTTTTTGGACTTGGGCTGGAATGTCCGCTGTGAGGTGCAGCAGCTGCAGCTTGTAATTAACGACGCTGAGGCGTTCAATGGCAGTAGCACTGCTGCGCGACGAGGCGACAGAGGGTTGCAGGGCGTCGGTGCACACTTCGAGGATCTCACTATGCCGATTGTCGAGCACTGGGTCTGTCCAGGTTTTCTCGGTGTACGCGGCATGCAACTGGGGCAAGCTCACCGGTATGAGTCGAAGATCTGCAATACGCGCACCGAGTACTGCCTGCGACGATTCAGACACTTGAGATAGCTCTTCAGGCGCATCGATCGTGCTGGAGTTGAAATGAAATTCCAGCTCTGCGAAGCCGCAGGTCCAGACAAGTTCTGGGAACCTTTGCGCGACATCAACCAGCGCTGCGATACTCTCGCCCCAGATTGGCTTGAAGTTGAGCTTTAGCGAAGAGACAATCACATCAATGATGATACGCGCTCGAAGCTCTTGTACATCCGCTGGAGTGCCTTCCTGATCGCCGCCTTCGCTTAGCAGGGAGCGGCCGAGTGCACGTGTCTTGATGGTGCGATTTCGGACAGTTGCAACGGCGAGCGGAATAGCTTCGATGTCGCGCACCTCTTCCAGCGTCTTGTTGATTGCAATGTAGTCTCCGCGATTTGTGCTGCATGTCAGGAGCAGGTCTAACGCGGCATGGCGAAGCTGCGTGTCTTGAGACATAATGAAGGGCCGCAGAGCCTCGAACGTGACAACGGCAGTGAAAGAAGAAGGTAGGGCCACTCCATGCCCTGCCATTGCACCTGCTAGCCGACGGATGCTGGATAGAAGCATACTGCGGCTTGGTGAGTCAAGCGTGAGAAGGGAGAAGACAATTGGAAGATAGTCAGGGTTTCCGCGGACAGCGACAAGCGCTGAGATGCGCTTGCTGCTTGCACCTCCAAACTCGAGTCGTTCGACACCTTGGGCTAGAGAATCGAGAGTAGTACGTAGCGGTTCAACAAACAGGGGCTGAGTTGTGGCTGCCGCGACCATAAGAGCAACCAATGCTTCGAGCTGCGTGATGACTTCTGGATCGTGTCGAGCGAGCAGCGGAGCAAATCGCGCAGCATCGAGCAGATCGGCGAGTTCGGTCTCAGCAAGGGATGTGGAACGTTGAAGGACTTCCTTCCCCAGTTGCATCATCGCTTTAATGTGCTTCGAAACGGACCTCATGAATTGCGCGGAAGCTGGCGAAGGTGCTTGACCAACGAGATCGTCCAGCTGTCCCCGATCCTTGAGCATGGCGAGCAGATGGAACGTTCTCGCTGCCATTACTGAGGCGCTTGCGGCTGAGCTCGATAGACAAGTGGTGATGTGCTTCAGAACGCTCGGCAGCGCAAATTGCTTGAAACCGCTCCAATCAACAGTTGGTTGGGCGAGTGCAGCAATGATAGCATTGAAGGATTTGTAAGAAGGCACTTCTGCGTCCGCTTTGGTCAATATCCCGTACGCATCGCTCTTAGAGGCGGTCTCGGCCGCAGAGATGCTGTTGAGAAAGCGTGGGACAGCGCTGAGTTGATCTTGCATCCGTCCAATGGGGATGAGTAGGGCAATGAACGCGATGAGCGTGGTGTGCAGCTGTATTGTTTGGCTGCCGCTACTGTCTACGTGCCGACGATCCAGAAGAGTCAGAAGAGAGGCGAGTGGCGGAAGGAGTGCAAATAGCGAAGTCTTCTTGGCGTCTGTATTTGCGTGAATGTGAGCGATGCCGCGCATTGAAGGGCAATGCAAGAAGAGTAAAGTCAGCGATTGTAGGGAAGCAGCATGGACAAGTATTGCGTGGCCGCTCACCTTCAATTCGAGAGCCTTTGCGGACGCCCACGCATATGCTCAAAAGCGCCATATCTTCCCGGAGCTGTTCCTCTGCATTTTGCTTCTCGACATCATCATCATCGACGTCCATTTCAACTTGGCCGGTTTCCTCAGCGTATGGCCGCAAGCCTTGCTTAACGAGCCCAAGAATTAAATGCAGCACATCCCCGAAATGCGCCGCTTTGCTATAGTGCACGAGATTTGTGAGCAGCAGGCGGCCAACGAGCGAGCGCGCCTTTTCCAAAGTGCTGATACGGCTCGAGTCAAGCTTTGAGCTTGATCGCGACTCGTCACGTTGCAGGAGCGCAGAGAGGATGGTCGGTGTGTCGCCATGCAGATGGTGGTCGGTGGACTATTGAACATGGAAATAACGACAGGCGCAAGGAATAGCATCAGGTTTATTTCCATAAAACTCTAGCTCAATCATGTCAACGCACCTTGCATGCCTCAGACCAAGCGCCAGCAATGCCGCGTGCGAACATGACACAATGCCGTTGAGCCTTCTCCGCCGCTTTGACCGTCAAGGCGCCCGCTGCGTTCCCAGCGCCGGCTTTCTGCACAGTCGCGGCGCGTTGTAGCACGTCGGCTAGATCGTGTAGCATGAGCAGCGCCAGCTCGCGTGCTCTTGTCGGAACCGAGACCGAATTCTGGCTTAAGGGTGAGGGTTGAGCTTGGCCCTTGCTATTGACGTGCAAAGAAACAGATGTCCGGACGAGATGCGCAAGGGCTTCGGCGGCAAAGCGTTGTACATGTGGCGATACTCTGCGAAATGCTGGGTTCGCCTTCTTGTGCGGTGGGAGTCCAGTCTCCACGGGGACGGAAGCATCATCTGTAGACTCGACAAAGGTGGACTCTGGCTGGGCAGATGATTCATAGTGTGCTTCTTCTTGCGGGTCATGTGTTCCATCATCTGGCTCTTGATTGCAGATTGCCACTTCTTCTTCGTCATTCCCATCTTCAGCGCCGTCGATATCATCGTCATCCAAAGAAGCTACTGTCCCAGTCTCTTGATACCCAATAAGACCTCTGAAGATCTCCCAAATATCTGCTCTCGTACTTTCCGCCTCTTTCCCATCGCCGAGTGCCCATGGTGCCAGCACCTTGAGCAGACCCGTAGCACTTGCGAAGGCTTTTTCGACAAGGTCGGCAGCAAGCACCTCGTCTCCATCCGTCCAAGATCGGTTGCACTCGCCGGCGATGCGTAGGACAGCGCGAAGTGAGCGCGCAAAGACTGGTGCAAACTCTATACCTCCCCCCAGATCCGCAGCTAGGCGTGGTAAAAGGTCAAGTGCGGGCTCATAAGCATGCTGTGCACCGCTCGAGACCGCAGCTACCCCTGCATTGGCACTGGCATGAGTAGGACCGTGCGCTGGCGAAAGTAGGCCAATCAGCGCATCGACGAGCTCATCGCGATGGTGAAGTAGTAGCGGTAGGGATTGTGCTTTCGGCAATGCTATGCGCAAAAAGTTGACGAAGGGGCTCGAGAGGTTGAGTTCCCTCCAAGTTGCAAGTGCAGTACCAAACTGGGTGGTATAAAGCGAATCTGTGTGATCTTGCTCTGTAAGATTGTCCAAGTCCAAGCGCCTCCGTTTGACGGCGGAATGGCCCTGTGATTGATTAGAATAGGAGTTGTAGAATTCTCCGTTGAGGGGGTCCAAGCCGGCGGCGAGTTTGCTAGATGAGCTTGTTAACCTATCGAGCTGGACATTCGCGAGACGATCATTGAAAGATTTGTATCGGAATGAGCTGACTTTGTGCTCTGCTTCGTGTTTGCTTCTCCTTTTCTTGTCGCTGTTCGACTTAGATGCTGCAGAGAGCTTGGCAGCCTTGGAGGCCGGCTTTGACTTTGTCTTTGCCTTTGAGGATATTGAAGAGGCGGAAGAGCTGGAGGCGAGCTTTGCAGCACGAGCCTCGCGCTCGAGAGCAAGCTGCTTTTTGAATGCGGCCTCCCGCGTCTTCTTCTTCATCTTCCCTTCAGCAGCCATGTTGAACCCGGCGGCCAGCGCTACTGTTTCCAATCCTTGCCCTCTTCAAGGTTCAACCTCTCGTAAGCAGCTATACTATATGCCAAGGGGGTATGGTATATTTGTGCTCAAGGTAGAAATGTGCGAGCTCGCTCTGCGGTGCGGTGAGAGAAGCCAGATAGCGCACGCGAAATCGCATGTATGGAATGCTTTCGGTGCAACAAATTTTCTGGCAACACACTGGCCCGCGTCCCGAATTCCGCGTGCCGCGTTTGTACTTGTGGTCGCACTGTGTGTACCTCGAGGTGAGCAATGAAGTATGTGCTGTGCAAACAACGAGAACGCCGGCCTACATGTGAAAGGCATCTTCCAAAGGGTTCGATGCCGACGTCCTCCTTGAACGTCTGGCACGAATGCTGGCTTGACATCTTCGAGGCGTTGGGGAGTCTCTTTAACCACCTCTCTAGATGTTCATTGCCTTTGTCGTACCGAGCAACTACTAAAATGCTAAAGAACCACCAGGTCTCGTTCAATATGCTGTCCGACTCGAACAAGGAGACGAAGAACTCCTCAAAGAGCTCTTCCGGAAAGTATTCTGGGCATCCTCAACACGCAGCTGCCACTTCCAAAGGATCGGGTTCCAACCGTGCCAGACAGCAGATGGGATCTGAACAAGCTCGCTCTCTCTCGTCAGAGTCGGATACATCAACTGAGAGTGAATCAGAGACGGACGAGACGGAGGATGAAGATGGCGAGCAAGTCACTGCGGATGTCGATGCGGCGATCCTCAGGACGCTAGCAAAGATCAGGCGAAAAGATGGTGATATCTATAATGCTGATAAGAAGATTTTTGATGGTGCGTCTCCATCCATGACCTGATAAGATACATGCCAAGATGAAGCTGATGTGGTGCTGCGTCTGTCGTGACGTTCGCTCGCACGCTAGACGAGCGAGCAAAGTTGGCTTCCATACCTGCACCCACAACTCTGGCCCACAAGCCAACCTCCTCAAACAAGAAAATAACTCTGCAAGACTACCAGCGATCGCGGATCCAAGAAGCCCTCGCCTCCGACGCTTCCGGTGATGCCGCTGCGCGTGCACTTGCAGAGGCGACCACAAATCCTACTCGTCTAGGGCACCATGTTGACTACGATTCGAGCGGTGCGCCGAGAACATATGCGCAGGAAGAAGAGGATCTGAGGCGCGAAGTCTTGGCCGCTTTTCACGGAGATGTAGAAGATGATGAAGGCGGCGACGACGATGGTGGGGGCGTCTTTCAAAAACGAGGCGGCGGTGTTGGTGACGACGATGAAGATGGGACCTCATACCGAAGCTATATACTCCGGGCGCTTGGCGGTGATGAGGACGCTGTGCGAGATGTGCTCCGTGAGCGTGCTGAAGCGGTGGCGAAGGAGGGTATCATCCTTGCAGGGAACGATGGCGACGAGAGTGCTGTAGGGTCCAACAAAGAGACGGGGCAGAAGAAGGAGGGGGAGAAGGGGAAAGAAAAGGCGAGGAAGAACGGAAAGGCACAGGAAGAAGCAGATCACGAATTTCTCATGAACTACATTCTCAATCGCGGCTGGCTCGAGAACGACGACGCCTCTGTCCCTGCGCGCAAGCGAAAATCCAAGTCTGGCGACAAGAATTCGGAAGTAGCACAAGCGCACGACGAGCGGGACTGGGACGCGGAAGCAGCAGACCTCGAATCAGAAGCGTCCTTCGATTCGCGCGCGTCTGCCTTCGAGACGGCCTACAATTTCCGCTACGAGGCGCTCGAATCTGGCGCCGCATCAGGGACCATCCCGACCTTCTCGCGTGACGCCGCTGCAGTGGGGAGCGTTCGCCGCGATGAGAAGCGCGAGAAGCGGAAGGAAAAGCGCGAGGAGCGTCGTAAGAGGAAGGATACGGAGAAGGCAGAGAAGATGAAGATGCTTGAAAAGGCGAAGGAGAGGAAGACCCGCGAGATCATGGAGAAGCTCAAGAAGCTAAAGGAGGCTACTGGCAGCGATGGTGAGCGCCTGGCTTTTATCGCATGGAAACTGGCTTTCTATCTTGGGGCGCTGATGTAAGCTCCAACACTGTTTTCCAGCTGTTGGCTTTGAGGACCTTGACCTTGAGGCTGAGTTTGACCCTTCAGCACATGATCGCGCAATGGAGGCAGCATTCAACGACGATTACTACGCCGAGGAAGATATGCAGTTCAATTCAGATGGCAAGCCGATCTGGAACGACGATATTGACATCGGGGATATCGACGGAGAAGAGGAAGGGCCATACGATTCGGAGCAGGCTGTAGGCGCAGTCTGGGGCGCCGATGATGAGGACGGGCGCATAGAGATGGATGCGGATTTCCTCGAAGGAAAAAACGGTGGCGAGCAAGCCCCTGACACTTCGAAACTGTCTAAGAAGGAACGCAAAAAGCTAAAGAAAAAGGAGAAAAAGCGGCAGCAACAGTCGGGTGATCAAGCTGACAGTGGGGTGATCGATGAAGCTGAGATGGATGCTGAGAATGCTGCAAAGCAGCAAGAGGATGAGAGGCAGGCATTGCGCAAATTGCCGCCTGCAGAGCGAAAGAAAAAAGTTTCCGAGATGCTGGACGAGTATTACAGCATGGACTATGAGGACATGGTGAGTAGCTTTAATCCGAACTACAACTGGAGGCGCAGTAACTCTGACTCCCGTTCGATATTTCTGCTTGTAGATTGGTGACCTTCCCACGCGGTTCAAGTATGTCCAAGTTCCCAAATCCAATTATGGTCTTTCGCCTGTAGAGATTCTACTTGCGGACGACAATCAGCTCAACAATGTCGTAGGAATCAAGCAAATCCAGCCGTACAGGCGCGGAAGCAAGCGACCGGCCGACTTGGGGCGCAGGTTGAGGGAATTTAGAAAAGACTTCAATACCGGCCTCGGGCCGTCTGGCTCTGCACACGGGAGGCATACACACGGCCAAGGCTCAGAGCACCGTGCGCAGCAACATGCAGGGAAGAGCGGCGACGGGCAGGAGCAAGGAAAGACGAAGCGAGCAGGGAAGAAGGAGAGGCAGAAGCTCAAGCGTGCCGGTGATGGTGATGGAGCTGGCGGAGAAGGGGCCACAGCTGGCGCCACTGAGCAGGAGGAGCGGCAGGCAAAGCGACCCAAGCTGAAGAACGATGCCTGAATGTAGTGAAGAAGCCATGCATGCCGGGCATTCCAGTTTCACGATGAGAAGAGTTTAAGAGCGGACCGCCCCTTTTGAAGAAATGTAAAGCCTACACAGTACATGACTAGATTATTCCTACGCATCTGAACCTTCTCACTGCCGCGACTCAATGCTCGAACGGGCCAAAGGCATGAGCGCACCCCCACTCCTTTTTGCCCGTGCATTCACAGCTCCACCTTGCTGGCCGTCTTGCTAACGCCTTCGCCAAAAATTTCGCTACCCCACTCGGCCAGGTGCGCAAAGACGTGCAGGCCCTTGGCGCGGATAGTGTGGTACTGCGCTGTAAGTAAAAGAGAGAGCGGGTCTTGCTCGCTCGATTGCCAGTACCACTGGATGTAGCGGGATCGGAGGAGAATATGCAGGGAGGCATCAGTATGATCTCTGTGCTATCGGGCCGGATTGAGGTTCGAGCGAAAATTGCGCCCTATGCAGGAGACTCACCGCAATCTCAAAGACAACAATAGCAATGATGGCAATCACTACGGTCATGCCAGCCATCATGAGCACGAAGAACCGCATGAGGTCATCCTTATCCTTCTGCTCCCTCTTTTCGCGCTCCTCGGCGCTCAAAGCGGCACGTGCAAACATTGAAAGCTGCCGGTCACTCGCTTCATCGTTGCCCGTGCCACTCGCGCGAAGCGCACGCGCCTGAGAGACTGCACGCTGCTTCTGCAGCTGCCCGAAAAGGCGCATGGCGTTGGTGCGTGCATCATTCGCATTCGGCGCCGGCGCAGTGGAGGACGAGTCGGCACCGCCAGGCGCGCTGACGTAGGAAGGGTAGAGTGTCTCGCACCACACTTCGATGCGGCTGAGCTCGACACTCCAGCGCACAAAGTACGGGTCGTCGGGCGAGAGGCGCGCATGCATGCTCCGCGCATAGCGCCGGAAGGTCCAAGCCACATCGCGCGGGTTTGTTGCCCGCAGAATGAGCTGCACCGCCTGGCTTTTGCGGATCTTGACGTTCTTCTTCAGAACGTTCGGGTTGGCGAACATCAGCTCGAGCGTCGCGATAGCCATGACTTGCGGGATGGCGCAGAAGTTGAACACTGACTGCTCGCGCAGGACGGCGAGGTAGTCAAGCGACTGGGTCGCGTGCGAAAGCGCGTCGAGCAGCATGGCGCTCAATACATTCATGCTTCGTTGCCCCAGCTCGCCTGCCTTGGCCCTGTAGACGTTGGACCCTGGCGATGTCTCCTCAATCCCGTCCGCTACAGCCGCCTGCGACGCGAACCCACATTCGGGCGCAGCCCAGCATTCTTTGGGCCAGAAGAAGCGGCCTTGCTCGCAGTCCTCTGCGTAATCTCGGATGATGTTGGTCTTTTGCAGGAACAGTCCCATGTGGTTGGATAGGATCAGCTGCTCTCCGAGCCAAGGGCGCTCCATCCCTGATGCGCTAAACAGGCGCGAAAGGCCCTCGCCAACGAGGCCTGCGACAAAGTGACAGTACAGATCGTAGTCCTGCCAGCGCACAACGCAAAGAGAGTTGTCGCTTGAAGAGGAGGCTTCAATGTATGATGCCATCCCTGCGCCCATCTTGGCCGTCATGTCGGAGATGACAATGCGATAGCTGTGGGCGATGTAAGTTGGTCAGTCGTCCGGGAAGGTGCACCGAGGCTTTTAAGTGAGCACTCACTTTTCGTCCAACAGCTGAAATTCGGCAATGACCTTGTCAAACTCGACAAGCAGCTGTCTGTCCTTCTCGTTGGGACCGCTCTCTGTAAAATTCCATCCCGGCACCTCAAGCTTTTTGTAAAAGGATGTGAGCAAGGGGATCTTCTTGTCCGCCGGGATGGTCATGTCATCCTCAATCGTGTCGAGCGCTCGGAGAATGAGGTAGTAGAGGCAAATCTGCGAGTACATTCAAGAAATAAACAAAAGGCAATCAAATTGTAGGAGGGTCAGGGAGAGAAGGTGGAATGGAATGATCACCCACAACTCTGCTGAGCTCCCCTTTGAGCTCCTTGATGACCGCAGCGAAACTACGGCTGGTCAAGTCTAAGAACTTCCAGCATTCGCGCATCTGCTGGCGATCCCATCCCGACTCTTTCGGGTTGAGCTTAATGTCATTGAGCGGGTCGCGCCAGATCTTGTAATGTACGAGCGACCGGAACTCGCCCGGACGGGTAAGGGCGAGGAGGACTAGGTCGAAGACGCCCATGGTGCCAGCGCTGGATATGCCGCTGTTCAGGAATAACTTCGGAGGCAGGGTTGGAACTGTACTTATCTGCTCCCTTTAGTGCAGCTGTGTTTGGCCGAGAAATCTGCTTCTGGACGGGATCGACCTTTGGCTTCTACCGTACAAACCCTGTTGAGGGACGACGAGGAGGATTCTATAGATTGATTCAGATTCGAAGGTTGGTTGCAAGCTCCACATATCGCACACCTTCGGGTGCAGCACTGGAGCAGTCTGAACTCTACGCTCAGATTGCCGACGTTCTCCTTCAAGTTTCAAGATCATCTTCTTTTGGAAGAGGTCCATGATCGTCCATGGATCACAAGCCAATTGCATGTGCTGGTCCAGAAGAGAACGCAGCTGGTCTGTTGGTACCGAGAGCACCTGACAGAGCGATTCTCCAGCGAGGCGATTAGCCGAGGGTTACTACATTACACACTGCCTTCGCACGTCAAGACCATTTTCGACTTGACGTTCACCATGGCTTTGCGGTGAACTAACCTATGACTAAGCTCAGATCATCGCTGCCTTGGCGCTGAGAACGTGCCTGCTCTCGAGCTTTGGGCTACACGCGTTACAGTGACGGTTGCAATGAGCCAACAGTACCGCCAAAGGTAGTGAAGCAAGTCAAGCAGTGCCATTAGTATCGAACCCTTTTCCTTCGCCTCGCGCTGAGTCCATCGCCTTTTGCTCGCGGTCGGACGCGCACAAGTTCCAACAGTAAGAGGAATGGCAACAGAAGCCGTCGGTCTACCCTGACATTTTCCCGATCCATCAAGGGACAAGCGACACTGCGAGTCAACGCCGTCTACATCATCACAGCTATCAAGCAACCGGCACACTGCAGCAGCGCAGCAAAGCCCACCTGTCGTAAGCACGCCTCTCGACGTCGACTTTCAGCCGGAAGAGGTGTCTCTGCCCATGTCCATTGATCCACAAGCCATCGAGGATTTCAGAACAAAGGTTTTGCAACTGATCTACAACACTCGTACTGCTTGATCGTTTAATCGCGCGGCTTCTGAAACCGTAACATAGCATTCTCTCCCTGATGTTCCACGGCCCATTGCAATATGCCTCTTTTGCTGTCTTGACGGCTTTAGAATAGTCTTGTCTGCCAAGGTGCCCATGTGCCGCCATTAATGGGAACCCTTTCCGTTGATGGCCCGCTCGGGATGCCATAAGGGCGGCTTGTCGCCGTTCGGGACGTGGCCGAGCGACCCTTCCCACCTGATTCTGATCTCCCTAAGAGTGTTCCTGATCTGGCATTTTCTGCTCTGCCTCGAATCGGCGCTCGTGGTGAAAGCAAAGGCAATATTTACCGCCAGCTCGATCAGCACATTCGCGACGATCAGCCCGAAAACGACAGGCGACGCAAAGAGGGCAGTCGCGATGCTGCGCGCGCGCTCGGCAAGTGCGACAAGCGCCGTGGCGAGCAGCAGGTGCGGCACAGGCCGCTCGGCGGGTATCGGCTCAAAGGGCGCCTTGGCGCCCAGTGCGATGGCTGCGCGCATACCGGATGAGAAGCCGTCCTCGTGGAAGCCGTACTTAAGCCATGCGCCAGCAAAGTAGAGTCCCATGCTGCCTTGTAGCTTCTCCACCTCTGCTTGGAAGTGCACCGAGTCAGACGTGTAGATGGGGTGCTCATACGCTTGCTCCCTGACGATCAGGTGCTTCGCCGGGTACGAAGGGCCGGGTGGTGGGTTGAGCGTGACAAGTACAGGTCCATGCTTCTCGCTCGGCAGCGATTGCAGCAGGTTCATCCAGTATGTTAGCGTCACGCGGTCCAAATCAACGCCGCCATCCTGCTCTTCGGCGAGAAAGTTCCATGCTGACCAGGCTGCGCGCCGCACAGGCATGAGCTAAAGCAAAGGCGGAAGATAAAGGTCTCGTAAGCGCAAGCTCGAATCTTGGGGAGGAAGTGAATCAATCGCAAGTTCACCCGTTCATCGCTGTGCAGCACGGTCTTGTTTTTACTGAACTTGAACTGCTCCAAGGCTGTACGCAGCGGCTCGCCACCGTCCAGCGCTGCATCTAAAATTCCCAAGCTGATGTCCGCATGAGTCGCGAAAACGATCTTGTCGAATCGATGCTCCTGACCGTCGGCAGTGACGAATGTCCACTCCCTCGTATTTCCATCCATGAACTTCTTTGCGCTCCCGGGCTGCACTGCGCCAGATTGGCCCGTGTGCAGCCTGCCTGGCGGCAGTTTGGACAGAATGCGCTGGATGTACTCGCTCGAGCCTCCACGGATGGTGAGCCATTGTGGACGGTTCAGGATCTGCAGGAGATGGTGGTTGTGCATGAAGCGCAGAAGAGTCACCGCTGGGAACATCTGCAGAGCCGTTCCGGGTGGTGTGGACCAGATGCAGGCGGTCATGGGCTGGATGACGGGGCGAACTGGAGTTCAGACAGCCGGGACCGAAAGGAAAATGTCCACAAATATTGCTTACGATGAGATAGTTCTTCCTAAAGCTATCGCTGTATCCCCTAGCGTCCAACCACTCGCAAATGCTCTCTTCCCTCTCGGTCTGCCCTTTTTGTCGTTTCTTGTTCGAGTCAAGACGCAAGGTGACGAGGGCCTCATGGTTGAAGCGGATAATCTCCCAGACCATGCGCCAATGCGATGGGTCGAAGAGGCTCGTGAATTGGCAGAACAGCGCCGAAGGAGACCCGCCGGCCCACTCGAATGCGCCGCGCTCGGGCAAAAGAGCATCTTCGTCGTCGTCACCGTCGCTAGCACCCCGTTGGTTATTGCGATTCGCCCACACCGCCTGACCGGCATTTGTTATCGTGGGCAAGGAAGAGCCGAAGGATGGGATGGGCGGGAAGGAGCGCGGCAGCCGTGGCACAGACGAGCGGGAGACAGAGAAGCTCATGTCTGAGTCGAGGATGTCCACGCCTTGCAACCGCAAGAAGCGGAGGAAGTTGGGGTAGGTCACCTCATTGAAGACGATGAATCCAGTGTCGACCGGCGTAGACTGGAGGTTCGGCTTTGCCTGGCTCGAAGGGGTGCCCGAAGTGGCAGCATCCTGGGGATGATCTGGTACCTTCGTCAGAGACAAGGGCGAAGATGCATGCTGCGGCGGGTCAAAGTGGACCGTGTTGGTGTGTCCGCCTACACGGTCATCCGCCTCGAACAGATGCACCTCGTGGTCCGAGTACTCGTTCAGCAGCCACGTTGTGCTCAGGCCGGAGACGCCTGATCCGACGACCGCGATGCGCATCCCGCAGAGATCACGAGCGATTGGGCGACTGATGGACGGCCTTGCAGCGTTGCTGAGGTAGCCGGTAGAGCCTCAATGGTGGATGCCCTGATGATCGAGATGTGTCAATCCTCATCACGAACGAGTATGCACTAGCTACCCCTCAATTAGACTTTCGGGGGCCTCTAATCTAAAACATGGGGTTTTCAACATTGTTACGGGGTATACCGTTGCAAAGCTACCGGAAACAAAAATGAGGCTTGACCGTTTGACTAAAAAGGTATTTACAACTTGAGCCCAACACGTCCCCTTGCTGTGGCGCCCCAGTACCCTAACACCTTAATTTGGGGAGTTTTTCGTTGCGTCGTCTAAATTGGGGACCTTTTAAACCCAACGATTGCATCTGCCGTGCATCTCCCTTATCAAGAGTCTACTGAACGCTCAACGTTCGTAGGCATGCAAGCAAATGGAAAGTGCAAACTGTTTCGCCTGAGGTGGTTGGGGATCGGCAGATCACAGCATGGCTACGGCAAGTGCAATATTGACACCTTCCGTGACAATGCATGTTTGCAGTGAGCCTGTCATAGATGTTGCACATCCTGCTATAGCTTGGAAGAGGGTGGGTAAAAATGATGGCTGGCGAAATTCCCTTTAAAGCATCGGATGATTTGAGAGGTTCCAGTCGGTGCGAACAAGCCAACTTCATCTCCAAGCGCAGTTGCTCTTCGCGGGTTAACGATGAATAGGTTGGCGGGTATGGTTCGCCACATCCGACCATGCTCGATCGCAAGGTCGGAAACGCTGATAGGGGAGTATCATTGTCCGCCCGCATGCCAGAAGCGCCAAATGATCGGTTGGGTTTCAGAAACGCCCGATCGTGTAATCAACATTTCATCATGTGAAGGATGCGTGAAACCAAGGCTTCTTTGTTTGTCTCATCGTCCCATGCGGAGCTGACGTTTGAAGCTTCAACTGCGGGCTCAGTCCGGCAAGGCAACATGAGTCTCGAAAGGAAATGAGAAAATATGCTACTAGGATCAATGGCTCAGAAACCTAACAAGGTTTGGCCACCAACGATGGGGTCATTTCCAAGAAACGGAAGGGCGCATCTGGGGTTTTCTTTTCGGAGGGCATTTGCACCGTCACAACCAGTTCTGCACTCGCAGCTTTTGCATTTTGTGTTTATAGCCTTGGTCGAGAGTCCGAGTCCAATGATCTGGCGGCCGAAGCTGGGTAAAAGAGGACATCGGTTGGATCGAATGGGCAACCGAAGTTAAACGCTGCTCTAAAAATACACAATTGGAAGAGCTATATCTACATTTGGACAAAGGCGATAAGACCACACAACATGGACAAAGACACAACCACATTGGCTCAGAACAGGACCGACATGAACGGTGATGGCGGGTGGTGGTACAATCAAGCGAACCCGACGAACGAGCGAACAAATGCAGAATGGTATCATCGATCAATCAAATCAGTCATCAACGCCAGGACTTGAGGCCCCGGGATTTGCTTTTGGCCTTTCGCTGCTTCTCGGCTTTCTTCTTGCTGGGGCTCTCAAACAGATTGCGCGGCATCGCCCCCTTCGAAATGCGTCGTGAACGGAGGTGCGCTTTGAACGAAGCTATGTTGGGCAACATTCGCTTCGACCGCTGCTGCTCCTGCGAGGACGATGTGAAAGTCGTGTACGTAGCCTGCTTCAACTCTAGCAGCACCGCGCGAGCGCCGACAGACGCGTCAGCGACGAGCGGCTGCATCCGCTCTTTTGCTCTTGCGGCTGCTTCCGACGCCTCGAACAGCGATTCGGCCCACCGTTCCTTGGCGCGCATGGCGAAGGCTTCGGACCATCCCTTGGCGCGCTTCGCGCCCTGCACGGCGGCCCTGGAGGCCTCCTTTCCAAGAGCATCGCCGGCTTCCTGCAGCTTGGCGAGATGTTCGAGGGCCTGCTCCTTGGCGTACTCGCGTTGGCTCTCGCTTTCCTTCCATTTGACTTTGCCCTCCTCCGCCAGCTTCTTCGCCGCGGCTTGGACGATTTTCGTGCCGTCGGAAGCAGCCTCCAGCGCGGTATCTAAGTTCTGGCTTAGGCTTACAGCGATATCCGCCAGCCACGCCTCGCGCTCTGCCTCACTCGCCTTGTAGTCTGTCCACCATTGGTCACATAGCTTTCTGACATTGTGCGCAAACGTGGCAGCAGCCTCTGCTTGCGCACGATAGACAGATGCCAGTTGACCCGTGAAGATCTCCAGGTCGGCGTAAAGGACCCGCGCTGCTTGGTGCAGATGCTCTTGCCATGCGCTGAGAGCGGAGACGATATCATGTAGCATGGGCGTTGCGTATGCGAGCAAGTCAGGCCCTGAAAGCGTTTGAAGCGAAGCCGCGTCAATACCAGCTGTGCCCTCTATATATATATATTTACAGCATCACGACGCATACGCACGTGTGTCCGACAGTGTGCCAGCTGCTGTTGCGATCGCGACTTCCTTGGTATAGCGAACCTTGCCCAAGACCTTATCCTCCCCGTTTCGAACCAAGCCAAGGAGAGCAGTCAGCTTTTGAATGGCCGCATCATCGTTGCTCGCTTCGTGCAAAGGCGCGCTCATGACCGTCCGAACGCTGTGCGAGCTCCTCGCCGTGCACGAAATATTCCGCTTTGCCCGCTTGCGATGGCGAGGAGCAGAGTCCGGTTCAACGTCGACATCGGCGTCCGCGTGCTTGAGAGCGTGCGCATCCCTGTGGCGCACGAGGCTGCGCTCCATCACGCGGACGGCAACTTCACGCGGCGGCGCCGCCTTGCTCGCAACTTCGGCGAGCGACAGTGGTAGGATGCTGGTCATGTCCAATTCCAGCACAGACGTGATCGGCGCGGAAGCGGAGCCTCCCGGAGAGGGCAACGATGACGACGATAAGGAGGCAGGCGAGAGCGTAAGAGGGATAGAAAGCGAAGAAGACAGAAGTGATGTGCCGAGCCAGCGCTGCGCAAGCGCTTCGGGATGGAGGAACGCGAGCGGACCGCTGGACATGAGGAGCGCCAGGGAGTAGCTGAGCAGCAGCAGAGCGCCAAGCTGCGACGTGCTGACGAGGGCCGAGCGTGCTTTGCTGCGCGCGGCAGCGCTCCCTGCAGCGGTGGCAGCGACGGCGGCGGGTGGATCTGGCTTGCCCCCATTGAGCTGTCGCTCCAGATCGGGCGTGGAACTACGCGGCGCGCCGCTGTCGCGAGCGGCGTACGCGGCGGCCCACGCGGGATCGCCACGGTGCGCGACCTGCAGAGCGAGGTGCAGGCCCTTCAGCGGCAGCACCTTCTCCGTGAGGTCTGTGGCTGTCGGTGGGAGGAGGTGTGCGTGCGCGCGGACAGCTGCGGCGCTCCGCACTTTGCAATCACCACCATCACCATCACCATCACCATCATCACCACCACCATCATCATCATCATTGGCGGCGGCGGCAGGGAGCAGCTGCGCGAGCGCACGCACGACGCTCGTCCAGCTGCGGTCGACGTTGCGCGTCTCGAGGTAGCGAAGCATGTCTCTGGTCGCGCGGGTGTGCTCGGTCGCGTGCGACGGGAGGCTAAATGCTGTACTGCTTGTTGCGGTGCTGGGGGTGCTTCTGGGCGGCGCGTTTGCGCTAGCGTCGACATTGGCATTGGGCAGCAGCACGGGCAGAAGGAACGGCCTGGCACATGTCTCGGCGTCGGCGACTGTGCCGGGCGGCGAGAGCAGCTTGGCTAGGGTCGGTGCGAGCGAGGCGGAGGTGCCATGGCGGGAGACGGGGCAGAGGATGAAGGCGCTGTGGCGCGCCTGCTGTGAGAGCAACTGCGTCGTGCGCGGGACATCCTGTTCGCTTTCGCTGCCGTACTGGTACATGTACACCGCTAACTGCGCGGAGGAAACGGGTGTGGATGTCAGTGCATAGTCTATCCGCGGGAAGTTGCTTGCAGGCAGCGCAGTATGAGGGCACAGCGCGCTCACTTTGCGGTCAATGCCCGCTGCTAGCAGCGACTCCTGGATGGCCCTGACGGTCGCTTGCACGACCGTGGCTACGCCAGCCTGGTCCGTTCCTTGCTCGACGAGCACGAGGACGCTCACGCGCAGCGGTAGGCGGATGCTCGCGCCAGCTACGCCCGCTTCCACAGCAGTGTAGAACTTTAGACCTTGCGCCGTAGGGAGGGCGCGGGTGCCTGCGGGCCTTTCTCTTCCCACGTCGGCTGTGATATCGGCGGGGGTGGTGCGAAAGGGCTGCTGCGCTTGGGACGATGACGGGCTCAGCTTTTCGTTGTAGTCGTCGTCGTCGTCGTCGCTGCTAGTGCTCTGCTCGGCGGCGCAGCTGCTGCTTGCCTGCTGGCTCCACTGGTTGCGCAGGCCGATCCGGCGGGCAAAGTCGTCCTCGTGCTCATGATCGGCGCGTAGTGGACGCGCAGCACCCGCACGTTGCGAGGCGAGCCAGAACTCGGACAGAGAAGCCTGCTGCTGCTGCCGCTGCGCTTCTTGGTGCGCGGAGGAGGAGGAGGAGGAGGACGAGGAAGGGGAGGCGGAGCGCGCAGCAGACGAGTCGAGCGTCGTGTAGTGCGCCGCGTTCATGAAAAAGTCGCCGTGGTCGTGGCGCGGAAACGCCAGGTTGCTCTCCAGGCTGGCGCTGCTGTCCGCCGCCGTGCCGTCGGTGCTGCGCCTGCACGTGAGCGTTGCAAACGAGCTGCCAGTGGAGGAGAGGATAACGCTGTTGTGCTCTGGGGTGCCGTCCTTGTCATCTGCTGCGAGCGGGCCCTGGGCCTGGAGGCGTGCGCCAAACCCGCTACTGCCGCTGCGATCACCGCTGTCGAGGGCGCCGAGGATTGAGTCTGGCGTGCTAGCCGAGTGAATAACGGTAGGTGGTGTGGCGGTTGTGCCGTCGTGCGAGCGTGTGGATGAACGGCGATTGAACGCCAACGCCTCGGGGAGCAGGTCGTATTCGGCGAGCGAGAGGTCCTCATGGTCGAGCGAGGAGATGTCCGACAGATTCGTCACGTCGTCGAGGTTGCAGGTCGACGACGGCGTACGCGAGTCTGAGTCCGAGGCGGTTGGCGAGATGGGCGAGGACGGCGGGGCTGCTGCCGCTACAGACGGGGTAGTAGCAGGCGCGGTGGCGTTGCCGGATGGGATACCGTGCACAAGAGGCAGGAAAGCAGGGCTGCCGATGGCGATGAAGCTGTCGGAGATGGCAGGGCTGTGCGGGGAAGAGGGCGGCGAGTTTTGTGCAGAGGAGCCTTGTTCGTCGCCTTGGTCGATGGCGGACGACATGGTGCTTAGTGTGCGACGGTGATGGGTGCCAGTGGCGGAGGTGATGTAGCGCTGCTACCGGCCATCCGTCCGTCTTGGCGGGTGGATGCTGTTAAGCCATTCGATGCGAGGCCGAGGAGTGCTGGGCGGCGGTTGCGTGTGCGCCGGGGGGGGGCAACCACAGCCTTATCTCTCTCGCTGTCGCACGGTGCGGGTGTGGGGTGCGATTGGACGTCTGCTGCGCAGCACACGCTGAGTGCCGGGGACCGAGAGATTGCCTGCGCGTGTTGGTCACTGGTACTTGACTCGATGCATCTGGACTCGTCAGAGACTCGACTGTTCATCAGGCAACAGAGGCTGTATGTGCAAGTGGCAATGCAAGTCAATGTACATGTGTATGTGCAGTGGCGACGCGCCCCCACAGCCCGTGGAATAGACTGGATTGATACGGCTGCCTGCCCACTAGATGGCCAGGATGAGAGAGTGGGGCACACAGCTTGCTGCTACATGGCACTTGTGGTACAGCAGTTCCTGTGGTCCGCGCACGCACGCCACACCCCCCAAAAGAGCAGAGTCAATGGGGGGGGGATTACTGAGTCGTCTCTGGACAGTGTTGCTTGTCCAGCACGCAGTGCACGCACACTGTGCACGGTCCCCGCTTGGGCACTCTGACCTGCCATGCCCCAGAGATTGATTCACTCGATGCTACTTTGCATGCGCTTCTGACAGTTTCGATCCATCGCCGCCCAGCTCCATACATGCACGCACGGGTCAAAGCAAGGCAGGCTGCATGGCCATCGCATCGCAGCCATTCTCAGTGGGGGACAGCACATTTATATATAGACATGGTATTATCAGTTCCCTTATCTGCCGTGACCATGCCATGTTGGCGGGGTTACACACAGTTCATCCTTCTCGGCCGAGAGAGGCTGGCTGTTTCTGCGCTTTCACGCTGGGGGCGGAGAGCAAGAAAAGAGAAACGGGAGTTAGGGTTGGATGCAGATGCTAGCACCACTGATAACATGGCTTTCTTCGATCGTACAAGGCCAGGCAGCGTTGTACCCACATTGCCTTGGCTCGCTCTCCATTCTACATGCGCCTGCCCTGGAAGGCGGATTCCCACCGCGTGCCCCGCTGACGTGGTAACGCCGCCTGCATGGCCCGCCGCCCAGCGCGGCGTCCGCCGCAGCACAAGCAGATACCATGACATTGACCAAGCCCAGCGCCGGCCTCTCCTTTGACCCCCGCCCTGTCGATGTCGTCGTCGTCGTCGACGACGAGCGGCGCAAAGGCACCAGCGCCAGCGCAAGGCTTTTGAGCGCCTTCTTGAACAGGCTCACCCCGCCCGGTGCGCACAGCAGCAGCCACAAGGCCCTCGCCCAGCCCGCCCCCTCGACCTCGTTGCAGCACCACGACGCCGCCCGGAAGCGATCTGCTGATACTGTGCACGCGCCTTCACGACGCAACAGTCACGATGCCAAACATCCCTGCTCTGCCGCTGCTCAGCGCTTGCCGCCCAAGCGCAGCGCAATTGCCAAATATGCCCTAGACCCGACGGGTGACTTTGCCAGCTTTCTCGCCAAAGCCAAGCAGCGCGACGCCGCTGCCAACGAGGCCAAAAAGAAGTACAAACCGGGAAACAACGAAAGACAGAGCACCACCGGCGCGACCCTCAGCCGCCTTATTGTGCGAAAAGGCAGCGCCGAGCTACCTCGAGCCGGCACACCGATCAAGCACGCGGGAGCAGCAGCTGCAGCACCACCTGCTGCTGCCGCTCCTGGACGGCACCCCGAGGCAGCACACGCGTTCGCGTTCTCGTTCCCTTCTCCGCAGACCCAGACGCAAGCGCTCCCCGAGTCCCCCCCGCTGCTGCTGCACCATGGCCCCAGCCCACTCGAAGCAATGAAGATCGTCCCCGGGGCAATGCCCGTGCGCGCGAACCGCCTCCCGCGCGGCCCTGCGGAGCGCCTGCACCGTGTCATGATGCCCGCTCCGTGTGGCGATGTCTCCGACTCGGACTACGACGAAGACGATGACGCACTGCACGCCTTTGGCGAGGCGGCCAGCAGCGGCAGCAGGCGCTCGTCCCTGTCCTCTGAGGAGGAAAGCGTGATAGTCGACGCGGGCGAACTTGACCTTCATCGCGTTCTCTCCGACGCCGTCTCTGCCCGCTTTCAGCGCGACGCGGCCGGCCCGAACACCATCCCGCAGTGCCCAGAGGTGCCCAAGGATATTGGCGCGCACTCCCGGCACCCGCAGGCGTGGCACGGTGCAGCAGCGGCGTCGGCGTTAGCATTGGCATCCAAGCGCGATGCCGATCGTGCGTCCGCGCACTCACTTGCAAGCGGCAAGGCGAACCACTCGCTGAACCGGCCCCTGCTGGAGCTTGAGGAGATTGAGCTGAAGCACTTCCTGCGCAACTTTAGCAAGCATACGCGCCAGATGCACGTCCCCGCCGCTACGCGCAACCCGCAGCGCCGCATGCCGCGCTGGTCTGACTTTCGCGTCGCGCCGGACGAGGCGGCACAGGCCGCGCGAGATGGCCGCCGCATCAGCGTTCTCACGCATGTCGACCAGGGCCTCCGTGCCATGCGCGAGGAGCAGCACGCCGCCGTCGCGGAACCCCGTGCGGCGCTGCCTGCCATGTCCGTGAGCGCGTTCAAGGACGCCAAAAAAAAGCACAGGGACGGGGAAAGGGACAGGGGTAGGGATACGGATACGGATACGGATACGGATACGGACAGGGGAAAGATGGACAGCAGCAGCAGTGGTGCCGTCGGCGGCGTTCTGCGCTCTTCCGCGATCGAAGGTGCCCTCGCTGGTGCTGGTGCTGTGGCGGTGGAAGCGGCAGGCGGAGAAAAGAGCGCCCTCCTCCGCTCGCGCCGAAGCAGCGGGCGCGTCGACATATCCAGCACCACGAGCGAGCGCGACGCGAGACGCTTCAAAGACGGAGATGGCATCCTCCAGCGCGACCCCAGTGGTGGCCGCATCGACGTGCATGCGTCCAATGTCGAGCTCAAGCCGGCGGGGGCGGAGGAGGAGGATGGAGAACCGGAGAGAGGGTTACTGGGGGACGAGTGGACGCTCCTTGAAGCGGCGAATCTGGATGAAGAAGTGGCGGTGGACAGCTATGGCGATGAAGAAGTCGATGGCGTCGTGAGTGCCTCCCTTCCCCTTTGAGTCCCAAGGGAGGAGGCTGATCAGGCAGGCGAAACTATCGCTCCCACCATGCTGCTACAGGCGTTCACCATCGCTTACATTGTGAGTCACAGGACGGTGCAGCGATAAAGCGCCCTCTGACCCCTGGAACCACCTTCCTCCTTCTGCTCCTGCTCCTGCTCCTGCTCCTGTCCCTGCTCCTGTCCCTGCTCCTGTCCCTGCTCCTGTCCCTGCTCCTGTCCCTCCTTCTGTCCCTCCTTCTGTCCCTCCTTCTGTCCCTCCTTCTGTCCCTCCTTCTGCCCGTCAGCTCGCTTTCATCGAACGCTATGCGCCTGGCGAGCTGGACGACGCGCCCGAGGCGGCGTACAGCGAGAGCCGGACGCGCTCGCACATCGCGCGCCTCTACCTGATTGCGCCCTTCTGGGAGCGTCTGCTGCGCGACACCCGCGAGCTGTACAGATGGGACAACCCCAGACGCACGGCCATCGCGGCGATGATCTACTTCTGCTTGTGGTACACCGATATGCTCCCCACCTCCTTTCTTCTCTACATGATCTGTGCGTTCGCATGAATGCATGCAACCTTTCGCCACAGAGCGCACACCCATACTGACGTCAATCTTACTTTGGCTCGCTCCACTGCGATCGGCCGCGCAGTCTGCATCTGCCGCTTCCGCTTCTTCCCGCCGGAGGTCTCCGTCATCGCGGAGAAGGTCAAGGAGCGCTTCAAGCGTGGCGCTGAGGCGGAGCGCATCAACGAGCGCCTGCGGCAGCGCTCGCGGCTCGACATCTTCAACCTGTACAGGCGCTGGATCGACACGTTTGGCATCCCGACGCAGGTCGCGCTTGGCGACATTGCCGACGGACACGAGAAGATCAAGTCGCTCATCCTCTGGAGGAATCCGACTGCTACGTGGCGCACCATCGCGCAGCTCAGCATCCTCACGCTCTTCGTCACATTTGCACCGCCGCAGATGGTACTCAAAGCTTTCTTCTTCTGCATCGGCGTTCTCTTCTTCATTCTCCTAGTGAGTTCGAATCGCGCTCTACTGGCCCTCCAGCCAGAGGAAGGGATGCTGATAGGGTGCCCTGCGCCCTGCACAGCCATTGCAATCGCACTACCCACGCTACAGACGACCATTGAGCCCGATTTGGTGGGCATTGTGGGGCTGCCCGACGGACGCACAATTCGCGATCAAGGTAAGCTCAAGCTGCTGTCTTGACATTGGCACTTCTGTTGTCTCACTTTTTGTCTCATCTGGCTCGTTGCATTATATTGCAGCTCTTGCGCCGTCGCCACTTGCAAGAAGAAGAAGACCAGACGAGCGCAAGCAGGCTCAAGAATGCCGTCTATGCATCCGGGCTCTTCAACGAGCCGGCGCAAATCGAGTCCATCGATGGCACCAGCCATATTCCCTTCGCCGCGGCAATCGACCTTCCCATCGCCGAGGAGATCGCCGCATTTCACGACGAGAGCAGCAACAGCAAAAAGAAACGCACTAGCAACAAGCCGCGGAAGCTCGGTTCTTTCTTCTGCCAGAATCGCGGCGTTCCCGGATTCTTGCACGTCACGACCGAGGGTATCTACTTTGTAGGCGTCCACTCCCGCGTTGGACCCGGACACTCGCGTAGGGCGTGCAAGACACCGTTCACGGAGATAACACATTTGATCAAGACGAACAGTATGAAGCTCTTTGTGTGGAGCAGCAGCGGCCTGCAGATCAAACGGGCCGACGGCAAGTCGTATTTTTTCGCCAATATGAACCATCGGGACAAGGCATTCAATCTGATCTTAGCCTTAGGTCCAGAAGGTGAGTCCACGTTGTTTGCGTTCAGCCGCACTTTGCAGTTTGATGCTGAAGAATTAATACACTTTGCTGCGCACGACAGTCTGGAGCAAATCGTAGCACAGAAGGCAACGGGCGGGCCTCCTTCTCTCTTTCCTCTACTTTTTATTCATTTGGAATGGAACATGTGTAACTTATACATACTAACTACAGTAGATACACCTTTTCAAGCTTTAGAGGAGGCGAGCGAGATGGATTGGGCAGGATCATCGGTAATCAAGTTGAGAGGGAAAGACGACCATTCAGCATGCTATGCACTTGTACTGACAGCCGCTGGTGCCGGTGCCGGTGCCGATGCTGATGCAGCGGACGCGTCCGCGCCGCCAGAGCCACCAGCGGCGGCGTGTGTGGAAAGTGGGATGGAGAGTTGCGTCGCGACTGTTCGCTGCGATGGTGTGCGGTGCATGCTGCATAGCATAGTGTTGCGGCAATAGAACGAAGGGGAAACGCGTATCTGTCAGAAAGCTCTCTGGAACAGAAACTCGCCAGCGTGGACCTCCGCACAAAGACTCACCTGATTCTGTCAAATGGCGCACCTGGTCCGCCAGGCGCAACAACGAAGGGGGCCGCAGTGGGGCTAGGGGCGGAGGCAGAGTGTGCGACGCTGCCGATGCTCGGCGCTGCCTGAGAAGTATGACCCTGAGCCAATAGGCTGTCTCGATCCGTGCCGACGCCCCCCGCTCCGCCTGCCCCAGTCCCACCACCGCTGGTGCGAGTGCTCTCATCGCTACCGCGCCTGCTCAGTGGCGGGAGCGCCTTCATGCTGGCATGTGTGTCGGAGCTGTTGCGTCGATCGCCCATCAGGCTGCTCACGATGCTTTTCGCGCCGCCCAAGCTCGGAGGGCGCCCACTTCCCGCTCCTCCGCCGAAACCAACACCGACAAAGCTTCGGTGACTTGGGGCGCCAGTCATGCTGTGTGCCGCATTGGACGACGCGAGCGTCAGCATGCTTGCATTGTCGGCTGGGAATCCAGATGGCGCGGGATTATTGGCTGGGTGCGGACGCGAGTAGCCAGGGACGTTGACGAACGGCGCAGCAGGGGCGGACGACGAAGATAAGGAGACGTGGTCGTCCGCCGTATGACCTCCATTCGACGAGCTTGGTCGCGCTTCAGAACGAATCATTCCGTGGCTGTGACTGTGGCCGTGCCCACCTTGACTATACCTGTGACCTTGGCTTTGGCTCGCTTGCCCGTAGCCGTGTCCGCCAGACGAGGTAGAAGGCGCGGCGAAATGCACGGCTGAATTGTTACCCGTCATGGCACTCTCGGCGTCGTAGCGGCTAGGCGACTGTGCTTGGGCGATATGAGCATGTGTGCCGCCTGCGCCACCTGGTCCGTCAAGACTCATAAGGGTGGTAGGTTTGGTGCTTGCTCGACTCTTACCTGTATCCATTGTTCCGGCATCTGTCGAGTCCCTTCTATGCGCTCCGCGCCCGCTGCTGAAATCATCGTCTGCGTCTGAATCTCCAGCGGCGGACCACGATGTCTCCTCGTCTCCATTTCCGCCCTGCCCGGCTGGTTTTTCGACTTGATCGCCGCTAGGCATATTTCCTGACTGGCTCCTCAGCACGGCAGTGGGCTCCGCACCACCATTGCTCGCATCCACCGTGCCTGCTGCATGCGCTGTCTCCCCTTCGGAGGAGCCACGAAAGTCTGCACTGCCACCAGACATGAGTGTTCCTGTGGTGGAAGTGAGACCAACTTCGTTCTCGCCTTGTGCGGTGCCCGTTATCAAAGAGGAGGTAGCGCCGCCTTTGAAGCTGTCTTGGTCGGCGCGGGTAGAGCGGTCCAGCAGATAGTTGCTATTATTACCCCTTGCTCCCGTGGAAAGTGGAGACGAAGGATCCTGACTGCTGGAAATCGCATATACTATTGCAGGAGTCCGCTCCGGTGCTGATGTGGGCGCTGGCGTTGATGACATCGTGGAGGCGGCACCGGTGGCGAGTGCCGAGCCTCCGATGTCTTCGGCGGAAAAGATAGACCCGACTGTAGGCAGTTCGCCCAATCGCGGAGCTTTGCTGCCGTCTTCGGACGTTGTTGGCAGGCGCAGGGTGTCTGCAAGGCCATCCGCGGCAGTTGATGATCTGAATCCGCCGAGAGCTGCTGACGTTCCTTTTTCAGAGAGTGAGGGGCTGGGCTGGGTCTGGGCTGGGCTAATCGCAGAAGAGCTCGGGCCTCCCCTTTTGGTTTTGCTCTTGATCTTGCTCGTCGCTGCAGGAGACAAAAAGGAAGCGGGCTGGACTCCCGCTGTTCCTGCTCCTGCCGCATCAGGCGTCTGCACCTGGCTCGGTTTTCCTCTCAACTTGCGCAGGATCCAGCTCCCCTTTGCGCCGCCCTTCTTTTTGGGCGGGCCATCTTCAGTTTCCTGCATCATGCCAGCTTTGTTTCTCGTATGTTCTACTTAAATTTGATGCGGGCCCTTTGGTGTCTTCCCTCTTCCTTGACACTGAAAGTTGGAGCATTTGGATGAGAAGCGCGGATCTTGGATCTTGGATGGACTACATAGAGGCGAACAGATGTCAGGAGCAATTTACCGTGGTCCAAGGTAGTGCGCTGTGGCCTGCAGTGGCCAGTGCGTCCTTGCAAAGGGCCCATCACGTGACCCGCTCCTCCTTTGATGTGGGGCCACGCTTGGAGAGAGCTCCCTCTCCCATGCTTGGCGAAGACTCGACTGCATTCAATTGATTGCGCCTTAAAGGATGTCCCGATCATCGGATGGTTGCACCGATGCAATTGTATGTGACTGGGTGTGTCGCAGGACCCAGACGCTGTTGGTTCTGTTGGTTGTTTCGTGCATTTGTCATTACGCAAAGCTTAAGAGTCGGAAGGCATTATGTACGATGTATTCGCTACCCTTAGACAAGCCTAAGCTGCTTTGAGCTGCCTGTAGCTCTCGCCGTGGCTACGCACAAGCCGGCATTTCGCGAGTTAAGCAGCCCGTCTTGAAGAGGACTCAGCGCTTGAGCAACTAGAAGCACTAACGTAGCGCGAGAGCACTCCGCAGAATGCCCGCCGACGTCGAGACGGAAGCGACCATCGGGTCCAGCAGCGCCATCGCTGCGGCTGATTCTGCTTCGTCTTCCTCTGATGCGGTACCCGGTTCGCAACCAAAAGTGGAGGACCTCGCTGCGGTCGATGGCAAGCTTAAGACTGCTCAGAAGCACAAGGAGGAAGGCAACGCGTTCTATTCACAGGGAAAAGTGGTCGAGGCGCTGAAAGAGTGGCACCTGGTTTGTAGTAGAAAGAAATGCCTGCCACCTTTTCTGTACTTCTTCTGAACAAGAGTGTCGCCAAATTTTATGTTTTGGCGATTTTAGACCCTCTTATATGCAGCAGGCATCAACTCGCTCTCACCCAATTCCGGCGCCAAATCATCCGAAGAACAAAACACGCAAGCAAAACAGATCTGCCTATCGGTGTACAACAATCTCTGCGCAGCGTACATTAAGCAGGAGCGGTGGCAAAAAGCCGTATATGCTGCTACCAAGGTACTCAGCTTGTGCCCGGAGAAGGAACCAAACCTCAAGGCGCTGTATCGACGCGCTATGGCCTATTACCATCTCAATGAGAATATCAACGCGGCCAAGGATTTGGACCTAGCGCTGGACAAGGCACCCCAAGGTGCGTGTAACCGTTATCGGTCGAAGATGATTAATGGAAAGCATAAAAGTCTGAACAGGAGCATCCTCATGCCCATTGGCTGCCACAGACCCGGGACTCAGAGCGCTCGCTGCAAATATCGCGAAAGCAGACGAAGAGGGGAGGGTTAAGGCGCAGGAAAAGATGCGAGGTTTCTTGAACAAGCAAAACAGTTGATTGCAGTCCGTGACAGGTATCGAACAATGACATGTGGCTCGCTTTCCCCGGGTTCCTCCTTCTGCAATTTGGAGCGCCAAGTCCCGACCGATCATAGCAAATAACTACACCGACGACACTTGCACCTGTGCGCACAAATGTACATCAAGGACATTGCATAATATGCATATTCGGCTCGCCCTAGCGTGCCTCGCCTTGGCTGTTCGACCGCAGGAGCCTCTCCCTTGATACCCCCGATCTCACATACTCTCTTTGAGTCCACAGTTAGAAAGATACATGTTCTTCAGCTGGCTTCAGGCGGTGCCTCATTCCAGCTTAGTTGCATGCGCCGCATCTCCTCCCGACCTTTTGTACTTTGTATACGCATCCAGCATTCATATTCTTCCGTTTGCGAATGATGTACTTTCTCGCTGCCCTGCGAACGAACGTCGCGCCCAGCCGCATCCTTAGCAAACGTTATGCCGCTTGGCAAATAGGCCAAGCCGGCAGGTGGGAAGGTCGTCATCGAAGAAGCGCGCGTCAATTCATCAGAGCACAGAAACTATCGAAGCCAGTGGGAGCCCAAAGAAGCGAATCGATCTGATGGAGCTGCCAAGATTCAACCCTCAGTACCAGTTGACGCAAATTCAAACGACCACCTTCTTTCTTCAACAGTCGAGTCCAGGTGACTCCAGATTTCCCATCACTTTTCCTGGCTGTACCTTATTTGTCGAACACGTTTTCGCACGGTGCTCCCGCTCCCTCTTCCTCCCAATTCGCCTTATCCTCATCTGGGGCACTGTCGTCGTTCATGGCCCGAGTTATCATATGTCACTGTCTACTCCGCCCGAACGCTTATACCTCTCGTACAGTCGTGTTTGGCAGTCCCGATGCTTTCACCCCACCTGAAGCGACAGCATCGGCGAGAGGACTTTAGCTGAGGAGTCACAGTAAAGGCAGGAGGAGGTTGACTGCTGTAGATTGCGATTCGCGCATGTTTCTCAGCAGAGCTCCGACCAACATACATGATGATCTGGCCGCGGGCGTCAGGAAACGCGCTATAACTGTAGTAGGGTTGTTCCTCGCCTTGCGGCTCCATACGTACAATAGTGTAGACGGACCGGCACACGGCAGGCGCGCTTACATTGAATCTGGCTCTGGAGAGAGAGTCGGTAATTTTGGCTGATGAGGGTACAGAATTCTTCCTCCGCCTTAGTAATGGTGGTGCGGTCCAGTCCAGGTCACGGGACCTGCAGCTTGGAGCCTCCAGATCACCTCACCACCTCTCGTTCCTCCTTCCGACGTCCATCGAGCCGTGGTACGCATTTCATGCTGGCGGCAGCTTGGACATGGCCAGCACACCACGTCATCAGACGTCACTGCTCTATGAAAATTGTGCCAAGTGAAAATCACGGACACGTGGATCGCTGAGTGGTCGAGCAAGCGATTCGCTAGCGGGTTGTCTGCAGGGCGGAGCGGAGCAGAGCAGAGCAGCGCTCAGGTGAGTGTGAATGAGCCCCACGACATACAGGGAGAGATCGGAGGCAGCAGTCGCCGAAGCGAGCAAATGGTGGTCTGCAGACAGAATCGTCTATCTTGCAGCTGCACGTAGGAAAGGCGCATGCTGTGGCAGCCCTTCGCGGACGCAAAGGGTCTGTCGCGTCTCGTAGCATACAAATTGACCACCACTCTTGACGCTTTGCTTGTCGGTTACCTCAGCTGCTGCACCCCTGCGGCAGCGCAGCGACACTGCTCGCCATGCCGGCTACAAAGAAGCCTGCTAGTAGCAGCAGCAATGCAGATGGCCTCAGGATCTTTGAAGGTCTGCTCACTAGGCGGGGCTTGAGCAACAAGGCAGCGAAATCAACCACTGCTGCTCTGGCACAGACGCTAAATGGGGCCAAGGGTGCAGGGACAATATCAGGCTTGGCGGGAGGCAGCAGCGGCAGTCATGCCAACGGTGATGGCCATACTGGAGTTGCAGGCAAGCTGATACCAGCAGCCACCAACAAGAGCGGGGGCCGCAAGCGCTTCAGCTTCGCCAACTTCACCACGAAAATCCGCTTGCGCATATTGCAGCATCTCCCGACCGAGCGCGATGTCCTGACCTTCCTACAAGTGGAAGGAGCGTGCAGAGACGTTCTCTACGTATATCCCGAGTCCGTCTTTGCTCGCTACCGCCACATCGACGATTTCCCCTGGATCAGCTCTTTTCCGCGCCAGCGCAGCCAGCTCATTCGCCAATCCTGGCACTCATCCTCTAGCAGATGGGCAGTCGTCCTGCTTGAAGATGCTGCAGCTGCGGCTACAACCCCTCGCAATTCAATCACCTCAAGTGCTTCTTCAGCTCACAAACCCCGCCACAGCCGCTATGATGCACTTCTGCTCGACTTTCACACCGAGGCGCTCGTCTCTTCTCGCATCATCCACCCAATCCCGCGGCACTTGGCCAGCTCTTCCGACGACAAGCTGCCAGACTGGTCCGAGATCATTCTCGCTTCCTTCACGCGCAACGAAAAGTACGCAGTCACTTCTTCGCGCAATCTCACCTGCGTCTGCGAATGTGCCAAGAAGGCTATCATTGCGATCAAAGAGCACCCACCGCGTCGGACGTTTGGTCGTATCGAGCGCAGTGTTCTTACGGAAGATGCCCGCTTCCTGATTTTGGTCGGCACTCGTCAGGTTCAAGTATGTTTGGCTTCGAAACCGACAGAATGTGTGCTGTCCATCAAGCGGCCAGAGGCGAAAGGTGGTGTGATGCGTCGATGCACGTACAACCCAACGACCGAGCTGCTGGTTATCGTGCACATGGGCTACAGCGTGGAGTGGTGGGACCTCAGCCGGCGCCGCAAGCAGCCCTACCTCAGCTATCGCTTCACAGGGCCTTCGATTGACCCAGAATACATGAATGAACCTCCGGAGGACCCGAGCGGACGCAAGCTGTTGATGACTAAGTTGGACGGAACGGGGAATGCCGTGCTACAGGACTTACGGCACGTCGAGGTGGAAGGACGTCGGATGCTGCAGAAGCCGCATCCGCTCATCCACTCGGACATTGGTGGCTACAAGCGCTGGAGTTTCACGGCCGACGGCAGGTGGCTGCTGCTAATCACATCGTGCTGTGAGCATCTCGTGAGGATGTGGGATTTGACTGCCGATTTTGCCGAGGCGAAAGAAGTGCCTCCATCCGAGGTCAATCCGGAGAAGCTGTTCAAAGTCCCCAGCGGCGGTTTGCAGTTCAGAGGCACAGTCGGCACGTTCCTCATCTGCGCCAATTTTGCCGCTAACAGTCGCGACATGGCTGACGCCATTCTCATCTTCAACACCAAGACCAAGGAGATGAAAGTCGTCTCCACTGCAGGCAGCCACCTGCACAAGACTTGTCCAGGCGTGTCGACCGTCTCGCCTGAGGGCAACTGCCTCGTGACGACATGCGAGAAGCGCGACGAGGTTCGCACATGGCTCGTGCCGGACAAGGTGGACATGATCCCGCCGCAGATTCAGCTGCAGAATCATCGCACGCAGCCGATGCCCAAAGAAGCCCTCGATGAGAACGGCCGCGACTTGGTCAAAGAGGCGAAGCGCATGCAAGCATCTACGATCCGTCCCGAGATCTCCAGCGGCGAGTACTTTGTCGTCACCAATCGCAACAACATACTCGTTCCCGCGACGCGTTCGACCTTCTTCACCAAGAGCTTTAAGGAGAATGTCCGCGACCTGCGCGCTCGGAACCGCGATGCTGTCTTCAAAGTTACGCAGCGTACAATGGACCGGCTATGGGAAATGTACCGCGTCGCGCTGGTCAAGAAAAATTACAGCAAGGTCGATCTGCTCCTCACAGCCGGTGGAGAGACTGCAGCCTGCTTGGCGCATCTCCCTCGCGCGCTTTTCCGGACCATGTGGCAGGTGGCGTCGATTGAGACGCTCCTCCGCAACCCTGACTATTTTCACCGATGTTACTCCATGTCAGCAGCGCCTGCGCCGGGCATGGCCGTGTCCAGAGTCAGCGGCAAGAAGCCCAGTACCTTCTGCGGCACCGTCTCAACTTCTTCGTCAGCGGCCGCGTCTGCAGCCGCAATGGTCGCCCACCCGTCTGGCTGTGGTAACTTGAATGAAGGAGTCTGTTCCACTTCGTCGGCCAAGGCACCTGCACATCACTGCCATGACACTTTCACCATGCTCGACAAGGCTCCCGCTGCGGCCGAGGCACTCTGGCTGCACCGCCCTTCCCTGCATCTTCTGGGCCGCTCCGAGGTGGTTGAGCTGATGCTGGATGACTTTGCGGGTAGTGAGAAGCGTGACGTCTTCTTCTCGCAGGACGGCTACTGGGTGCTGGGAGGACCAAGGATCTACAATCTGAAAGAGGTTGAGGGTTACTTGCAGGAGAAGGCATCGTTCGAAACGGACACCATCAATGCTGTCGGTTGCTTGAACGAGCTGATGGACAGACTCTCCTGCTCGTGCAAGAGTTGCACGAAAATCGCCAACAGCTTGGCAGCGCTTGTCGCTCCTTGATCGTAGATGGACTCCACCAAGGCCATGGAGATCTCGCTTCCGACCCAAGTCAGGCCAAATGTGGCTCCTTCCGGCGCCTGCGGATGCGCCTGCTCACTCTTCTGCCTTTGCTTGTCTGCATACTGTATACTACTTAATGTCGCAAGGACCTTTGGCCAGCTGCTTTTTTGCTCTGGCACACCTCGCATCGGTCGAGCACCTCCAGTCTCCATGCATATCGTCTCAACGTCTATTGCTCTGAATCTCTAAAATCGAGGTAACTCGATACGCCCGCCTTTCTTCATCCACTCGCTGAGTTCTTTGGTCACCTTGACTTGACAAGTTAAACGACTGGCCGGTTTGCGTGTGATGGCGTAATCGAGCATGTCGTTCTCCTCGTCTTGTAGATCGCCGATAATCAACGTCGGGGGCTCGGTGTCTAGATTGCCTACGGCGTCAACGTTATCGCCGGGAGCTGCAAAGTATGCATGGCATCTTGAGGTCAAAAGAGAGCAGTGTGTCAGGATCCCTCACATGGAGAATCGCCAGTCATGAGTCACTCACGTCGCACATTCACACTCTCCACCGCAGGTCGCTTCGATGGATGGCAAGTTGTGGCGTTTGGCCACGTCTTTCAGCGTCTCTCCGATTGTACCCTTGACATTGAACCATTCTCCCTCGTACGAGCGGAAACGCAAGGGCACACTCATTTCTGCGACTGTGATGTGTGACGTTGGACTTGCTGTCAAGGCATCAGATGTAGGCTTCCGAGCAGCAGAAGCCGCCACGGACGAGCGGCCGAGCTTTCCGACCCGCACAGCGGGTTTGATGATGGCAGTTTGCATGAGCGGTGGACCCCACTGGTCATAGTGCTCTCTCTGCTTATCAGCAGACAAACCAAGCCGACCGCGCCATCGGCTCCAATGGACCATGCGCTCGCGCATGTCCTGCAAATCGTGCATGCTCGATGCGGGCGCCTGCGCGGCGCGCAAGAGCAGCGCTGCATCGTACTCGCGCAGATTACCATACCAATCTCCATGCGGATAGACGAGAGCGTTGGCAGCCCATTTGTGCCCGCCAACATGGGAGATGGCGAAAAATTTAGTGGATTTAAGACTGTTACCGCTCGTGGCGTTCTCTTGGTCGTACGTTTCTTTGAGTGAGCGCATCAGGGCGCCACCGACGACACCGCAGCGACAGTCGCGCATGCCGTGCGTACAAACGTAGATGTGCGCCTCATCCTCAGGCTTGCGCTTCGCTGTCTGCGGCTTTGCTGATGCTAGTGCATCTATGATCTTGTCCTGCAAGAGCTTGTCTTCGTCCAACGTCTCCAACGATAATGGCCCCACCGTGGCGAATCTGCCAGGTGGTAGGTATACATAGAGCAAGAACTGTTCGTCAACCGACTCGTGTCCCGGCACCGGCCGCATGAATTTTGGCGTTTGGTTGTCCCAGTGAGGAAACAGATCTGGCAAGCCGACTTGTTCGCCAAGCTCTCCGCTAGAAAAGCTGACACCGTAGCCTTCGAGGCTGGAGCCTTGTTTGCAGCGACTACCCAGCTCTGACATCAGCGGGCTGACGCTTTCGATACTCGCAGGCCAGGATAGCTGAGGCCGTGGTCGCGAGTACGGGTGGACAACGATATGTGCATTATACTCGGTTGCGGTGCCTGGCAATGTGTCCGGGACGTACGGCATGCTTGGTATCCGGCCATCTGAGTCGAGTGCGGCTGCTGCATCATACGGTATATCTCCATAGTTCAGTGCCGGGATCGCGTCAGAATCACTCTTCTTCAAAGGAGCTGAATGCGAGTAAGCTCGCCTGAAGTGGGATGCGCTCTGAGCAGGCGCTCGACAATTGCAAGGATACGAGAGCGCAGCTTGTATCCGCGGCGCAAAGGGCCGCCGAGGCCAGGCGCCGGGGCCCAGCAGGCCTTGCATAAAGCTCGTCCCCGCGAACCGCAGCATCTTGAGCGTTCAATGAGCTCAGACTCCCAGCTGTCACCAGGTTGATCCGTCGCGGCAGCAAGACTAATACATAAGTTCTTCGACCGACTTCAACTTGACTTTTCGATTTCCGATACTTGCCACCAGCGACCGGAACTAGCGTACTAGGTCTACTGTATCTGAACCAAGCACACAGGCTCGCGTTTCCGACCAGGCAGTCTGCTGCCTGGTCTGGAACCCATACACGTGTGCTCCCTGGTCGCACCCTCCCCTTCTCTACCTCCCTCATTCATCAAATGTTGGGGAAAGGATGTAATCCCCAAGTCGGTAGTTATCCCTCACTTGGCCTGTTCATGTCCTTCGGTATGACTGGTGGACAGTGGTCGAGGACGACACAGGGTCTCGCTTGTAATGACCTGTCATTTGTCGGCTTGAAGTATTGGCGATTGATAGGTGGGCCCGCTAGAGCTTGACATTCAGGAAGATGAGAAATGCAGTCTCGCAGCTCGTAGGAATGCAGCGTGCTCCTCGTCACAGTCCAAAGAGTCTTCCCTGCCTCACCAAGGATGTCATCGATATTCAGCCACGGAATTAAGTGCGCATTTGATCGCACCATGGGTGGTCGGCATGGCGTCCCAGCATCGCAAACATCGCTTGGCATTTCCCTTGTTAGTCGCAATGTGAAAAGAATCAGTGTATGCTACAGGTATATCAGTGCTTACGCGGCTCTCAGGGCAACTGCTCGTTGCGCAAATGCGGACGGATCCTCGTCTCTCCGCGTAGGAAGTGCAATATTGAACAATGGGTTGCTGCGATCTGCATTGAGGTAGACCGAGATGGGCACCGTGCCGGACCCAAGGGCGCCAATGGGGATTGACAGCGCGCCGTCGGGTTTCGGCTGCCAGACGAGCGTGCAAGTGTCCAGATATACGGTCGCTCCATCGTTGAGCTCCAGTCGGCCCTCGGTCCAGGTCGCTCCGTCGAGCCTAAGTCCGGTAAGCGCAAATCCGCCCGCACCGCCAGGCTGCTCGTTGATCTTGAGATCGAGTTGAAGGTGCTCCAGGCTGACCACTGCTCGATGGGCGACCGCCTGGCGTGTGGCGGTCATGTACGCTCCAGGAGAGAAGAGGAGGCCAAGCTGCACGGAGAAGGCCTCCAGACGAGTCTCTTTCGAGACCTCTGAAAGCTGCTGCAGACGCTGAGCCAGGTCCGCAATCCAAGCTCCGAGCAGCATCGACTTTGGGACCGCATAGACACTCCACGATGCAGGGATGATGCCCTTGGGAAGGTCGTTTAGTAGGGACCGATTGTGGTTCGTTTGCCGACTTTGGCCGGTGCACACTGAGACGACTTCGGAGAGATCGGCTCGCACGCGCGAAAGAAGGCCAGTGCCAGAGCGATGCTCCCTCGCCCAGAAGCTGTGGAGGGCAAAAAATCAGTCAGCAGACTTAATAGACAAGCGTGTGTGCGGCGAACCGGCTCACCGTTGTAGCGGATCGGCCATCCCATCTGACGTCCCTGAGAGCGAAGCGAGGCTCTCCGGCAAGAGTTCCAACCAGGTCTGAACATTTCCCTGTAACGCTTTCATCCACGCAGGTTGAGTTGAGGCCTCGCCAGCAGTGCTTTGCCCTGTGGATGCGTCCACAGTCTCGTCATCATCTGCAAGCTGGCGCATGCGCACGAGCTTGTTGAGCAGATTCGAACCTTGCACGGTTGCGATGACCCGCTCCGCGCTCGGCGGCAGCGCGAGCCACTCTGGCGGCTGCTGGTCGGGGAGCGCTTCAACCCAGGCCATAAATTGATCCATCTTTGAGCCTTCCGGCGCAAGCAAAGAGGCTTTGGTGTCCCGCACAAGCGCAAAGCCATTCTCGTATGCCGCGGGAGTGAAAATCTTGTCCACGAATGTATCAAGAAGAAGCTGATCTGCATTGTTGTCAACCTTGCCTCCGTAAATGCTCTGCTTCAGCAGAGCTCGCAAAGCACCCCATGGAATGCTCGCGGGGTCGATGTTGCTCCGCCCCTTGGCCGTGCGGCCGAGCCATGCCTCGATCGTGTTAAGAGCTGCCTCGGCATCCGAGTCGTTGAATTCAAATGCTTTAGACCAGCCGAGTGGGGTATATCGCAAGCGCTCGGTGATCGTCGCGTGGAAGAAGGCGAGCAAAAAGAACAGCCGCGCAGACTCAGCTGGGCCTTTTTGCAGGCGTGAAGGCGAAAGACCGCGCAGACTGTCCAGCATGTTGGCTTTGAGACCAGGTGGAGGCTCGTTCATGAGGATGCGGCTAGCCCTCAAGAAGTTGATCGGAATGACCGGATTGGTTTCCATGGTCAAAAAAATGCGGAACTGCCGGTTCATGATAGCTCCGCTGAGTTTTTTCTCCAGCTGGGAAAGCCATGAGGGAGCTAGATGCACATTTTTCAGAAGGACCCATTGTCCCGACCTCGACGCAATATTGATCGCCTGGTCTGCGAGCGCAAAGCCCTCCTGTGAGCCCATGGCGACTGAAATGCATCGAATCCCGGTCGTTCGCGTGAGTGCATCGACACGATAGCTCGCGTCGAAGCCAGGTACTGAGCACAATGCAATTGGCGTGGCCGCTTCGATTTCCTTGGCTACCACACTTTGCAGATCGTACGATGTTTCGCTTAGCAGGTCTGTGCCAAAGACCGATGTCACGAGCGCACCCATGGCTGGGACCAACCGATCCGGTCGCAAAGCCTTAATGATCAAGAGGTGACGGATCGAATCAACCACAGCTGGAAATAGAACAATCGAAGGCAAAGTCAGGAGGGCCGAACGCAAATGCTTCCGGAAAGTACTCACGTGGACATTCATCCCACAGCTCAAGCAAGGCTGTCTCTGGTTGATCCGACGAGATAAATCGAAGCAAGGAATCTACATTGTCGTTGAGTCGAGCCTCGATCTCCTTGAAGATCGGCAGGCGCTTGAGATATGTCAGACGCTGCTTTTGCTCGCTAGACAACGCTGCTTCCAGCGGCCCAGGGAGTCTGAGCTGCTGTACTGAGGTGATGATGTCGCCTTCCAAGAGGAAACTGTACTCGGCGGACTCAAGCGCATCGTCCTGATCATTCTCGCGTCTCCAGATGCGAGCGAGTAGTAGAGCAAGCATGACGTGATCCTCGTGTGCTAGAGCGCGACTGGTTCGCTGGAACACAATGAGGAAAAGGTCCCTGTTCAACATGCGCAGTCGTTCTTTCGGATCGCTGACGCCTTGCAAGTGGGGATTTTGGCGGAGGACGTAGTCAAAGATGTCGAGGAAAAACTGGAGACTAAACTGATAGAAATGCGAGATCAGGCTGAGCTGATCTAGCACAAAAAACACCGCAGAGCACGCTTTTGCTAGCGGCAGGTACTCGGCCGTCACGTCTTCGACCTCCTGCATGATGATGTCCGTCTCCTCAACCTTGCGTGTAACTTCTGCTGCCTCCTTTTTGAGAGTCTCCAGGGTGTCGATGACCTTGTCATCATCGAGGATGTTGCCCTGGGATTCGTTCAGTGCATTCAAGAGCGACTTCTCGAGATGCCGCAATCGGAGCCTGAATTCTCCTTGCAGCTTCATCAGATCTGTTCGCTTTCGGTCCGTCTCTGGACGCTCCGCTTTGAGCACCTGGTCCAACGACTGCGATTGGAGACTTGAGCGTGTCATGGTGAAGTTGACAAACGTCACCCTGGAACAGACATCCGACGGAAATTCGACGGATGGATCTTTTGTCGACAGGAACAGTGTGAAAGACGGAGAGAAGTCGATCTCTTGCGAGCCAAGCCGGATCAAGACACGACCGCCCGTTCGCCGCAGTTCTTTGTTGAGGATGGGATTCAGGATGGGATCAAGATGCTCTACATCCTGGATCAAGATTGGGTTGCCGAAGCGTAGCGCCCCCTCGAGATTCTTCAAGAATGCATCATCGAGGAAAGAGGTAACAGTGAGCTTGCGATCTTTGTATTCGTTGATCAGGAACGTCGTCGCTTGACCGGATGGATCGATGATCAGGGGGTATCGGCTGTAGCGCTTGAGCATGATTGCGTTCTCCGTGCAGAGCGTATCCGTCGGCAGTGATTTGTCTGCCCATCTGAGCCTGTCATCGGCAGTGGAAAGATAGTCGCTAAAAGACAGCTCTGGCTTGAACTTCACGCCGGCCTGCGAGAGATGATCTGCCCAGGTCGCCCACATGTTCTCTCGGTACTGCTGATCAAAGAAGCCAGCATATGCGAGAAATGCAGCGGAAAGCAACGCATCGCCAACAATGGTGCTCATTTGCGTGTCAAATGTGCGACTTGAGGCTTCCCATCGCTGCTTTTCCGATCCCAGACTGTCCAGCAACTGGATCGATCGATCGACCCTGCGCTGCACGCTCGCCATCTCGCTCTTGATGGCCTGCGTCTCTGAGATGAGGGCAGCGTACTCATCCTTGTATCGCACGATGCTACCTTCGAGCTCCTTGATCATTTCCACGATCGTATTCGCTTGCTGCTTCGTCTCCTGCGCCTGCTCTTCCAAGCTGTCGACTTCGGCGCGTAGCGGCCCGACGCGGTCGAGGATCTCGGAGAAACGCACCTGCGCGATGACCCATTTTGCGAGCGGGCCGCACGCTTTGGAGGCGCGATCGATCGTGGCAAAGTCATAGCCAGGCTTCGAAAGGTACTCGCGCTTCATCTTTTCGCGCACAGCCTTGGTCATCATGCGATCAGTATCGAAGTTGACAATGCTGGCGATGAAGTCGTCTCGCCTGATCACAGCTTGCACGCTCTTCCAACTGTCTATGCGATGGCCTAGAATCATGCAGACACTCTCCATGGCCATCTTGACCGGTGCTGGAGGGTTACCCATCGACCTGACTTCGGTCAAATGCTGCTTCTTGATGTTGCTAACGGACGCTTGGGCCTCCTGGACGGCCGGCTCGGCATCTGCCAGGTCCCCCATAACTACTTCGCGTCGCTCCGCGATCTCCTTCTCCTGCTTCTCCAAGTTTCCCTGAATCTGAATGCTAGCGAGCTTTTGTTCCTCGGCAGATTTCTGGTCGGCGACCATTCGTTGGAGCTTCTCATTGGCCTCCTTGTTCTTGGCTTCCAACTGTGTCCGCTTCACTGCCAGATTCTTTTGCAACTCGGATACTGCATCGACCTGCGAATTGCATGAGGAGGCTTATTAGATCGCTTTAAAAAACTGATATGCTTCTTTAGCCGCTCACGGTCTCCTTGAGCTTATCCAGGCCGACATTCAAGTGCCTCTGCTCCTCTTCCAGAGCCTCGCGCTTCTCGTTGCTCAAGGTGACGTAGTGATGAATAAAGTCCAAGAAGAAGCGCGGACCAAGCTGCATCATGCGCCCTTGCCTCCGCTTTAAGCGCTCGATGGCCGCATACACGGAGAAGTGGACGTGCACCAGAGCGTCGATCACTTGAGGGGCAAACGGGCCGAGGTCGAGGGTGCCTGTCATCTCGGCGGCGACCGTGCGGTACGCCGTGGGATGCCAGTCCCCCGGCGCCTTGGATATTGGGATTGGCATCCTGGGCGCTCAGCTGGGGACTAATGTTGGGCCGTGTGCGGTGCTTTGACAGCCGCTTGGATGGCTTGCAGATGTCATAGCGAGATACACTTCGTAATAGACCTGGAATCAAAAGCTTTGAGTGTGTTCCGTTCATCAACAACGCAGTCGAGACGCGCCTGCCGAATCCCAGAGACTGTGCTCGTGCCTGTGCGACGCGTGGTATCTTGAGGGATGTCCAACATAATCAACGCGTTGGTTCAGGTTGCTACCCTCACAGAACGGCCACATCGTTTGCTGCAGCCATCGCTAGCAAAAGCGCAGGCGAGCGCTCCTCAATAACTGTACTTTCGAACAATCAAGGCAGTGCAGTGGAAAAGATGACAGTCGCAGGTTTCGCATCGCCGCCTCCGCCAGGCAATTCAGGGGTGAGTCTGGTTAGCACGCCTTCGAGACCACCACCACCTCGGCTGCTATGGAGAGGCTCGCTTCTCCTCCCTGACGGAACTGCCTTGCCAGGCGTGGCCTTTGTCTCGCACAGCCACCCCCTCTCTTCCGGTGCAGTCACGCTGGAATCCGAGGGCAGGCCGTTTTCCAACACGAGAGAGGTGCAGCGGCCTGGGTTCGTTGACGAGGACGACGATCTCTCCACCAAAGTCATCGACGACCCGGCCATTGAGGCGGACCTGTGCTTGGCGCTCGAGATGGTTCGACACCGACCCCTTCGCATCCTCGGAACGGAGAAGGATACTCGAGGCATGGTAGTCGAAGGGAATTATTCGAAATCTAAGCCAACTGGTTATGGTGGCGACACAAAAAACATCGTCAAGTGGGAATACAGCATCGGGATGCGGATGTACATCGACCCAGAGGAGGAGCGAACATTGGATTACTTCGTAAGAAAATTCTGCGTAGATGAAGAAGTGAACAAATCCTGCCTGCGAAGCATTACAGGGGCTAGTCTGAAATGGGGTTTCCTCTATTGCAGCTGTGTCGGGGGACGTGTGTACATGCGTCTAACATCGTCATTGTGTCCCTCGAGCCGTCCCAAGCACTTCCCAGTCCCAGCCATTCGCGCACCTCCTCCGAACACTTCTCGTTTCCCATTTTACAGTCTGGCGCTTCCTCATCCTCATCGGCCCAAGAGCTTGCAATTTTTGCCGCATCGCGGTGTTCGAGCCACGTACATGCGCTTGACCTCGTTCTTGGACGCAAGGTGGTCAGAAAGGCGCGCACGCGTAAACACGGTGCCGATACCGGTTTTGGCTCAGATATGACATGCGCCCTTCCCAGACACCCCTTCTCCCCCCGTCCCGATGACCCCATGCCAAGAAGTGAGTCGATTTTGATGAAGGTGAGATGACGAAACATAAGGCTGAATTTGGAAAATTGATCGGTCCCACAGCAAATGCATTCATCACAAAACTCCAAACCCGGCCGCGTCAGCCCATGAGCAGAGTTGCCAGCAAGTCTGTCGGTAATTTTGCCGTTCCGCATGTCCCTGCCCTCTCGAGCAGCGATTTCGCTTGCAGTGGGTCTCTGAAAACAAGCACTTCGTCCTCAGACGTGAATCGCACTCCTAGTCTTTCGGACGGAGGCGGAGTGAACCCAGCTTTTAGCTCTGCCAGCGGCATGCGTGCACGCTCGACCATTGCACGGAAGACCGTCAGCTCTGGCTCCGCAATAGCCGCTGGGCTGTCCACAAGCGGCAAGCAGGGCAATACCCCTGGCAGGAGGGGAGAAAAGCGGCCGCCAAGGAAGGATCCTCTCCGACCTTCATCATACTCGTCCTCACTCCCAGGTGCGGGTGAGACGTCCCCGTCGGCTTCGCCATCACGGAAGCGTCACGCAGACACCATTCAGCTCGCGATTCCAGTGGCGAAACGCAGCTCCTCTCGCGCTGCATCCGCGACGCCCGGTCCCGATTCGCCTGTTTTGGGCGCGGCCAGTAGCATTGAGCTGCTTCGCGAAGGTATGTCGCACTGCCATTATCGTGAAGTCTGCGTAGACATGGACGCGGGCTCAGCGGGCACCATGCCTGTCACTAGCGCCTACAACACCATGGAGCAGAAGAACAGGACAACGATCAAGAAGCTGGTACATCATCAGTTGTTGGGCCGCGGGTACGAGAAGAACGATGCGGACTACATCGCATGCTACGGTGCAACTTGCTCGGGAACAGCCGTGGCGCTGCGACACGCACTTGCGAGCGTACCGGTCGACCGGGTCAGAGCTGCGACGCTGGTTCGCATGCATTTGGACCTGTACCTTGCGCCGACGCCAGTGGAAAGCGCCGCAAGCGGCACTGCGAAGGCAGAAACATCTTTCAAGACGGAATATGAAACGACACCGCGCGTCAAGCTAGAGTCGCGCCCTTGAACAATAGCCGGGTTGGCGCATTCGTTGTATGGTCCAGGCGCATTGTACATGCTTGTCAATAATCTAGGATCATCGGGTCGCCTCTGGGGCATACAATCAAAGCTCGTCCTTGCTGTGGCTTTCCTTGAGTGCCGCAGCGCGAGGGCCGAGAATGTCGAGAAGCTCGACTGGAGGAGTGCGCCAATAAAACAGAGTCGGTCATATCCTTGCTTCTGTAGCGGCTAATGCTGTGAAATCTTACCGTCAAAAACCAAGGTGGCTCCGCCGGGAATGGCTCCGCCAGCTCCACGGTCACCGTATCCAAGGTGCGGGGGAATTTTGAGCTTCCGCTTCTCGCCGATGCACATGTCCAGCAAGCCTGCGAGATAAAAGGCGGTGAGCATTGGCGATAATGAACGGTATCAGATGCACCTCGGAACTGTAGAAACACACCTTGCTCCCAGCCTTTGATGACTTGTCCGCTTCCAACTGTAGGAGTGGCAAAGGGGCTGATTTAGATCACGCTTCGGCAGGCAAGCATTTTACGAGTACGGTCATGACGGACGCACTAACGAAGTCCTGAGAATGGCGAGAATGGGTAAGCCATGATCCATTGGGCAAGCTGTAACCAACCCAGAAAATCTACTCACAAATGGCCCGCGCCCGACGGACGAGTCAAACTGCTTCCCGTCCCACTGTGACACACGCAAGAAAGGAACGACATTGAGGACAGACCCAAACGCTGGCGTGCACCGTGAACTCACAAGTTTGCCAGTGTAGTGCCTAGGATGACAGTCCAGCAACAACAGCAAGGACATGAGCCATCTTCATCAGACGCTGGACGTTCTTTCACCGGACCCACATTGAGAGCTTGTCACCGTTCTGCGATTTGATCTTGCACTCGGCATCTGGCACCCGTTGCGTAACTCCAATCTGTAGGGTCGTTGGCGGCTCCTTGGCTGCGAGCGCAGAGCCGGCCAGGCCAACGAGGCCGAGCGTCAGCGTTGAAAGCAGCATCGATCTCTTCATCTTGGATTTTTCTGTCCCTCGAATCTGCGACGATGGGCTTGCCTTGCACTTGGGGTGTACATGCAAGCGTTGCATCCATGTGGTGAATAGAAACAAGGATGGACGAGAAGAACGCGGGGAGGCGGTGGAGCGCTGGGAGTGGGATGGGGGAGACTGGCGCAGTGCCACCGCGAATGCATGTTCTCCCCATCCATTCTAACTTCACCTTGCGCTACCCTTCGTGTCCATGGGCACATGTCCATACGACGGGGTTATCTGGAAGCTTCAAGCAGCGCACGTCATCGGCTGCTGCTGTGGCCAAGACGAAACATCATGGCGGCTGCCGAGGTGAGCGCCCCAATGCCAGGTGCCGATGGCATCCAGCGTCTGCCACTCGCGTTGCCTATTACGTTAGATGTAACCGCGCTGCAGGCATCGCTGGCATCCATCGGTAACATCGAAGGCAGCGTCTCATCACAGCGCATCAACGCTCCCGATGCAGGCCTGATCGTCGCTATTTACACCTTCCTCGCGACAAAGCTCTCAAGTCTGCAAGGGGCCGCAGAGGCGCTCGAAGCAACGCGGGTAGAGGCATCGCGTCGCGAGATCGAGGTTGAGACCGCACTGAACGATGCTGAGCGAGCGCGGACGGAGGCAGAGCAGCGTGCCGAAGTCGCAACCACGGATGCGTTGTCTGCCAAAGCAGAGCAGGAGAAGCTCAGATCAGAGCTCCAAGGGGCCAGGTTGGAGCTGGACGCTGCTCGATCAACCAGCGAGTCCGGTGGAGAGGCCCAGACGCAGCTCCAACAGCGCATCGCTACGGCTCAACAGGAGAAACGAGACCTACTGGCTCTTCTGGATCGCGAGAAAGCAGATTCCGCGAGTCGTTCAGGTGAGGAAACTACACAAGCTGGAATCTTGTTCGGCATGCTGAATAACACCCTTGTAACGCCGAGTAGAGGAAGTGCAGTTACTCTCCGAGCGCCAGACGGAGTTGCGTGGTGAAGTTACTCGCCTATCATCAGAGCTGGCAGAGGCCAAGAGCAGCGAGAACAATCTTAGGGTATGCTTTGCCACTGGTTGGAAACGTCTCTAGCGTCTTTTGAGTTTGACAGTCTTCGTCCAAACCAACAGTACAAGGTGCAATCGCTGGAGCAAGAGCTAGCACTCGTGCGCCGCGACTCCGAGTGGGCACACGCGGAGCTGAAGACGATCACAGAGTCTGCAGCATCCTACCGCTCCAACAAGTCGGCAGAGCTCATCGCTCTTCAATCGGCATTCGACACGGCTCAGCAGAACCTTTCCTCAGCCAACACCAAATTGGTCAACGCTGAAGCCGCATACTCTGCTGCGACACTGCGCTTGAATGAGAATGCATCCAGGATCCAAGAGCTCACCACGCGACTTGCGGCCCAAGAGGAGTCATTTGCAGCTGAGATCGCGACGCAGAGCAAGCTGCACGATCTCTTGACGAAGCGCGCGAAAGATGCGCAGAAGCGCGAGCACGAGCTCGATACACATTGGCAGGATGCGGTCAAAGAGTTCGCTGAGAGGGAGGACAAGCTGCGGGAAGAGATCGAGTTGGAGAGAAATGCAAACGCAGGGCTGCAGAAGGAGAAAGAAGATCTTAAGCTTGCGTTGGATCGCCTGGCAGAAGGTGTGGGCATTGTGGACAGCTCAGGAGGCGCACTGGGGGGTGCAGAAAATGGTGAGCTAGATTCCTTCGACCAGAACAGCAGAGCGTCTACACCAGGAGCAAAGCGCTTCTCTGGCGTGGGTCTCAACACCTCGCTACTCATGTCACCGACTGCCGCGCTCGCCAGCAAACTGCAGCGCGGAGGCAAGTCCTTCACACAGGTCTATGCGGACTTCACACGGACCCAAGAAGAGCTGCGCAGAGAACGTCTCGAAACGCAACGGCTGGGTCAGGTGCTGGAAACAGTCTTTGAGGAGCTCCGCGTTCGCCAACCTGTCTTGCAGGCGCAGCGAGAAGAGACCGAGCACTTGCGGGAGGATCTCCAGGAGATGAGCGAGCGTGTTGCGAATCTTTGCGAAGAGAGAGACGTCAGCGAGAACGAACGCAAGCATCTCTCTCTCGAGGCGCAGCGACTGCGAATGGAGAACGATCTGGGCAACCGACAGCTGGCTGACCTCGGCCGCCAAGTCAGAAGCCTCACCCGAGAGATTATCATTCGAGATGACCCTTCGGCGGCATCGAGACTAGAAGACGACGGCAGTGCAATTCCAGAACCGATCGCTTCCGATGCTGAAGTGAATGAGACGCAAGCAGTCATCACCACTCAGCTTGTCACCTTCTCTTCTCTCACCGACCTCCTCGCCCAGAACCAACGTTTGCTTCGCGTCACTCGCGAGTTAGCTGGCAGGGTTGAGCAGGAGGAGCAAAAGCTGAGAGCTGCGCTGGAGAACAACGAGAACGAGGCTGTCTCTGAAGCAGCCGAGGTCATCGAGAACCTGAATGAAGAAATCAAGGCGGAGCGGTCGAAGTCAGAGGCACTGAAGCGCGAGAGGGACATGTTCCGCGCCATGATCAACTCGCGTACTGCAAACGGTGCGAACAGTGCTGCTGTCAATGGAGGTCAAACGGATGCAACAAGTAGCAGCGTGATGGCGCAAAGCCTTGCAAACCAATACTCGACTCTGCAGGCTCATTTCGAAGCTTACAAGGCCGAGGTGCGGCAAGACACGGAAATGCTCAAGGAAGATGTTGCCGATGCTCGCCAACAAGCCAGTCAAGCGGCTGTCCAAGCGGCACGCGAAAAGGCGAGCCGAGAGGCCACAGACGAGCGCTACCGCACTCTACAGCAGACATTTGACTTGCAGAAGAGCGAACTTGCCGAACTCAACAAGATCATGGGCACCCTCCGAGAAAACCTTGCGCGTCGCGATATGGCGGCACACAAGACAGAAGAGGAGCTGCTCAATGTTAAAGCTTCGCTTGAGCGGCTGCGCATCGAAGCTGCGAACCTGCGGGCGGAGAAGGACTTGCTCAAGAGTACGGAGTCACGCCTGCTAGAGGAGAGTCACGCGGTTGTGGCTGAGCGGACCAACCTCAGCGAACTCCTTCGCAACATCTCCAACACTCATAATGACATGGAACGATCAGCATCTGAACACAGGCGCAGAATGGAGGCGCAGATTGCTCATCTCGAGGAAGAGAGCAGGTCAGCGCGGGACAAGGCCGGCAAGAAGGAAGAGGAAGCGCGCATGGTCACCCTGCGCAAGGAGGTCGAGACGCGAGACTTGCAATCGCGTTTGGACAAGGCTACGGCAGAGGCATCATCTGCAAAGGAACAGCTTGCAGCCGTCAATACATCCCTTTCACACCTCAGAGCCAAGGCTGCCGACCTGCAGAAGCAGCTGACCGCTCGCGAGGAGAAGCTGGATGTATTTGAGCGACACAGTGCAGCAGCTTCCACGGGCGCTAGCAGCAGGAATGTTGCCGGCAGCTCGGGCAACCGCGAGCAAGAGCTCGAGATCACCCTCGCGGAACTGCGCAGCGAGCTTCGCAACGCGAACGTCGAGGTGGAGCAAGCCAAAGCGCATGTCGAGCAATACAAGGCTATCGCACAGGCAAACGAGGACTCTCTGGCACAGTTGCAGTCCACGTATGATCAGTTCAAAGCGGAGACTGATGCAGGCGTCGCTCAGAAAGATGTGAGTCCTGAAGGCAGCTCCGACTGTCATGATAAGATGCTGACACCCAGCATCCTCACCAGGCTGAGATCACTGTGCTGCGTACTCGTATCGAGGCCATCAGCAACGAGCTTACAGCGGCGCAAGACGAAGGCAGCATCGCAAGGCAAAACCTTGAGGCGCAACGCACAGAATTCGCAGCCGAGAAGCGCACGCTTGAAGACGCCATCGCTCAGCTCAGTAACCTTGAGGAACGCGTCGGCTCTGAGCAACAAGTGTTGCGCAGCGACGTGCAAAGGCAAGCCGAGTTGGCACGTGCAGCTCATGCCAAGTATGAGGCAGAACTCATGCTACATGCGGAGGACGTCAAGGCCCTCACTCAAGTCAAAGCGACGCTGGCGTCCGCAGAAGCACAGGTACGAGAGCTACAGAAGGATGTCGAGACTGTCCAAATCAATCTCACGGCATCACAGGTCAGCTGGGAAGAGCAAAAGTCGACACTTGAGAAAGAGCGACTCGACCTCAATAAGCGGATTGAGGACCTCACATCGCAGAATAATGTCCTGCACAACAGCCTTGAGTCCCTCACTTCCCAAGCCTCAGCCATTCAGTCCAGAGCTGAGACTTCGACTGATGGTGATACAAGTTTCAGCTCTTCGCCTATGGAAGAGCTTCGCGAGGTGATCAAATATCTTCGAAGGGAGAAGGAAATTGCTGAGCTTCAGATGAACCTCAATAAGCAAGAGGCAGCCAGATTGCGACAATCCCTTGACCATGCCAACCAAACGCTGGGGGAGTTGCACATGCAATTGTCTGAAGAGCGCTCGAAGAATGCTTCGACAGTTGAAAGTAGTGCGCAGCATGCCGAGCTTCTGGACAAGGTCAATCAGCTTAGCATCCTGCGCGAAAGCAACGCGACGTTGCGCGAGGAGACAGAACGCGCCAACAGGCGAGCGAGAGAGCTCGAGACCGCACTGAGCACGACAACCGCACAGATCGAGCCATTGAACGAGAGACTTCGGACGACACAGGTCGAGCTGGAGTCTCTTCAGGCGCAACTCAAATTGGTGCAAGAGGACAACAAGCGCTGGCAAGCACGTGCGCAGTCCATCCTGCAGCAGTACAACCAAGTCGACCCCGAAGAGATCAAGCGGCTGGAACAGCGCGCAACCGCTGCAGAAGCAGTGGCAGAAGAGGAGAAGAAAAAGGTCGTTGAACTCGAGGCTGCCAAGGCTCAAGGTGAAGAACGGTTCACGAAGTTACGTACTCAGACCATCGAACGCCTTAAAGAGCGAAATGACCAAGCTGCTAAGTATCAGGCCGAAATAGAGAGGCTCAAGGAGCAGGTCTCGAACGCGTCAAAAGACAGTGAAGCCCTGAAGGAGCGCGAGGCATCGCTTTCCACTGTGCAGGCCGATGTGAAAAGGCTACAAGAGGAGAATACGAAGCTGCAGGAGAAGAGTAACAAATTGCAACAGGAGATCAGTACATTGCAAGCTGCAGCCGCATCGATAGCCCAGCAACAAATGGAGGGAGGCGCCTCTGCAAACGCTGTGGCCGACGCCGTAGCCGAAGCTGAGAAGAAGTGGGAGGAAGAAAAGAGAGCTCTTAGCGAGGCCGCGACCTCCGCGAAGACAATGGAGCAGCAACACTTGTCGAAGGCGAGGACCGCAGTACAGGAGAAGGTGCGTCTTAGCTGACTTTGATTCGTATGCAGAGGCTCACTCGTTTGTTCAATTTCACAGAACACCGCAATGGTTGAGCGAGATGCTGCACAGGCAGCATTGAAGGCTGCACAAGCAGAGCAAGCGACTGCCAATGCTACAGCCATTGAGGAAGCCGTGACCAAGCGACTCACACAGCTGGGCGGCACGGAAGGTGGCGACCCAGCCACGGCGGCCACCGTCGCTTCTTTGCAGACCCGCATTGCTGAGCTCGAGGAGGAAGTGAAGAAGGCGAAGGAGGTTGCAGAGCTTGAGCAGCCCAAAATAAAAGCGGCCAATGCTGCCAAGATTGAGCAGCTGAAGAAAGAACATGACGAAAAGCTGCGTGCACGAGAGGCGAATCTGGCAACCAAATTTAGCGTGCAGCAAGCGCAGGCGGTGGAGGAAGCGGTCCAGAAAGCAACCGCAGCTGCCGCTGAGTCTGCTTCAGCGCCTAGCATTGAGAAGGTGGAGGCTGAGGTCCAGGCACGCTTGCAGAAGGTGGAGCAACAACGCGAAGAAGAACGTCAAGCGGCACTCAAGGCTGCGGTCGAAGCCAAGGCGGCCGAGCTGGCGAAAGAGCATGAGGAGGCGCTCAAGGCAAGGTTTGAAGCAGGCAAAGAAGAGGCCGGGCTGCGACACAAGCTGGTTCTATCGAAGAAGGACAAGCAGATTGCAACTTTGCAAGCTCAACTCGCGGAAGGCAAAGGCTCGGCGCTCACGGGCGATGGTGCTGGTTCTGTACCGGCGTCGCCAACAACTGGCGCAGCTCCAGCGGTGGTCAAGCCGGCAACAAGGGGCGGTGCCGTCGGGCGTGGGCGAGGACGTGGAGGCGCAGTCTCTGCGGCCGCCGGAGTTGGCAAGCGCAAAGCTGAGGATACTCCTGCAGCGGGCAGCCCGGGCGATACCGGTGCCGCCAAGAAGCCACGAGGGGGTGGTAGCATTGCTGTGCAGCGACCGACGCTTAAGAGGCCTGGCGCTGCAAAGGATTTGACGCAATAAAAATAAACGTGCTGTTCAATATATCTGTAATTTTCAATCTTATTGCACATCGCATTGTTTCAACTCTCTGCGCTTACTCAGATGAGTGCTTCAACCTCTCCCTCGTCCTCGTCGTCCCCTTCGCCGAAGGCGCTAGGATCAGACTTGGCGATCTCTCTGGTGGAAGTTGGCCAAGAGGAGGTTGATGACGTCCGCGCAGCGCAGCGCAGATCACGTTCCGGTGGCAATCGAGGCATTATGCGCAAGCGCGGCCGGCGAAGTCCGCGCCACACTCGAGTGCTCAAACAGAGAGCGATCGCGAAGATCAGTTGGCCAAGACCAAGGAGGCTGGTTATCGCATATGACGCGCCGGTTCGAAGAGCGAAAGCCGAGAGCGGTAGCAGCGCCACTTTCAAGATATCAGGCGCGCAGAGGAAGAACATGCGCAGCACCGCTTCAAAAAAAATGAGGCGCCTGTTGAAGAATCGATCGAGAAACGCTGCGGAGTTGTTTGCACTACGTGCTAGCGAGCTTTCGAACGCAACCAAGGTTTCATTCGCGGAATGGAAGCTCTCGTTAACGGAGCGAGTGAGTTCACCGACTTGTGTGTGCATCGACGCGAGGCCGTCTGACACGGCGAAAGTAGTAGCACGGAGGATCTGCAGGTGCCGGTCTATGTCGGAAACAGATTGCTGTGCTGTCAGGACGTCGCGGTGCAATGCAAATGTCGAGTCGGACGCTTGGCGCAATTCGGTAGAAACAGAGTAGCTCTGTTGTCGGAATTCTTGCAGGAGATTATCGAACGCTGCAAGCGTCCGATCTTGTGCTTTAAGCGCTGCTTGTTGCAGTTGGAATGCATGTGCGTTCACCGCGTTGCTGAGCTGCGCTTCCATCGAGCTTTGCACGCGTGGGATCAGCTCGGTGGCCAGGGCCGTCCCCGCCGCTTGGACAGCCTCCTGGTGTGCACGAGCCGCCGCCTCAATCGCTTCCGTCGCCTGCTCGCTGCTTGCCTCGAAGGCGTGCATACCTTGCGCTAAGCGAGTGACGAGCGCGTCGAGCAATTCAGCAGACCTCTTGTCGGCGCGCATATGCTGCTCGTCCCAAGCTCGCATCAAATCGTTGGCACGGCTGATGAAATCACGCTGTTGCTCAGATGCGGAGCGCCATAGCCGCTTGGCTTGGTCCACATCTTTGCTCCTTTGCAAGACGTGGCATTGGCGGTCAAAGTCCCGTGCATGGGAGATGTATGACGTCCACAGCTGTGGGGAGCGTGAAAGCGCCCTGTCATGTGCGAAGGAGAGCCTGTCTTTTGAGGTCCGTTCTTGTATGGATTCGTCTTGCAGAGACAAATAGCCGACTCACTCAACGCAGTGTTTCAGTGGCCCCTCAACCTCTGAGCCATGCATCCCAGATACATTGGACACCTCGTCGAGCAAGGAGGAACAGCATTCAGCCGGGGCCTTGAGCCCGGCACCCTCGATCTCGCACCGTGTAATTTCGATGCTGATGCGCATTCTCTCCAGCTGCGAAGGGCTATCCGCAGAGCTGCGCTCGTCAGTTCCAACGCTGGACGAGGTACAGCGCGATCGCAGAAACTTTGCTGCATGCTGCTGGCAATCAATCATATCTCGCTGAGAGGTAGTTTCGTCCAGCGGCACCAAGGCGCCGTCCCGCAAGTTGTCAGTGCTCCTTTGACTGGGTAAATCGCCCAGCACCTCCGCTTGTGGATGACCAGCACTCGCGTGTCGATTCTGGAAAAGCAGCAAGACTAAAAACACCGACCAATGGCCGGGCATTTTCGTTTGCATTGACGGGTGTCATCAGGGAAGGGTGCGCAACCTCGCATTGAAAGCCTCTCAAGACCTTCGTCTTGCACCCTAAAACAGATGAGAAGCGTGCGACTGAAGGTTCCGAAATCTTTAGGAACCGATGGGCAAAATATGTCGCATGCTCCTCATCAGCGCCTGGGGCCCTTAAGGACGGATGGTCTCAATTGCAGCGGCTAAAGTGCGACCCCACGGTGGGTGGTTGGGTGAAGTCATGCTAAAGGGCTTAACGTTGTGCTCAGCTGACCAAGCAACGGTGACGAACACGAGTCGGGCGTCGTCCTCCACAGCTGTATTGCACATATGACAGAACAACAAGCAGGTGGGAAAGCAGAAGCTAGGTTCTTCACAACTGAGATGAGGAATCGAGGGGCGACCTGAAGTAGAGTCGAAAAGCGTTGCTTATGTAACTTTGGTAACACCTGGTGCTACCCTTTGCGTTTCGCCTCTCGTGTGGTCCCGCCATTCTAGCATTACATATGGTGACATGGTTTGAAGGGGTGTCTTTTCATACCACCACAGATGGGCCTTTTTCGTGCGCAGTGCGTCCATCCATTTACCCCGAAGGGGCCCCACTGCAGCTTGAAAGAAGCGTGCCCGTGGACGGCTGCTGGTGCTTTGCTTGCGAGCCCTCCATAGAGGCGCCGCCGCCGCAAATTGCAGTCAAGATGACGGCACAGCACAATGTCAATAAACTCGCCTTCCTATCGATGGAAGCCCCGCCCGGGTATGTTGCTGGTCTGGGTCGTGGAGCGTCCGGGTTCACCACTCGGTCCGACATTGGTCCGGCGCGTGAAGGACCCTCCGCCGAGACAATTGCGGCTGCGAAGGCCAAACGTGGTGACATACCAGACGAAGGGGATGGTGGAGTGGACGATGAGCAGTTCCAGGATCCGGAAAGCGAGACGGGCCTTTTCGCTGGGAGCGTCTATGAGAAGGATGATGAGGAAGCGGACGCGATTTGGGATCGAGTCGACAAGCAGATGGAAGAGCGACGGCGCAAACAACGAGAAGCACGGGAGAAAGAAGAGCTGGCGCGATATAGAGAAGAACGACCAAAGATCCAAGCACAATTTGCCGATCTCAAACGTGGACTCAGCAACGTCACCGAGGAAGAATGGGCCGATTTACCGGAGGCCAGCAACCTCACAGGAAAACGACGGAAAGCCATGGCCAAACGAGAATCCCGAAATACGTCTGATTATGTCGTACCCGACTCTGTCCTGCTGAGCAACAGAGACCGTGGTGCAATGGACACGAGTATCTCTGCGTCTGATGGAGAAGCATCTTCTTTGGCAGGCGTCGACTCAGGAGCAGTGACGTCGCTGACCGAGATTGGTGAAGCGAGAAACAAGATCTTTTCTCACAAGCTAGACGAGGCATCCTCTAGCAACAAATCAGCAGCCGACGGAGCAGCTAGCAGCATCGATCCCAAAGGCTACCTTACAGAACTCTCTTCGGTCGTCACACGGACTTCTGCCGAGATCGGTGATATCAAAAAGGCTCGCAGCCTGATGGACAGTGTCATCAAGACCAATCCGAAGCACGCGCCAGGGTGGATTGCCGCTGCTCGTCTGGAAGAGTACGCGGGTAAAATGGCAATCGCGAGAAAGGTGATCGCGCAAGGCTGCGAGCAATGCCCTAAGAGTGAGGAGGTCTGGATTGAGGCCGCCCGGCTTAACACGCGAGACAACGCAAAAGTCATCCTGGCCAGAGCCGTGCAGCACCTGAGTCAGAGCGTCAAAATCTGGCAAGCGGCAGTCCATCTGGAAAACGATGCGGAGAGCAAGAAACGTGTGCTGCGCAAGTCCCTTGAGTACATTCCGAATTCTGTCAAACTCTGGAAGGAGCTGGTCAACCTCGAAGAAAATCCAGAAGATGCGCGTGTTCTGCTCTCGGGGGCTGTTGAAGCCGTTCCTACAAGCGTTGAGCTGTGGCTTGCACTCGCTCGACTCTGTGTGCCGAAAGAAGCGGAAGCGGTGCTGAATCGAGCACGAAAGACGATCCCAACTTCGCATGAGATCTGGATCGCTGCGCTACGGCTGATGGAGGAGCAAGGGCGGCCAGAAAAGGATCTGGAATCGATCATGGCGCGCGCAGTCGCCATCCTGCAGCGCAATGGCGCCGTGCTAAATCGAGAGCAGTGGTTCAGGGAGGCGGAGAAGGTCGAGCGGGAAGGTGGTCCGCTAACCAGTGCCGCAATCATCAAGGCCACCATCGCACTGGATGTTGATGAGGAAGACAGGCAGACAGTCTGGGTGGAAGATGCACAGGCGGCAGTCGAGAAGGGCAACATCGAAGTCGCGCGGACCATTTTCTCCCATACGCTCGCCATCTATCCATACGAGCCCAGCATATGGCGGCAAGCGGCGGAAATCGAAAAGAAGCACGGCACACGCGAGACGATGGAAGACATGCTGGAGAAGTCCGTCACCAACTGTCCGAACGACGAAGCGCTGTGGCTCATGTACGCCAAGGAACGCAGACTTGCCGATGACCTCGACGGCGCACGTGCGGTTCTCGCACGCGCTTTCGACAAGAACATGGGCTCTGAGGAGATCTCTCTCGCCGCTGCCAAGCTCGAAGCCGAGAATGGAGACAAGGAGGCTGCGGGGCTCTTGCTGCAGCGCGCGCGCCAGGAAGTCGGCTCAGCGCGCGTGTGGATGAAGAGCGCGGCCTTCGAGCGGGCAGAGGGACGCAAGGAGTCGGCACTGGCACTTGTCGAAGAAGCATTGACCAAGTATCCGAAGCATGAGAAGCTGCATATGATGCATGGCCAGCTCCTGCTCGTGGTGCGACCAGCCAAGGAGGGGGAGAACATCCGCGCGGCGCGATCGGCGTACGCGCGAGCCGTCAAGGATTGTCCCCAGTCCGTTGCGCTGTGGATCCTGTCCTCGCGGCTGGAGGAGCAGGCGAGCCTGGCGATCCGTGCGCGTGCACTGCTCGAAAAGGCGAGGCTGGCCAACCCGAAGAACGAGCGGCTGTGGGCGGAGAGTGTGGCGGTCGAGGAGCGCGCAGGGTCACAAGCACAAGCGAAGACGATGCTCGCGCGCGGCCTGCAAGAGTGTCCGCGCTCGGGCTTGCTGGCGACGCAGGCGATCTGGTACGAGCCGAAGCCGAAGCGACGCACCGCGTCGGCGGACGCGCTGCGCCGCTCCGAGAACCACCCGCAGGTGGTATCGTCCGTCGCGCGGCTGTTCTGGAACGAGCGGCTGCTCGAGAAGGCGCGCGCGTGGTTCGAGAAGGTGGCGCAGGCGGACCCGGACTGGGGCGACGGATGGGCGTGGTGGTACAAGTTCGAGCAGCAGCATGGGACGGACGAGATGCGAGCCGTGGTGCTCAGGCGCTGCGTCAATGCGGAGCCAAGGCACGGAGACGAATGGCAGATTGCACTCAAAGATCCAGATGTGCATCGCAGCACCGCACAGGTGCTTGCCATCGTTGCGAGCAGACTGCAGCTCGTGAGCTAGCCAGTAGCCACTTTCTTCCTGCATCAAAAACAGCGTGGAGATTATGTTGTGCTGTATGGCAATACAAGAGATGCGTACACATTGCAAGTAGCATCCGTAGGCATCCTCCGTCCGTGTGGCGGAATGCGGAGTCCGTTTTTCATGTGGTCGTGAATTTGTGTCGTCATAAAAGCCATCATCATTCTCATCTTCTAATGTCGTCTTGGTTGGCCTTGGCATCAGGCCCACACTTGCCCGTCTGTCGTCGCTCAATGCTTCAAGACGATCGCGGTTCGCGTGGGCAAGTAGACCTGCAAGAAGTTCGGGCGGCCGTTCCACTCCATCGGTGAGGAGAAGAACTTCGTCGAGTGGTCGACGCGCGCGTGCCCACCAAAGCGTGCCTCGTCGCTGTCGAGCGCGATTGAGTACTCGCCGGGCCAGGCCGTGCCGATACGGTAATCGGTGTACGAGTTGGTGGCGTGGAAGTTGAAGATGAAGAGCAGATTGCCGCGCTCAAAGACGATGACGCGGTCGCTTTCGTGTTTAAGGCTTCAAATCGGCAGGACACGACCCGACATGCATCAGTCCGGCGCTCCGATCTTAAAAAAGGAATTTGGTGCTCGAGCGACTCACGAAATGTACGCCTGTGGAGCGCTGAGCCACTTGTACTGCGCTTCGAGCTGGTTCATCGCGCCATCCCAATCGTACAAGTACTTGTACCTCAGCAGCTTATCATCCACAAGGTTAAACTGCCGCCTGGCGTGCAAGAAGCTATTGCTGTTTCCTTCGCGCGGGAAATCAAGCCACTCGGGGTGGCCAAACTCGTTGCCGATAAAGTTGAGGTACCCTTCGCCGCCAAGGGCGTGAGTGAGGAAGCGTATCATCTTGTGCAGCGCCAGACCGCGATCGATGATTGGCGTACGGTCCGTCATGTCGGACATGTTCGTGTACATCTCCTTGTCCATCAGCCAGAACGCAATTGTCTGCGCGGAGCAAATGCAGTGGCATGCGTCAGACAGTATGCCAACATTTTTGAGGTAAAAGCAGAATACACTACCCACCTTATCGCCAACGAGCGCTTGGTCGTGCGACTCGGCGTACGCAATGCTATTTTCGAGGTGTCTGCGATTTGTGAGCGTGAAGCAGATATTGCCAAAGTCCCAATCCTCATCGCGTTTCTCCTTGAGTAGTTTGATCCACATGTCAGGAACAGCCATGCTCAGGCGATAGTCGAAGCCGACGCCACCCTCGGCGACGGGGCGGCAGAGCGCCGGCATGCCGCTCACGTCCTCGGCGATTGTGATGGCGGTCTGCGGATAAAGCCTGTGAATGAGGTCGTTGGCGAGCTGCAGGTAGTTGACAGCCTCGTTGTCCACCTGGTCGCCAAAGTACTCGTGGTACCCGCCCGAGAAGCCTGTGCCAATTCCATGGTGGCTGTAACGCAGTCGGCCAGTCAGTCAACCAGATGCTCGCGAGTGCTGGGAGGACCACATTGAGGGAAAGCGTACCCCCCCCTTCCTTTCTTTCTCCTCCTGCGCTGCGCAACTTACACATAAAGCATACTCGTGACGCCGTCGAACCTGAACCCGTCGAACCCAAACTCGTCGAGCCAATACCTGCAGTTGCTCAACAAAAAGCGCAGGACCTCATGATGACCGTAATTGAATAGCCTCGAGTCCCATAGGTCATGCCGTCCCTTGCCGCCCTCGTGGAAGTAGAGGTGATCGGTACCGTCGAACATGTTGAGGCCGTCAAGCACATTCTTGCACGCGTGCGAGTGGACAATATCGAGCAACACAGTGATGCCCATGCCGTGTGCCGTGTCGATGAGCTCCTTGAGCTCGTCGGGTGTGCCATACCGACTGCTGGGCGCAAAGAAGCTTGTGACCTGGTAGCCAAAGGAAGCATAATACGCGTGCTCCTGGATGGCCATCAGCTGAATGGCATTGTAGCCGAGCTCCTTGATGCGCGGCAGCACGTTGCGTGTGAATTCGGTATATGTCCCGACGCGCTGCTCGGGTGTGGCGATACCAACGTGCGCTTCGTAGATCTTGATTCCCTGAGGCTTGGGCGGTCGTGGATGCTTGGGTGTGTACCGTTGCGACGCGGGTGGATTCCAGAATACAGCGTCGTACAATGGTGATACGGACAGGTCTTGTACGACGCGGCTGGAACGGAGAAAATGTGGTAGGAAGTCAGCATGATCGTAGGACTTCGGCGGATATCAGTGGAGAGTGACCTCACTTGATCCATGCCGGCAGACGGTCGATTCGCTCGCCAGAAGGTGTGGTCATGCTGATCTTGACTTTGCTGTTATGCGGGATGGCACATACGCCACCTTCCTTGGGCGGCACTAAGCACTCCCACATGCCAAATTCATTCCTCTTCATAGGATTCTTCTCGTGGTCCCACCCGTTAAAATCGCCAATCAAGCTTGCCTGCACCGCGCCGGCTGCCCACTCTCGATAGGTGACTGCCTGTGTCTTCGGATCCACCTGCAGGCCGTATTGCTTGTACCCTTGCGCAAACTTCTCGATGCCACCCTCGGTTCTGTTGATCGTGTCGACCCATTTGAGGTACGAGGCGTAGCGGCTGCGCAGGGCGGGTGCGAATGGCTCAAGCCAAGGGTCAAGGCCAACGACGCGGGTGCCGTCCTTGGCGGAGCGGGAGTCGACAGACGGCTGAGCGGAAGCGGATGTCGCGCCATTCTGGGCGCTTCCGTTGGACATGGTGCCTCGCGAGAGATGAGATGAGTTCGTGGCTGTTCAGTACGACCACAGGGTGCGGATGACAATGCAAAGCATTCGTCAGTGCCTGTAGGTGGGTGGCGAGCCGTTCGTTGGCTCACACGACTTACTGGAGCTTGACTCGCGTACGCCTGACCTGGGTCCTGTGGGTTTTCGATTGTCCGGAGGGTGCTTGTCGGTCGATCGGACGGCAAAGAACAACGTTGACGAGGATCGGTGTCTCGCGGGTGATGGATGGGGTACGATGGAAGCGTGGTTAATGCTTGCAGGAAAGAAGAAGGCCACAGCGGTGTCCACTACTCAATAATCAGCTCCAATCAAAAGCCTAATGGGGAAAGCGACCTTCGCTGCTCGCTGTGTCCCCAATAAGAATTGTGGAGTGTGACGATTAGAGTGAGACAGTCGCTGTGGCACAAAGTCATCAGCATGGCTCGTGCGCCAACAGCAATCCCGGGTTCCGAGCTCCGGGTGCATTATCTTCCACCACCACAACTCGCTCTAATCTACAGCATGGCGAGCAGCGATGTTCATTCGGCACGCAAAGTTGTCGATTGAGTGCAGGTAGCGTACCGGCCGATCCTGCTCCTCATTGTGGCAGCCAGAGAGGGTTTGAGACGAATCCCCTCTGCCGAATGTGGGAGCATGATGGGGGCGCGGCAATGCACCTGGGACGTGGTAGCACCAACAAACACCTGACCATGACCGCTTTGTCGATGGTAACCTTCAGAATGTGGTGTTAAATTCATCCTCCCTTTCGTGCATGGGGCATGGATAACCATCTTTGAAGTTGCAGACTGAACTTCTACCCGACAGTTCAGCCATGCTTGAACGGTATAAGCATGTCTGGGTCTCAAGCGAGCTGGCTCATCTTTTATGCTACCAAGAAGGAGGCAGCCAAGAAGGAGGCAGGCAGACGAAGAAGCAGAGGATGTCTACTGAGGATCCGAAACAAGAATGCATGCACAGTGCACAGCGCTCGAATTAGAATGCTGAGTTTTGAATGTTCATATTGATTCTGAGACAACGCCCTCCTGCAGGCGCAGCAGCTTGCCGCACGTACTCGGCCATTCCTCTTCATAGTGGCTAACGACGACGACCGCCATCCCCTGTCGCGCTTTGCGATCCGCCTCCCGCCCCTGCTCGTTCGAGCCTGTGACAAAGACATCACCTTCCCAGCCGTCTTGCGTGCTCCCCGCCGAGTCAATGAAGCGCCGCACACGCTGCACCTGTCGCCGGTCCATGCCCTGGAACGGCTCGTCGAGGATAAGCAGTTGTGGCGCATGAACGAGTGCGCGCAGGAACAGCACGACCGCCTGAGAGCCCGCGGTGAGGTTCATGAACGGCTGCGTTGCGAGCAGTGCGACGTTGTCAGCGTTGCCTGATGTTCCGCCAGCGCTAGAACTAGCGACCGAGGACTTCGCATTGATTCGCAACAGGTCAGCAAAGTGCGCCAGCAGAGCGTGTACGCGGCTCATCTGCTCGCCAGAGTAGCTGCGTCTTGTAAAGATGTTCTCGAACCCGCTCGCGACCGCCTCGCCCACACTGAGGCCTGCAAGCTCGAGAGGTCTTCTCGGGAAAGCGTTGAACAGCTCTGGGCTGAAGTGCCCCACTTTGGCATGTAGATGCACCGTCGAGTTGCTGCGGTCGCGCCGCGCGGCACCGAAAAGACGCAGTTGCTCGGCGGGCAGTGCGTACGACAGCGGGTGATCGCCGAGCAGGAGCGACAATAGCGTCGTCTTGCCCGAGCCGTTGTCGCCGACAAGCACCGTCCGGCTACCAGGCGCTATGCGCATGCTGACATCCGACAAGACCTTCTTGCCCTTGTATGCAATCGTCACACCGGACAACTCAACGACGGCAGCAGCCTGCATGTCTCCTTGGCCGATCCCTCTTTTGGCATTGGCAACAACCACATCATACCCTCCAGGCGCATTCGCGCCAAATGCAGCATGCACACCAGACACGCTGCTGCTGCTGTCTCTCTCGGAACTGCCGCTGAGCCGGCCCATCGAGACGACCTCACCTGCGTCGTCGATGCGCAGAACATGTGTGACGAAGTTCGGCAAGCTGTCCTGCTCCCGCAACACCATTATGACCCGTGGTGCGCGCTTAGCATGCAGCTCGGCCAGCAGCTTCGAGACCTTGGCACGTGTGGGCGGATCCAGACCGGTGTACGGCTCCTCCATGATGATGCATTCGCCTCCGGCCAGCAGGGTCGCTAAAATGCGAGCGCGGCGCGTCTGTCCGTTCGAAAGCGCGATCAGAGGGCAATGCAGCAGCTCGCCATCGAGATTGAGCAGTTTGGCCGAACTCCGCACTACCGCGTCTGCGTGCTGGGCCGCGGCGATGCCCTTCCGTCTCGCTTGCTCAGAGCTCCACTTGAAGCGCCCCAACTCAGCTGCGTCGGCGCCTTCAATACCCTCGACTTTGGTATCGGCTTCGGCACCTGGCGCGAGCGGATCAGGTAGCAGCTTCATGGCTGCAATGTTGCCTGTAAATACGCCGAGCTGCTCCAACAAGCTCTCGTACAGCGTGACTTTGTCCACGGTACGGATCGCGCCATATCGCGCGCTGAAGTCGACGAAGTTGCCCGCGCCGGCTCCTGCTGAAGTACACGAGGCAATGCGCGTGGAGAAAGTGACATGCTGCATCGCCTGCGAGGCGGAGCGATTGCTGGTGCTCAAGAAAGGATGCGAAGTGGTCAGATGCGGATGCTGCGTGGGCGAATGCCGACCGAGGAGGAATCGGATCAGCGCCGCTTTTGTCTCCCCTCCTGCTTCGATTGCCGGCCCGATTATCGCCCAGCATTCGCTTTCGCCAGCATCGTGCACAATCCATGGCTCCTTGAGCGGCGCGGGCAAGTGTGATGTCTTTGGCGAAACATGACCACTTGAGCTTGAGATGCAATGCGATACTCGTGCCGTGCTACCTGATGCGCGAAGTTCAAACAGCGGCGGTCGAGGCGCAGCATCCGTCTGGACATCTCGTCGTGGTTCATACTGCTTGGCTGAAAGCTCGACGCTGGAAGGAAGGCGAAGACGGAGGTACGATGGTGCCCGCCAAGCAGCAAGGTGATTCAAAACTCGGCGCTGAGCGACATACCCAACATGCTCGCACGCACCACAACCGCTACGCAGCTGAAGGGTCATGGCGAGCTGCAGGCTTCCGACCGCCAGTAAACACGCGTGAGTTTGGGATGTGATAACGGGATACTTCGCGCGTACAAATGCGATTGATCAGAAGAGGGACAAGAAAGTTGTCTCTTCAAAGAGCAATATAGTGAGGCGGGTCATGGCCTAGAAACAGTAGCGACAATACTAGATGTACAAATATAGTGGTCTTTCAACAAGTTCCTTAGCAGAACGGCGTCGTTCGTCCAAGGGTTTAAGATAGCTGCCTTCCAAGCATGTGAACAGCAGCAGATTCGGGTTCGAGTCCCGGACGACGCACATCCTTTCTTTTTTGCACCTTTTGTTTCCGCATGTCGCCTTCTCAGGCATCGACCATTTTTTATTTTTCTCGTGCTTTTCATGCGGATTGTTCATGGAGCAGTGCTCCTATTTGCAACAAAATTGCAAGCGCGGAGACTTGAGAGGGTCTGCCGTCTCTTCCTGTCTGCTCGAGGGTGAAAGAATGTCACGTGACGTGTCGAAAGTTAGGGTGTTCGCTTTCTGGGCCACCCTTGATGTTCAATGGAAGAGGCTCCTCCAGTTAGCCGTCATCTTTTTCCTCTTTCCTCTCCTCATCGCCCTTCCAAGCGTTTCGGGCTGATAGATATGCGACAAATTCACCACCATCCGGACAGCGCTAGGGCCCAGTTAGTGGGCGGTCAGCCGATTCAACCTGCCAGCCGCTGGGTGGATGAGCTGCACGTCAATGATGTACTTGAGTACAGTACTGAGTACTGGATAGTGCCCCGCGCGTCATCGCCTTTGGCACAAGTCAGCATCTCCATTGAAGAGTGGATTGGCCCAGGGACTACAGAGAAGCAGAACATCTTCAAGCAAAGCCTGTCTCTTGTCGCCCCTTGGCACGCTTGGCCGCGGCCTCGTTGTCCTCATTATCCCTGTGCAATTGCATTAAGTCGCAGTTCAAAGCCGTTTCATAATTCATCCCTCGCCCATCCGCGACATCTCCCTGCCAGTGTCTACATGGGATGTAGTGATTACACTGCATCTTGGGCGGTGGCACGCCGATCAGCAAGTTACAAAGGAAATTAGGACTTGACATATAGAACCGAAGCGGCTTGCTCATCCTTCATTTCTTCCTCCTTACCTCCGTTGTGGCCCATGCAACCCCCGCGGGCTTCTCCATTTTCGACCCGACAAACCCATCCTTGCCTGTCTTTGCCCCCTTTTTGCTCAGCCAGGACCGTCCATCTTCAACCGAAATCAGAAGCTTTGCAACGAAGCATCGGTTCACTTTGCAGCTAGCCAAGGACCATGGGCCTCTACTGGATCGTCCCCCTCCTCTGCGCCCTCGCGTGGCTCACTAACCTCGTCGGTCTCCTCGGGTTTTGGCGCGCAGACAACTTCAGAGCGTACAAGCGTGGTGAAGCAGATAGTGCGCGTCATCTGCGTTCTTCAAACTCTTCTTCATGCGCCACTTGAGCTGACTCTCTAATATTTTTTTTGCTGCACCGAGTTGTATTTGTGTCGGACATTGGCGCAGCGCACCATGCATTCTTCATTGGACTTTCCTGCACGACCGCAGGCCTCTACATACTGACTGTTCTAATCGAACGGCAGCTGCGCCATTCCCGACGGATCCCAGGGTCAGTTCGGCGGCGCACGACAGTCTTCGACGTCGCCTCGGTCATCTTCGCGATCATCGGCTCTCTCGGCCTCATCTTTCTGTCGATCTTCGACGCATTCGACTACTCTACCGTGCACTGGTCTATGACTGTCATATTCGTGTTTTTTGTGGCGGTTTCGGTGCTCTTCCAACTCCTCCAGGTCTTCGAACTCGCCCATGGTCATCCCAGCGGAAGAGGCGTTCTGCTGGCTACTGCAATCATCAAGGCAATTGTGAGTCTTGAGCAAGCCCTCAAACGGACATGCGGCAGGTTGCGTTCGAAACTGATCAATAGCTCCCGGTATCATATTTTCCACGACACGTTGCCTAGATCCTTGGCTTCTCAATCATCGTCTCCATCATCTTTGCAACCCTGTACGGTACGTGCCGCGGGAAAGCCCTGCCCGGCGACACGCGCTGCAACCGCATCACGTCGGTAGCGGCCATCTGCGAATGGACCGTGGCTTTCCTGCTCTTCTTCTTCTTCCTCACCTACGTCGCCGACTTTGCGCACCCAAAGCAGGAGAGCCAGATCGATGAACCGCAGGCGCGCCAGTCGTCCATGAAAGAGGTTGAGAACGGCAACGCCGCGTCCGCCGTGGGGCATGGGCATGGACCCGGGTACGAGTACGCCACTGCCGCCGACTGCCCCGTCTGCCTCGTGCATCCGCATATGCATTCGCAGGCTACACTCGCGAACGAGAATGACGCACCGCAAGCACAGAGGCAAAAGCCGCGTTGAGCTGGAATTGCGGTCCAGTTTGCGCTAGAAGAGGGCGTAACGGAAACTCGAGACGCACGTCATGATCGTGAATTGGGTTGCACACACCGCAGCTGATTGGCCGTCGAACTTGCCTTGTACCTCTCACTTTTGCTTAAAGCGATCACCATGCAGCGAAGAAAGAGCGAGCTGCTCTGGCTCTCGCCTCGACATTGCCAGCATAAAGAATTGCACTTTGCACCGATAGACACGACCAATGATGCTACGCCATGATGCCATTCTCTCACGTACGCTTATTGCCCCAATATTCCCCATTTCATCGAAAAATCTGATGCATGGAATGTACCCCATGCTTAACGCTGCTTTGCAAACTCTTGCTCGACGCTATGGCGCTTTTACATCATTGTGTCTGCTGCTGCGGCTGCATTTCAAAAGGATAAAGCGGGACCCTTGATGGCTCGCGTTCAAGCTCCGGAGCGGCCGCCGCTGCTGTCGCCAGTGCGTCAATTCCAAGCACTTTGTACTCTTTTCCCATCGACGTCAGATCCACAAGGCGCATGGCAGCTTTGGTGATGTCACTTTTGCGCTCGGGCGAGCTTGCAGCGCGTAGAAGTGCTTCAACTCGCTGTTGCAGCCCGAGGGCGGAAAGGAAATGAGCCTGTACCATGGGCCCATGTGCAGTAGCTGTATGATTCATCCGATTTTAGAGATCAGAAAGGGCTGACAGAGGGACGTTGCTCTTGGGTTCCGTGACTCACCCTCCGTAGACGCCAGCGCGTGTTTCAGGTGTGTGAAATCGACATTTGCCGTGAGGTCTGCCGTCCCTGGGTCTTCCAGCGGATCGACAATCTTGTGCTGCTTGAAGGCCTGTGTGGAATGGAACGGGGGAGATTGTGAGAAATTATCGGCATGACGCTCAAGTGAGCCACTGCCCTCACCCGGAAGCTCGACCCGAAAGCTTTTTCGTCCCCGTAGTCGACAATGAGTCCGACACCACCAACGCTGCTCGTCCTGCGCCGCGCCTCTTCCCTGCGCTTCCTATCGCTTTCCAAGAAATCCTTCATGCGCTCATCACCCGCAGTACCGTCAGGAATCGGAGGCAGCGCGGCCTCCCTGCCAGAGATCAGCTCGCCCACGCGCCGCGCCGCAGACCATGCATCTGGTGACACTTCGACGCGCTGCCCAGGTTGGATTGAGGCAAAGCGTGCATTGCGCGAGGCGAGCAGCATCGACCACGGTGTTGCGCTTGGAGAGAGGACGTACTGGAAGGAAGGCGCCGTGGAAGCGCTAATCTCGCTGCTTTTAATGACAGAGCTGCAAACAGCCACGAATGAGTCGCCTATATAATGTGGCCATTGCTTGCAGACAATACTCACATGCCCTTTTGGCCACCATTTCTGCTATTTTTGAGATCAACCAAAACCTCTTTGAAGCCATTGCTGGCTTTCTCAAAGATGTGGACTGGAAGTGCGTCGAAAAATTCGTGCGCCACTAGCATCGTCCAGAAGCTGCCATCTACAGCGATGAGGACATGTGAGCCACTAATTCTCATAGGAGAGCAACAATTTCTATTAGTCACACTCACCAATTGGAACGGAATGTGCGTCTGCGAACCATTGAACGTGCACTTCGTCTTCTGATGGCTCTTTTGGCTCATCGTCCGACCTGATTACTACGAGCTTTTTACCCGCCCTGCCTTCGACCACCTCTCTCAAAGCCTGCTCTTGCAGCCTTTGCAGTCCCAGAGATGTTTCAACCAGGTGAATTGTCTTGAGCGAATCGATCATCCTCTTGAAGGTTCCAAACGTTCGGACCATGTCGGCAAGTAGAGTTCCTCGACCAGGGCCCAACTCAACCAAGCGGGTTCGCTGGGGCATGGAAACAGACTGCCATCTAGCGACAAAAAATATGGCAAGCAGCTGCGCTCGGAATTGAGTCAGCATTTACCAGGAGCACCAGAGAGTAGGGCCTACGTAAGGGTGCTCACTTCTCCAAAGACCTGGCTGATTTCAGGGCTAGTTATAAAATCCCCTTTGGCTCCGATGACATTTCTCGGGTCCTCAGCCTGCTTGTGAGATGCTGTGTAGTAGCCTTGCTCAGGATCAAGCAGGCAGGAGCGCATGAATGTAGAAACTGTCAGTGGCCCCGATGTCTTAATGGAGTCGGCGATGATCTCAGACAGCTTCTTGGTAGGGGACTTGAAAGACGGGTCAGACGCCTGGCTTGACTCATTTCTGCGTAACGGCCAGATATTTGCGGCTCCTTGATGTCCTTTTCGAGCTGCCCAACTTTCAGAACAGGGCTGACGCCCATGGATGAACGAAAGAGCTCTTCTGCAAGTATGACACCGAGAAGGCGCTGCGCCTTCTCGAAGAATTCCCCACCTTGCTGCGGCCCTTGCGCCTTCTCTTGAGCTATTTGCAACAAGCATTTGGCTCTCTCTATTGAAGGTCTTCTATACATCGACGCACTCAAAAGACGCCGGTGCTCCGCGATCTATAGCACATCATGATCCACTGCATAACCTATGAGCACCGTGGGATCAAAGTTGAAGTGAGCAGAGACAGAAACGATGGCGACGTGTAGATGATGCTTGAGCAAGAAAGTCGGGACTGGTGTGCGAAAAAAGCTTTTCGCATCTTGTTATCTGACTTCAGAGATCGTCTCTGTGTTAAATGCCTCCAGAGCAAAGTCACGAGCATCACGAGAGTAAAAACCCGCCGAGGTCAGAGATTCTAATACGTGGAACCTCTGTCCTACTGCAAAAATGACTTCCTCACAAATGAGTCAGACAAAGAAGCGCAAGCACGCGTCTGACGCTGCCAGCGCGGACGGAAATCCCAAGAAGAGCAAGGACTCCAAGGGCAAATCCAAGCAGGCAACGTCTGGAGTCAAGTCGAAGCGATCCGCATCGGGGTTGACATCGGAGCCTTCCGTTGAACACGACAGCATTGAAGCCAGTGGCAGTAGCATCCGACGCCTGGAGCCAGGGGAGCCGCCTGAAGATGACCATATTGTGCTTCGCTCCAGCCAGAACACTAGTACTGGTCCCATCCTTGGTGAGTTTGAGGTATTTTCGAATGTCTGACCTTTTGGACTGACATACACTCTGTCACTGCAATCTTTCAGTCTCTGCTCCGAACTTTGCGGTTCCACCGAACACCCCATTCACACTCTACACCGCACCTGCTCCAAATGGCTACAACCTTGACGGTGCGCAGGATGCTAGTGACGAGCGCTATGTGTTATCCGGCGAGAATGATATCATGCACTACATCTCAACGAATGGTGATTACACGCAATTTACCGAGATGGAGCGCGGCAAGAGTCGTATGAGGGAATACGAAGGAGAGTACTTGATCGGCATCTATGATCCAGAGACGTCTGCCGTTACGTTGCGACTTGCACCTCTGCTGAGCATACAGCGCAGGGTCAAAGCGCTGAATAGCCTTGAACCAATGGCGATCGGTACTGGCGACTGGCAAGCACGCCAACTTGCGAGACGCGATCTGGGCAACCTCTTCGGCAACCGAAAGATGAAAGCGAAAGCATCCAATGAAGACCGCATGCGCGTGGATGGAAGTACCGAAGGCATGCAGAAGATTCTCAAGCAGGTCACTGCTGGCATCAGTACGGCTACATCCGCTTTTGCAAGCGAGATGCCAAAGGAAGCCATGAGTGGCGGTGTATCGGCCGAAACGATACGCTACATCCCTGCGCCGAATCTTCAGGCTACGCACCCGTCGCAGGCATTCTCGATCGACGCCATTATCCCCTCGACGGTGTTCCGTGCACTGGATGTTAAGTGGCTGGCGGAGGCCGAAAGCGAAGAGGCAGCAGCGAAGCAGCTCCCGTCCCCTGGGCCAGCGCGCAGCGCCTACTTGCTTTCTCATGTGTGGAATGCCGTGAAAGCAAATCGCAGCTGTAACGCAAGCGACAACGATGCGAGTATTGGCAGCACAAGCATTCTCAAGCATGGATTGGGCAAAGAACGCCTTCGCCTGGCGCTTTACGCGTCTCTCCTCTTCGCACTCTGGCGCAACTTGCGCAACCTCAATGATCGAGAAAAGCTCTCTGGCAAGCTCAAGCTGAAAGGCGGTTCTGGCAGCGGCATCGTGCTCGAAGATTTATTGACGCGTTTCACGGAAGAGGAGCGGGGCACGCATAAGTGGGTCCTTTCTGCGCACGTTGAAGATACTATAAGATCAGGGCTGATGCAGGTTCCTTCGATTGTTCACCTGTGCAGGCGCACCTTGACCCGGCCCATGGAGACAAAGCTGCTAGCTTACATGGCTGCAATATTTCTGCATCTGGACTCCTTCTCCGTGGACATCACACGCGTCGCTGCCGGACTGGAGCTCCCACATCCGAGGTGAGTAGCATGCCGACTTGTTCAGTCTATCAGCCAATCCTCGCCTTGAACGCTAATGCGGACTCCCCATTCGCACATAGGGTACAAGAGATCTTCAAATCGCTCGGCTGCACGCCAGCCCAGATAGCCGTCTCTGGTTCGGGTGACGGCGCCACAAAGAAGGAGCGGCGCATGGTGCTCAAGGTGCCGCTGACGTTCCCCAAGCCCAAGAGAGGAATGGTCAAGCGTTGAAACAACTGTCTGAGCGTCGTACTGCATGCATAGAAAGAAAGACACACTGCGTCGCACCTGTAACAAACAGAAAAACATTTCGAAGTTGGCTCTTACTGCGCCACAGCAATAAAGCCCAATGTGTGGAAAGACTCTACGTGAAAGAAAGAGGCCACAAAATAGGGTTGAGGCTCGTCTGGTTTCGCTCCCAATATCGCTTCAGGAGCGGGATTTACAAGCAAAATATTTGACCTTGCGCGACTTTTCGACTGACAGAGAGGATCCTCACACGCACAATTCTCTCTCGTTGGAGGAGCAATTCTTCTAACTTCTCGTTGTTGAAGCGTAAAACTGCAGCCCCGTCACACATCGCACAGCGAGTCGTCCTGGTTGAAGTTGCGATATTGCGGATCACACAGGGTAGATAGAAAGCGTTCAAAGGTGCAAGACGTCGCTGCCGCCACGATGGCCGAGTACGACTTAACCCCCCGCTTTCTGCAGCATGTCGACCGGCATCTGGCCATCCCCATGCTCCAGCACCTGTCTTCCACTGGACTCTTCAAGGAGACAGATCTAGTGAAGGCGCAGTATGAGCTTGCAAGGGGCACTTCAATGGTCGGATACACTGCCGAGCTTTATTCTCAAGCGTACCCAGGGCAACAAGCGCCGCCAGAGCTCGAGAAGCAAAAAGAAGAAGCACTCGCGACCAACGAGCGATTGACTGCCGAGGTCGAGCATGCCTTGAACGTCATCGAGGACCCCAAAGTTCTGTCCTCACTCAAGTCAGACAAGCAGCAAAACCTGAGCTGGCTCGAGCAGAACTACCAACTTACTTTGGACCAGATCAATGCGCTTTACCGATTCGGCTACTTCCAGTTCAACTGCGGCAACTATGCCGAAGCATCGTCCTACCTCTACCACTTCCGCATCTTCAGCATGGACCCCGCCATGACACTAAGCAGCTACTGGGGCAAGCTTGCAGCCGATATTCTGATGGGTAACTGGGATGCTGCGATGGAGGAACTCAAGCTGCTCCGCGATCAGGTCGACAGCGGTGCAGGAGGTTCAGCGGTCATCTCTGCTTCTGGTTTTGATGATGCAGCCTCAGTTGCCGACGCAATGGTGCAAGGTCCCACAACTGGGCAGAGCGCAGCCATGGCGGGCGTCAACGAGTCGCTCCTGCAGAAGCGCACTTGGCTGCTTCACTGGTCGCTGTTCGTCTACTTTAACCACCCGCAAGGACGCGAGATGCTCGTTGAGCTTTTCTTCTCACCCGCCTACCTGTCCACCGTCCAGACGTCCGCATGGTGGCTGCTCCGATACCTCGTCGTTGCGCTCGTCATGACCCGGAGAACGACAAGGATCTTCAACATCGCCCAGCCCGGTGCTAGCGCACTTGGCAACGAGCGGGGCGGTGCCACGCAAAAGCTCAGCGCACAAAATGCGATGAAGGACCTCGTCCGCATCCTCAACATCGAATCCTACCGGTCAGAGGCTGCAGATCCTGAATCAGACGATGCCGCTTCTTCCTCCAAAGCACCGGCAGACCCAATCCTGAAGTTCATCTCCGTTCTCTACGAAGGCTTCGACTTTGAGGCCGCGCAAGAGGAGCTTGCCAAAGCAGAGCAATTGATCGCTAACGACTTCTTCCTTGCTGACCACAAGGACGCATTCGTGGAGAGTGCGCGATACCTCATCAGCGAGCTTTACTGTAGGATCCACCACCGCGTTGACATTGCGTGAGTTGCTGTCTGCACGCCGCAAGACGGAGATTTGTTAGAGTCTATCAGCTAACCATCTCCTTGCTCCCTCTTTACACAGGGACTTGTCGAGGAGCCTCAACATGAGCAAGGAGGAGGGAGAGAAGTGGGTCGTGAACCTCATCCGCGACACGCGAACCGATGCGAAGATCGATTTCAAGGAGGTACGTAATCGCTACAATGGCGCTCATTTCCCTCTTGGGCACCACACATAGTCAATTCCATGGACTAACAAGCACCCCAATTCCCCCCTCTGTTTCTAAACCTGCCCGCCGCAGAACATGGTCTACATGAACCAGACACCGCAGGCGATGTATCAGAACATCATCGAAAAGACGCGAGGGTTTGTTTTCCGCACGTCGGCAATGGGCCAGGCGATCGACCGGAAAGCAAACCCGTCTGCATACAGCGGCTACGCCGGCGGCGATGGCGGTCGAGGCGGTGCAGGCGGGCGTGGCGGACGTGGCGGTGCTGCCGGCCGCGGTGGTCGTGGTGGTGGACGCGGCGGGAGCGCTCAGGGTCCCGGTGCTAGTGGTCGACACCAGCAAGCAGCATCTAGCGCACCGACGGGGCAAGACGGCTCCGCGCAGGTCAACAGTGGCACCGGCACAGCACCTGCTGCTTCCGAGAGCGTTGAAGCTGCTTGAAGAGCTGCACAATTGTTCCACGACGCCCCCGATCTCTCCCTCCTTTTCTGGCTCGCTTTGCATTCACTCCCCTATACAAGTGTAGACTAGTCGCCAGCCTCTCGCTCCCTGACCAAAAGGGCCAATCGCATAGAATTGGCCATGAAGCCACCTGATCCGGTTTGGAGCTTCATAAAGTGGTTTGATGCAAGATGGAGCGGTGGGTTTGTAAGGCAGAATCGAAAATGTTCTGGCCTTTTTAAACGGTCCTTCAGAGACCAATATATAGTACAAAGATCCGTAACAGATGGAAAGGCCATGGGACGCGGCCTCTGGAGGAGGTATGACTTGCCAACGAGCGCCGGGCGCCCCGGATGGTGTGCGCATAGCAATGATTCGCATAGGAAGTGAGAGAAGGGCTGGGTGATGTGAGGGCCGCTGACTTCGAGTCGAACAAAGGGATACTGGAGATCCGGCGTTGCGCTTGGGCGCCCTCGGCTTAGAACAGCGTGAACGCCAGCCCCACGACGGCGAGTGCGGTAGCGGTGGTGGTGCCGCGCGCCGGCAGGTGCATGGCAGCGGCTGCGGCGCTTTGAGAGCCGCCCCCCTGCGTCAGGACGAGGTTGGGCTTCTCACCCTTCCTGTTGACGACGTAGTTGGCGGCCATCTGGCCGGGCAGGCCGCACTGCATGCCAAAGACATTGTTGCACGCTGCAATACAGCTGGGCATCTGGTTCGTCAGCGTACCGCCATACATGCATTGGTTGCGGCAAGCCTGCAGGAGGGAGGGAAGCAAACGTCATATCGAGTCACGTCAGCCATCCAAAGTCGTTTTGGCATTTCTCAGCGCATTGCCGCTCACCTGTCCTCGGAATCGGCAGTCCTGTGTCATGACGGGCCATTGGAACTTCTGCAGTCGCGAAATGCCACCTGAGCATGTGCATTTCGACGCGAGAGTCACCTGGTCGCAAAAGTTGTCCGCGACCTTGGTCTCCTTTGCGCCCACCGCTGCATCGCAGCCGGCCTTCTTGCAAAAGTCGACCTGCATGCCGCATATGGACGTGCGCAAGGTGAAAGACTCGTTGGCGAGCGACCAGGTGAACTTGGGCAGCTTGCTCAGGTCGTATGACGGCATGACGTACTGCACAGACTGCTGCAACGGGATCGACTTGGGCCACTCGACGGAGGTGCTGCTGCTGGACGTGTTGGTAATTGTGGCTGTCGAGCTATTTGCTGCAGGTGCAGCCAGGGTTTGGGTGGCGTAGATAAGGAGGATGTACAGCGGTCAGCTCCTCGCCAGGTGTATGTGGGTTATAGACAGGGGGTCGACAGGAATCGACCCACATTGCGCTGCGACACTACTCGCCGCAGAGAGCAGCGCTACGAAAGCGCACAAGGCTGTCGAGAACTTCATTTTTGGCCGCGAGTAGGCTAGGATCTGCGAGCGCTTCTGCAGCGGGCACGGGAAGGCAGAGAGAGCAAGGAACGAGATGCGAGAGCTAGCAAAGCTGTTTGGGTCGTGCTGGCAACAAGAGGCAACGCGACGCGGCGGCGAGGGGCGACAGGAATGATGAAGCACGGGGAGAAATGCAGCACAGTCGGGGTGTCGGTGAGGGGCAGGGGGGAAAGGTATAGCAATAGCACCTCTAAGCAGGGTCGGGCGACACTCGGAGCGCCGAAGCCAAGCACCAAGTTGAAATGTCCTTTGAAGATGTACCACTACAAGTCAAAGTCGCCTGCGGGTGCGTGTTTGTGGCGGCCGTCATGCAGTGCGGCAGTCAGCAATAGTGGATGGAGATCGACAAAGAGACTAAACACGAGGAGCCCCGCAAAAAATGGCCGTGTGATGGAATTTACAGGGGCGATCCATACCAGAGTCAGTAGACGTCGGAGCACTGAGCACAGGCAGGAGCGCAATGGTGGAGCGGTCAAGTGTCCTGGTGCGCTTCCCGCATCCTCGGGCCCACGTAGCACCGACGCCCTCGATACAAGATAGGGCGGTCGCCTCTTCCCCTCGTCGCATGCAAGCCAAAGGTCTTGCCTGTCTCTCGTACTTCGCTGTCGGTGCAAGCATCATGCGCTATGTGTGCAACTGCATCTGACCCAAGTGCGCGGCGTGGCGATGCGATGCATACCGTTGACCTTGCATGGCACCGAGAAGGCTGGAGCAGGCATGGCCCAAATGGACTTCAGGAGACGTCATGCACACCATGTTCGGTCGTGGTCTGCGGCAATCGCGTGTGTACGAGTAGATGTGCTCATATATATTTCTAAGTGACAGTTTGAATGCCACATAACCCAGTGGCGACGTCGACGAGAGTCACCGGTGTTACAACATCCACAGCCGCTTTACGCCAGGCTGAGGCTGCGGCTGGTCAGCATGGCCGTACTTGGCGATGCGCAAGCACTCTTTCTCCAGCCAGCTCCAGTCTTCGCTCTCGCTCTCTTCTCCCTGCTGTCGGTCATTTTGCACTCTGAACAGGGGCTTCCGTGCGCGTACAGTCTGCACACTGATCCCTTGCTCGCGCAGCATACGTGCTCCCTGGCACTCTTGCACAAAGTCGTCCGGCTCACTGACGCCCTGAAAGACGCGCGCTACATGCAGGCGAACGAATTTGCTGCATCGTTGAGGATGGCGCACCTGTTGAGATTGCTGGGGTTGCGGCGAGCACCGCTGTGCGTCTGCATCCGCACCCACCGTCCAGACGGCGTAGCGACGCTGGTGGTTGAACTCAAGGATCCGTTGCACGCACGGTGTCGCACCCGATATTCGCTCCGAACACGGCTCCATCGTCGTGTACAGATCCAGCGCGAGCTCTTCTGCTATCTCCGCAGCAGCTTCTGCCTCATTCTCGGCGACAAATATAAGCTCCCGCTGCAATTTATCGAGCGCGCATTGCTCGGCGTGCGTGTTGCCTTCCAGCTCGCGTGAATAACCCGTCGCGAGTGTTTCTCTCAGAGAGGGCGCGGTGATGATGCAACCGACGCAGAAGGCGGTCTGCGTGGGCTCACATTTGTTGGCAAGTCGCAGGGCATGCAGCATGTGTTGGTAGTGTACGTCTGCCTCCTCTTCCTCCGTAGCGGCACCCAGCTGCTTCTTTTTCTTCTTCTGCGGTGGCTTCAACGCTAGACCACTTTTCATGCGGGCAGTCAGCGACAGTTTGCTCGCGCTTTTGTCCCAGCTCCACTCCCTCCTACTCTCCCACTCCCTCCGCCATGTCCCATACTCTCCCTCAATCCCGCCGTCGCGCCAGACGGTCCAACTGTCCCGAACGCGGAATGCTACGGCGACTGGATGGTCCAGAATCATCTGCCTCAGCGGAGGCGCGGGATGCAAATCTGGTATGGGTGGCAGCATCGAGCTGAGCGACGATTTTCGCCGTGACAATTGCGCACCTCGCGCACGGGACGCTGAGTTGCTGCGCTTGCGCAGGCCTTCGTCTTTTGGGGCTCCCAACGCCGCATTCCCATGGCTCAGCACAGGGCTCCGCGGTCGGCTCAGGATGGGCGAACTGGACATGGACCATACGGTAGGTGAGCCAAGAGGGGCTGGTAGACGCAGAGGCTGACGAGAGACGATCTCTGTCAGATAGTAATAGCCCCCGCCGACGACGACCCCTATTGTCAGGCCGACGAGGATCTGTACAGGTGTGTGATAGGCGAGATGATACCTGCGAGACGCCGAAATATCAGCATTGACACGCTCGCGGAGCAAGCACAACTTCCCGCTCACCTCGAATAGCATGTCAGAGCAGAAAGCAACACAATAGCGATGATGACTGCCACATGCTCAGCTCTTCTCATAGTATTGATCAATGTTGCAGGCTTGGTTTTCTGTGGGTGATGAAGCAAGAAATGGCTGATAAAGAAGGCTGCGAAGAATCCAACGAATTGGCTGTGGCTGCTCGGCATGCCGTAGCCTTTCCCAAGCATCCCAGGAAACGGTCGTGGCTGCCTGATCAGCCGTTTCAAGAACCAATTCAGTCCTTCGCAGCCAAGCTGGCCTATCAGCGCATTGATAAAAGTTAGTTCGCGACGGTAGAGAATGATCGTGACGTATGCGCAAAGCAAGAAGATGGGCGACAAGGTGACTAGCCCGAGTAACTTGGCGGCAGGGTCACCGGCGTCATCTAATCCTCACATACAATGTGTGAAGAATAAGTCATCGATCCTGAGTTTGCTTCATACTGCGAGCACATTCAGGTGGCCTGTCACTCACACTGGACGTGTGTCAATCCGAGCGAGACGTACCGTTCCGGGTCGATAGCGCTTTCCCTGGGCATGGCGGTGTCGAGGACTCGAAGGCGCCACTGCCGTCTTTACGCGGCTCAGCTCCCAAGAGAATGGACGTGGGCTCGCCTTTCGGGATGTCCTCTGCAATTCTGCGTCTATCCCACGCTTAATCTTGGTGCTCTCTCTGCCTCTTCTTTGAAATGAAGCGTCGCGAAGGGTGAGCAAAATGCGACCTAGACAAGCCATGTTGGCCTTCCCACACCTTGAGCGGCCTTTGCGCTGTGGCCGTGTGGCGCATCATGAGATCTTCACCGGCTCATGCCGTGCACACCATTGCCGGTCACTTCGACATCGTTTCTGCCACTTCCCATTCATATGCACTCGCGTTTGGGCTACAAGGGTGCATCCTGAAGCGCATCAAGCGGTCAGCCGTACACTGGTGCTAACAAGTGGAAGCCGAAGCTGCAATGTCGTCGAACGGCCAACCGCAAGCCAAGGGGTCTCGCAACCGCAACCGCACGTTCGCGCTTGCCGGTGCGACGCTTGCCGTTCTCTCGCTCTCATACAGCGTATACCGATGGTATCAAGCGAGCAATGCCCCTCGACCCCCCTCTCTCCCGCGATCCGCGGGGCTAGGCGGATCAGCGAGCGGCGCGGATGATTCTAGAAGAAGCCAAGCTGCAACGGGACGCACTGCAAGGAATGGGGCGAGCCGCGGTCAAGACATGCAGCCCCTCGCGGCGCGGCCGACGCTCACTCTGTCGCTACCACCTGAGTTTCCACACACTCCGCAAGCACTAGGGCTACTTTCAGACATGCTATCGGATCTGGCACCTCACTACCTCATCCATCTCATTATTCCCGCCGCCCCGTCCAGCAGCGCACCGTCGTCGCGAAGCCCCCCGGCCTTGGACGAGGTGCACACGCTATCCGAAGAGGTGGACGTCGCTTTCGATCTCACAGCGGGGAATCTCTCAAGGACTTTCTCACATATCCAGAGCTTTGACGCGCGCCGTATTCTGGAATACAGCAAGCCGGAAGGCCGGCATGCGCTTGCCAGAGCTCTCGCATGCGATGCGCACCTGCACGTACTCCTCGCCCCACCGTCAGCCCATTCGGCGATTGCAGCCTCTGCTAGCACAGCGGCCGGGGAAGTCGACGGCTATGTGAAACACGAGGAAGGCATTGATGAACCGGCATCTCCAAGCGAGATCCTCATACTCGACGATGAGACCGAAGGTGAAGCGCTACGGCAGGAAATCTTGAGACTTGAGCAGCTGCAAAAGTCCTGCGGTTTGGTCATCATTCTCTCATTGACGCTGCACACCGCGAAAGCAAGCGGAAAGAAGGTGCGATGGCTGCGAAAGGACAACGAAGAGGTCTCACGAACATTCGAGGGACGCCCAGGTTTCCGCGTGAGCGATCTCGCCAGTCGTGCGGATGTAGAGGGTGCTTGGATGGAGGGCACTGCACGGTTGATCGAGCTTCGCAGCGGCTGGCGATAGTATCTAGAAGACCCGACGTGTATCCCTACCAAGAATTAGGTCTGGCGAGGTCTTCATGGCAAAGGATCATTCGAAACTCGGAGATGGGCTGGTGTACGTTCGTTGCAGCGTCATGAGCTTGTCATATCGTGAAGCCTAAGAATACAAGAGCCCCTAGTGAGAGGTAGCGTGACCAGAGCAGGTCCGTTTTTATGACTGGCTGATGGCCTGGACGGTAGTGCCGGCAGCCTTGGCACGCTTGCGGAGCTTCTCGGTCGACTTGCCACCACGCTTGGCACCACCCCAGTGTCGGCGGGCGTCCTCGTACTTGTCCACGTAGTTGGCCTTGGCGGCGGAGACGAGGTTAGCGAGCTCGCGCTGGTCCTCGCTGCGGACGTCCTGGATGACGGCGATGGCAGCGGTCTTCTTGTGAACGAGCGCACCGAGACGCGACTTGCCTCCCTTGACAATGACCCATGGGATGCCCATCTTCCTGCAGAGGGCCGGGATGGCGACGACGAGCTCGATCGGGTCAACGTCGTCAGCGAGAACAACGAGCGAAGCCTTCTTGGCCTCGATCAGGGCAACGCAGTGGTTGAGACCGTACTTGACGAAAAGGGGCTTCTTGCCGTCGGCTTTGGGGTCGGCCTTCTTGCCATCAGCAACGTCCTTGGCGAGAGCATCGAGACGCGCCTTCTTCTCCTGCTTGCTCTCCGGGCGGTACTTGTTCAAGAGCTTGAACAGGTTCGTCGCGGTATTCTTGTCCAGCGTGTTGCTGAATTGCGCAAGCGCAGGCGGAACCTTGAGGCGCTGGTGAAGGATGACACGCTGGCGCTGCAGGCGGACGTACTCGGGCCACTTGACGAAACGAGTAAGGTCGCGCTGCGGCTGGATGTCCTGGCCAATGCCGAAGCTCTTCGAGGTCTTCTCGAAGAGAGGGTTCTTAGCGGCCTTGTTGGCGCTGCTCCTGGACTTGCCAGCAGCAACGGGCTTCTTTGCAGCTTTGGGTGGCTAAAGGGGGAGGGGAAAGCAGAAAGCCATATCGTTAGTACTCCATCAAGGGAAAGGAGCGTGGGTCATTGAGCAGAGAGTGGCGTGCAGCTGCGGCAGTTGGCGATGGCCAGATGTCAAGCTGTGCTGCAAAGTGCGCTCTCGGACAACGAATCGCGCTCAACAAGTTGAGCAGCGATCATTGGCTCTACCAAGGAGCCTACGCAGTACATCAGCACCTTCCCTGAAGCCGGTAGGACGGCATACAGGTACTAGCACCCGAAGTACCTGCAGAGCATCCTCCCCACTTTGCAGCCTTCAACACTGTGCTAGTCTTTGTGCATTGGCGTGCAATCGCAGCTGATGTGGCCTCGTGGGCAGCAGCTGGAGGGCGACGCCGCTGAAATCAAAGAGTCCAGCGACAGCTCAGCTGGCCTTTCGAGATATCAATGCCATGGGGCGAAGACATCCATGCGACCTGTCGGCCCAGAAGACAGCCGAAGTCCTGCCAGTCAAGGGCAAAGAACCCCTTCGCACCGTAATTCTGCCGCGCTGGGAGATAGGCGCTTTTCGCTACTGCCGTGCATCCATCTCTCTGCTCGTCAATGAGCGAGCACCGAACGTACCATCTTGATGTTGTTCGTCGGCTGTTGATACGGAGCTGATGATGAGGAGGGGATGGAAATGATGTAGGGCAACAGAGAATGTATTGTGTATGCAATGCATCCCTTGGGTCAGTGCGGGGAGTTCACACATGAGACCCGCACTCTTCCGCCGCAGCTTTATTCAGCCCACAGGCTTCTCTGTGCATCACATCACACGTATCCGCGCAGTTCTCTGATCACACCAGAATCCCCAACTATCTATCTAATCCCGAATCCCGTGTCCTACAAAGGACCAATTATGTATGTTCCTGAAGGCCCGAAAGCCAGCCTCAGAGGAGCCTCCTAGGTCCTGTGTTAGAAAATCGAATTTCCGCCCTTAGGACGCCGGACTACCAAGAGTGCATAGCGTTAGAAGTTGTACATATCACTCAATGTGCAGAAGCATGTGCCATCCTAGATCATTCTCGCCACATCACATGTATGACGGGCAGACCCGGACTCGACTGACTTCAGACAAGTGTCGCTCTATCCAATTCTTGATTGTAAAGGTTGCTTGCGCAGATCCTTGCCGTCTGCACACGTCGCTGCTATTGCCGAGAACAAGCTGTTTGGCGTTTGCTGTCGTCACCCAGCGTTCAGTGCTGTCTTGTGGTTAACACTTGCAATCGTGCCTATGATGAACTCTCGTTTTAGATGTTCTGCTTGCACAATCGTGCTTCTCTCGTTGGCTGCCGCTGCGCGGAGAATGGCAGCAGAAGCGTCTCAGTTGAAGTCGGGCGCGAAACTCGACCCCAGCGTATTTCTACCACACTGTCCGGCAGCAAGTACCCTTACCCTCCGTTGATCGGGCCGTACACCGGAGCATTCACCGACGAACTCTTTCGCATAAACCATTCGCCAGAGGTCGTTCTTCACAATTATGAAATACAAAGGACGCAAGGGCGGTTTGCATACGGTGTGCGCGTGCAGGAAGCCCACAAGGTGCATCCTCTCCCTGAGCCTAAATTTGAAGGTGCGTTCAGTAGCGCATGCCAGGGGGAGTGCTCATGCTGGCAACCTTTCGTCGCCCTCTGCTCCTCGATATTCGCCAATGGAAGGGCCCAATGATGCATCGATGCGCCTCATGGGCCCGACTCTGTAAGCGATTGTCCGCACGTCTCACGTAACGAATGCAACCTTCTATCAGGTGCCGAAAGATACCTTGATTCCCCACTGAACTGGTGCTACGTTACGAGCATAATGGCCACTTTCCATACAATGCGCCGTGCCTATGACACTCAGCGGACTCAACAAGAAGTTCGCAGCTTTCATGAACGAGAATGCGGAAGCGATGAGCGAAGAAGTGCGTGAAGCGCTATTTGTGCAAGGCATGAGGCTACATGGGGTTCCGCATAGTTGCAATTATCGCTCGGTGTTGCTCATGTCTGAAACAATTATTGTCTGTGCCCAATTCGTCCTTTGCCGGCACGTCTGAGAGCCCTGAGTGCTGCATTTGACAACCCCCCTCGAGCGAGATGCTCTGGACAAGGAAGGGAGTACAAGACGAGAGGCCATTACATGACAGTCACGACAGATCAAATCCAGAATTCGCCTGGATCGCGTACCTCAGCTTCTCCAAGCACTGCCCCTGGCTGGTATAGCGTGGGAGCTTGAGCAGGTTGATGCACGTGCTCGCCGTCGGCAGCCTCGAACTATCATCACTGCTATGCTGAATCGCGAACTTAGGGTTGAGCTGCGAGAAGCCGAGGAGCGGAGGCGACGGACACGAAGTGACGAACTTGAGCAGCGCCCTGCGTGCTGTGTCGTCGAACGTTGCGAGCGCGTTCCAAAAGTACTCGACGGCGAGGTCCTTCTCGTGGTAGCCGGCAAGCACCGTGTTCGCCTTCAAATCGTCAATGTCGATCGGCTGATCGGCGCCGCTGACGATGACTCGCAGTTCCTCCCTGTTCATCATGCGCAGCCACCTCGGGTCGATCATCTCGCTCAGCCCGTTAAAGAAGGCGCGGCACTGCCGTGCGATCTGTGCCGTCAGGCGGTAGTGGCTGACGCGGTAAATGTACGACAAACGATTCTCCCGCGTGACGGCGATGGAAGAGCCGCCAGGGACCAGCTCGGTTGTATGCTGCACGCCGAACTCCTCATCTGTCACGGTAAAGTTGAGCGCCAGATCCGCTTCGACGTCGCCAGGATAATTCTTGAGGTAGATCAAGCCCTTGTAGAGTTCTTTGTCAAGGCTGCCCAAGCTGGACAAGTCATCGAGGTAAGACTGCTTACCGAGCCACTTGCTGAGGAAGAAACTCGCGAACTTGACATCAACAAGGATGCCCTCGTACATGGCCTTGCCAAGGATGCGTCCGAGGAAGGTGTACCACTCGAGCGATTCAGGCGTCTGCGCGTACGAGTGCGGGTTAGGGTATATCTCTTGCTCGTTGGTCGCGCACCACAAGCCGCGATCGGTATCAAATACTTCCTTGACGAGGGAGGTCAAGAACTCTTTGAACAGGCCGCCTCCATCGATGCCAGCCTCTTCCTGTCCCCACTCATCGATGAACGCAATCTCGATAGGATGCTTGAGCATATCGCCGTGTAGATTGAGCTGTGCAAACCCGTCGTCGGCAACGTGCCCACGCCGGACTTTGATCCTGTGCCGACGCGGACGCATGAACGCATGCTGCTCGATACCAAGGCGCTGTGCGTCATTGCGGATGAATTGGCGGAAGATCTCGACACGCACCTCGAACGGGATGACAAAAGGTATGTTGTTCAGCACGCCAAGCCTCGGACTGAGGAACGCGAGCGTGCGAGCCGTCAATCCCTGTGTCCTGCCTCGCCGGGCACGAAGGCGAATTGACACGGGCAGGGCCGGGATGTCCGAATCTCCGCCGTCCATATTGTCGCTCCGGGTATTGGCTGCCAATCTGTGCGCTTGCGCGCCAGCACCCATCCTCCGATCACCATCTTCGTCCACGTCTTCCTCTTCCACCTGGTCTGTCGCTGCCGTTCCGGCCGCGGGCCCAGCAAGTTCGGTCTCCTCCATGATGACGGTCTGGATGAACGCCTGCATGTCGAACTGGCTCACCATGAGCCAGTGGCCCTCTGGCGTAAACTCCCTCCGTGAATCGCGCGCATAGAGCTGCTGCAGGAGCTTTGTAAAGAGGGTCCGCAAGCTGAGCAGCGACATCTTCATGCCTGGAAGGCAGTCTGGCTCGTTCACATGCTGCTGCTGCTGTTGCGCTGGAGCGAAGGGCGACACACTCGTGCCGGATGCGCCACCTGTTGCGACCCCCGCTGGCGGCTGGCTTCGCTTAGCGCCGCTGGCGGCAAGCCCCGACACGATTGGCTGCAACGTCGCGAGCGAGCCGTTGCCTTCGTGCCAATACATGGCGAAGGTCAGATTCCGCAGCAGCGCGCTGAGGCTGACGACCTCGTCGAGACTAAGCGGGTTCCTCGATGAACCGCCGCTAGAAGCAGAAGCAGGCGAAACCAGAACCCGGCTGGCTGCCAAAGGAGCCGTGACGGCATCTCTCAGAGGCGACGAAGAGGATGGTGACGCCGAGCTAGGCGGATAGAACTCGTCATCGCCAACAGTAAGCAGCGTGCGACTGTACAGCTCGCAGAGGACAATCAACGCAGGCCACTCATTCGCTAGCGCCGGATCGCCCAACGTGCCAAGGAACGCTTTGACGTCCGCCCCGACCGCATCCCCGCCAAGTCCACTGGAAGCACCTGCTTGTGAAGTGACCGGCACCGCATCCGTTCCGCCGCCGCTGGCTGTAAGGCGCGTCGCGAGCGGGCTCGCACGTACCCAGCCGCGCCAGATTTCGCGGACCAGGCCGCCAGTCGCTGATGCGGCGCTTCGTGCCGCATCACCGCCTGCCGCTGCCATGCCTGGTGGCGCGGCCGGGTTGCTGTTGCTGTACAAGATGTTGCTGAGCATGTCGTCCCGGATGTCGATCGGCCACCCGGCATTGAGCGTGGATGTGAGGAAGCGGAAGAGTGCTGGACGGCTAGAAGCGCTGAAGCGGTTGGAAGCGGCCACGATCGCGTTGATGTGTGTCAGCGACGGGAGGATTAGGAGCGATCTGTACGTCTGGTCGTCGAGTTGCTCCTGCTCCGTGGCGGCTACGGCGCCGGTAGAGGCGCCCGGAGGTGCCATGGCTTGATCTCCATGTCCAGCAGCGAGGTAAATATGCCCATGCTCGCGCTCTTCTTCGTCCTCGATCATTTCAACAGCAGCTCTCATCCTCTTACCCTGTCCGCCAGCAGCAGCCGAGGCGGGTGGGGTAGATGCAACGCCCGCCTTGCCCTTGCCCCTTTCCTGCCTGCGCGCCGACGCAGGGATGTGCGCCAGTACGTTGCTGTCCGCAACGGCATCTTGCATCGCCGTCAGGCTCTCCAGGTACGCCTTGAGAGTCTTGCCGTCAGTAATATGCGGCACGCGTCCCGCGCTGAGTGCGAGGAAGTTGGCGAGCAGATGCGCCTGTTCAACCACGTGTAGGTCGCACAGGGTCAGTGTGTCGCTCGAAGACAGCTGTCCTACGATCCCATTGAATGGCGATGCTGCCACCAGCTGAGTAAGGCTGCTGAGCGGTATGCGTTTGGGAAGGAGCGGAATCGTCATGATCTGCTCGGTGAACTGCCGCAAAGCGAGTCTGTATGCTTCGGCAGGACTCGGAAACAGGCCTGTCGGATCGGCGTCTGCGCCTGCATCTGCCTCGATAGCGATTGGATTCGCCCGAGAGGTCCCGCTTGCGCCTGTCTGCGTCGGAGAAGTGAAGACTTTAAACGGTGCGAAACAGAGCTGGATGCAGAGCGATACCGTATCAGGCGACGCTTTGCGGTCCACCGACTGAATGTAGGAGTGGGCAACGGAGCCAGGAGAGTCAGCGATACGCGCATGCAAGGTCAATAAGGCTGTACTCGCATGTGTCAGAAGATGCCTGCGCAACGAGCTGAACCAAGCGCCTTGCCGAAGCAGGCGGCCGACCAGACGCTGGTCCATGCCGCATTTCACGTCGGGTCGTGGAGACGCGATTTGGATCGTTCTCAGCGCTTTCTCCGTCCCTGGATCTTGGCCTGCCAAAAATAACAACGTCTTGAAAAACGTGCAACATGCCATTTGACTGCCTTTTGCTAGTGTGGGGTTCTGCACGGCAGCCTCTAGCCGGCGGGCGACCGAGCTGAGCAAGAAGAAAGCGCGCCATCGCGCTTCATCAAATCGCGCCGTAGAGGTACTCTCAAAGAATGAATACAAGACAACAGGGAGCTGTGTGTCTGCCGCATCGGCATCTGTAGCGGTGGAAGCAGAAGCTGATGAGGCTCTTGACATTGGAGTCAACGCTAGGCGACACCATCTCTCGAGGCGTCCAGAGTTGTCCACGACGACGTGTTCCGCTTTGGCCTTGGTGGCAAAGACTAAAAGTGACGTCGCTGCGAGCCATTGATCTCGAACCTCTGTCGAGCGGCAAGCCAGCGTGCCCTCAGCCGCCACTCGCGCCTCGATCTCTGCAAGCAGACGGCCCAGGTCCGCCTCCCAGCCCCGTCGTGTGCACTCGGCCGCACGGCGACCGCGCCAGACGCGCTGGACCGTCTGCGCAGCGGCCTCCTTGCGGCGCAGTTGTTCTCGCTGCTGCCGCTGCTGCCGTGCGTTGGCGGCGAGCGATGCGGACGTCTGCGAGGAGAGCTGGCCGCCGAGGTTGATGGCTGGTCGGGACTTGGCGATACCGGTGAAGTTGAAGTCCATGCTGGGCCGGGTGTCGCGCGATGCGTAGCGCGACAGCTGATAGCGCTGCTCTGTGTGTGATGGAGAGAGAGCGGCGAGGCGTGTGTACAAGGGGCGGGGTCGTGGTGAAAGTGGGTGCCAGCTACTAGTTTAGCTTGCTTGCTCGCTCTCTCATATTGTATTTGTTGTAGAATGCCATGTTGCAACCACACGCTGGAGATGAGGTGCATTATATCCTAGACTTGGCTGGGAACCCTTGCAAATACCTGGCCCAGTGCACAAAATCCGCCCGGAAACCCATGTAAAGTCTCTCCCGAAAGTGGCTGCTCGAAATCGAGCCTCGGCAATTTCCGGTAATTTCCTATGTGCCTATCTCGTATTTCGCTAGAAAAGATGGAGAGACTGTTAGATCGGCTCCACACGATGCCTCCAGACTACGGATCTGGGGGATTAAAGTACATGGAAAAACCCGGAACGGCTGGGCCCTGCAATCCAGACCGGGGGACCTACTAGGGTTCCCGGGTTTCCGGCCGAGGGCCCACACGGTTTCCAGGACAGCCCTAGCAATACCACGCGGCGCTGTCGTCACCGTGGTGTTTGTGCTGAAAACGTCAACCACCTCATTATGTCCCACGCGAGTCGAAATACGTTGACGTTCACCTCATCTCGCTTATCGCCGTGAAAGAGAGAGAAGCGCTTGCGCGTTCCTTCTGTCGAACGCAATGATTGGTCAGCAGGGCCAGGTCGCTGAAAGGGGGCACAAGGCGAGGCTGGCCAGGGGGGAGGGAGGAGCGAGGGTTCCCCAAGCTGCTCGCCTCTGACACCCTTGTTCTTCGTTGGTTCGTGCGCCCGATGTGGATGCGCAGCTTCAATACTGGCCCGCGCATGAGTCAACAGCTGTCCTGTCCTGATCCGCGCCCCGCCCCCGCATGGATCCCCACCCAACCACCCTGCGCAGCTTGCTGCTGTCGCGTGGCAGGGCCTGGGCCGTCGCCAGTGGTCGGCCTGCGAGTGGAGGCAGTGCACGCAGTCACGCGCACCGCGGCCCATCCCAGATAGAGATCGAGGTGGAGGTGGAGCTCAGCGCCGAGGCGGAGCAGCTGCTCGACGTGCTTGCACGACACGGCATCCGGGCCGCGGAGCACCTCGTCGTCGGAGACCTGTTCCGCGGCGGCCGTGCTGATCGCGAAGGTCAGGACGTGCTGCTCGACAGTGCCAATGCCTACCTTGGACAGCAGCAGCAGCAGCAAGGTCTCGGCGCGGCCACCGGTGCTTTCGACGATGCGCATCACTTGATACTCTCCACGTTCCTCGAGCGCCTCGCATCACTGCGCGAGCTCGCCATTCAAGCACTCTCCCCTCCCGTTCAACGCGGCTCCGAGGCCCTCTTGAGCGGCATGCATATTCAGCAGACAACGGCAACCGCACCAGAGAACCTGATGGCGATGCAAGAGTGCTCGGCTGTGCCTGCTTTTGCTTTGCCGACGGCCATCTCCAAGCTGCTCATGGCCGGTCTGCCCAACGACATGCAGGATGCGTCAAGCTTGTGTGTCCCGCAGGAAGTTGTCCAAGTTGCAGGAACAAAGGCATCGGGGAGAAAGACGGTACGCCTCTATTTTTTGCTCCGATCGCTCGAGTGTCCATGCAGCGCCGCTGACCGTGCCACTCCACGCACCATCGCTCACCCTGCTGCTCGCGTCAGCTCGTGCTCAATGCGCTCATGCGCTCGCTCTGCGCTCACACCGCCACGCGCGCCTTGTGGATCGGCGTGCCACTGCGATCATCACAGCCGCTCGCGGAAGCGGAGTTGCACAAGCGCGCAGAGGCTGCCCGCCTCCACGTGGCAGCCAAGGCCCTGCACATCTGCGATGCATTGCTGGGAGAGAGCGCACGTACGGATGCAGCGGGCGAAGACGAAGAGAAGGCGCAGAGAGCCGTGAAGCGGCAGAAGATCGCAGAGGAATACGACCCGCTGGATAGGCTTGGCATCGAGACGTGCACCAATGTCGACGGAATCATCGAGCTGGTCGACGCTCTCTTGACATCGCCGCCAGCGCTGCCTGCTGATCCACTCAAAGCAGCAGCCTACTCGCAATCATCCTCGCTGCCCATCCAGGCAATTGTCATCGACCAGGTCCAGCGACTGTTCAACGACGAGGAGGCCCTGCAGCTCCTGCCTGGCATGACCAAGACGAGTGTGCAGGCGGATCTTCAGCATCTCTGCCGACACATGGTCCGCGTCGCGAGGACTGCGAGCGTCCGCGTATATGTGCGTCCCCCCGAGCTCCTCCATCCTACAAGCGCCCCTCGACCGCACTGAACGCTGATCTCCAAACTCTCCACCTTCCCTCCCACCGCAGCTCATCAACAGCGCACTCGCCTCGCTGCCGTACAACCCGCTCTCGAGCTTCGGAAACAACAAGAACTGTCCGAGCCTAGGCGCCTCGTTCTCCCACATGCTCGACGCCTCGCTGTGGGTGTCGCGCGGCAACGCGGTCTTCACACACGTCTCGCCATCCTCCGCATCCGCATTCGCAGCTGCGCATCTCGCTACCAGCGCCGGCGTCTCCAAGTGCGGCGCTGAAGCGTTCGAGCACGAGGTGCGCGCTGCTGCTGCCTCTGCTGCAGCACCGCTGCGCTCCGGCAGCGACGCAGCAACAGATGCGAGCGAGGCCGAGTGCCAATTGGTCAGCGCCATCGCCGAGCAGGGCCCCGGTATGCGCACGCACATCCTCGAGGTGCTCGAGTCCAGTAGAGGAGGCAAAGGCCGCTGGACGACGTACTCGTCCGATGGAACGCGCTTGTTGGACTCACCTGCTCTTTTATGACACTCGCAAGCATGAGCCCTCCCCATGGCGAAAAGGAACGCCCACGAATACTTAACTGTAGCATAGCATAGGTCACCACAAAGTCTTAAAAGAGGAACACTCAAGAAGGCTGCTTCATTGAGAGTGCATAATATCATCCTTACAGGCGCTCAATGGAATCTCATAGGTTCTGACGCGCGCAGGAAAGGGGTTTACGAAGGTAGACGTCCGTTTGTTGAGTCGATATTTGCTTTCGCCACACCAGATGTTGATGCCGTGGCTGTGGCTGCAAGAGCGACGCTCGCGCGTTGCAGCATCAGATGTACGGGGTCGACGCATGTGCCGCAGGGCAATCAGCCGCTGCCATAGCCGCCATTGAAGCCTGCCTGCCCGCCGACGCCTTGCGATGGCTGCCGGTGGTGCGGCTGCGGCGTGCCACCAGGTGTGTTACGACCCATCTGCGGGGACGACGCGGCAACAGGCGAGCCTTGTGCTAGATGCTGCTGGAGCTGAGCGGCTGCCATGGCAGGGCTCGGCAAGTGCGCTCCTGCAGGTAAAGGCGAGACGCTGCCGGCGCCGCTCATATTCGGCATGCTGTTAAAACCCTGTTGGAATTGCGGACTCGCACGGCCTTGCATATGTACACCTTGCTGGGCACGTTGTTGCTGTTGTTGTTGCTGTTGTTGTTGCTGAGCTTGCTGCTTCGCGATGAGACTCTGCATCAGCGCTGCCTGGGAGCTGAGCTGAAGGTTCTGCAGATTGTTGTTGCCATTCTGGTTGCCCTCCTGTGCAATCTGCATCGCTCGATTCGGCAGCAGCTTGAGTTGCAATTGCGGACTCTGAGCCAAAGCCGCTTTCATAGCGAGGATCTGTGCTGCACTTGCGGCAGGCAGACCATGCGGTGTATTTCCGCCATTCGACAGCTGATTATTTGCGGCTGCAGCCGCCGCTGCTGCGGCCGCCGCAAGCTGCTGCTGTTGCAGAAGTAAGGCCGCATTCGCCCCATTCACACGTTGCTGACCTGCCAGCGCTGCATTCATATGAGGCGAGCTTCCATTGACACCAGGTGCGGGACTAGGACTCGAGCTACCTTGTTGCATCTGTCCTTGTAGCTGGCCATTGGCAGCCCCAACCACTCCGTTGGGCACTGGCATGGGGAAGACATTTGGAAACTGCACACCAGTAGCCTGACTCAGGGTCGCAGCAGTCGCGCCGCGATTCGCCTGTTGCTGTCCAGCTTGTTGGACATGTTGCTGACTTTGCGACTGCCCCTGTGATTGCTGTTGCTGTTGTTGTTGTTGCTGCAAGGCTAGGAGAGCTGCCTGCTGCATTTGAATCTGCTGAGGTGTCAGCGCTCCAGTCGCGCTGTTGACGCTGAAGGATTGCGATAATGGATGCGGCTGCTGCTGCTGCAACTGTGGCTGCCCACCACTCATGGACCCGCGCTGGCCCGCTGCGGTTGCTCGAGGCGTGCCGGGTGAGCTCTGAGATGCTGCCGACGCCGCCGCTGCTGTTGCAGCTGCCGCCGAGTTTCGCTGCTGCTGCTGTAAGGCTAGCTGTAGCTGCTGCCGATGCAATTGCTGCTGCTGTTGAAGAGCCAAGAGCGATGGACCGCTGCCAGTCGCGGGTGGTTGACGGATGACGTTTGTCATGGCATTGGCTGTGACTGCTGCCCGCACCTGTGCCGCCATCTGCTGTTGCTGTTGCTGCTGTTGCTGTAAAAGCATGGCCTGTTGCGATAGCGATTGTTGATTCTTTGTCGCTGCCGCTGCGGACTGCATAGTTGATGCTGGAGGCGGCGCGGGTGGCAGTGGTACCTCAACTGCAGCCTGGGCAGCCATGATGTGGCTGAGGTCGGTCTGCAACTTAAGCAAGTCGCTTTCTTCCAGCAGGTACATACGATACTTAAGAAACCGTTGATCAAAGTCGTCGATCACAGCTTCCCCGTCGTTCTCCATGCCGCCTAGGCCGGTCAGGCCAAGGCCTGCCCATCGACCTGCATCGTCGTCGTAGCGCCAACGCTCGCACAGTCGCGCCCACGTCTCTGCCTCTTCCTTGATATCAAATGGCGCGTCCGACTCGTTCGTCTGTCGCGCTTTGCCTTTGTCCTTACTACTACTGCTGCGCTCCGTGTCACCACCGCTGTTGTCAATGTCCATCACGTCGGCATCCTCGACGTCCGTCGGCTGCGTGCTCGCAGCGCCAATAGACGAAGCATCGCTAGGCTTCGAGCGGTCGCTCCAATCGGACGAGGTGCTGGACGCGTCCGAGATGTGGCGAATACGCTCGTTGGCTTCTGCATCCGACAAGGAAGTGGCAGCAAATGGTCCTGTCGCGTGCATGGAAGAGACGTGAACAGCCGCACTGGTAAGCTGAGTCGGCCGCACATCCGCAGAAAAAGCAAACGGCCCTGTCAGGTGTGGGTGATGATTCGGGTTGATTTGAGAGCTGGTGGCTGCGACATCGTTAAAGGGGCCACCGGGCTGCTGTGACATGGATGTCTGCAGCATCGCCTCGACCTGTTCAACTTCGGAAAGGCTCTTGACGCTCGGCCAGTCGGCAAGCTGTGAAGGCACTGGCGTCAGGAAGGGCAGCTTTCTGTCAAGCAGAACCCGGCCCCCGCGGCCAAGACGTCGCCGGAAGCTTGCAGGTCTGCCCGAGCGCGGGGAGCCTTGTAAGGCTGAAGAATCGGCCATGGTGACATCGGCCGAGAGTGAAAGTTGGCCTGCTTCTTGCCCCGAGTCCATGCTGCTGCTGTAGATGCTGTCTGACGCTAGCGGGCGGAACAAGCGCAAAGCCAACGAGGATGCAAGCGGCTGGAAGGTCGAGTCGGTCGCCTCTTCGAAGCCAAGGTCCGCTTCGGCTTTCCGCAAACACTCGCGTTCGATGTATGCCTGCACAGCTTGTACGCGCTCGAGAATAGCAGCGCCAAGCCCTTGCGGCTGCGCAATGGCATGGGCACCAGTCTGCTGAGCAACAGATGTCGCGCTGCAGGTCTCGTCGCTTGGCCTGGGCTTGCGCATGAGCTTGATTCCGAGTGCAGAAGCGGCGTTCTGCTCCTCGTTCTTGCGCTTCTTCTTGGCTCGTTGATCTGCAGCAGCTGCCGCCTCTTCCTCCTTTTTCTTCGTGCCAAAGACGAGCTCGTCGTCTTCGGTGCCATGTTGCGGACCGATGATACCCCAGCTTCGCTTGAGATCCAAGAGGTCGCGGCCGACGATCCAGCAATTCCTGTCTTGCCCAAGCAACGCCCACTTGGTTCGCTCGCGCTGAGCGACCAGCTCGAGGAGCCTCGTGGCTGACTCGAGTTCTGAGCGGAGGCGCACCAATTTCTCAATGTGGAGGGCATCCGTCTTGCGCGTCTTGCGCATCGTTTTGACCTCTCGGCGACGGAAGCACACGTAGGGATCATTGTCATTGGTCTCGTCAAAGTTGAGGAGGGGGGTGATGGGCTTGCCTTCCCGATCTTTCTTGCGGATCTCCCACCATGGATAGATGATCGGAGCGAAGCGCTTGAGAGCTGAGAGGTTGCGGAACGGGTTCGATTCATCCCATTCTGTCGATGTAGAGGGGTGATTGGGGTCATTTGCCTCAAATGAACATGCTGGAAGTACTGGCTGAGCATGCTTTGCCAAGAATGAATCGGGCTCAAAGCAAGAAAGTAGATCCTCGATTGTAGGCAGCTGCGCCATGTTGAGGTGTAGAAGAGGGCATCTCTCCGCTGTGTACGCTTCGAACACGGTGAAGACCGTCTCAAACTCGTCTTCCGTGATTGGTTGCACCTCTGGTTTGGCGCGGTAAAGCGCTTTCAGCACATCCTCTTTTGCCCTCTCCTTGCCCTTGGAGCGCGAGCTCGGCGGTGGCTTGAAGGTGCGCAACGCTGTCTGCTCCTCCTCCTTGGCCTTGGCGTTCCTCTTGTTGAGCCATTCTTGGTCATCTTCATCTAGACAGTACGAAGGCCCTTGAATCTTGTCCTCGACCGTGTTCGAGAAGCGCACGTAGGTGACTGAATCTTGATACGCCCCGCGAGGGTAGAGCGCCGCGACTGCCTCATTGCTAAGAACATCTTTGGCATCTGGTGTCGGGATGTGGTAAGCTGCCTTAGCTGTGGATCCCGGAGCACCATCTGTTGCGAGCTGGTTCGATGAAAGCGCAGCTTGTAAATGGTGCTCCTGTAAGGTGAATGGTCAAACAAAACGGTGACGGTGAAGGCAAGCACGGTGAAACGCTGTCAGGGAGAGCTCGCGGACAAAGGCTTTCCAACATTCTTCGCAAAATTAGCTGTAGGCGAGGCAGACTCTCCGTTCCCAAGTTCCCCAATCAAAACACAACAGATAAAAGCCAACGTTTCCACCATGCTTGAGATCCAGGGACTGTTGATCCTCTCGTCAGTCCAAGCTCATCACAGACAGCATAAGTGATGATGCTGTAGGCCCGGCTCGAAAGGCTCGCCAGGCGTGTTCTCAGCCGGCAACCCTTCTTCCCGTTTACTGCAGCCGCACGCGCGCGCGCAACATGTACCCCGCCACCCAAGCGAGCCCCCTAGCCCCGTAATGCATCCAACTCCCAGAAACGACATCAACTCACCGAGATCTCAGTACGGTCTACACCGAGGTTCTTGTCTACGCCAAGGTCTTGATCATGTGCGTCCTGGCCATCGAGCTCGAGACCGGAGCCATTGACAATGGCATTGTCGGCCTCAAGCGGTCCTCGATGGACAATTACTAAGGGGGAAACAAAGGCAAAGGCGTGAGATTTTGTGGGATTGTGACCAAAATCCAGACGCGATCCAGACGACGAGCGGAAAATACCCTGAATTTATCATCCATTCTCCGAAATCCCCGGGTCTGGCACTGCGCAGCTGAACACCCATCCTCGCGCGCGCAGGCAGACATGCCCGCGCGCGCGCGAGCACCCCCGACCATCGCTCGCTTGCACACCCAACTCAGCTCGCTCTCAGGGGCCCCCTTTACTCGCCACCGCCTTTCTAGAACCATTTTATTACTACTCACACTTCTCGCGATTGGTGAGCTTCTTGTACCTAGAGCGTACTACCATTTGTGACCATCATCCGCCCTCAAAATGACTGAGGATGGGTGGGTGCTAGATATTGAAGACGGGTACACGCGGGAGATGTTTGGCTGCGCAGTGAAGACGAGGGCCAGGAAGAGAAGGAAAAGCTGGGGGGTCTGCATGAAGCGTGCGTGCGCGCGGGAGCCTCTCCCTGGCGAATGGCGACCCAGCTGGCAAATTTGTACAAGCAGGGGTGAAAACACGGCAAAACAGTGCTCCCGTGCTGTATCCAGGGCCAGCCATACAAAATTTTTACCCTCGGCGGGTTTTACAGAATATCTCATGTAAACTCATGCAAAGCAACTTTGCCAACAAGATCTAAGCAGCACCTTGAAAGGGAGCAAGATGAGCCATCGCCCGTCACTCTCCATCAGCTAGTACTGAGAGCAGGATGCTCTCATCGTCGAGCGTATCATGCAAGCGGACCGAGCCGTCGAATTGGCTGGTGCTCGTACATGTGGGCGCTCTCCCGAGGCAAAGTCCATGGCACTTCATTCTCAGAAAAGCTCGGCGTGTTGCACCGTCCAATGGTGAAGCACGCTTGTGCATCAATCGGCTAACAGCACGCAAGTGAAGCAGGGGCCTGGCGTAGGGACCATCACGGTCCTCTTCCTCTGCCAAAATCATCGGCGGCCGCTCTTGCTCTTCCCCTTGCCTTTGCCCTTCTTGTGCTTGTGATGCACACGTCCGCCGGGCACGTTTCGGCCTTGAAGCTAGACGAAGATTTCCATCACAAGAGTTAGGTGTGCCACAAGGTGAGGAAACAAAAACCTGGGGGCAAGGTGGACATTCAACGTACCTCTCCGAATTTCTTCTTGGCATAGGCAGCCGCCTCCGCGTCCTTGATGAGCTCCTCGACGACGGTCCGCCCTCGCTCGTCGCGTCGCAGCTGTTGCTTCGGCTCAAAAGGTGATGACACAATTGTCCCGAGCTGTAGCTCGAATGCCGAAGGTGTCAGTCACGGCTGCAGAGACGGTTCATTCGCTGCTGGCATTTTGCCTCACCTGAGCAAACTCTGGCATCTGAATCTTCCCGGTTTTGCTGCCCCTGTAGAACCGTTTCGGATCCATCATGTTTCTCAGCCTTATAGCCATGATCTCCCTCCGCATCTCAAGGGCAGTCTTGGCACGTGCGTCACCGGATATGGCAGAGGTGCCACCTCTCGTTAACCTCGATGGTTCATCACGAACTATCGCCGAGGATGATGTATTGGTGAGGGAGGAAGTCGAACTGGTGGGGAAAGCAGGCATGTTGAACCATGCGGATCCAGCGGTCTTGGAGCGTTCCTGGTCATATGCAATGGAATTAGCAGTCAGGAACTGAGAGCGCACGGTAGTGCTGTCAGCCCACTCACATCACGCCGCTCTCGCTTTGCATATCGCCCTGTGGGTGCTGCGTCTTGCTGTAAAAGCTGCCCACTGCCAAGTCGCTCAATCGATGAATCAATGACTTTCCCGTCGTTCGCTCTGCATGGACCTCTCGATGAACCGCCTTGATTGATCTGACGGGCCTTTCCTTTGCTTTTGCTTGATTGACCAGTCGAAGCAGCTGCTTCGGATCGTGCTGGCTGGACTAGCGAGACCATATCTTGCCCTTTCTCAAATGCCTCTCTCTCGGCCTGCTGCCGCGCTTGCTTGCGTGCTCGAATGGAGGAGGATGCTGCGACGACCAGATCTTCTAGATGATCAAAGACAGACAGGCCTTCTGCATCATCGACAGATGACGAGCTTGAGAAACTCGAGGATTCCTCCTCGTCATCAGAGTCAGAGCTTGCATCAGAGTCAAGGTCGCTCGTAGAGCCTGCCCTTTGCGCGGAGTTCACGAAAGATTGAACACGAACAGGCTGTTTACCCTTCGCTTTGTTGGAAAGACCTACGGAAGGCGTGAGGGCCTGGATGCTCATGGCTTTGTTCAGGCGACCGATAAGCTGCGCAGGAGTGAGTTTGAACGCAATCACAAAGCTGAGGTTGAAACCGGTCTCGCTTTGAGGGCACCAGAATTGAACAGGGGTTGGGGCGCGAGCATGTGCAGGCCTCTGCAGCGATTACCACGAAGCGACAAGAGAAGCGACTGCCCAACTCAGCAGTCGAAACGTCGATGCTTTTTGTAAGGACCCAGGAGGATAAGAACTGCGACGGTGACCACATACACTGGAGATGAGAGTATGCCGCGGTTCCGCCCTCTTTTCCCTCCCTGTGATCCGAAAGACGGAACTCGGGGCTCAAATTCTCATCGGCACCAAAATTGTTGCCATACTCACCTGTCAAGCCTCCTGGAACGCCTTTGCTTTGGCACTCTTTTGCACTTGCACACGATTTACGCTTGCACACAAGATAGAGTTCATATGATCGACTGATACCGCAGGTGGCATTCTGTTGTAGCCAAGCCTGAGCGGAGAAGGGCCATACAAGGGCCTCAACTCGGATTCAAGCTCAGCCAGGACGACTACCGACGCCTTGGGCTCGCTTCAGCAACATGGCCCGCGGTCCCAAGAAGCCAAAGGCAGGTCGTGCCACTTCGGCCAAGACGTTCAACATCGCAAAGGTTGCAGCGCCAAGAGCGAACAGAAAGGATGGGAAGGTCGCTCGCTGGAACACCAAAGATGACATACCCGAAGACAACGAAGATGCTTTTCATCGCCAGCGAGATCAGATTCTGCTTCAGGGAGGAGTCGGTATAGGCGGCGGCAATGACGGATACGCTGGCGACGGTGGGGCTCCTGAACATTTTTTAAACCTCGATCTCAATTATTGACACCACTTTCTTCACACCTTAGACGTATTTGGAGGCGACGAGCACGAGGTTCTTGCTTTACGTCCAGGCTCTGACGATGAGGCCGACGATGAGGAGATGTCTGACGAGCTCGGCCAAGATCGTTACGATGAAGAGGAAGCAGCAAAAGGGCGTCGGAGAATCGCGAAAGAGAAGCGTGCTGCTTCGAAAGCTGTTGCTTCTCCGGCAGCACCGAAAAAGGCCGGCGGTCGCCTAGGTACCCCAGACTCATCGGACGAAGACGATGAGCAGGGCGAGGAAGACTCCGACGCCGAGTCATCATCCTCGCGATCTGAATCTGCCGCTGCGCAAGCCAACGGATTCGGGCGTAACAAGCATGCCTACTACAGTGGAAACAATCTCGATGCGATCGAGTCCGATTCAGAGCTAGACGAAGAAACGAAGCGCGAGCTGGAAGTCAGAGAAGCCAAGAAGATGCAAGCGCTGGCGCGGGAAGGCATGGACGACGAAGATTTTGGCTTCCCATCTGCCACCTCCCGTGAAGGCGCACGGATTATTCTTGCCGGTATTGAGCCGAACTGGAAAGACAAGCGCACAGGCTTTAGCTCCGGAAGCAAGGAGGATCAAGAAAAACGACGCCGCGAGTTTGACAACGTTGCAGAGACCGCGGAGCAGACGCTTGACAAGTGTGCAGTCGAAGTAGCGACCGACTCCAAATATTTGCGTGAAAATATGTTTGCGCAGCTAGAGAAGACCTCGCCAGAAACCATCGCGTTGTCCGGAGAGTTACCTGACATTGCAGAAGAGTACGCAGAGGCAGAGGCGACGCTTCAGCAGCGGCTCGAGGGGAAGCATAGCAAGGGGTCAAAGGAGGTAGACGCTGCAGGACATGGCCTAATTCATCTCCATCATCAAGCGATCAACGCATACGTTACCAACCTTGCTTTCTATTTCTACTTGCGCAGTCTCTCGGAATATGCGGAAGATCCGGCAAAACTTCGTGCGCACCCTGTTATGGAGCGTCTGCTCAAGTTCAAGAAGACGCTCGCTGCACTAGAGGACCTTGGTATTGGCGGCAAGGCAAGGATCTCTCCGCACCGCCGCGACATCGATGGATTGGCGCTGGACAACGAGGATGAAGATGAGGAAGAAGTCAATGATGAAGAGGGGATGCTCATGGATGATGTACTCCTTGAGGGCGGCAGTGACGACTCGGAGGAGCTTGAAGACATGGATGACGATGAACTGGCAGACCTATTGGCGGACGAGGACCAAAACGGCTTCATGGCTGCCACTGCCAGAAACGGTGCCAGTGCAAACAATTTCGAGGGACGCGAGGCGTTCGCCGGTGCTGGCGAAGGAGATGCTGAAGCAAAGACTGTCTCAACTTCGCCAGCTGTCAATAGCAAGTCCAAGAAAGACCGGAAGAAGAAAAGCAAGGGCAAAGTGAAAGAGGTAGTCGCACCTGCTCCACTGGCGGCGCTTGCCGCGTACGACTATTCAGAAAATGACGACTTCGCGTCCATCCTCGCCGCATCGAGCATTGCGAAGGGCAAGAAGCGGCAGCGTGACGCCTTGGGAAGCATCCCGGACGAAGAAGCGGCGCACGCGTTCGGCGAGCCCACACAGCTTACTGCGCAAGAGGAGGCTGAGAAGGCTGCACGCAAGCGCTCGCTTAAGTTCTACACGTCTCAGATCTCAGCCAAAGAGGCTCGCAAAGGCGCCGGGCAATCGAAGCGCGATAGACTCAGCGGTGATGCAGACATTCCGTATCGCGATAAGTCTGCCAGCAGGGACGCTGTCGAACGCGCTCGTCAAGCTGCTTCGGGGGGAAGTGCAGACAGTGGCATGGGCGCTGCGCTCGATGGAAGCGAATGGGATGCGAAGGATGTCGCGGACCGCAGTGCTGTTCTCGGCTTTGCTGGCGCAGAGGGCGACTTTGGCGAGGAAGCTGATGGTGGCGACAACGACGCTGAGGGGTACTACGATCTGGTTACGAATCGCCGAAGAGCTGCAAAGAGGCAAAAGCAAGAAGAATACGATGCAATGCGCGAAGAGATCAGGTGCGTGTTTTCAAAGCGTTCGGATGACAACACCGCGGCTGACAGTCTTACTGGCCCTTTTTCCGTTTCAAACTACAGAAATATCTACGAGCCGACACTTGCAGATGGCGAGCATCGTGCCATCAATCGCACAATCGAGAAGAACAAAGGCCTTACCCCTTTCCGTCCGAAAGCCGTGCGCAACCCTCGTGTCAAGAAGCGGCAGCGGTACGACAAAGCCAAGAAGAAGCTCGGGAGCATGCAGGCCGTGTACAAAGGTGGTCTGGGTTCCCTCGAAGGAGGTTATCAGGGAGAGAAGAGCGGTATCAGCAGCAACGTGGTCAAGAGTCGGAAATTTGCCTGATGCATTTTGCGGTGCTTGTAGTCTCCCAGATATCGCCCTTTGCGAACTGGCCTTTGCATTTGGCTATGCTACTCGGACCTCCATCTCATTTGGCTCTGCTGCTGAGACACCCGCCTCATATATGTGTTTCTTGTCTCATGCGAAAGGGCATTGATCGGGGTGTGGTCCATTTTGTTTTGTTGGGAGTGTTCGAGTGACGGTGAATCATTGTCGGTGATCTCACATATTTGGTTTTTGTGCGCCTCTTCACTCGCTTCAGAACGCGTCGCAACCGTCACCAAGTGATGAAGATCTCAACGTTGCACACGCAGGCATTCCACAACCTTTCCAACCAACATAAAATTCGCTCCACGCTGTCATTCTCTCAGGGGCCTGTGCATAAACTCTGAAAGCGTGATGCAGGGCATCTCCAAGGATTGGGACGGACTACAACAGCCCTTCATGGGCGCTCCTGGTAGCTGAAGACACGGCATGATGCGAGAACAGACGGTCGCTGCGCTCGCCGCTTTCTCGCTCTCGCTAGCGGTGCCGCTCATCGTCATCCCACCGCTTTCGAGGTCGATTGTCTGGGCGTACGTCCCACAGGGCCTCAAGGATGTTAGCATTTCTTACCTGCTGTTCGATGATCGCCTGCCGGGTCTGCTTCCAGCGGTCGGCATGCTGGCCATCGCCGCTTGGGTGACGGTTGCCGGTATCAAGCTGACGATGAGCACCTTCAAGGAGCGAGGATTCGTCGGAAAGGACCTGCTGAAACCCCAAGCAATCGATGCAATGTGAGCATATTCACGGTGATACCCTCCACGTCGAATTGTTCATTTTCTTGCGATGATCCACCGTCGAAAGCAGCCGTACTGAGCTGTAGAAAACGGGCTTTGAGCTTTGGGCCGGTCATGGCCAAGTCTTCGATGCTTGACATAGCGACTGACATGCATACATTGTCTCCAATTCAGACCTGAAATGATGGGGCTTCCTTCTGCATGTCTCTATATCCTCTTGCTCTTTCTTTTCATACCATGCCGCTACTTTGTACAGCCATACGAAGACTACTCGTCCAAACGACTGGGAGGTGCGACTTCGCGAGCTGAGGCGCTAGTTCGTGCGATGGGACTTCGCCTGGCACACGGCAAGGAGGACATGCAAGCATTAATGCTGGACAAGGCTGGATTTACCGAGGGGATTGCGGCCATAACACGAATGGATGCTGACGGTGGTTGGAACGGCTTGATGAGTGGCCGAGGTGATTTTCCTCACCACGAGGTGGGTCGCTTTTGCGCATGCAATTTCTCAAGGTGCCCGAGCTGACGTAAGGTCGAGCTTGCGTTCGCAGCTGGCCACCTTTCTGTCTGCATTGCTGTCCCTTCTTTCGGCGACAATGCTTGGTTTTCTGGATGACGTCTTCGACATTCGATGGCGCTACAAGATTCCGATCCCGATCATCTCCTCCACACCTCTGCTCGTCGTCTACTTTGCCGGGGGAGGCGGCACGCATGTCGTCGTGCCCGCTATGCTGCGGCCGCTGCTCCCCGATAACCTCGCACTGATCGACTTGGGCGTACTGTACTACGTGTACATATCGTGCCTCTCGACTTTTTGTACGAACAGCATCAACATTCTCGCCGGCATCAACGGCGTCGAAGTCGGGCAGGCGCTGATCATCGCGCTGAGCCTGTGCGCAAACGACTTGCTTTACCTGGACACGAGAGCCGGCGAAGGAGGGTCAAGGTCGAGCATTGAGCTTGTCCAAAGGCACCTCTTCAGCCTGTACCTGCTGCTTCCGTTTATTGGCACCTGCCTGGGCCTGCTCTACTGGAACCGGTAAGTCGACGCGTGCCCGATGCGAATCACAACGGTTGGGCTGAACGAAAGACCATCAATGCTCTTTCGCCCCCATCTGCGCACCTCAAGCCACCCATCGCGTGTATTTGTCGGCGACACGTTCTGCTACTTTGCGGGGCAGGTTCTCTCCGTCGTCGGCATCTTGGGCCATTTCAGCAAGACGCTTCTGCTCTTCTTTGTGCCGCAGGTGGTCAATTTCCTGCTGTCGTGCCCGCAGCTCTTCGGCCTCGTGCCATGTCCGCGGCACCGCCTACCGCGCATCGACAGCGACACGATGTGCCTCTACCCGTCGAGCGCAGCGTGGCCGCAGGGTCAGCATGCCGGTGTGGTCGCGACGCTGATCCTGCGCGTGTTCGAGGCGCTCAGTCTGGTGCGCCTCAAGCGTGACGGCGGTGGATATGGCGGAGACGGCAACGCGTCGGGCAAGATCATAGGTACTACCAACCTGACGATCCTCAATGCCCTTCTGGTCCTGCGTGGGGTGCGAGGACCAATGGACGAGTCGGGCCAAATGAGCCTGGGCAAGCAGGTACGCACGTCTTCCTCGTCCAAGACGCCTGCGCAGGTTTCTTTCACCTCCGTCACACTGCCTACGTTCGAGGACGCATCGGGAGATGGTAAAGATGGCTCCAAGCATGAAGTTCAGGCAATGCCCGCAGATGGGCAGCGAGAGGCGCGCGTCAGCGGGCCGATCGTAGATGAAAAGGGACTCTGGTGGCATGTCATGGCCGTACAGACGCTCGGCAGCGTGTTCGCCTTTGCCGTCCGGTATCACATTGCAGCAATTGTATTCCCACAGCGATAGAGCAAAATATGAGAGCATAGCGTACTGGTTGCTGCGCTCCGCACCAAAGGCAGTCGGAATACAACACGCGGGTGGTCAAGAGTCTTTTCCCTTTTCTTTCCGTGTGCTTATATGCATCCGCGCGTAGCCGCTGAAGGCGCAAAGAAAAGCTATAGCTGCGTGACTTCAACGACAGCCGGCATATCCTTCTCCATCTCCTTGGTGGCGGCGGGGAACGGTAGATCCTCGATGCCGTCGGGTAGGTACGCAGAACCATTCTCGTCGCCTTTGGCCAGTGAGCCATCCCTCAGCTTGCCTTTGTTGACCGCATTGCGTGCCTTGCCGATCAGCGAGCGCTTGGCATCGGTCAAGTAGACTTCGGAGCCATTGGGTCCGGGGATGTTGCCTTTGAGAAAGATGAGCGACTTGGACGTGTCGATGCGCAGCACCGTCAGATTGTGCAGCGTGGAGCCGCGGCCGCCCATCCTGCCGGCCATTTTCTTGCCCTACGGGGTGGAGGAATGCAATTGGAGGTCAACTTCTGCTGCTGCAGCCAGTGCACATAAGCGCACTCACTGGAAAGACCCTGCCCGGATCTTGGTGCTGACCCGTGCTACCATGGCTACGGTGACTGATCGAGACACCATGGCTAGCCCTAAGACCTTTGAATCCGTGCCTCTTCATGGCGCCCTGAAACCCTTTCCCTTTCGTCGTGCCCTGCACATCGACCTGCTGACCAGGCACAAAGTGCAAGACGGACAGCTGCGTCTTGGGGGGCACAAGCGCGTCGGGAGTCACGCGGAACTCCTTAAGCGTCCCTTTGATCCTGTTGCGCGACCTGCGCGCCTCCTCTGGGCTGGACGCGCCGGAGAAGACCTGCAGGGCAAGGTAGGGCTGGATGGAGGCGCCGCGGATAGCCGAGGGCGTCGTACCCTTCTTGTGCGCGTGCGCGACGGGGTCGAAGGAGATTTGCTGCATCACCTGGTTGTGCTGCACCTGCACTACCGCGGCGGGAACGCAAATTCCTGACGGGAGAAAGTAGGAGATCATGCCCATTTTGATACCTATAAGCCCTACGCGCTGCGAGGTGGGAGACCATGGTTTGCGCTCTTGCTGCTGCTCAGGAGACGCAGCTGTGTCTGTACTTGAGACTGGCTCCGTTGCCCCTGGTGCTGATTCGGAGGAGGCTGCAGCGCTGATTCCCTCCGGGCCCACATCAGACGAAGGTGTTGCAGACGATGCAGAAGAGGTGGAGAGAAAGCGGGCCTGCCGATGCTGTTGCGGCGGCCTCCATGCTGATGCTGCGGCAGGCCAAGGCCTGCTTGACGGTAGCAGATAGGCTGATGATGCTCTTGCAGCTCCTGCTTCTGCCGTTGCTATCGTCGACACCGCACGCCATTGCCCAGTCAGCCGGCTGTATGCGGCAGGACTCGAGGCGGAGGTGGAAGCAGAGGCGGCTTGTTGATGGAGTAGCGCCTGACGGCAGCACGACGATGCTGCAAAGCGACGCATGGCATATACGCTTTTTAGTGACGCGAGGGACCGATAGTGCACTGGTCTTTGTGCGTCTGCAACGGCCTGCTCCTAGTCTGCTTGCTTGATATAATGCTCGTTCCAATGGATCTCTAAGAAGAAGCAGTCGACAGTTATGAAGTCCACTCGACACTTTTTGCAGAGACACAGTCAAGTGGGATTTACAATGGTCAGCTCGCTTCTGTGCGGAACCCTACTCTGCCTCCAGGATGATCTGCCGCGGCCCCTCTCCGGCTGCCCCGAAGTCCCCATCTCTTCGCTGGCGAGCAAGTGTGTTCCCCGCACGAGAGAGCATCCGGAACGACCGGTATGATCGACCCCCGTTGTACACAATAGACAGCAATCGACTCATGGGCAGCTTCGGATCCATCTTCGCGCCGTTCATCCTCAGCCGACTCTCCTTTGCCATCCAGTAGCACGGAGTCGCCTCGACGAAACGCATCCTGTCGCAATACCCATCCCCTTGTCGAAAAGACCATAAGTTCCAACTCACCCCAAAATGACCGGCCGACGAGCAGGCAACGCCGACCACGACAACGAGCACGTCCACGGCGCATCGACCACCACCCCCGCCGGGCACGCCTCCCGCGCTTCGATAGCCACTTCTCGCCTCGCCTCGCTCGCCCAGCACATTCTGCCCCTCGGATCCAAGGTCAGCGGCAAGCACGAGTTTGACTATGTCATCGTCGGTGGTGAGTGCCGTACCTCCAGTTCCGCCGCCGATGCCGTTGTAGCGCGCTTGTCGCCGCTTCTCCATGATCACTGACACTTGGTCGGCTGTGAAACGCAGGCGGAACAGCCGGGTCCGTCCTCGCGAACCGGTTGACAGAGGACTACAATGTCAGCGTAGCCGTTATCGAAGGCGGGCCCTCGGACGTCGGGCTCGACCGCGTCCTGAACCTCTCACGCTGGCTCGAACTGCTCGGCAGCGAGCTCGATTACGACTACACCACAACTGCACAGCCGCGGGGCAACTCGGACATCCGCCACTCGCGCGCCAAGGTCCTCGGTGGCTGTAGCAGCCACAACACACTGATCTCCTTCCGGCCGCTCAAGGAGGACCTTGACTGGTGGGCGCAGTGCCACGGCTGCCCCTCCTGGTCGGCCGACAAGCTGCAGCCGTACGGCGACCGCCTCAAGCTCAACACGGTCCCCGTCCAGGCGCAACACCGCAACCAGGTCGTGCGTGACTGGGTCAACGCGGCAGCTGAGACGTTCGACGCGCCGCTCATCTCCGACTTTAACGCGCAAATTGTTCACCGCGACGGGTTCACACCGTCCAAGGGCAAGGGCGCCGGCTTTTTCAGCATCAGCTACGATCCGTACAATGGCGACCGCAGCAGCGCTAGCACATCATACCTGCACCCGATTATGCCGCAAGCGCCACGTGGCGCGCGCAAGAACCTGCACCTCTTTCTCGAGACTTGGGCCGAAAAGGTTGTTTTTGACGGCGCGAACAGCAAGCGCATCCGCAGCGTGCAGGTCGTCCAAAAGGGCGGACAACGCTTCGAGATCTCGGCGCGCCGCGACGTGATCCTCTGCGCCGGTGCCATCGACACACCACGCCTGCTGCTACTCTCGGGCATCGGTTCCGCCGCCGACCTGGCCAGCGTCGGGATCGAGTGCAAGCATGACCTACCCGGCGTCGGGCGCAACCTGTCGGACCACCCCGAGACGATCATCATGTGGGAGACGCGCGAGACGCCCAAGGAGACCGTCATGCTCTCCGACGCCGGCGTCTTCCTGCGCGTCCTGCCCCCGAGCGAGGAGCCGGGCAACGGCGAGCTGCACAAGGACCAGCCGGACATGATGATGCACTGCTACCAAGTCGTCTTTGGCGAACACCTCAAGTCCAAGGGGTATAAGCTGCCCGAGCACGCGTTCTGCATGACTCCCAACATCCCGCGCAGCCAAGCTCGCGGCACGATCAAGCTCGCCAGCGCCAACCCGGCTGATAAGCCGCTGATCGACTTCAAGTACTTTGAGGACGAGCGGCGCTACGACGAGCGTATCCTCGTCGAGGGACTCAAGGCTGCGCGAAAGATCGCGCAGCATGCGCCGTTCCGCCAGCACCTCGTACGCGAAGTCGCGCCCGGCCCCGCCGTGCAGACCGACGAGGAGCTCAGCGCGTACGCCCGTTCCGTACACCACACCGTCTACCACCCGAGCTCGTCGTGCAAGATGGGCACCCCGGGACAGATCCGCCGCGAGGGCACCGTCAGCGCGCTCCAGGGCAAGGTCGACGACGAGGTTGTCTGCGATGAGAAGAACCTCAAGGTCGTCGGCCTGCAGGGCCTGAGGATCTGCGACGCGAGCGTGATGCCCGTCTTGCCGACCATCAACCCGATGCTCACCATCCTCATGGTTGCCGAGCGCGCGGCGGATCTCATCAAGTGGGACGTCTGATCCGAACTCTGCATCGCTGCGCCGCATTAAAAAGAAGAGAGATATGTTGACCTTTGGAACTCAACGCAAACAATGTTTCCTATATAGCTTTATTGTCCTATCGATGGGTTTCATTGATCTAGACCTTGTCTGTGCCTCTACTTGGACAGCTCCGACGCGAGCTTATAGCTCAAGGCCTGTTATGGGAAATGCAAGAATCGTCCTTGTCAGCTGGGTTTCTACGCCATTGATCACGAGTGATGACCCGCAAGGTAGCAACCGACTCACCCTGTCCCAATCCAACTTCTGCTTGGTGACGGGCAACTGTCTGCGTATCGCCTTGAACGTCTTCTCGCTCAACTCGGCGTATGCCTCGTTCAGCGTCTGGTGGTATTCCTGCTCGTGCCCCTTGATAGCCTGCGCGATCGCTTTGCCAACTGCTTCGGCCATAGCATCATCGATCGCGCCAGCCTTGGTCTCTGTCGCTCCCGCCCCGGCAGGCAGATCGAGCTCGAGCTCTGCAGGCTTTGACGTTGCCAGCTGCACGTTTCCATCTTCGAAGTAGTGGACTTGTACTTGAATGCTAGATTGCAGCATCGATGGTCCAGACGAAGATGGCGTGTATGTGTAGGAGGAGCGCCATCGGCCAGCCCTGATCGATCAGACCATTTTTGGAATGTACCCTTGGTCAGCATTTCAATTGCGAGGTATACTCCTGGTTAAGGCTGGCTAAAGGGATGTCGCTCACCAAAAGTTGGAGAGGTTGTATCTGTTTCCCACGATGTGTGTCACATACGTCGGTGCACCTTGCGGTTCTGGCTCCTCCTTCTCCCTCTCCATCGCAGGCCCCGGGGTCTCCGTCACCTCAACTTCTTCCAGAGCCTTCGCTGTTTCGACCGCATCGTCTTTGGGGTCCGCGTCGTCATTCGCCGGCTCAGCCTTGCCTTCAGCTACATTAGCATCATCGGTCGCATCCTGATTATCTTCTGGCTCTCCCGCTTTTCCCTCCTCGTCCGCATTTTTCGCTGCCTCCTCATTCACGTCAGCCACAGCGGCTGTGGGCACCGTAGGATCCTGAGCTGCTCCTTGTACCGCCTGCGTCGTATTCTCGTCTGCTTCCGCCTCGTCAGCATCGGGCGCACGCGCGGCAGCAGGAACTTGACGGCTTGGGTCTTGCTCGATGACGGTGAATGTGGAGATGACACCGTCTTGATAGTGGTCAAGCACGTATTTGGCTACTTTGGTATCGATGGCCGCGCGCACCTTTTCGAATGATTTGTTGACACGAAGCGGTCGCGGGTCGCTCAGGGCCTGCATTCGTTATACACGGAAGAATTTGTCAGATGATCATGCTTGCAGCTCAAATTCAGAAATGATCTGACTCTACACGTACGAGCCTCAGATGATCAAATGCATAGCTCAAGCCAGCCTTCGGATCCGCATAGCGAGCGTTCTGTCCTGCTACCGATGCCGCTCTCGCGATGATGAGCGGTTTCTCGTCTACTTTACCGTCTGCTGACGCCGGAGGCTTGACAGTGATAAGCTGATCGGTATTGTACTGTTCCAGGACAGGCTGAGCTTGCTGCTTGAGCTGGTCCGAGACGTGGCTCTGCCCGCTCGACTCGAGGAGCACTCGTAGGTCGTGGTACACCTTGGACGTCTGTCCCGGTGGTGTCTGCAGCAGCAGCGCCACCGCTTGCGCCGTAAGCAATGCAGAGGAGGACATGGCGGCACTGGCAGTATCTCAGACTGCAGAGCTGTACTTGGACATAGACAGCGAGGAAGGACATACAAATGTGGAGGCTGTCTCTGATCCGGTGCTATTTAGAGACCGTTGTGGAAAGAGAGATTAGAGACGACCGTGGTCCGTGGCTCGGCGCGGCGGCCGGCGCGTGCGTCGCTGAATCTATTGTGGCTTTATTCCATGTCAAGGTGGTTAAATGGAATACCGTGCTCACTCTCTTTGGAAGGCCATTCTGCATGCACCCATACATTGCTTGATTCAGGCAACGAATTTTGAAGTGGATCATTGCATGCGAATACAGTTTGATGTGAACAGCTAGCAGGCCCATGGTGCGTTGCTCGCAATGCCCTTATCCTCCGGAGCATACATCTGCGCAAGGTGATACCTCCTGAATGCGTACGACACCACCGACTCCCACCATCTGGAGGGGCTTGGTCTTACCGACAATCTGTACCCATGTTGTCGTCTTAATTGTTGCTCTCTCTTTTGTGCCATGAAATATCAGACTTTACCTGTTACGGCTCGCTATCTTGCTGGTAAAGACGAAGTATCCAACATGCGGGCTTTCTTGCCTTTTCGACCAAGTATTCTCTCACCGTGCACATGTTCGAGCTATACTGCCGCTGGAGCCAAGCCATCCTCCTCCACAGCCCCTCCTCGCCTTGCAACTCTCTTCACACTTCCCCTCGACCGCCCCGTCGACTCAGAAGCCCCGCCTTGCTCGACAGTGCCCTGGCCGTTGCGCCGGCTCGCGCTCCCTCAGATGAAAATGTTCATCTGATTGCCTTGTGCGTTCTGTTGCCCAGCCGCAACTCCCTCTAGGCAAGACGCCAGGCTGAATGAAGGATCGCCCTACCCGCCTGCCCTTCTTCCGATCGAGATGCTGTCCTGGCCGCCGTATGTATTGTAGCTCTCCGAGTCGATGACGATCATCGCTCCACTGGTTGTCCACAGCCTCTCGAACACCTCGCGTCCGGCGCGTCCGCCGCTGAGCTTGTTGTATACGGGCCGACAATCTAAGCTGACCTAGATGTGGTGCTGCTTGTCCTTCCCATAGTTATAACAGTGATGCCATCGGGCTCTGGTGTCCATCCGCTATGCGTCCCTGCCGGAGGAGCACGAGCGGGTGAAACAGGGAACTCACCATGGCGGTGATCCTGCGGCACAAACCCTGGGTTTGAAGCTTCAGCTCGCCGTAGTGCATTCCGATTTTCTTCAGGTGACCATCCGCTGCGGGCGACCTGTCGTGGGACGTGAAGTGGGAACAAAGGCCGCGATCCCTCTTGGAATTCGGCGCTGGTCCGACGTTTTGCAAGTTACGACTTTGTATGCGCAATTAAGAAGATGAAGATATTCAAATAAGCACTAGCGTTTCTTTAGCACATCTGCTACTGTTCTGCACATACCTCCGCCTGCATCGATGGATCTGGTGACCTTTCACTGTGCTCGTCCTGTCCAACGTCAGGGTAAGGAGAGGTTCCCTGCTGTTTTTCTTCTATCCTTGCCCACTCCTCGCTGCTGGCACCAATCACTGCGCTGCAGCGAATGAGGGACGCGCACTCGCTGTCGATCAATCGGCTTGACTCGCTGGCCCGATCCAATCCGACTCAATGGCCGTGCTGATTCTGGTGTCCAACTGCTACGCACATCTCTTGTGCCTTCATGGTGAACGCAAGCCTGCTCCGCTTCTCTCGCGTTCTCCCTGCGCGATCCACGCTCGTTGTTACACTAGGAAATTGGAGAACTTGGAAAGCATATGATGTGAATCAGTGGCCTGATTCCCTGGCCGCGTGGGCTCATTCTGATCGTCTGAACCCATCGGCTCTAAGTTCCAGCCACCGCGGACAACTTTTCTTAGCCTCCTCACTTCGAGAGGTAAGATGACCCTCTGCTGCCCCGGAGTCTTGGTGTCAGCCTCGCGTCTTGGCGCCTCAGCGTGTCGCAATGTAGCATTCTGAGACGCACACATTCATTTTTTGGCGAGGCGGATTCGCCAAACGCCTTGAAGTAGATGAACCTGGCAGCTCTTCTGCCTCGGGTGACCAACCGCTGCGCACTTGCTGCTCAAAACCCTAGTGAGTAGGTGCCTGCGCTTCTTCCGTGATTGGTGTCCTGTGTGAGCCCCTTCGTGTTTCAAAATGTGAAGAGAATGGCCTCAGCCGACTTCTTCGCCCCTCACAAGTCAGAACTTACGACGGCCGTGGCCGAGGGTCAGGAGTCGGACTTTCCGGCTCTGGCGTCCATCCGCTGCTGCTCTTTTGCGGTGCCCCCGAAGAAAACTGATGTGGCTGCGGCCTTTCACCCCCCCTCCGCCCGCCGTTACGTTGCCGCGATGCGGTGAGCCAGAAATCGAGGCGTGCATGCGATCTCCGCCACTCGGGCGAGATGGCCGTTCTTCCTGCGCCCCTCTCACCCGCTTTGCCAGCTCAAATATCCATCCGCTGCGTGTGTGGTCCTACCGTGCTTCGTGCCTTGAGCTCACCTGCACAACTGCTCCCCTTAATCCATCTCCATTGATCTCGACCTTCGGTGGCTGCGAATGCGCTGAGACAAAGAATGTCGACCCTCGCCCAAGGACCCCCGAGTATAAAAAACGCCGCCGAGTGTCACTGCACAGTCTGTGCACGAGTACCTTCTGGTTTGGGAATCGGTCTACTGAGCTCGAAAGGGTCTGACGGCCTCGGCTCCATCTTCTCGTCGTCCCGGGTCGCGATGCTCCTGCCACCTCAAGCGGCCATCGTGATGATCACTAGAAAGACCACAGGAACTGCATCCCCCTCGTATCGGCGGCGCCTCGTGCCGCTTGTCTTTGATACCGCGTTGCGAAGCAGAAATGTCAGAGTCATGTCTGGCGGAGCGTCGCGTTGCCGCCGAGGCAACGGCGGATGATGAGGTTTGTGGTGGACGCGGACCTTCCGCTTTCGGTGACCAGCCGCTATGAGCAGTGGGGGCAGCTGGAGGTGAAGGTGATCTTTTCGCTCTCGAGTCCAAGCTACACTTCTATTTCGATACTCGGGACCGTAGATACGTTGTGAAGCATAAGAGGCATGCCCTTGCCCTCCGTGTGCTCCCGCATGCGGCTCTGGTTCGGGACTCCAGTCACTATGAGCGGCATCCAGCAAGCGCTCGCTTCTTATTTCAGCCGCGGTATCGCCATCCCCTTGATGGTCACGTGCGGACGACGGTTGACCAAGTGGTGGAGTGGTGCTCCACCCACTGCACTCAGCAGCTCTTGGAGCATCACCAGAAAGCGTGCCATCAGGCGCATTCCACTGGGAAGGAGCGTAGTCGGGCCTCAATGGGGGCAGCTTCCCTTGATCGCTCCAACCGTCCCTGTCTGGGCTTCCTCCGAAGATCGGGAGGATTGGTCTGTTGGTACCGGCGCGATGCACTGAATAGTCTCCTGTTCGATTCTGCGCACAATGTGACTGAGCAGTTCCTCCATTCATTGTCTCATTTTTCCACGCTGAGGTGGCGTGCGCATTACCTCAGACACTGCCATCATCAACTTCACCCCAATCAACCGCAGAGGGTTGAATGTCGTCTTCGCTGTCATCCCAGCCATCAAAGCGGCCTCCTCCGCTTGACAATGACTGGGTCCGAAACTTCGTAGTCCCCAGTACGCGTGAGCCTCAGGAGCTCTGCTGCTGTCCCGAGATAGCAGACGTACCCCTTGCGGCTGATAGCGTAGTCGCCGATGGAAATTGGCTCTGGGATGTGAACTATGCTCCAGCGTCAGCTGCAACCGGGTGGGAGACGTGGCTAAGCCGCGGACATGAACGAGAACTTCTTCGTGGTAGTGGTGGTGATCGTACTCGACGCAGAAGTGAGGCCCATGTTCGTCGAATGCGACGGGCGGTAGGGGGCGACGTGATCGCGTGCGCGCGGGACCGATTTCATTACGGTACGGTCTGGCTCAAAGCAGCAGGGACAAGAAAATTCATGTACATCAAATGATCAGAAAAGTCACTTACTAGTTCCGGCGATTTCGTCTTCACAACACCGTTCTCCAGCTTGATCGCAGGTGCCTTCATGTAATTGGCCGAACTCGAACATCCCTAGACGCTCTTCTAAGTGTGCACAGGTGCCAAATTTTTTTTCTGAGCAGATGGTGCTCTCTATTCGCTGGCGATCCTTCCCTCTCTTCTCCGAGACCCACAAAAGTCGGCATCCACGAAGTAAAGTCGGCCGCCGGGCCCAATAATAAGAGACAGGTGGTCAAGGGCGGCTTGCAGCGGAAGACCAGGATCTCGCCTGTGTCATGGCTGACGCATACGGCCTATTCCTGGTAGATTCCGATGATTCCATGTCCTCATCCGGCTCGAAGACTTCCGTAGGCTTCGATGGCCAACCGTCTTCAGAGGAAGCTCTTGTGCGAATATCAATACTGCTTCAATCGGCGAGAGACACGCATAGCAGGCTGTTTGCGGAGTAGTGCACGGTACTCTTACCTCCCCACAGCGTCGTTCGCCGGTTGTTCAAGGCGGGCCGCTGATCTGGCTTCTTATAGCGCGGCCCACTCGACTGATGAGCCACAAGGTCCAACAGCAGCAGCTCTGCTTCGAAGGATCCGCGAAAGACATTGCAACGGGCGAAGCCACGTTTCTTGCATTGCCAGTCAACATGTAGATATCCTAGCGAGATGCTGAAGTACGTGCGGGGCATGTAGGTGTCGCTGTTTGCCGGCGCCTTGGGGGCGAATGTCTTGGCAACATCCTCTCTGATGCGGAAGTCGGCGTCTGGGAGCAGGCAGACTTGCAACCCAGTCGTCCTTGGAGCGGGCCGTGGGCGGTTGCGAACCGCCATAGAGCTGGTAGCCCGTCAAATTGGGCACATGGCTGTCGAGGATATACTTCGAAGATCTCGCATGCCCTCTCAGCCGTCGATTTGTCCGTCGCCGACAAGATTCGCGAGTCCAGTGACCACTTGAAGAACTTGTCTTCCAGCGAGTGAAAGAAGGCTTCGTGTGGAGTCTCGGCATAGATGACTCGGAGCATGTCTTGCTCGTCACCCCACGGGACTGGTACTTCCATCGCTTGTAACTGGGTGACTGGTGAGCCGGAATCGGTTTGAAGTCAAGCTCCATCTTTCGTCAAAGAGCTGCTTTTGGTCGACAAACAAGATTTCGTGATCAAAATTGAGGGCGACTTGCGCAGGAGGATATCAGTGAAATTTGATGATGGTGACGCTCTGCTTCTCGACCTGCGCCAGCATCAGTCCGAATGCTTGACCGTGCATTAGTATCCCCGGATCATGGTACCGCGTCGATGCGAAGTATGTATCCGTCAGTGTCGGAATGGAGGCGGCAAGCAACGGTGGAAGGCGGATGAATCTGGATCCAGGTTCCTTGCAGATAAGCTCTTGCGCGGACTTTGGCAGTCCCGGAGGGTGTTTCCTGACAGCATCCTATATCACCTCCCGATGTGCTCTTGAGGTCTGCGTGTAGGCGAGCAGAGATCGAAAGTCACATGAGGCCGTGACTGCTTCCGCGATGACGCCGATCACCGTTGGGGGAAACGACTTTGCGCCTGACGGTGTATTTGACGCTACGACCAATCCTGCATGTCCGGGGTGCCACAGAAAGCGGTATAATGGACCTCGCTACCTGATGCATTCATACGAACGGTGTGGCCTCAAGTCAACGAAATGCAGAGGCTCATGCACTCAAGCGCTCCCGCCGAATCCAGACTCCCGACTCTGAAGTAGCGTGACATGCTCGCCTTTGGCAAGGCTAGATTGAGCGCTACCAGCTCCGCTCGGACTTCTTTGGTAAAAGCGCATTGCTTGAGATGCTTGCCTTGCTCTTTAGGTCAAAACTCGTCTCAACCATTACAATGACGAATCTCGGATATTTCGCACAGTGCCAAATGCTAGCTGCAGCGCGTGCAGGCAGGCGGGGAGAGACTCGAAACAGAAGAGGACGGCTTCGACCTTCACAGTAGTTTACTTGGATTACTGATATCAGGATATCATCAGATGCTACCATTCACTTATACTACAAGTTTAGGCTCTCCAGCGCCAAGGTTATGGATTGTAGCTTGCCCTGCAGGGAAGAAAGAAGGAGAGAATTCAAGGCTCTTACCGTCAACATGAAACGCAACCTTCCTGAGCTGTACTTTCGACTTACCTGCGAGACTGTCAAGCTGTAGCCAATTAACGATTGGCTCTTCCCGTCCACCCAGCCCGTTTAGTACCGCCTGACCCAAAAGGCCGCCAAGGACGGCAGTCGTCGGTGCAAAGTCGCCGATGCCTCCACCGCCGCCGTCGCTCGCCGAAGCCGTCGATGAGGATGATACTGCGACATGAAGTGACTGATAGAATTCGTCATTTACGCCGTCGGCGACGGATGGATCGACGCCCTTGGCCTCCATGATCACCTCTGCTCGCTTTCGGAGCTCGGACGGCGATGCTTCCGGGGTTTCCCATAGCGCTGCAATTGACTCATGCGGTTAGCACTGCGTTAACCAGGCTGCCTGACTGGCCCCTTGCGCGTTGCCGGTTTCGTCCTTGGACTCACCAAGCGTACCAAAAAAGCCCGCACTTAGCTTGAGTCTCTTCAGCTTGCGCTCATTCATGCCCTTCCACTCCTTTGCGAGTGCCTCGTTGAGCGGCACAAATCGCTGCGAATATTTGAACTTCTTCTTTACGGGCGGGCCCGCCGCGGCTTGCCCCCCTGTATTAGCCGAGCGCTCCACGACGTACTCCGCCGAGTCACCGAGATCGGAAAAGAGCCATCCTCCTAGCCCTTGCGCTTGAGATACATAGAATTTCAGGGATAGCTCGCGGCAGATCTTGTTCAGTGCAACCTAGGGAAAGTCAGGAGACATAAGTCAGTATGTGTAGCGCTTCCAAAATGGTGGCACACACTCACCAATTCCTCCTTGTTGCCAGATGTAGCAACAATTACATCGAGGGCCATCGCGCGAAGCTTCTCCTTGTTCTTGAGCACGCTTGCATCTGACAGAGTGTTGATCTTGACAAGGGGGTTCAGATTTTGGATCCTCGCCGCGGCAGCGTCAACTCTCTACCCAGAATGATGACACAATCACGATATGCATTCACAGTATAAGCATCGTGTTCGGGCGGATCATGGTATCAAGAGCATATTGCGCTTACCAGCTTCCCCACATCATTTCCTCGATAGAAGAAGCCGCTACTCAGGTCCTCCTCTGCGACCTCGTTTGCATCGACGATCGTCAGACTGCCGATGCCACTCAGAACGATGTTCTTGATTGCCTCTGTTGCGAGGCCTTGGATATTTTGCACTAAGACGTGCGCTTTTCGAATGCTGTATGCGCATGACGGTGCCAATGTTCGGCCATCGCCCGTAAGCTTTGGCGACGTGAGGCTGAGAGGGGGTCACACTCACCGACTTTGCGCCTCTAGGCCCCAAAGCCTGATTTGACGATCATATAGCGCGGCCTCCTCTGCAGGCGTCCAAAGAAGAATGCAGTCAGATGGCATAGTATATAGCTACAGTTTCGATGCGCGACGAGCACGAAAGCGCCTCGCAGTCGCCCATACCGAGCAAGCAGCTCACCCTCCGTCACGTCATGCGCTTTCGATCCCGCGGTCCGCGCGCGTTTACTGGCACCCGAAACTTCTGCCGGCTCCTCTGCCGGGCGTGTCTGCGTCATTTTGCACATATACAGATCGTTTACAGGCACCGCTGCTGGCCATCTGTTGCACCTCCGCACATGAAGCCATGATATGGGAGGAAAGGAGGTCGATCGATGCGTCAGGGTGCAAAAGTGTTGGAGACGCGCAGCATGACGAGTGAAAGGCGAGAGGCGAGCGCGACGTGAATCTGAATCCCCGTTTTTGGTTTGGGTGGCATCAATCTGAGCGCAATACACAATAGAGCACAGCACTGCAGCACTTTCCGCCAGATTGTTGCCTGGCTGGATGAGTCGATGAAAAGGCAGGAAGACAGAGAGAGAGACCCATCGCAGACTCACCATCAGAATGGGCCAACAAGCTTGATCTCGCTCATCCCGGGTTGATTGCAGCACCTCACAGCTTGCGGCGGCTGACCACCAGCGACTGACAGTGAAGGTCTGCCCTGCTTCCCTGCTCTGATATCGATCGCAGCCAAAGCGGTACGACTCGGGCACCCAGGGGATACTTCCATCTCACAGACAGCAGTCTGGTGCTGCCTCCGAAGCAACTTTGTCAATTTCCGGTTTTCACCTTCCATCCAATCGGGAGGATCAGGAGGTACCACTCCCCAACTAGCAGCTGTACAACCACAGGGAGATAGTGGATCAAGGCGGGAGACAGTGCCCATCATTCTCTCAAACCATTGAAGGGCAGAAGATAGAAAGTGCATCGTAAGGGACATGTCCGCCGGAAACAAGATTTCTGGGCCTCTGTTCGAGGACGAGGAGCAGGGTATGATCGCCGCCGAGGGGGCGGAGGCCATGCAGGCCGAGTATGACGAAGATCAGGAAGAGGAAGAAGAAGACGAAAATGAAGAAGCCGTTGGGGATGCCATGATGGGCCAGGACGATCTGGAAGGTGAGAAACACTGAGTCTCAGAGTGCAATCAATGGGCAGAACTCTTCATGCTCATGAGCTTTCTTGGATTCACACCTTGATTTTTTATTAGAAGAATCCGAGTCGGCATCAGAATCGGGGACAGACTCCCTAACATGGATATCCTGGTTCTGCTCACTGCCGGGACACGAATACTTTGCAGAAGTCAGCGAGGACTTTATCGAAGATGACTTCAATCTGACCGGGCTAAATGCGCTGGTACCCTTCTATCGCGAAGCTCTTGAGATGATTTTGGACGTTGAGCCACGTAAGTCCGCTCAGCCGCCCTCGTGGAGCTTTTGCACTCAATGGCCGATGGAATATGGGCTGCTCAACTGATGCTTTCTGATGATGTATTTGGCACAGAAGAAGACTCTCCGAAGATCCCAGATGTCTCGATTGTTGAGTCATCAGCCGAGCTGTTATATGGGTTGATTCATCAGCGATATATCCTTACGCGACAAGGCTTACAACAGATGGTCAGTGTCCCGCAGCCCATCTATCAAGAAGCCCACGCTGCATCTTCCTGACCCCTTGCCTCTTCTTTCTTGAAATAGGTCGAAAAATTCGAGAGTGGTCACTTTGGATACTGCCCGCGGGTATTCTGCCATTCGCACCCAGTCCTTCCATGCGGACGCTCGGACCTGCCAGGCTTGGACACTGTTAAGGCATGTTCCTGGAGCGACCCTTCGTGAACCCCTCTGCACTCAGTGTGAAAGCTGACAAACGCACATTCTACAGCTTTACTGTCCCAATTGCTTCGACTGCTACGCCCCTCCATCTTCCCGATTCCACGGTGTCGATGGTAAGTGCTCTCCCAACGTGAGCTGCGCGGCGAAATACTGATCTGTTGCTGCTCGTTGCGCATTGGCTCGGATGTTTCCAGGCGCATTCTTTGGGACAACATTTCCGCACCTCCTTTTCCAATGCTACCGCGACATTGCACCCTCGCCCATCGCGCCACCGGGGTCGAATGAGAAATCACTCAACCCGCTCCTGCCGTCGTCGCACTTTTCCGCCGTCGACGAGTCTGGCGTAGGCGCCATGGGCGGCTTTCCGGACGGTCGCGGGAGCGACTCGCACATGCCGCCGCACCTGGTTGGCCAAAAAGTACCGAATGAGCGGCTCTACACGCCGCGCATCTATGGGTTCAGGGTCAGCGAGCACGCAAAGAGCGGTCCACGGATGCGCTGGTTGCGCATGCGCCCAGAGAGCTACGATGAGCTCATGAAAGGCCTCCCAGCGGGCTCGACGAACAAGCCTGCGACGGATACCTTGGATGTATCGCCAGCAAGCATTGGCAATGGTGACGAAGCATTATCGCCCAGGGTGGATGTTGCAGGGACAGTGGAGAAGTCTGACGCAATGGCCATCTCGGGAAGCGGGCGGTGAAGAGAGCCATGCCGCAATAGCTTTACTTTACCTTGACTTTCCACATGTACTCGTACACTTCCCATCTACACCTTTACACCCGAACTCACGGAGCAGCATTGCATCCATTCTGCGGCCCATATCTTGGGAGTAAGGTGGATCTGAATTGAGTCGATTTGTTGCCAGACGAAGCGACGAACGCGCCTTAGAATTGCACCGCGTCCAGCGGATATCGTCGGCTTTGATGGAACGGGCCGCCGAGAGGCAATCTGGCTTTGCGGTTGATCGCCTAGCCATATTAATACTCTCATTCACACCCTTCTGTACTCGCAGTCCCTTTGATCTCAAGCTGTTAAGATCGTCAAGCAACTTGTCGAAGGTATCGAACAGGAGTTGAAAGATGGCGGTCAACGCAGCAAAGCATGGCGTCAAGACGCTCGGGGTCATTGGCAGCGGCCAGATGGGACTTGGTGAGCTGCCTCTTAGCATCGTGGCTCGTGTCAATCGCTGACAAGATGACCTTATATCACTGCAGGCATCGCATTTGTCGCGGCAGTCAAAGCCCAGGTTCCAAAAGTCCTGCTCTGTGACGCATCACCAGCGCAGTTGAAGAAAGGTGTAGCATTCTTCGACAAGCTTCTCGCCAAGGATGTGAGCAAGGGCAAGCTCACGCAGGAGGAAGCCGACGCGGCCAAAGCGCGCCTGCACCCCGTCGATGGCATCCCCGCGCTTAAGTTGAGCAGCGATGACTCACCCCAAATGGTCATCGAGGCCGCTACCGAGTCGCTAGCCGTAAAGCAAAAGATTTTCGGATCACTCGCGTCAACACTACCACTCTCCACAATCCTCGCTACGAACACATCCTCCATTTCCGTCACAAAAATTGCAGCCAGTGCCATCGCAGAGAATGCAAAGGCTGGCTCGGAAGATGCCATTGAAGGGCCGAAACGCGTGCTCGGATTGCACTTCTTCAACCCGGTACCGGTCATGAAGCTCGTGGAGCTCATCCCGGCACTTCAGACCAGTAAGGACATCGTCGACCGTGCGCACGCATTCGCCGAGGCCTGCGGCAAGACGGTCACACATAGCACCGACGTACCCGGCTTTGTTTCGAACCGGCTGCTGATGCCCTTCATCAACGAGGCGATAATGACACTGGAGAAGGGCATTTCAAGCAAGGAGGACATCGACACATGTCTCCGCTTCGGTATGGGTCACCCCATGGGCCCGTTGGCACTGGCAGATTTCATCGGCCTCGACACCTGCCTTTAGTGAGAACAATCACTGACTCCTACGCTGTTCTGGAATTTCGCGACCGTTTTGCTGACCAATATACTTCTCACAACAGCATCATGGAGACCATGTATCGCGAAACATGCGACTCGAAGTACAGGCCCTCTGTCTTGCTTGGGCGCATGGTTGATGCCGGCTGGTATGGAAAGAAGAGCGGAAAGGTGAAACTGCGATCGAAGCCCGTTGCATGCATAGTTGTGATAAAGGCAAAATGCAATTGCTACTCGTTCCTCTTACTGACATTTACTGTTACAATCGAAATGAATGCTTGCAGGGATTTTACGACTACCCATCTGATACCAGAGTATAAAATAGCACAATCAATTTGTTTCAACTCAGCCTCGCTTTCATGGAAGCTCCTTTCTTTTCTGCGCATCCTCCCAGACCCAAATTGAGCAGCTGTGCGCTTAGCGTTTGAGCTCCTCCCAACGTATTCGTTGACTTAATTTTCTACTGATGCTGACGAGTCACATTGACCTGGCTGACCCTCGTACCCTTTCCCCATCTCCATCCCTTGGTGCCCCCTCATCCGCAATGCAAAGCCCGACAATGCAGCCATCGTGCCCGTGCTCGTCACCGCCCCGCGCCCAGCCGATGCAGCTGGGGTGCTCCCAGCAATCCCTCTGCATCATATATGCGAAGTGCCTACGCGCAGCGATAAGGGTAACAAGATTTGGCATGATCAGCAATTCAGGTTGATCTTTAACCTGACCGTGGCAGCCGTGGAGGTCGCCGACAAAGACGCAGGGCGTGCTGCTCTCGCACAGAGCGATAATGGCGTATGCCAAAGGCATAAAGGCCAGTGGGACGGGTGGCTCGAGTGCCTGGCCTGCCTGCGTGTCGTGGTTGTTAACGAGTGTGATAGCTTCATCTTGGCGCGTTTGCCGGATGGACCCTTCAAGGATATTGAGCAATTCACAATCCAAACCTGCCTCAACTGCCTCTTCAAAGTAGTAGTGCAACGCAGCATCGAAGTGGGAGGAGGGCTCGCCTGTAAAGCTGTCGAGGTGTACTTCGCACGACTTGGCAGAGTTTTTACAGTGTTCTCCGACACTGAACAGGCCCGGACTAACCAATTTGTTTACTCCCGTCTGCTCAGCGCGATACTTTGTGCGCCTCCGCCCAGACGTGCTTGACAAAGCCGAAGACGAATTTCCTGGAGATATGTTTGATTGCGTCGAAATGGAAGCCCTCGAGGGGAAAGGTGCAAATGACTCATTTTGCGCAATTGAGCAGGTCTCCACGGATATCCGGCTGTGAATGGTCATTGTTGGCACCCTTGTTGGAGAAGCATCAAAATCGAGCCGCCATAGTGATGGGACTCGCATGCACCCACATCAGAAATTGTATCCACCTTTTTCACCGTCGACATTTTGCGCCCACATCTTTCTACGACCCGCAACGCGGAACATTCGCTTTCCTTGCTTTTTGTCATCCCAATCTACGCCAATGAAACTCTGAAAGCTCCATTTGAAGTCGCTGTACTTGCCTGCGTGACCGGGGAACTTGAACTTGGTGCATCCTTTGATTTGGTCCGCTGTACCTTCGTAAGGTCGATCGTTCTCGTTACGGGGCGAGGAAGGTTTCCTTGTCGTCAGCGCCAATCATGTGATTCATGACCACATCCAGGTAAATGCCGATCTATTGGGCGGTACACCAAAAGTTACGTCAGCTTAGCCAGTGACACGGGTGAGGCGTAACCACTCGAACTCGCAACCAACACCGTTCTCGCGAAGCGTCTTCATCGTCACTTCCAGTTGATCCTCTGTGCCGTACTTGATCCTGGTTTCAGCGTTCTCAGCATTCGAATTCTTGATGTACTCTCCAAAATTCGAGAGATCATACGCTGTGGAATTGAATGGCGTATTATCAAGCCGACCAGCGCCATCCTCTTGAGTGCAATTGCAATCCCTACGGTGGAAGCAGTAGTCGCCACCGTGGTTGCATGCAAGTGCTCACCATCTCCATTGCCATGCTGTGATTAGGCCTTGTAAGCGGGGAGGGGGAGACCACACAGGGGTAATGCCCATATGCGCAAAGAGTTTAGCTTTGTCCCCAAGCCACTGCCAGAGCGCGCCAGATACGAGTGTACCATTCTAAGGATTCAACAAGGTAAAAATTGACTTGGGGTCCCTGAGCAGGGCATGACGAGGCGTGGAGGAGGTCATGACAACAGAACAATCGCTACTGGACCCGCTTACCGGCGAAGGGGGCAGAAAGGGCAGTAGAAAGGATGAAAAGAGGAAAGAATGAGAGGTACATGTAGGCGACGGTTAAAAGAAGACGTAGCTCACGGTCAACGACGCGTCGAGAGTTCATCAAACGCAGCTGTTGGTTCGTGGCTGTGTAGGAGGGAAATTGCGCATATGATGTGCGAGGTAAAGCCAATGTAAATATACTCCTTTTGATGCGCCTCCAAAAGCAGCAAGGAGCCAAAGAGAGTTCCTGACTTCCTCAAGCACCGAAGCTTTCAGCAGTCTCGCGAAGTCGGTTCAGCTCCTCTCGCAAATATTCTGTTGCCTTATCGACGCCGACGCGATCAAGCCTGACGCCCGCGCTGCTGACCCCTCCATTGCCCTTAGCCGAGCCGGATGATGTGCTGCTTTCCTTGAGCGGAAACTCGATAGATGCTTCGGATGGGAAGCTGAGCTCGATCAGCGCGATAGGCACGAGCTGGTTCTTTTTTCGTTGTGGCTGCTGCTCTTGCTCCTGCTCATTCTGCGGCTTTCCGATGGCGTTCGAAACAGAAGTAGATGTCTCTCTTCGCGCCTTTTTCCGATCTGATAGTGACGTACGCAGCACCGTAACTGTCCCACATAGTTGCGAGCGTGCCAGGTCTATGCCGCCGATGAAGCTAGCCAACCACTTCTGCACATCCTGCACACTTGCAAATGGCTCGAATACCAGCGTACACTCTGGAAATTCGGTTCTGAGTTCTGAGAGCTTTCCTTTGAGCGCGCTGGCCGTCTGCGAGGCGCGTGCGCCGGTGCCACAGGCAATTCAGATTGTTAGAGACAGAACAAGTGACAACGGAAAGAATGAAATCAAGCAACTCACTCTGCAGTAGAGGAAAAGGCCAATGACTGGCGCGAGCACCGATGCATTTGCCTCACTTGCATGGGGCACCATATGAGTGCCCAGGCTTGCCTCGTCTCCAGCTTGCATCGCCCTGGCGACTCGCTTGTACTTTTGCACAAGCGCTAGCCGTGCGACCCAACAAAGAGCTGCTGCAATTGGCGAATAGTGCTCTGCAGTCCCTTTTCCTTCAACCTGATGAGCCTCATGACGCGCTGAAGATGATGTCTTTTCGTGGGTCGCCGACGTCACACAAGTGGGCACGAACTCGTAAGAAAGCGTCACATCGGGCGTCAATGCCAGCTTTACCGATTCAGCAGAGATGCTGATGTCGTAGGTGCTGGAGAGCTGGCGTGCTTGTCGTGTAATCTGAAGGTACATTCCGCCAGCGGGAGGTCAAACGTGGTGTCAGTGGATGCTTCAAACTTCACCGCGTCCAATGCAGTAGCTGCTAACCTCGTCGAAAAGCTCCACATCTGCAATCTCATCCACAGCCCGTTGCAGTACCGCATCGATGGTTGTTTCTGCGCTCTGTGCTGACTCTTCGCCATTGGTCAGGTCACTGCACAGCAGCACCTCTTCTTCCCCTATTGCGTCTACAACTTTGCTACTCTCCGCAACATGAGCAGCCTTTCCGCTTGTGCGGAGCTTGAATGCAACACGCAGTCGCTTGTTAGGACGGTCTGGTATAACAATGTGCTTGGCAATGATGTGATCTGGAATGGCTGCCGGGTCGTCCGGCAACTCTTGCCCATCAGCTTTCGAGTCGAGAGTCGCCTCAGACGCAAAATAAGCGAGCGTTCGCCGGCGATAGCGAGGGTGCGCTATGTACAAAGCGCAGCAAAAAAAGTTCGCTGCTTAAATAACCGCTTGGGGAATCCGCATGGTCAGCATCGGCACTCACACTCTGGCACTCCCCATCCAATCCAAGCGTCTCTAGCCTCTTCGGCCTTGTTCACATTTGGCATGCCCTGAACGAGAAGCCCTGATTTTCGCCGCATCTCCATCTCGATGGGCTTGCCACCGCGGACACCCCATGCGCCTCCGCCGCTCAAGCCTGCCTCAGTACTGGTTCCGGACTTGAGACGCTTCAGGCCTTCCCATCGTATTCGCTCCGCGAGCGCTCTACGACTCGGTGATTGCGGCTGAGCGGCTTCAGCGCCGCTCTCAGATGGAGAGGCACTGGCCCCGACGGCCGACCGTATCTGCTCTGCGCCGCGTCGGAGAATCGCAATGGCGCTTGTGATCCCATCCCGTTGCATTCCGAGCGCGAGTGCGCGTTCATGTGCGATCTCAGCTTCGCTCTTGAGCGCATTCACCTGCGCTGCCGAAAGACCTTGGCCATCTCCTCGAGCGGAGTTCGCTGTATCTCCCAAGTACGCGGGTGACTCGCTCGGGTCTTCTTTGAGCGCGATCCGCGTCAAGCCGATTACGGACGGATCAATGCCCCACCCTCCGTCTTCAGCTGCTTGGGTGCCTCCTACGCCGGCGCCACCGCCGCCAGTGCTACTGCCAGCTTTTCCTGCACCAAGTTCCGGTGATCCTGCGCGCGAAGCCGTTTTTAAAGCAGTACCGAATGTGGGTGCAGCGGCAGGTTTGGCACCGGCAATGAGCAACGAAAGGAGCATATTGCTAAAGTGTACGGCGTGCTGAGCTGCTGTGAGCTGCGCTAGCATGCGCTCTTTTAATGCAATCATCTCCGGGATCGAGATCATTGCAGATGAATGAATATTGGAAGATTGTTGCTGGGAGACCGAAGTGTTCCCTGTCTGTTGCCCGCTTGCTCCAGCTACCTTACCTTCGCTATGTCCATCATCGTCCTCATCATCAATGCCCAGGACTGCTATTGTTCCATCTCCTTCACCGTCTTGGTCCGCATCTTCGCTGTCTTTGATGGTCAGCGCTTTTGTGCTGAACTTTGAAAAGTCTCCGCGCTCTGCCCACAGCTTCTGTAGCTTGGTGGAAAGGGGCGGGTCCGCCTGTTGCGCACTTTCGAAGATGAGCTCGCCAGTTACGCCGACTTCTAGCAAGCGTCTTTGCTGGGCGAGAATGTCAAGTTGGGAAAAATCATAAGCGCTTATAGATGCGGCGCCATAACCTGCTCCGCCAGATCGAGAAGCTGTAGGGACGGGTGGCTCGAGTGCCAGTGCAAGCGCTGCTGCTGGCGTTTCTGAGGGGCTCATGCTGGACGGTGCGCGCCGCGGAGGTTACGTCCCGGTTTCGCGGCTCTCCCAGCACAAACTCCGCCAAACAGCATGCGAATTATATTCTCCAGTCCCGATTATTTAACGTTGGAGGCTGTGTCCGCGTCGCTTCACGTTTGTGGTATTGAGGACCTTGAAATATAGCTACTCCAATATTGGTGACTTCTCGTTCACGATCTCAATGCCAAGCTTCCTGTGGCGTGTAGGGTATGGTTCGTGGTGGCGCACGTGACTTTAATTGGGGTCATTCATTATTCGGTGCAATGGTTGGGCCAAGCACAAGTCCGAAAAGCAGTTTGTATTGCATTACTGCAGTGACTCGTTCGAGGTGCTTTCGACAGATATATATCCCGTTATTGTCAGCCCACACAGCCTACAGGAGTTACGTGGATGGACTATTGCTCTTAGTCAGTCCTGCTGGTCCAATATAATTTCGCCATGTCTGCACTCCAAGTTCCGGGCATCTCGTCCAAGGGAGGCGCAAAACCGAGCACCAGGCTCAAGCCGCCGCACTTCAAGCTCTCTTCCATCATTCGGCCCAATATCCTCTCGTTGCAGCCTTATCGTTGTGCACGCGACGACTACCAAGAGGGGATCCTGCTTGATGCCAATGAAAACAGCCTGGGTCACTGTTTGCCTGAGGGAGCATCGGTCCCTCACCAAGCTCTCGCATCATTGTCATCGTCTGCCCAAGCACAGGCTGGAACACAGAATGGCATGGCAACACCGATCAACGGCGCGGGCGCGGCAGATACGCTTGCGCTGCACCGGTATCCTGACCCTTCTCTCTACAACATTAAGCCTCGCTTAGCGTCCCTGCGCGGTGTGCCGGACGACTCGTACGTATTTCTCGGTGTAGGCTCCGATGAGGTACTCGACCTGATTCAGCGCGTCGTCGGGCGACCGGGCAAGGACAAGATCGCAATCTGCCCGCCAACATACGGCATGTACTGTGTCTGTGCAGCTGTCAATGACCTGGAAGTCGTTAAGATTCCACTGCGAGTGGATGTGCCGGCAGGAGAGGAGAAGCAGCGCTTTAGTCTTGACACGGACAAGGTGCGCACGCACATTGATGGCTGTGGTTCTATTTCCCCCAACGTCTGCTGACCCTGGATCCCCTCACTTCCATTACGAAGGTCCTGGAGAATCTTCGTGCGGACCCATCGATCAAGATTCTCTTCTTGTGTTCTCCTGGCAACCCAACGGGCACACTGCTTTCCATCTCATCCATTCAGCGGATTCTTGACTTCCCCGATTGGTCTGGTCTAGTCGTAGTCGATGAAGCTTACATCGACTTTGCCGAGGAGGAGGCTCGTTTCGGCGCTCGGTCGCCGACCTCGGAAGTGCCAGTATCCGCTGTGGAGCTGGTACACTCCTACGCAAACGTGATCGTGACACAGACCTTATCCAAAGCATTTGGCCTTGCCGCGATCCGCCTTGGCATCGCGTACGCGCAACCGCCATTGATACAGATCCTCAACAATACCAAAGCACCGTACAACATCTCGGTGCCCACCGCTCATCTTGCTAGCTTGGCGCTCTCAGACCCAGGGTTGGACAAGATGCACGCCAACATTCGCACGCTTCTTGCTAACCGCGACCGGCTGGCACGGGATCTGCAGGCGATCCCGTCCATCGGGCCGATCCTGGGCAACAACGAAGCGAACTTCCTGCTCGCTGTCGTGCTCGATCGACCGCGCTCAGAGCCGGGTGCTCGCCCAGACAGTGCGCGGGCAGGCAAGGTGTACAAAGCCATGGCCGAGCAAAATGGGCTGGTCGTCAGGGATCGGAGTAAAGAGCTTGGCTGCGATGGCGCCTTGAGGATCACGGTCGGCACAGAAGAGGAGAACAAGACATGCGTTGAGCTTATGAGGGAACTGTTGGCTTGATACTTTGGGATATGCATAGAAGGAATCCATTACACTAATTCAGCCTGATGCTGCCTCGTGGCACGAGACATCTGTGGCGGAACAATCAGCGGGCCAATACTGCCGCAGAAAGCATCTAATTATAGGTTAGAAGACGATAGCATAGGTAGTCAAAGTATCCAGTCGGTGCCTGTTGGTGCATAGCTTGTCGCACTATACGGCCATAAAGGGCTAGTAGTCTCGCTGCGTTCGGATGATTCGGAGGCGTCATCAGCGGGGTCTCATTTCGGGCTCGGTCTTGCGCTTCCCGAGTCCGCGAAGGCTCATGCCTTGCAAATGCATCCACCTGTTGCTCGCGCCGATTTGAAGTACTTTTAACAAACCATCATGCTAGACAGAGAGAAGCAAGATACGTTTGGTCGAAGCATGCATTGTGTACTTAGACTATCGGTGGAGGGGAAGGGGCAAGCCGGGCAGGGAGGTAGAAGAATTGCCTGAATTGCCATCGTGCTGAGCACCGATTCATGCTCTGCGCGTGACCGCTTTCCATTGCCTTCACTACCTCCCTTCCCGGCTTGCCCCTTCGCTTCCACTTTCCACCTGCTCTCCTGGTAGTATGTACATATGATGAAGAATTGTATCGAATAAGCACTGCGCACCCTTTGTATGCATGCGTTACCTAGTATGAGGTTGCAGCAGGAGCGCAGCACAAAACGGTCTGAGGGTTGAGACAGGTACAGAGAGACAACCTAGTTCTCGAAATATGGGTCACGTGCACCGTTCTCGTCGGCGCCTGGCTGCCACCGCTTTGCTGAATAAAGCACTGAAGTTAGTGCGCTGGTTCCCACGAGAGAGAGATTGCCGAGGGCGCAACTGTCTGCCACGCGAGAAGAGAGACTGGGGAGCGAGCGAGCCGGTGATCAGTGACCTGCTAGTGACGGCCTCTCCCCAAGTTGAGACCTGACTTGAAGTGCGTTTCTCTGTCTCTCATCTTCTGTGGAGAAGCCTGGAGAAGGGGAAGTGATGCGGAGAGGGCGACGGACGGCTCTCGTGTGTGCTGGAGAGAGAACCCATGTAGGCTGGGGTAGGGTAGGGCACGGCAAAGCCCCTTGAGGGTTGCGGTCGTGGATATCGGTGTTGGGCTTGTTCGAAATATCCGACAAGGGAAAGGTGGTCGTGATTTGTTGCGTCGGTTCTGTTTGCGGAGGGGTAGACGAAGCCACGAGCATTTGACTCCCGGCTCAGGTATCCATTGGAGAGCGGGGTTTGTATATATATATATGTACGACGAGCGAAACCTAGTGCTTCGCCATCGCCTCTCTCTTTCTCTCTCCACCCTTCAACGCCGCGCACTCTTTCGCTTCCATACAACCAAGGCCTTTGTGTTGATGAAGGCAACCACAAGGGGCTACCATGTCGCCGACCGAAACACCGCGCAGGCAGTCTGCCATTGCGCCGCCTTTGCATCTGCACATCCCGCCTCCCTCCCCCGCCCTTCACCCCCCGCTCTGATGCCCTCTTCACCGGCTCCATTCCTTTGGCCGATCAGAATCCGTTCTTTGCGCTGCAGATCCAAGCGACGCTTTCGCGCTCCAGCTCCCACAGCAGCTTGGCGAGCCTGCCATCGGCTGGCTCCGAGAGCGGCGCAGGTCACAATGATGATGAGGACGAGGGGGAGCCGCTCTTCCTCGGCTTAGACTGCTCGACGCAAGCGCTGAAATGCTCGCTGCTCGACTCGGCGCTCGAAGTGCTCGCCGAGCTCGAAGTACGCTTTGACAGGGACCTGCCGCACTACTCGACCCAAGGCGGGACGCTGACGGGCCCCGAGGGAACTGGTGAGGTGCACTCGCCCGTGTTAATGTGTGTCGAAGCGCTGGACATGCTGTGCGACCGCATCAAGGAGAAGCGCTGGCCTACGCACCGCGTACGAGGCGTTAGCGCTGCAGGGCAGCAGCACGCCAGCGTCTACTGGAGCCACGAGGCCAGCTCTTTGCTCAGCACACTTGACTACAAGAAACGGCTCGTGGAGCAACTCGACGCGTGGGCCTTCTCTCGTCAAATTATTCCCAACTGGCAGGACAGCAGCACGAGCTCAGAATGCAGGGAGATGGAAGCCTGTGTCGGCGGAGCAACCGAGTTAGCTCGTCTGACGGGCAGTAGGGCACACGAGCGCTTCACAGGCCCACAGATTGCACGCTTTCGACGAGTTGAACCGGACGCATACGAAGCGACAGATCGCATTTCGCTCGTTAGTAGCTTTATAACCACCCTCCTCTGTGCGGACGGTGAAATCAACGGCATCGACGAGAGCGACGCGTGCGGCATGAACCTCTGAGATATGAGCAGGCCGGAACGCGGGTGGAACGAGAAGCTTCTCGCATTCGTCGCCGGAGAACAAGGCGCCGAGGGAGGCGAGAAGCAACAGTTGGGCCCCAAGGCGAAGGAGCTCAAGAGGAAGCTTGGCGTCGTAGAGAGCGACAACGGTCGTGTGGTCGGGCACATTGGGAGGTGGTTCAGGAAACGTTATGGCTTCCCTAAAGACTGTGTCGTGGCGCCTGGAACAGGTGACAATCCGGCTACCTACCTGTCCTTTGTGTGTGAGTACTCGGTGCACCCTGTGTCGCTGCAGGCATTGTGCTCAATTCGTCGCCTTTTATACAGTGGGCGATAATGAAGGCCTCGTCTCGCTAGGCACCTCGGACACTATCCTTGTCTCCACCTCGTCCTACAACCCGCATCCGGAATTCCACACCTTTGCGCACCCCGCACAACTGGTATCGCGGAGTAAAGATGAACTAGAGGCAGGGCACCTCTCCTCGTCTGAAAGCAGCAACGGCAACAATGGCAACAAGCTTCGATATTTTGCCATGCTGGTATACAAAAGTGAGTGCATGTACAGCATGTACACTCTACTGACGCGATGGCAGCTTTCTGACGGGAAAACATTGCTTCACAGATGGCTCCCTCGCTCGTGAGAATGTCCGAGATCAGTATTTCAATAAGTCATGGGATCAGTTCAATCAAGCCGTAGAGTCCAGCACAAACCTTCACTCGACCGAAGATGGGAGGCAAAAGGACGCCATGGGCTTCTACTGGTACAGGCCGGACATCATCCCTTCTGGAGCGTACAAAGTTCAGCGCTTCGTCGTGGATGGCTCTTCATCATTACAGGCGGACATGGCGCGTGAAGTGCGGGAATTCGAGGATCCGAAGACCAATGCACCGGTCATCTTGCAGTCGCAGTTCCTCAACTACCGCGTGCGGTCCAGCGGCATTCTCGCATCCGAGCAGCACAAGGACTGCGCTTCTGCTTCATCCAAAACGAATGGGCACGGCGGCGCAACAGCACCGGAGGCACCTGCGACACTGAAACGCGTCTTTGCTGTCGGCGGTGCAGCAGCCAACCTTTCGATCATCCAGACGCTCTCGGACGTGCTCGGCTGCGAAGTGTGCAAGCCTTTCGTCGAGGACCAGGACCAGGACGATGCTGATGCTGATGGGGACAATCACGGTGTCGCAGCGATCACCGACGACTTTAGCAAGAAGGTCAGTGTGAATGTGAAGAAGGCCAACAAGAAGAACGCGGACTTTAACTCGTGCAGCGTCGCCGCGGCTTACAAGGCGAAGTGGGCATACATGCGCCTGTTCAACGCACAGCACGCCATGAAGCACGGCCACAGCACGACTACGGACGGCCATGAATCCGCAACAGAAGCCACAATGCCGACGCGCAAGGATATCTCTTTCGAAAATATGGTCAGCGAAAGCAAGCATATCCGCCGGCTGCGCCGCCGCATCGCCAAGCGCATGCACATCTCCTCTTTCAGCTCTAACGTCTCTGCCGCGTCGACGCTCACAACGAACAGCACTGCGACAGCCATGGGCGGCGCGGGTGGTGCTGCGCGCCTCGGTGGCTTCTTGGGCATGACATCCGCGGACGCTACTGCTTCAGCGTCCGCGTTTGAGTCTGCGCTCGACGACGAGGATGAGGAGGTCGATGCGCAAGAGGGCGTCGTGGTCGTGGCATCGCCGCGGGAGGAGCGCACGGCGATGTACGCGCGCCGCGTGCAGTGGTGGCAGGCGCTAGAGCAGCGCGCCGTGCAGGCCTCAATCTCGGAACAAGGCGTGCAGAACTGATGTCATGGGAGACAGAGCCACGAAGAGGGGCCTTTTGTCGTAGGCGCTTATCGTTCATTTCTCTCACAGGTTCAGTCATGTCTAATCGGGAGCATTTTGGGACCGTGTACATACTCACCTATGCACAAGATGGAACATGCCCCAGCCATTTTTGCCTTGAATGGACATGATTCCAGTACTTTACCTCGGCCGTAGCACCAGGGAAGATGAAGAAATAAGACTGAACAAGACGTGGTGGCACGCTAATCAGGATGAGTGTATCAACGCGAGGGCGATTCCGACCGGTAAACGAAGCGGTGCGGGCAGGCCGATAACTTCAATGGGAGAAGCGGTCTACATTATCTTGCTCGCTGACCACAACAATGACGAACAGGGAGGAGAGGAATGTGTAGGACAGTGCGAAGGAGCATGCCTTTATGCGCGCAGAGAGCCAGCTGCTGCCGTTACATACATACATACCTGCACGCGCACGTAACGTATGCCCATGCAAGTCGACTCCTGCGCACTTCATTTGACGAGGAGCGGAAGGAAAAGCCCACGTATGTGCTTGCGAGACGAGGTGAGGTGAGGCGAGACCCAGTTCGAGGCCGAGAACGAGGACGAAAAGGAAAGTGGGCAGACGACCTGATGGAGGAAGGCGGCACCGGTGGGCGAAAGTCGGAAAGAAAGTGAAAAACATGCGAGTGAGATACACGAATGCTACATTGAAAGAGTTGGCAGTGATGCTGATAACGGATGTTGGTGACGGATGGTGATGTTGATGATGCAGATGTTGGCGGCGGCGGACGCGACATCATATTGCACGCGCGCATGGAATAATGCCCATGGCGACGCCGACACCGCTCCGCGCTCGGGTGATCTAGCGTATGTGTATGTGTGAAATTGCGACAGTTCCCATAGATATCATCAAAACGTTTTTTGCGCCCTCCACTTCGCCCCAATTGTCAAGTGTTCCGTAGTAACGGCGGTGTAGAAGTGTCCATTTGTGAGCGAGGGCGGCGCAGTGCAGGGGGTGGAATGTCGCTTTTCTTGTCGATTAGAAGAGCGCAGCGCCGGCGATGGCGATGGCGCCGCTGAGGCCGAGTGCGAGCGCATCGACGCCGGGAGCGGCGAGGGCGGCAGCCGAGGTGGAGTTGGACCTGTTGGAGCTGGGCCCGGTGCTGGCGGATGTGGTGGGCGTCGAGCGAGCCGTGCTCAGACTGCTGCTTGTCAATGTGGGCACGAGGGCCGTGACGGGGTCTGTGGCACCGTTATTGGCGCTCATGATGGTCGAATTGAAGGAGCCGGACATGCCGGTGAGCGTGAAGCGGGCCGAGAAGGCCATCGGCGGGATGCCGTTTGCCTGCAGCTTGGTCCCCTCGAAGCGGAGGAAGTACTCCTTGATCGCGTTCGGACCGGCATTCTTCGAGATTGTCGGGCGGAACGACGTCAGGCCCGGCGCGAGGTTCGTCGCGAGCTGTTCCAGCTTGAACTGTACATTCTGGCTGCCAGTGGCAAGGAAGATGTTGATCCTGCCCCAGTCGCTGCTGAGCTTGGGCGACTTACCGTCGTCGTTCCACTCGATCGACAGCTTTTGCCCGCCCTTTCCGTTGGTCGAACTGTAAAAGAGGCGGGAGGCCAAGAAGGTCAGTGAGCTGCCCGACGCTGATGCGCTTCCTGCCCTAGCCTAGGGGCTGAAGTAGTAAAAATGTTTGATCCTGGACTTCCATTGTCCCATGTTCCCAGTGGAACAGCACAACTATTTTCCTGGCGTGCCGCCCAAAGCTCCTCCTTGCACCTTAGGCCTCTAAAAGTTGAACTCCAGCACGAGGCACCCGGTTCGATGAGGAGGTGTCGAAGCGGACGCGTACTCACGCAACAGGCTGGGTGACGATGATGGTGGAAAGAACCGGCTGCGAGACGGCCGCAGCGGTGAAAAAGAGGGCGGCAATGTTCTTGAGGAGCATATTGGCTATCGTCAGGGAGTATGAATATGAAAGAGGAAAATAAGGATTGCCCGGCCTTTTCTTGGCTTGCTTTGTGGAGGGGGTTCGTCTGTAGTGTAGGAGCTGGGTGCCCACGGGCGTCTGACAAAGAGCGTGTTTTGTGTACCTACAGGCTGGCTGTCGGTGGGTAGGAATCAGCGGGCAAGAGGGGCTGGGACGAGGATGGCAGGCTTGTGCAGGCTGAGAGAAAACGACGAGATGGGGGGCGATGACGAGGAGTATGGAGGGATGCTGGAAGGAAGCGGTGGATGGTGCTGACGAGGTGGAACAAGAATGAAATGGAGTGGTTATGGTGATGGGGGTGGAAGCGGAGGAAAACAGAGAAAAGGAGAACGGGATGGGGGAGAGGAAAGAGGCAGAGGGAGCAATGCGGCACTGCGCCCTAGTCACTTTGGGTGGGGGACTGGGGGAGAGGAAGATAACCGGAGCCGCGTGTGTATGGTTTGTGATGTGTGGTGTGCTGCCTCTCGAGCCGAGCGGCTGTCCAGTGTAGCTGCATGCGCTAACTGGTCGTCTTGGAGCTGCGCTGTGGCCGTCACCTGCCAGAGCCACCTGCCGAATTATCTCGAACGACTTCCAGGCTGCAGGGCTATCCGGGGATTCTGACTGGGGCGACGCAATACTCCAGTGCCACCGCGGCCATGTTGCCGTCGTATAAGCGAAACAAGATTCACCTGAAAAAGTCCTGAACATAGCCCAATATCCAATTCTACGTCCTTTTGTCGCCGTTTGCATCTTTTCTCGGGCCTTCTCCCCTTTGGTAATCTGATCCCTCAAGCTGGCAAGAGGAACCGACCCCCTTCCTTCCCTCCTGATCTCGACAGGACTCCCCTGCGAAGGACTGTCGGTGCCGTGGGCATCCCCACTCGCGTTGGTCCAGCGGAGATGGATCGCACCTTGACATGCGCACTCCGATCTCCAAGAAATATTGAAATGCGCATCGGTGGCATTGTGTAGAGTACATATTGGGAACTGTGTACTTGTGAGGCCGTGATATGCTATAATATTGTCTGAATTATATAGTCAATCGCTGTCGTTGGATAAAAGCGGCGGGCGGGTATATGGATGGTTACCTGTGTAATCGAGCAAGAGCACCAGGCTGGGACACTGCTCGGTTCCGTTATAATGCGCAGTATTGGCGATTTGAATGTATGCTTGGTATAAATACATGGGAGAATGAACGATTGATTGATTGACACAGCAGATTCAGGCGCAGCAGGCGCACTTACCCAAAGATGATGCTCAACTCAGCGTGCAGAGAGCCGTGTCAACTGCACAGCTTCTCCATCGTCCCGCACGTCCTCCTCCGCAGCAGCGCCGGGGCTGCCAGCGATCATCCGTGCACGGGATGGCGGCATACTGAACACGTTTGCATGGATTGTAACAGTGTGCGCATCGAGCGTTGTCGTCGTCGGGGGCGCCGGCATCATCACCTTCACTGTTGCTGCTGTCGGTTCAGCCGCTGCAGCTACAGAGAATGCACCCTCGACTGCGGGCTGCTTCCAATGCACCGACGGTAGCGTGTAGCGTCCCTCTTCGATCGAAAGGTAGAGGAACAGCGCGCGCGCCGCCGGGTCGACGATGAAAGGGTGCAGCGAGAGCCACTCGAGCAGGCGGTTTCGCACGCGCTCCAAGCGCGACAGTGACGGCGTTAGGAAGAGCATGCGCCGCTCCCATGCAAACGCGGGCCGGGTAATGATAGACTGCTGATCATACGATGTCCCCCCACCCGTTAGCTGCGACGACAGCGCCGAGCCCACGCCCGCGCGCCCGCGCAGGGACAGCAGCGTCGTGCTCGGGTCGCCGTACTCACCGTCGGCGTCGCCCGCGTGGTGGGCCACCCGACCCGCTGCAGGAAGGTCAGGTACGGAGCCACGCGCAAGGTTGAGGTCGTGTTGCTTGATCGTGGAATAAGCGATGCGCTGCACATCGTCCGGCGTGTGCCCCAAGCCGACCGGGATAGCTGCCGCCGATCCGCCCGTGCCATCTGCGTTCGGTCCAGCAAAGACGAGCTGGTCTAGCTGGAAGTAGATTCTGTTGAGCAGCCCCCGGGTGAACAGGCTGGCCTTGCCACCGCCCGCACCGCTCCAGAGCCCACGGCTCTTGAGGAACTTTTCGAGCTGCAGCCTCGGCATCGGGCGGTACGCGATGCTGGTAGGGTAGTGCGGCGAGAGGACGCGGCGATGCGCGCGCAAGCGCTGGTAGTCGCCTGCGTTCTTGCGCCAAAGGTCATCCCAGAAGAGCCACCACCAGCGGTGGACGAGAGAACGGTTGACCGCGCACATGCGCTCGTACAGCACCGTCACCGCCGCCTGATACTCGGACGACAGCCGCCGGACGTCGCGGCAGCAGCCGGATCGCCTCAGCGCGAGCATAAGCTCAGCCGGCGTCAGCTGCACGTTGTCAAAGATGTCCGTCAGGAACGCGTATGACAATACGCGCTCCTTCTCCCGCGCCTCGCAGTAAAAGTGTCTCCGGTAGTTAGCCAGAACATCGTCGATGACCGGCAGCCGGCTTCGGATGATGTGCTCGTTGTCGCGGAAAAACTGGATCAGGTGCGGCGTCATCTCAAAGTCATCATGCAGGCCAAACGCACTCGACGCGTGCACCTCGACCTGCTTCCGGACCCGCGTCAGCCCTGCTGGATCCTGCCGCTGCCCCTCGTAGTACGTGATCGTCACGCGGAAGCCTGACGAGAAGTTGTATCCTGCAAAGTCGCTCCTCTGACGGTGCGAGATGCGTAGGATACCCTCGTTATACGCCGTAGGCCGCGCGAGAGTGTAGCGGTTTTTTCTTCGATTTAACAGTGCTGGACGAACATCGGCCCCGAAGTATGCCATGTCATTGTACGGGCAAAAGACTGTCTGGCCCTCGAGCGCGCGCAGGACACGCCGCACCATGCGCTTCGACTGCACTGGCTCGCTGCTATTCTGTTCGATGAAGCGCTCCATCTCTTCGAGAGTGTCGAGCTGGATCGTCTCGGACGAGCCCTGGTCGTAGCGGATAACCAGCGTCGGCGGGAAAGGCACCAGGAATGCCTTGCCGAACCATGAGCTGACGCCGTCCGGGTACGGCGGACGGATCGGGTGCCAGTATGCATCGGGTCCGGCGAACTCTGTCTGAATTGTACGCGTGACATTCCGCAGTCGCTCTGCAACATGGGAACGCCTGTACTGCACCGCTCGCCGGTAGTCGCGCAGGCCGATGGCTTTGAGGATCTTGAGGTTCTCCACGTGTCGCTCCGCTACGGTGCCCTCGAACCAGAGGAGATATGGAGGCCACTTGTCGGTGTCAGACGTGGAGAAGGCGATGACTTGGTCTTGCGGCATCTGGTAACCCGGCCCGCACAGCAGGATTGTCGACAGCGTCTCCTGCCATATGCGGCGCTTGATGTGCTTGTCAATGTTGAGCAGGGGCGAGAAAATGTCAATGCTAAAGTCGAAGCGCCGTTGCGTGCGCTTGACCCAGTGCGCAAACCAGGACGTGCCCGCCAGCGAAAAGTAGATTGTCAAAGTGTACATGACACCCTCTACGATGTAGAGGATCGTCGTATTATACACTGTCGATCCGTCGACTTGCAAGGCGACTGCGAGCGAAGGAGCATCTCATGGTAAGTATTTATGTTTGGGCCTGGTCGTCAGCTCGTCTTTTCCGACTCACCAAGCAGACCGATGATGGCCGTAGCGACGTAGCCAAATCGACTGACCATCTCCGAACGATTGCTGATAGCATCCACAAAGGGCTGCAGGAAGAAGTGAATCACTAGTAATGAAGCAAAGTGGCTTCGTCAGCTTCACACGTTTATCTTCGTCATCATACGATCACACTCACCGCAAAGTATGGACATGACAACCAGGAGTACGATTTGCTGGCTGACAAGCATCGTCTTTGCTGCGAAAGAGCGCCATACGCAGTTGCTCTTTGTGAAGAATGCAATGATGAAGGTGTTGACAAGCTTGAAGCATAAGATGTAGAGCGGCTTGTCTGGAAGAAAAAGGGAACGCCGATTGGCTGTTCAGTGGGCGCCCCAGACTGTTAAGGACACGGCCTCGCTTTGGCCGCTCACAGAATCCCCATCGCCGCCTGTAGGCGTTGTACATGAAATTCAGTGGCGATTTGTCCCTCGAGAGCAGAAGGTAGTATTTTTCCTGCATCGCCGCCTCGGACCGCTTGTGCCCGAGCTCGTTGTACTCGGCGACGCGAGGCAACATGGCTTTAATGGTGACGAGCATGCGATACGGGAACCAGAGGGTGTAGAACAAGATGGAGAGGATGGCGAAGGGCAGGATGATCCACGCAAAGTTGAACTCATCTTTTCGCATCGTCGTTGTCCAGCAAAAGTCCAGCGGATCGCGGTACAGATGCGCATCGCCGAGCGGCGGCAAGCTGGGATTGTCGACGTCCGCTGTGTAGGGGTTCGCAACGACCCACCAAGCGGAGCTCCAGGTGAGCGCGTCCACCGAGAGCTTCGTGAGTGGGATGTACAAGCCGGTGAGAACAAAGACGATGAAGATGTTGGCGACCTTGGTCCCGCGCTTGGGTGACGAGAAGATGTAAGGCTGTGAGTCGTATCCCTCCACTTCTCGATTGGGGTCGCTTACGCTCGTCATGCGGTAGAACCTCCAGAGGGCCAGAGTCGTGAAAACGATCCAGATGATGAAGAAGATGGCAGCCTTGCCGAACACGCTGACAAAGTCGAGCGCGATGATCTGCGGCAGACGCAGGAAGATGAAGCGCGCCATGGTCGAGGACGTTTGCGTGACATACGGGCTGCTGGAGAATTGCAGCTGGTTCGCCATGAGCTGCGCAAAGTCACGGACGAGCTCGAGGCTGATTAGGTTTGCAGCGAAGGAACTACCTTCCATGCCGATCATAAAGTCGATGACCGTGCCTAACAGGCTGCCAAGACCAGGCACGCTGCTGAGCAGGCCTCCAGGCGGCGCGCGCGGACCGACTGCGTTCGACTTCAGCTCGCGCAGCCCGCCCATGTCCTTCAGCAGCATCATTGGCGGGAACATTTCCAGGCGCGTGACCGGGTGCGACGCAGTAGAGAGGCTGCTGGGGACGCCAGCAGAGATCGTTGGCACGGACGTGCCGGTCGTCTCAGTCTGCGGAGCGCTCGGGGGTCCCGTTTGCACGTCCAGAAGCCCAGCTTCCTCTTCCTCTTCCGTATCTTCCTCCGCTTCCGTCGATAGCTTGTCGCCGGACTGTGCGACACCACGTTTGTCTTGATCTTGCTTTCCGTGCGATGAACCTTTGAAGTGCAACCGAATGGCGGCTCTCGGGATCACGAACTGACCACCCGCAGCCTCCATCTTCCCACTGCCACTCTTTGAGCCATTTTCCCTTGGCTTGTATTTCCTGCCGTCCTGATCACCACCTTCACGCGCGGTCGCGGCAGTAGCATCGTCATAGCCATATAGCAGCCTCTCCGTTTCCGTCGCGAGCACCTGTGCATCGCTGAAGAGCGGCTCGGCGAATAGATCCCTATCGGACAGGTACACTTCCAGCTGCGGCAGATGCAACGGCATGGCATTCGGTGCGAACACGTCTGCAGCGGGGATTGGACGCACCGATGCGGTCGAGAGCATCGGCACACGCGAGGGTGAGGGACGAGTTGATCGGCGCGAAGAGCCTGCTTCGTCATGCGATGTGTCTTGATCTGCGTCCTCGGTACCATCCTCACCATCGGCATCATCGTCGGCAGGCGAGGTAAACGGGTTCGGCCCGGCCGTGCCGGAGGGACGCGCGTGGTGATAATGCCTGCTGGACCCGTCAGTCGTCGGCAAATCTGCGAACGGATCACAGTCTACCTTGCTGTGTAGCAAAGGCATTGGCGAGAGGGGTGTTGAATTCACCATCTCCTGTGAAACCGTTGGCTGATGGGAGGCAGGTACCACTGGTGAGCTGTTCTCTCCCTTTCCCCCTTGGGCCATCCAGGATTCAGACGGGTTAGGGCGGAGACGGCCGCTGAGCCACCCGGAGGGGATGGGCCCACGCTTATCCGAGCCTTTGCGTGGCTTCTTTATGCCATCTCTCACCTCCCGATTCGGACAGCCAGAAGACTTCTGCGGTCCATCGGGCGTATAGCCAGGGTCAGAGTCCCCCATTCTGTTCAACTCCCTCCCCTTCCTTGGCGCTCGGAGCTGATCATCCTTCGCATCTCCAGCTTTTGGCATATTCTTTGGCACGGCCTTCATCTCCGACTCCAGAGGCAAATTGCCCTCCATTCCTCTACCCATCACATGCACAGGCCGGAGGCTCGGATTCACAAGCGTTGGCGCGCTGTAGATCTTGAGCTCGGGCTGCTTAATCTGTACGGCAGGGGAAGGCCAGCATGCCTCAGCCTCAACCTTGTCGGTGGGGCTCGCGCCAAATTCATTGATGCGTGACGGTGAAGTTAAAATCGCTGAAAAATATGCGGGTGTGGGTGATGCAGCCGTCGGGGACGGCTTTGCTTCTGGTTTGATGGGGAGCGGCGCAGCTGGTGTGGCAAGCGGGATTTGTGGCAAGAAAGCACTGGCAACAGCAGTGGGCGTCGCCGCACTGCCGACATCAAGCGAGAGTCTCCGTTCCGGACCGTCGAACTTTGCTTGCGCTCCTGACGCATGCGAAGTGTGACGGGGTCGGTCCGAGCTCACCGGCGATGGAGTCGCATTTGCAAATGTCGGGGACAATGTTCTTGACAACCCTGCTACGACCCGGTGAGGGATGGTTATATGAGAAGATGAGGCTTGTTGTTCGTACTTTTGGACCAGCGAGGCTACGCGTTCGCGGTCCTTCGGGATCGCGCTTGCCCGGGTGTCGCTCGGCCGCCGCGGCGCTGACGAGGGGCCGCTGGGCGAAGACATGGTGCGAGGACCAGTAGTGTGTGCACAAAGGGAGAGAGTGTGTAAATGTGGGTGGCGGCCACGAAGGAAAGGTGGCGTGGAACGACCTCGCTTTCCGCTACGAGGCTGCCTGCGCTCTCGAACGTCGATTATGGAGAGCAGGGCTAGGGCTGCCACCCGGGTATAAAGTAGTGTCTTCGAGGTTGAAGAGAGGACACGTCGGCGTTGTCATGCTTCATCAGACGGCCATATGAGCCTGCTTACAACACGGCCGATACAATGAGAGAGAGTAGTGCAAGGCGAAAACGGTGCACGTTCAGATCCCCATCCGGGCCACTCGCCATGATCGCTTTCGCATATGAGCCAGCGCCGACGTCTGCGACACCATGAACAGGAACGGAAGCCCTTCGGTTTGCTTGGGTCCGCAAGCAACGTAGGGGCGTACGTGCAGACAGTGGTCACCTTCACCATCCGCTGGAATGAGCATGTCGTTATTGCCATCTGCTCGTACATATCGATGCCTACCGTTCAGAGCGGCAAACAGCCAAGGATCCTGGATGAGAGTGTGCCCCTAATTCTCTCGGTGCGGAAGCGATGACCACACTCTCCCAATCCCATACAGTGTACATACTCTCGCATGGGGACATTTCCCGCGGTCTAGCTTCTCATTTTGGCAACGATGGCATTGCATCACGTGGCCAGCACTGGGGCAGAATAGTAGGGTTGTGCCTGAATTGTGTATTCTCCACTCTCGAAGGCTTGAGCTGGTCGTTGCTTTTCTTGTTGTCGTCTACAGCACATGTCACTGTCGCTCTTTCTTACACATCTCCATTTGTCGGCTGTGGTTTTTGCGTTACAGCACTGGAGGAAACGTATTGCTGCTGGTACGGCCGCTGCGGCTGTGGTTCCGCCTCCTCCTGATCCTGTTGATCTTGCTGACTCACTTGACCCTGTTAATCCTCCTGATCCTTTGGCCTGCTACGCCTGCGCTCGCGCCTTGTTCTTTACAGGCTCCTGCACCTTGTCCATTTTGGCTCTCGACCTATCCGCCAAGGTTTGCTCGAGCCGCCTTGTAGCACCCTTTCGTGGTCACTTCAGAGGCGGCGGCGTGTCCTCAGGCTAAATAGAGGGCGCAGTGGAAGGGGAAGGAATGGCGATGTAGATGTAGACGAATTTAGCAGCGTTGAAGTCTCTCCAGATATTTCCTCAACCCTGTGGATCTCTGTCCTTGGAAAAGGGTGATGTCTAGGCTCAAACGTTTGTCGAAGATCGCATCCAACTCTTCGCTATTTTGGGCCTTTTGCTCGCACGCTCCTAGACCGTTGCAGATTCTCTATCAAGCGATTCTCAAGGCGCGTCTAGTCAGCACATGAGTCCGCTTAAAACTCATAACTTTTTGTTCCTCTCCGACGCTGCGCCCACAAAGGTACCGGGACAAACTGTCAAGTAGGCAAGGGCCGCTACAGCTCACCATTCTCAGGCCCGAGCGCATGAGAGGTGCGTCTTGCTCATCCTCATAGCATAGAATCCTTACACGTCCGTAAATCGATGTATCGGCCATGGTTCATCTAGAGCATTTTACACGCACTAAAGACAGCCGTCGGTATCGCTCACTCGATGTGAACCATAACGGCCCCGATCAAGCAGCCTTCCGCCTCTTGCTGGACAGGCTTGTCGGTCTGCCCTGCACATCCTTCAAAGCCAACATCTCAAATACCCAAGTCGAGTTAGCGGCTGATTAATCGACGGCTCTTCTCACCATTCAGCTTGTCATTGCATAAAGCCGCTCCTTCACTGTCGCTTCCGAGGGCCCCGTCGAGAACAGCACGGCGAGTCAGTGGTAGGCTCGGAAGCTCCTGATTCAAGATGGCGCCGATACCGTCTGCAGCGGACGTTGCGCAGTTGACCGGCATGGTGGGTACTGTTTGACTCACAGCAGCTGATTTTGTAGCGCAAAGGGTGTGTTGATCACTGTTTTCTTGCGAACCTCCCGCTGTGCTCACACAGGGCGCAAGTCGTGGACGGGCAATCGCGGCGCTCCAAGCAAAACGCAATGATGTCATGGACGCAGCCGAAGCCATCTTCTCGGGAAAGTTTGATCACATCAACGACGACGAAGGGGAAGCTGAAAGAGAAATAAATGTTGTAGGCGAAGAAGAGACGGCATATTCCATGTTAGCAAAAGCTGACTCGGACGAGGAGATGGACAATGGTTTTGGAGGAGACGACATGGATGAATGCTTTGGAGATGCAGACTTTGGTGATGCAGCTGTCATAGGCCGCGAAGAGGCAGAGGCTGTGGATAACGATGCGTACAGTGGCATGGTCATGAGCAAGGTGAGCAAAGCTTCCAAAATTGTGAAAGCCGCTGAAAGTATCGCGAACTAAAATCACCTTGTTCCCTTTCTGAGGACCGTACCGTGACGACAATCGATGTGGAGACGCCAGCGAGAGCATGGAACATTCCTAAAGATTCAGCCATTCGATGGCTTGGGGCTTCGACTTCACCTTCCTCTTCGACCACGGCTAGGTCCGCACGTGCACAAGGCCACGGTTCATCTACAAGCGTAAGCAAAGCAGACTCTCTACCCTCTGACGCGATGATCGCTATTGAGATGACCTCATCGGAATGGCTGCGGGGATGTCCAGAAGGCGGTGAACAGGCGCTTTTGTTTGGCGCCTTTTCTCAGTTGCGCCTCGGTAGCCTACATTGTCCGCTTTGCAAGTTTGAAGTCAAGCGTTTTCCAGAGTTGGAGCTCGACTCCGACCAACAAGGCGCCAAGTCAAAGCAGGCAAAGGGCAAGGCGAGCAGCAGCAAACCGAAGAAGGGCAGCACCACATGGCCAGAGGACCACATGCTGCTGATGTTTCCGCGCGCATCGCAGCTCGTCGAACACCTTCTGCACGCAGCGCACATGATCTGCCCTGCATGCAAGTGCCAGTTTTGCGGAGCGTGCGCACAGAAGCGCAAAGTCATCCTACCCACGTCCAAAAGCTTCGGAACTGATGTATCTGATGGTCCCGCCATTTCCGCGTGGAGTAAGGCGCAGAGCGGGAGCGTGCTCTATCACTGTGGATGGATGCAAAGCGCACTGCTCGGCTGCGGTCTTGCCATGGTGCAGAAGCATGTCGACGGCATGGGGAGCGCGAGCAAGAGCACGATTGACCGCGTGGCGCGTGTGCAACAACAGCTTCGCCGAGTTGGCCCTGCCTGTCCGTCTGCCGCTTCCGTTGGCAAGAGCAACATCGACTCGTACTGTTTGCTCGCCACCTCGTTTGTCTATGACCCTGAAGTGGCAGCTGAAGAGAAGGAAGGAGGCACGACCGCGGGAGAAGATGCTGCCGCAAATTTCAAGAGGAAGACTGACAGCTCCGCAGGCAGCCCGAAGGTTGCGATTGGCTTGCGCAAGGCCGCCAAGACTGGCAAGTTCGCAAGTCCATGTGCTACCTCGCTGGACAGCACGACGGCATCCGCATCCCTCGGAAAGGGCACTTACCATGACCCGTTCGACGACCTTGATCCTTACTACGGTTATGGCGGCTCATACTCCAACAGCAAGAAGAAGCACACTGGTACGGGCTACTCCGGTGGCACCGATGATAAGTGGGGCTGGAAGGCAGCGGCTGTGCAGAAGCAAAAAGAGCGTGACGATGTCTTGGAAGGTATGCTTCGCACACTCCGGCAGTTTGTCCCAGATACGCATCGCACCGTAGAGAGCAGTAGCAAGAGTAAGGAGGGCAACTCTTCGAGTAATAGCCCAGCTGATGACGCGTCAGAGAGCGAAGTCTACGAGACAGACTGGTTTCCGGACGCCACGACGCTTGCACATGTTCGCCGCCGCTTTCTGCCGCTGGCGTCGAACCTGCTGAGCAGCGACAGCCTCATCGACATGATCGAGCGCGAGTCGCTGTTCATGGAGCTCCTGAGCTGGTTCGACCTGTTCGCCAGGCACGAAGCGCTCTGTCCACTGCTGGCACAACCGATCATGAGGCCGGTCGAGGTGAAAGATGCCACGGCGACGCAGAAGAAGACCGACAAGGACGTGCGCGGCGGCACCGCCGGCGCGAGGGAGAAGACCACTAAATACGAAGGGAGCGCCGGCCCGCTCGAGCTCACGCAGCGCATCCTGGCACAGTGTCGCACATTCAAGAGCACGATGGAGAAGGCACAAGCAGCCAGTACCAAAGGGAAGAACATTGATGCAAATGGTTCTGGTTGCGTTGATGATGCATTTGATGGCATTAATATCGATGCAGATGCACAGAAAGAGGCAGGCGACAACCAGGAAAGATCCGCTAAGACAGACGATGAGATTGAGCAGCAGAAGTGGTCACAGTTCTGCGAGCGCATCGTCAGCGTTGCTCTATCCGTCGAAGGGCACCTACGCAAGACTAAAGGCAATGCCGCGGTCGATCAGATGCTGGGCGTCATCTCCAAAAATAGCAATGCAGCTGCTTCTCAGGCGCCCGCAACAATGTTTGAGAAGGATAAGGAGTGTACAATTGACAGCAGCAGCAACAATAACGACAACAAGAGCAAGGCGAGTGAAAAGCATCTGTCAGACGAAGAAGAAGTCGCAAAATACGAGGCGTGGGCAAAGCCTTTGCTCTTTGGCGCCGAAGTGGATATGACGATTCCAGTGGGCGGGGGGCGAAAGTACGCACACGTCTATGACAGAGAAATCGCCAACTGTAAATCGACCGCCATGCGCCGGACAATCGCCATCTCCAAGGAGCTTGCCAATCTCAGCTCGTCCCTCCCTGCTCTCTTCCACGGCTCCATCTTCCTGCGTCGCGACGAAGAGAGGGTGGACGTGTTGAAGGCATGCATTATGGGTTCAGAAGGATCTCCATACGAGGGCGGATGCTACCTATTCGACATCTTCTTGCCTGTCGAATACAACCAGCAGCCTCCCAAGTGCAAGATCACCAACACGAACGGCGGCAAGGTGCGTCACAATCCCAACCTGTACGCCGACGGCAAGGTGTGCCTCTCCCTGCTTGGCACATGGCCTGGGCCCGGCTGGTCGCCCGGTCAATCGACCCTGCTGCAGGTACTTCTGTCCACCCAGAGTCTGGTCCTGTGCCCTGAGCCGGCCTGTAACGAGCCAGGCTGGGAGCGCTTCGAAGGGCAAGAACGAAGCAAGTCGTATAAGCGCAACATCCGTCGTATGACTGTCAGCGTCGCCATGCTCGGTCTGCTCAAGGATCCGCCCTTGCCCTGGAAGGAGGTGATCGAAGGCCACTTCTACCACAAGCGGCAGTACATCTCCAAGCTCCTCGACAAGTGGGTCGATGACGATGATGGCAAGGGGATGTACAACGACGGCAGCGAACTGATGTCCGCGTATGGGTACGCTGGCGCGTCGACCCAGCCCCCGAAAAATCAGGGCAGTTTCCTGAAGAAGAATGGTGAGTGGACGCGCTGTGCTGCGCTTGAGAGAATCTGCTTTGCTACCTGCGTTGAAAATATGTCGCTGACGAAGGGCTTGGCTTCCCTGCACCGCAGTGGATGAGCTCAAGGAATTGCTTACCAAGCTCGACATTTGAACGACGCAGTAATGACAACTATAAGAATGAAGCAAGCGTCAGGCTTTAGTCTGGCGAGAGCTAAGGAGCCCTGAGATGGAGGAAATGCGCAGCGCAGCACAACACAACAAGACATAGCATGTAGACTCCTTTGCACTGTATCATAGTCATTGACACGAGGTCGAATCACCCTTCCCTTCGCAATGAAACCTCATCCAAAGGTTTCGGTCATCGGCAGAAAATACATGCTCTTTGTCATTAGGTCGTGAATGTGGGAAAGAAGCGGATCTGCACGCAGCGACGCGTATGCCTTCAGAAGACAACGTAGTCTGAGATCCGATCTAGCAGAGAGAACGAAGGTCCGAAGCGGTCAATCAAAAGGTGCATCGGTTTCTGACGCCAGAACGTGCGTGCACGAATTCACCTCTTGCACCTTGCGCGATGCACTCTGCGATCCAAGCGAGAGTCCTAATCTCTTGCTCCTTGAGCTTGCACCACGAGTAGAATGTGGCGTAGCTGAACTGCTGGATGGTGAGGATCTTGTTCATGCGCGATTCCTCCTTGAACATCTTGTCCTCCAGCTGGTCCGCGTTGGCCTCGCCAGCGCCGGCAGTGCCGGGTGCGGCGTCGAAGAAAGCGCGGTACTCGGGGACCAACTCACAAACTGCTTTGACCTGCTCGAGCTCGTCTGCTTTCGCCAGCTGGTTGTTGCCTGCCGGGTAGAGCTTTCCAATTGTCGGGAAGAGACGCGCGCGCTGCTCCTTGCTCAGGCTCGTGCCGAACGAGTTGATGGTTATGTTGATCACGCGCCGGTCCGCTTCAAACGCAAGCAGCTCCGACATCGCGTCGGTCGTCACGCCACCAAGCGTCTGGCAGAAGTTGTAAAAGTCCTCGAGGTAGGCCTTGTACAAAGTGTTGCGGATAATCTCGATGTTCAGATCGTCCAGATCAGCGGCAGAAACGCAGTCGCGGAAGTAGGGCCCTGCCACAGTTGAGAAAGCAGAACAGGCCCGAGTTAGCGTCTGACGTACTGTGCATGAAGAGGGGTCAAGTGTGGCCCAACAGACAAAGCACTCACCAAGAGGTGTCTCGACAAGGACGCTTTGGTAGAGCTCCTCGACTGTGCTGGCAACACAGAGGGCTGGCAATGTGTCGAACCAGCCCAGTGGGTGACACCGCTCGAGCAGCTCGTGGGTGTCTCTCTCGTGCAGCGTGCCTGTGATCAGCAATATGACGTTGTCGATCATATATGCATATCTACATATGTGAGGAGCATCGGATGTGGACATCAGCCATGCAAGCCAGTGGGATAGTCGGTCAGCATCAATGGGACGCTCACGTAATGTAGTCCAGGAATGTGCTTAGCGGTTCGACAGCATTCTGGCGGAGGTATTCGAATTCAGCGACGAGCTTGCGCGTCGCTTTTTCCGCAATGGTGCTCGTGCTGATCGGGCTGGGCTCGTTGGCAAGGAAATTGCCGTAGTCGGTGGCTGAGAGTTGCATACGGAAGTCTTCAAGGTTCTCACACTGCGTCAACGTCTGGTACGTTGATGCGTTAAGCAGGCCGGCTCGGTACCCTCGGACAACGCCTTCAAGGTAACCATTGGCTATGTTGAATGATATCATCTCCATCTTGAAAAGGCACGTCTCTTCCCTTTCCTACTCCTTTTCCCTATCCAGACACGCGCAGCGTGGTTCGAAGTGCTTGGTCGGGCTACGCGCAGCGCAGAGGAGCACCTCGGCTCGTGAATGGTGGCTGTGCGTAAACAAGCACGGATAAGGGTGCTTTGCACGCTCTGCTTTCGCCGTGTGCTCGCCTCGATGCCTGCGCTTGGGATCTATCGATGCATGGAACCGAGCAAAAAAGACCCCAGGTCGCAGGTTTTGGAGGTGTATTGCCTGGCCGATGGAGGTACCAGGCATGGAGCCACGCTCCGCGCTTGAGCGAGTCAACGATGCTGCCTCCTGACTTCTGAGTTCTGACTATTGAGATTGTTGTAAAGCCGCACTGCAGAGAGCCGGCGTAACACATTGTAGGGTTGTGCAATGCTCTAGGTCGCAAGAAGAGTAGTGGAGAGCGACATGTTTCGACTGTTTGTCGATTCCGTGACAGACTCCCCCATGGAAGGGTAGGTACCTATGTAGTCGACAGGCATCAGCTGGGACGGCGATAACCCCAGCATGCCTTGTTGCCTCCGCTTCGCGATTGATGTCGACTAGGGTTGTAAAAAAGTAGGGTTACATTGGCCGTCAGGCCAGGCTGCGGCCTGACGGCTAGAGTCGAGATTCGAAAGAGTTAGTCGAGTAGTCGACAAACCACTTCGGTTGGAAGTGGTCAGGTCGGCGGGATACGGTACGCAACATCGATGAAACGTGATCCGTGCTTTGCATTTTGACTGAAGGATGAGCGCAATGCAGGTCTTGAGGAATGGAGAAGTGGGAATAGGTGAAACGAGAGAACTTCGTCCTCACTTACCCCCTCCGTCGTACTTCAGCACTCAGGCCGGGGAGGTGATGTAGTCACTGCAGATCTTCGCATGAACGGTTGCAGCGCCAACCTTTGCGCCCGCCATGTCAGGCCCTCAGCAGGAGCAGCCAGCAAAATTATGTCGGAGCCGACAGGTCAGCGCTGAACAAGACACTTCACACGATACTCACCCAGCCGTCCCACGTCCAGCGACGACGAGTGGAGTACGCAACGGCCCTCAATCTTCCAGCGGTCGCCACGTCGGCTCCGAGTTCATGACGCTCTATACACCACCTTTTCATCTTGGGAGGCAGGGCGGCGAGGGAGGCGTCACGCCTCTGTACGAAGTCAGCGACCCTTTCGGCAGGCAGCAGAAAGAACTTCTCCAGCATCGGCGTATGGAAGATTTGTCTTTACAACCGAACTCTAATCTTGGGCTCATAGGAGCCGGCAGTGCCGACCCGAGCCCGAGCTCATCCATGCCGTCCCTCTCTGTGGTCACACTGGGCCTCACAAACGGAAAGACAGCAAGTAGCAGCGGCGCTCACTCCCATGCGTACGTCACTGAGTCCGGGTTGTATGCACGCGATCTAGCGGATGGTCATCGGGAAACTGTGATGCGTGCACGTATGGGCAACCCGATCACCACTGCGGTTGGCTCGCAAGTCGTTCATGCTCCGATCATGAGGACAACCAGCGTCGACCAGTCCTTGCGTAGTCGCACTATCAGCCCGATTCATTCACCTCTCGCAGGCAACGTCGCTCTCGACACCATCCCATGGGAAGCGGGTGAGCCAGTGGCAGGGCCCAGCAGGCACAGCAGTGATGGTTTGCTCGTGGCCGGTTCACAGATAAGCTTAAGGCAGGAAGGTGATGACGAAGCGTACAAGGGCCATCTCCCCGACGCTTCAGGCAGCGGCGTAGCGCACATAGATGCAGCCGGCCTGCCCCCACGCACCGGTAGCGTAAGCATCTGGTCGGCCGCATCAGCAGTAAGGCGTACCGTGTCGCCGCCCAGCCGGTCGGCCAGCACCGGCGCCAGCAATCGCTCAGGAGTGCAGCAGGAAGGCCACGATGGAAGGAGGACGCCTGCTCGCTATCGACCACAGGAAAAGGCGGATAGGAAAGGGAAAGGAAAGGCCATGAGCATCCTGCTGGACCGATCTGGCCCAGGAATGGGAATGAGGCGAGACGTGTACGGCTATGCAGCGACGCCATCGCCAGCACATTCCATTCAAATAGGCAAAGATCCGCCGTTCAGTTTGCACGCTGCTCGGGTCGCAGTCACCAAGCCGCAAGCGAGGCGAGGTGCGATCAATCTCACTAAGCGGCAGCGCCAGAGGCGGCCGGTGCAATCTCAACCGAACCCGCTACTCGTTCTTCTGCATACGCTTGTTAGCATCGTGCGGACTGCATGCTGGTCCGCACTACATCCGATCGCTGCACTGCTGCTGGCAGCTTGCAAGGTCCGACAAGGCTTGCAAGCGACGGACCAAGCGTTCCGGGATCCAAGCACGGGCCAGAGAGTGTGGAAGCCGGAATGGCTGGACGCGTATATTCCGATTATGATCTGGTTGGGCATTAGCCTTGGCAGCACGGCGCTAGTGATCACATTCCACGAGCACGTCTTCTCTCTGCTCGACCAGCTCTCCTCGACACTGCGGCGCTGGGGCTTCAAGGGACGGCTGGCGCTCGGGGCCCTCATCTTCCTGACGACCTTCCCGCCGCTACCACTGTACTCAACGCTCGTCATCCTCGGCGGCTTCAGCTTCGGTCTTTGGGAAGGCTTCGTCGTTGGCTACGTCTCAGCTCTGACCGGTGCGATCGTGGTATTCCTACTTTCGCGCACGCTGCTGCGCAACTGGATGGAGAGGCTGCTCGCCAAGAGCGGCGGATTAAAGAAGGTCATTCGTGCGATCGAGAAGCAGCCTCGGCTGCTCTTCCTCATCCGTCTCGCGCCGTATCCATACAACTTGATGAACACGCTGCTCGCCAGTTCGTCGACGCTGACGCTCAAGAGCTACACGCTCTGCACAGCGCTCGCGCTGCCGAAGCTACTCGTCCATTGCGCCCTCGGAACAAGCATCAAAAGCTTCGCAACGTACCAGCCCCGTGGCGGAGGAGGCACTGCTAAGGATGACGATGGCACAGCCTCCACGGCGGAAAAGGTAAAGGAGATCTTCGGATTCGTCGGCGTTGCGCTATGCATCGGCATTTTTCTGTACCTGTTCTCTGTCGCGCGGCGAGCCGTCGATGAGCTGGATGACGGCGATGGTGACTATGAGGAACTTGATCTGTCAGAAGAGGAGGATCGAGCGCTGGGGTCCTCAGGGGAGGAAGGAGGCGGTGAAGGCGTGCAGCACGCGAGCTGGCTGACCGACAGCCTTGAGGTGCGCCAAGCGCCGCAGCAGGAGCCACAGTTGTACAGCGCAGGTTGCGACTCGGCCGGCTACGATACATCTGCAAGTTGCTCGCCTGACGCGTCAGGTGTGCGCTCGTTACTGGTCAAAATCGAGGAGATGGAAGCAAATGCGGAGGACTACGATGTTGCCCATCACCTAAAGGGCGACGGCAGGTCACGATAATCCATCCATCACTTTCTCCTTTACACACATCCATGGACTATTTTCTTTAATGCATTATCCCACACAATGCATGCTATTTGGATTGAATCGGCGCATCGCATGATGCGTTCGAAAGGCTGGCGTTCGAAAGGCTGACTCTCTGTCACTGTACAAGTGTACATTATCGTGTGAGCCCATTCGATGAAGGGCCTCGTGCCATGCTTCGCTAAAGCAAGCCGCATTCAGCTGTCTAGGTCCAACTGTTCCTGCGCGAACCCCGCGCCATAGCAGGGTCCCATTCTGCCTCCTCATGACGGTAGCGCCGTATCGGAAGAAAAATTGCGAACCATTGGAGCGATGTTGAGCTCGAGGCTTGAGATGCGGTTGAGATGTTGAGTATTCCGCTCTCGATTGGCGAGAAGACTATGTGGAATGAACGTGTCGCGCCGTGAGTCGCGACTTGGTCACGCTGAAGCTCGTGAGTCGCGACGCACATGTCAAATGGGGTTAGTTCTCATCACCTTCTGCTCACTCACCTCCAGTCGACTTCTTCGACATCTACGCCTTGGAGCTTTCGTGTCGCTTTGGCTGCAAACTCCTAACGTGGGAAATTTCCCGAGGTCCCACTATTGGAAGGGCATCGTTGCCGGCACACCCGGCGACGTTTTCCCTTCTCATAATTTGGTGCGTTGCGATCCGAACTGTTCGGCATCCATACTGGCTGCTCGTTCAGGCCAAGGATTGATTGACAGGCTTGTAGATTGGAGGAAACCCAAGATGGCTGAAGAGTTCAATCACGTCTTGTGAGTATGGGGCACAGGCCAAGCGAGCCCCGATTTGGAAGGCTGAGCTCTGTCTCCGCGACTGTATAGCTTCGGGCTTTCGTCCACGGTCGGCCGCTTGAGGATGTCGGAAGGCGGCCTAGGCTGGAAGCCTGCTGGTGGGGAAGGCTCAACGGTAACCGAGGTGGCAGACAATTTCAAGTCCTTTGAATGGCTAAAGTGAGTATCCTGGGTCACTAGCATTCGTGGACATTAGTTGACCGTCTTGTTGTGCGTTTACAGAGTCGCACGAAATTACCAATGCCGCATCAATCTTCGCAAACGAAATGATCGCGGGGAGGATCGCATGACATTCGACGGCTTCTCACGCGACGACCGAGAGCGGCTTGCTGCAACGATCAAGTCGTATTACGGGATGACGCTAACAGATCGCCAGATTTCAACACGAGGATGGAACTGGGGCAGTGCTGAGATTGAACAGGACGACGTGCAGTTCCTCGTGAACGAGAAGCTGGCATTTGAGGTGCCTCTCTCGCACATTGCCAACTCAAACGTGGCGGGCAAGACGGAAGTGAGCATCGAATTCATCAACCCAGAGCAGCAGCAGCCCACCACGAACAGCGGAGCAGCGACGAACGGGGACCGAAAGTCTACCAAGATCAGAGGCGATCAGCTGGTGGAAATGCGCTTCTTCATTCCAGGCAACGTTGAAAAGGGGAGCAATGTGGGCAGCGATGCAGAGGATCAGGAGGAGCAGACGGCAGCCAGTGCATTTCACGAACAGCTCAAAGCCAAGGCGGACATCGGTCAAGTGGCCGGCGACGGCATTTTGCTGTTCAAGGATGTTCTTGTGCTCACGCCGAGAGGGCGGTACGACATTGACATGTTCTCGTCCTTCCTGCGACTACGGGGCAAGACGTACGATTACAAGGTGCTCTACTCGTCCATCACGCGTCTCTTCCTATTACCCAAACCGGACGACGTGCACGTGCAATTCGTCGTCGGCTTGGACCCGGCGATCCGGCAGGGGCAGACCAAGTACCCATACCTGGTTCTGCAGTTCCCGCGCGAGGAGGAGATGGATGCCGAACTCAACCTGGACGAGGAGGTGATCCAGGACAAGTACGAGGGAAAGCTGAAGAAGCGGTACGAGGAGCCGACGTTCAAGATTGTCACGAATTTGTTCAAGGTGCTCTCTGGACAGAAGCTAACGGTGCCGACTTCGTTCGAGTCGAGCACGGGGCAGTCGAGCATCAAATGCAACGTCAAGGCGACAGACGGTCTGTTGTACCCGCTGGAGAAAGCGATGCTTTGGGTGTCCAAGCAGCCGGTATATGTCGCGTACGCGGATGTGCACCAGATTGTCTTTTCGCGCGTCGGCGGCGCCATATCGTCGAGCAAGACATTTGACCTGCGCGTCATCACCAAGAGCGGGCCCGAGCACCACTTCCAGAGCCTCAACAGGGAGGAGCACGAGAAACTGAACTTGCACTTTGCCGAGCGCAAGTTGCGCATCAAGAACGAGATGGCCGAGACGGACGGCGCCCTTGGCTTGCAAGTCGCCGCGGGCATGCTCAGCGACGAAGACGAAGAGATGGGCGCCGCTGGCGATGACGATGACGAAGACTCTGAGGGTGGGTTCGGATGCAGGCGGGTGCCAAGGCCACACATGCCATCACCATTGACTGACCTTTTTGCTTTTCTTTCCGAGAACAGAGGACGAAGACTTCCAAGAGGGCTCATCCGACGAGGACGGCGGTTCTCCGTCCGAAGCATCAGATGACGAGGACGGTGGCGCCGGCGGAAAGGGCGGCGGCAAAGGGGACGACTCTGATTCCGACGCTGAGATGCGCAACATGGACAGCCCGCCGAAAAAGAAGAAGCGCAAATCGTAACAATGTCTGTTGTCGGAAAAGCATCAACAGGGCAGACCCAAGCAAGGTGGAGCGAATGGGCGAAGACATGCACGATGTATTGTGCGCCAGCAGCTGTCATCTTCCCCAACCTTGGCGCGTGTTGCATTCACACAAAAAAGAACTTGTGCAGCAATCAATGTACAATTGTCTTTTGCTTTTTGCCGCTATCTCGCCCTTCCCTCTCGTCGCTGCCGCCATCCTTGTCCCTGTCTCTGTCTCGATGAGCATCCCCACTAGCCGCACTGGGTAATGATGATGATGAGAATGGGCGGCGGTCATGCGCTGTGCCACCTCCCACAGGCTGTCCCGTCGCACTGGGCTTTGGCTCGCCGCTTGCGTTGGCAGCGGCCGGCTTCTTCCTGACCACGCCGAGGCCAAGCGGGTCGCGTTTCCGCTTGGCTTTGGCTGAGGCAAGTGCGGCTGGTGCGGTGCCTGCGGCCGTCCCGGACGCGGAAGGCGCAGCTGGCAATGCCGACGCGGGCGGAGATGCAGAGGCTGCCCCTGCTTGAGACGCTGGTGTAGCGGGGACCTTGGACGGTCGTGCTGTTGCTGTTGCTGCTGCAGTTGCTGGTGACGTTCCCTGGTTCGCTGTTGGTAAGGCAGACGCAGTAGCAACCGCAGCGGCGCGGAGCAACTCGGCCTCCTTTTGCGCGCGGCTCTGTTCTGCGAGCATGCGGAACTTCTCGAGTTCCTCGCGCTCGAGGCGGCTGCGCAGGGCGTCATGTTCGCGCTGCTCGGCAGCGACGTGATTGAGAAAGTCGCTCTCGGACGCGTCGATGCCGCGGAAGTGGTTGGAGAGGCGCATGCGCTCGTCCCACTCCTCCTGCTTGGCGTCCCGGTTCGCCTTGAGGCGCTCATACAGCGAGCGCGGGTCATACGCGCCCTCGGAGGCGGAGGACGCGGCCGGCGGTTCTTGCCCGATCCTGGGCAGGGTGCGTACGCGTGGCACAAGTATTAGCGCCGCTGTGGATCCGCAGGCGGGTTGGTTGGTACGGGGACGCACCTGGCATACGCGTCCTTGAGCTCCTGTTCGCGCCGCTTTTGAGCCTCCGTCAGCTCGGTCTGTGAGACAAAGCGCGAGGCGACGGAAGGAGGGCGTCCGCTGAAGACGCCTGTGCCTGCGGCTGCTGGGTCCATGTCGAGACTGCGAGGGTGGGGAGCGGGGAGCGGGAGGAGGCACGTGTCGAGCTGCAGCAGGTGCAGCGCAATGGAACGCAACGTCGCGCGCTGCTGCCTAGCGCTGCTGGCATTCACGCGACTGGATCGGTCGCCTGCCGACGCGAGATGAAACCAGATATGATGGGTCATGGGAAATTGGGGGAAGGGGGGGGGTTGGAGATATGAAGACAGGCAAGCCACGTGATTCTTGACTCGAGGCAAAGGCGGAACGAACAAGCAATCAGCTTTCACGTGCCCGCTGGCCGCGTGGCACTGCTGTCGTGTTGCAAACCGGATGACGCCCAATCCCCAAAGGTGCAGAGCCCCCCTTTCTACCAAGGCAGAGAGATAATGGCCACAAGTTTGAGGGGTATGTAGGACGTATATTACCACCATGGTCCACCCTGAGCGATCACAGGATTGGGGGGGCTACTGCCAGGACAGAGCTGAACATGTATGGTCACGTGATCCTATCCATCTTTCACACCAATCGCCGTAGTCACGCGAACGTGGGCGATTGGGTGTGTAGTGCGACAGGAGTTGCGCTTGCATTGTGCACTAATTGACAGGCTGGCGACTGGGGAAATGGGCTGGAATGAAATGAATTGCAATGAAATGAATTGGATGCTGTTGTATATAGAGATACGCCGGCACGGTTGATCTGATCGGAACTCATCCGATCCCCGCCTCGTCTCCGTCCCCATCCCCGCCATGGCCTCCTTCTTCGCCGCCCGTCTCGGTGGGAGGGGCGCCGGCGCAGGCATGGCAACCGCACAGCAGCATCCACCACCACCAGCAGGAGCAGCATCATGTCGAGACAGCCCAGCCAGCAGCGATGGCGACGACTTGTTTGACGGTGGTAGAGGCAGAGGCAGAGGCGGCAAGGTTGCCGGGCCAACGTGCGCTGCGCCTGCATCAGACAGCGACTCGGCCGCACAGCCCGGCGCGATGGTCACCACACGGTCGCGTGGCCAGCTCGCCCGCCGTCATTCGCTACAGCGCAGCACCAGCATGCACACGCACACGCGCTCCCTCTCTGCGCGCCGCGCTGATGGGCCCGGTAGCCCGGTCGTATATTCATACAAGGGAAAGGGTGACAGACCGCTGCTGGGCGGTATGTACTTCTCCGATCTCATCGTCATCTTCTTTACCTACGCTCTCAACCTCTTCCGCACACTCGGCCTCGCCGAGCTGTGCGACCTCGTCGTCAAGGGACTCGCATTCGCTCGTGCGTCGTCTTTGTGCCCTCACGCCCTGTGCCATCGCACTCTTAGCCGCGCAGAAGCTAACTCACCCACTCCTTCCCTTCTTGCCCTACCCCGCAGTCATCACGCTCCCGACCGAATTCTACGCGCGCTGGGCAGACGGGCAGGCGGCACAGCGCCGTGAGGACGCGTATATGCGCGCCGGCAGGGGCAGATCCTCCGCTTTCCGACGCGCAGCCGGCGCCAGCGCGGCCGCCGCACGTGCAACAAGAGCAGCAGAAGAAGAGGAGCAGAACGAGGAGGGGGACGAAGGGGAAGAGGAGGTGAAGGATGATGACGAGGAGGAGGAGGCAAGCGGCGGCGTATCCGCAGCGCAGCGCATCCACACGCGCCAGCTAAGCTTGCAGCGCAAGCGCGCCGGCCTTGCCGCCGCGATCACCAACGCGGACACAGCCAGCGACAGCGACTCGACCGCCGCCACCGCTACCTTTACGGCGGGTAGCCTGCGCGCTTCCTCCTCGCGCCGCCGCGCTTCCATACGGCTCAGGCCGAGCGCCACCGGCAGCGACAGCGCAGAGACCGCCGATGCATGCGTAGAACCTGTGCCCCCGCGCACACGCGGCCACGTCGCCAGCTGGCTCTCGCAGCAGGTCACCAATGTCGGAGACGCTGCTGGCATACGCCTGCGCCACCCGGAGCAAGCGCAGGAGAGCACTGCTGCTGCTCCCACTTCCAAGGAGCGGGGCGTCGCAGACGCACATGCGAGTACCAGCATCGCAGAAACAGCAGCAGCGGACCGCGATCCGTGCGCCTTCGACGTCCTCCCGCCTGGCAGCTCGCCGCTGCAGCTCTCACCATTCCATCACCTCGTTATCCTGCTCACGCGCTTCGCCTGCGAAAACTTTCCGCACCTCCTCCCCCGCGTTCTCTTTGCCGAGGAGACGGTCGGCCCCCTCGTCCGCTGGCGCACTGGCGGAGGCGCCGCCAGCCTCATTCGCGAGTTTGGCCCGGATGTCCAGAACCCTGGCGATGGTGGTGCTGGTGCTGGTGACGTGGGATGGGAGAGCGAGGAGCATACGGCAGCGTCTGGGGATGGGAACCAGGCCGCTACTGCTGCTGCTGCGGCGGCGTGTACGAAAGTTGCAAAAGGCCGCGAGCGCGCGGAACCTAACGGCTTTCGAGCCTTCTGGATCGGTGGCGACAGCCAGATGCCCCGAGAGCAACGGAGAGCCTCCGAAACCGCGCGCCACGCCACCACTATCCTTTACCTGCACGGCGGCGGCTTCACGCTCGGCAGCGTCGCGTTCTACGCCGAGGCGCTCATTCGCATCCTCGCCAAGGTCTGCTCGACGGAACGCAAAGGCAGTAGCAGCGCCGAGCCAGGCGAAGCGCGCTGCATCGCGGTCGAGTACCGGCTGTCGCCGTCGGCACGCTTTCCTGCGCCGCTCCTTGAGTGCCTGCGTTGCTACGCGCACCTCATCGACGTCGAGCGCATCGATCCGTCCGCGATCGTGCTCGCCGGAGATAGCGCCGGCGCTAACCTGGCCATGAGCATGCTCCTGTGCCTTTCAGGCCAGTACGGTGGCGACGACGCCGGAAGGCGCATAGCCGCCGAGCGCGACTGGGCGCGCCTACCCATGCCTGGCAAGGCCGTCCTCGTCAGCCCGTGGGTCGACCTGCGCCCCAGCCATGCGCACGCTTTTGAGCCGCTGCGTAAGAGCACAGCAGCTACGCCATCGCTATCGCCAGGAGCGGCAGCACAGGCTGCTTCAGTAGCAGGAATGCAGCAGTTGCCATCGCACGCGTCGCGCCGACAGTCTCGCGGCTCGAGCAGCAGCAGCAAGGTCGGCGCAGCAGCAGCAGCATTTTCATCGTCCGCTGGGAGCAAGGCGCAGCAGCAGTCGTCGCAAGAGAAAGCGTCGCGAAGCATCGTCGACCCCCATCGCTGGGATTACGTCTCGCCCGAGGCGCTGCTCCACTTCGCGCAGGTCTACGCGGGCGTCATGCACACGCCACGCCGTGTGCGCGGACCGGTCGGCTGGATTAGCCACCTGTTCCGCGTTGTCGCAGAAGGCTATCCAGACTTGCAGAGCTCCGCGCCGGCTTCGCTGACGCCGAGCAAGGCGACAGCAGACGTATTGGCCAAGCGGCCCGGCAACGCTCCCCGCTCCTCTTCCACTTTGTCATCGTATGGATCGACGTTCATGGACCCGCCAAGGCAGCTCGCAGCGCTCATGAGCCCCCCGCGCCGCTTGGCCAAGGCTGCTTCGCGCGCACTTGACCAACCTATGTTCCTGAAACGCGCAGTCCTCGACGACGGTGACGGCAACCCCGACGATGAACGCGCTCTCGAGAAGGAGCAACAGGCCATGCTCCACCATCAAGGAGGAGCGCGCGACACGCAGCCGCTTTCTGTCGCCTACCTCGGCCTCGACCCGCTGTTCACCGCCAAGGAACGCGAGACGCGCACCGTGCCGAGCAAGCAGCAGCTCTACATGCCCTTTGAGGAAGCCATGGGCGAGGACCCCGGCTGCACGCGCCTAGGCGAGCAGGTCAGCACCGTCGCAAAAGCTGCGACGGAGCTCGACCACAATCCGCTCATCTCGCCTGCCATTGGCGACTGGAGCCGAATCAGACTCAGCAAGGGTGCGCTCGTCGTCTGGGGAGAGCGCGAGGTCATGGCGCAAGACATCGCTCTCTGGGTGCAGAAGGTGCGCCGCGAGTCTGCTAGGCCGGTCCAGGATCGTGATGGCGATGACGATGACAACGACGAAAACGCTGGTGTGTTTTCCGGGCGAAAAGAGCCGCAGCGCCAGCATGATGACCAGTGGATTCATGCGGCGATCGAAAAGGGACCGGCCGGTGTGCATGCATGGCCGCTCGTCTCTATGTACCTGGCAGGCACTGAGCCGGAACGTGAAAAGGGCCTCGACCTGCTCGCTCGCTTCATCGCGCGCAACGATACTGGCTCTCACCTCGGTGGCCAACAGGCAGCGAGCCTGCTCGATCCCATCACAGGCTCTGTCACGCACTCGCCTCCGCAGCCAGGTCCATATTCGCCACTGCATTCGCCTGGCTCGATGCCGTCCGACGCCGGCATGCATGGCGCCGAAGCTGGGCAAGACTATGCTAACGAGCACTTCCTGGACGATGGGAGGATTAATGCGCTAGACCTGGAAGGTATTCCCCATGTCCAATCTTTCCAAGCGTCAGCCTGGAGCGAGACGTCGAGCATGGAGAGCAGCAGTTTCGAGGAGGCATTGCGTATCGATGCGTCGTATGGGCTCGGCATTGACCAAAGCGGCTCTCCGCCGCCACCTCTTCCGCCACGCGATGGACAACGCCGCAACAGCACTTCCTCTGAAGAGATGGGCGTTTCGCCACCACGTACTCCCCAGAGCACTTGGCAACGTGCGCATACTCCCACACACACGGAGGCAGCTCTTACCGGCGATTGCATTACTACTCCGCGCGGCTCAGAAACCTTGCGTATACCCGACAGCACCGCCGTCGCGACCTCGCCTGAGCGCCAGCAACAGTTCTCTCCCGTCTACCTAACGGAGGTCTCACGCGGCCGCAGCACGGCGTCAAGCAGGCCGATCTGGTGGGAATCGCTGCAGAACAACGAGCAGCAACTCCATAACCCGGGCCTTTCGTCTGCAGACACACTTGCTGGCGGAATGCCCGCCGGCCCCTCTACGTTGGGGGCATCGTCATCGTTGCCGTTGGCTTCCGCATCTCTGTCTCCACATTTGTGGGAAGGGCTCTCAGGGGTGAGCACAAAAATGATCTCGATTCGCATCAGGCTGCTGATTGACCTTTCCCTCCTTCGCTTTTATCTCAGCGAGCACGATTCTTCGATGACGAAGAGGATGGCGACGCGGACTCCGCCAACTTGGCACGGTATCTGGCTCCATCTCGGATCATTCCTGTCACAAGCTCATCGGTAGATGCCGGGTTCTATGGCCTCTCTCACTACGACGTGCGCGACAGAGAACCGGAGGGCCTGTCTGACATCACGGAGGAGGACTCCAACATGAGCGCCGGCGCTTCTGCTGTCGGTGGTGGCGCTGCCTCTCCGGTCAGTCGTGAACCGCTACAGGGCTTTGGAGTGGCTGGTGATGCTCTACGCGCGCTCATTTCGGACCGCGAGATGCAGTGGCAGCGGAGCTTGCAGGAGCGCGAACTCTCCGCATCAACGGAAGAAGTTCTCGATATACCGAGCAGCGACAGTGACGCAGAGAGGGTCGGCATAGACGTGCGCGTCCCCGAAGCCAGGGCCTTCTCGCCACCTGTACCGCCGCAGCCGGGTCCCAGCTTGCCTGTGACGCAACGTCGCAGCTCAGACAACGATGTCCCGCATTCCAATGAAGAAGAGCTCACCACCCCGCGCCGGAAAAAACCCAAGGGCGACGTGTGGTGGTGAGCTGACGATCATCATCACACTAAGACAGGAAGAGTATGCAATGTTTGTTGTACAATCTTGTGTGAATAAGAACCTATGGGAGCACTTGCAATTGAACTATGGTACATCTCGAGAGCGAATATCAAAAAGAAATGTCAATCCGCGTAGAAGCCTTTGAACTTTGAGGCCTGGGCCTTGTACAGGTCTTTGCCTTTCTTCTTTCGATGTGCTAGAGCTGTAAGGGAAGCAAGTGTCATTAGCCATTTGGTCCTATTAGACCAGTCGAGAACAATGGCAGTGCACGCACGAGTGACCCGAGATCCCACCTTGATCTCAGCCTCAATCATGTTGGGCTCGCTGGTCGCAGATGCAGAATATGCACCGCTCTGGCGAAGTCCGATGAAGCGAGCTATATCGCTGAGCCTTGCCTTTTGACGCGGAGTGATGCGCAGTGACCCTCGTCGAAGCTCTCTGTCCCACGACTTTAAGGAGAGCGGCTCTTCGTCGAACGCTGTACCATCCTGCGCTTGCTCATCAGCTGAATATTCATCCTCTCCGGCACGATGCAGATTCTTGTCCGAGGCAGCGAAAAGTCCGGCAGAATCGAATGGCGTGACGCCTTTGCCGGACGGTCGTGGAATCCATGTAGGGTAGAAGGTGACCTCGGGCGAGATCAAAGGAGATGTTTCCGAATCCAGCGTTAACCCTGCATAGCCAAGCAAATAGTGCATTTCGGGATCCTGCGATGAAGAGGATATAAAAGAGTAGTCGCGCCGTGGCCAGTCAGTCCATCTTGGGGACTGCGGAAGGTACCTCCGCAAGATGCTCACGCGAGGGAAGTGCATTCCAATCAGGCCTGGTTTTCGTTGGGTACTTAAGCCTAATCGGGAACGGGTATCAGGCCCTTGGTGATGGTGAATCAGCCCGTGCGCGACGGCGAGTGTCTGTCGAACATCTTGCAGCTGTCCGGCTGGTGCGCGGACGAAGATCGATCTCCGCAGAACAGAGCGTGTGCTCATCGAGGACGCTATCGACTCGGACACAAGATTGCTACCCAGATGCGTTGATGTCGTGATGGTGACTACGACGAGATTCGAGAGGCTGGGGGAAATTTGCGAGATCAACGACTTCAACCCGACTTTCGTAGATTTCTGAAACTGGCGCAGCACTGGCGCGTGAGTGTCGGGATTGAGAGACAAGACCGATTTTGATTTGACAGGGACAAAGAAGGAACAAGTGCCGGAGTACTCAATACTGTGAGGCCTCGAGTATTACAACACATTAATTCAAGCTCCTTCTCCTCATCTTATGTGTCAATTAGAATACAGATGTGATGGGCTTTAGGGAACTAAAGAGCAGCGAGCAAACCCGAAGGTACCCTGACTTTGATGGCGCTAAGTCCGACCTGAGCGAACGTCTTGGCTTGACGGTCGTATTGCAGACCCAAGAGGCCGCCGCCACCCAGGCATCTTGGGAGTGAACGTAAGAAGCGAAGGGCGGAGGCAGAGTGTGTCCGTCAGGGATAAGGCATCATTCGGAGAAAGAGAAGGGGCCCGATACTCACTTTGAGACAACAAAATTAACGGCATTGACGCCCGGGGCAAGAAATCTGACAATCTCACTGCCGCCTTGACCGTCCGGCCCATTAGGTGTGAGGAGGTGAGACAGGTATGATCGCACGGTTTCGCAGGTTACTTGCGACTGGATAATGCCGTAGAATTCAGGACGCCGCGCGATGAATGCAATGTTTGCCGAGTCGCCCTTGTCGCCTGAGCGTCCGACCGCGATGCGGATGAGGGGCACGAGCTGGTGCGAGAGTGAGTACGCGCTCTGCGGAGAAGGAATCTCTCTTGCTTCGGCTGTGTATGCCAGCATGTGTGGCGCATTGTCCGGCAATGGCAAGATTGAGGAAGAGGCGTGCAGATTGATCTGTGGAAACGACCGTTTCTGTGCAGAACCTCCACGGTGGTACGCGTGCGAGCCTTGGGTTGCATGCCGGAAGGTCGAATGCGCGCTTTCAGCAGCAACGAGCGTCTTGCATTCGACAGCTTCGCGAGGAATGAGGACGGACTGCGTGCTGAACAGCGGCGAAGGGGCCACTCGTCCGGCGCCAAGTCCCGTGATACCCGGCGCCGTTGATGTCGCTGCCTGCGCCAGCTCCAGAGCCATCCACATCAGCGCTTTCGGATCTTTGTGGCTTGCTGAGATGCGAAGAACCACTTCTCGTGACCCATCTAATCTCGAATGAGCGCTGCAAACAGAGATGATTAAAGGACCCGCTCCAGTCAATTGTGGTCGGCCATGAGCGTTTCGCTTTGTGAGCCGGACGTACCCAAACATGGCCTCGGCACCGACGCACTCAATTCTTGTCTTTTCAAATTCAGCGAATCCGCGCATGTTCATCGCGCGTCCTGCGCGCGTAAGAATTGCACGCCCGAGCATTTCAGCCTTCAACTTGGCCTCTTCTCCTACAATGCAGAGCTCGCCGGATATCTTGTAGCCTTTCGATAGGATTGCAGTGCATTTTAGATGCGATGGCGGTGGCTTGCCCCGTGCTTTTGAGACGCGGACCTGTGCAACGCGTACGAGCCAGTAACAAGCATTCAGTCAAAGCGGTCGATGGAGGCCATGTGCTTTGTAAGCAGAACTCACAAGTTCGCGCTCGACCTGCTTGAGTTCGACCTGGCTCAAGTCCAGTGTAACGTCCGGCAAGATATAATTTTCTGGATCGAGGACCTCGTAGAGCATCTGCTCACCCACGGACAGAACAGATACGATGCCTCCTGTCTCCGGTGGCTTGCTGACGTCAAACACAAGCCCATCTTTGGAGCGCGGGAAGGTGACAATACCGTACTGTCGAACCGTGGGAGTTCTCTCTTCAGTTAGGCGGCTCGAAAGTGCGTTTTTGACCCATACCACGACCTACTCACACCCATGTTGCTCCAGCCCCCACACCCACTGAAAGCACCCTCCTTCCAATCAGTGAAATTTCCGCCGGTAGCTTGCGCACCGCATTCAATGATGTGGCCGGCAAGAGAAGCTGTTGCAAGGCGGTCGTAGTACCGCTGCAGATCCTGCGTCGCACTGTTTCCACAACCGCCGATCTCGTTTGCAGTGTGGGGCCAGTCAAATTCGTGCATGAGCGGCGCAAGCACCAGCGCCGAGTCGGCACAGCGACCCGTAATAATGATCGTTGCACCTCGGTCAAGAGCGGCAGCAATGGGCGCCGCTCCTATGTAAGCATTGAGCGAGAGCAGTGTGTCACTGCCTTTCCCAGCCCCCGGTTTCGGGAGATGCAGGAGGGGTTCGAGAGAAGGACCCGCATCGATGTTAAAATGAGAGAATTGTGTGAAAGAAGATGACCTGTTACAATGGAATAAGAGTCATTGTTTTGAATTTCACCGTAGGAACCTCTCGAATGAGATATTTCAAACGGTCAACTCACGATACAAGCTGTTCCCACTCAGCGTGCAAATCGTCGCCCCACACGGCAGCTACCTTGTGGGCATCAGTACCTTGATCCATACCTTGCCTCTTGACTTCTGTCTCGATAGTATTCTTCAGCCCGACAGGATCGAGGCCGCCAGCATTAATGATCAGCTTGGTCCCGTTGGCTTGCAGGCTAGCGAGTAAGGGGGCGATAACGAGCGGTACGATCTCCTCGATGTAGCCGGGTTTGGCTTTGCCGGCTTTCGCCATCCGTGATCTACGCGCCAGCAGTCCCATCGTCACCTCTGCCAGGTAGTCTGCGACGAGGTAGTGTAAAGGAGGAGAGGGCTGGTGTACCATCTGGAAGGCGGCCTGGGGCGAGTCACCCCAGAAGGCACTGTAGCACCCGATGCGAACTTCTTTGTCCTGCGTCGGCATTTTTTAATCCAAATGCGAACGCTCCAAGACTTCTCTTCGAATTTGATACAACGGTGCAGCTTCGGAGGCAGGTATCGCGGGCGGCGTTCGTGCGAATCGATCCAAGGAAGCACGAATAGGAAGCTGCGTCCTCATATTGACGGTAGCAGATGCTGCCATGGTGGTGTTGCCATAAAGAGATGTTGATGAAAGCTCCGGCGCCGGCGTGTCGATAGACCGGCGGTCCAAAGACTCTGAGTAGATGGTCAGTGAGCTGGTGGGTCTTTCCGGCCGAAAAAGTATTTCTCAGACCAGAGCTAACCCTATTTAAAGCTTTGAGATACGCGGCTGGACTTGATTGGCTTCGAGTTGATCGGGATGGCTGACGCGGCGTTGCTTGTCGAGAAGCATCATCGAAAGGTGGAACCCAGTGAATCAAGTCCACCTGAAGAGAGAGGTATCGTCATCACTCCTGTGTAACCACGACCTTGCTGTCTCCATGAACGCGATACACGCAATACTCGTGCGATAGACTCGAGGAAGATCAGTACCGTGGTCTGGGCCAGTCCTTTCCGTGAAAAAATCCGGCATCATGGTGAGAGCGGAGATCTCGCCTTGAACCCCGTTGCAGGCGCTGACTGACATCTCCCCCTTGCTCTTGTTCGCGGACGTGCCCTGACCTCCATAGTTCCGCAAGTGAGTCCCTTTCGGAAGGGGAGTCTGAATCTGAGAAGATGTTTCGTAGATGCTGAAAGTATGGAACCGGACCATCGACTTACCCCGGTGACATTCCTCTCTAGCACATACGACAGCGACAACACAGTCTGTGAGTGCGGGAGACGCGGTTCTTGACGGCAACAACTATTCCTACCAACTCATTCGCTGATCTTTGCCGATCTCTCCTCATCACCCCCGACTGCAGTCTCGCCGCAAGGGCGTCTACATCAAGTCGAGTACGCGTGCGAAGCCGTCAAACAAGGCTCATGCGTTGTTGGTCTGCGCTCCAAGACACATGCCGTGCTCGTAGCGCTCAAGCGCGCGCCGTCCGAGCTGGCTAGCTATCAGAAGAAGATGCTCAGGATCGACAATCATATCGGTATTGGTTTTGCGGGCCTCACGAGTGACGCAAGGGTGCTGAGGTGAATGGCAGTCTGCTCGACCCTACCGAGATACCTCCAGGCTTACGAGTCCCCTTGGATTTCCGATACCTTCACAGCAACTACATGCGTCAATTAGCGCTTTCCTCGCGCCTTATCTACTCGCGACCCCTTCCCCTCTCCCGCATCATCTCCTCTCTTGCCGACCGAGCGCAGCTTAACACAATGCAGTATGGCAAGCGCCCGTACGGCGTCGGCTTCCTCGTCATTGGCGTCGATGGGACCGGCCCGCACCTATACGAGTTCAGCCCGACGGGTAACTGCTTCGAATACTTTGCGATGAGCCTCGGTGCGCGCAGTCAGAGCAGCAAGACCTATCTTGAGAGACATCTGGACGACATGGATGCTCTCGATCGCGACGCGCTCATCATCAAGGGCCTCCAGGCACTGCGAGAGAGTCTACAGCAAGGCAAGGATGTAAGTTTCGCATCCCAAGGACAATTCTGCTCAGGTTGACGGCGGCGGTAGCAATGTTAACTGATGCGTCGCTCTGTCCACATTCCGCGTGTCTCTCTTTCATGTGCATGCGCACCACATATTCAGCTCGAGCTCGACGCCATCTCCATCGCAGTTGTCGGGCCCGGCGCAGACGCAGACGCTTCTTCGCCCGCCTCGCGAGGCGCCGATAAACTCAGGATCTATGAGGGCAAGGATATCAGGCAGTGGATGGACCAGCTTCCGCCACGGACCGCGCCGGGAGCCACAACTGCGACTGCGGCTGCGCCTTCGAGCACGGCAATTGGTGACGCAGGTGCGGACGCTACAGTGCCAGGTGCGGGCGGAAATGCAACGGACGGCGATGTGCAGATGGATGAGTGAACGATAAACATCAAAGAAGCAATGACGCAGGCAATGCATACAATGTTGCTGTGATGTGAATTGTTTAGTCTACAGAGTGATTTCAAATGCAAATGCGTGTTGGACCTCTTTTCGAGGTGGCCTAAGCGGTGCTAAATGTTGATCATGGCTATGCAGATCATCCAAGCGCATGTTGTTGCGGTTGGTATGGGTCGCGAGGCATTCCACATGAGTGGCCAGCCTCTTTAGGAGCGCCTTCCGGGAAAGCAATGACGTTGCCGTCTGCAGCCTTCCTCCCTTCAGCGAGTCTTGGGTCGTTCCTTCGCTCCTCTGTTTGCACCTCTTCTTCGATATCGGCATCCCAGTCGGCATCATCGATCTCGATGACCCTGCAGTTGCACGCCTCTTGCAGTGGCTCCCAATCATTGTCTTGCAAGTGCTTGACGGCTTTGCGACACGCCTCGAGCACCGCAGATTTGCGCGAGCCTTGCATCGTCTGAGAAAGCATACGCCCGTGCAGGAGGAAACGGCAGTGCGCGCCGGCCTTTGGTGCATCCTTCCACAGCCTCTTGCCGGTGGCTTTGGCTTCAGCATGAAGCGTGCTCATATCGGTGATTTCGAGTCGGAATCCGTGACAGCCGCGAGACCGGATCATGGCGAGGAAGGAAGTCGGATTGCTGGCCGGGAGATCCTGGCGCGAGCAGAACATCTCTAGAAAGGGTTGAACGCGCATTTCGAAGAACTTCTTGCTGCACTCCATATTGAATTCCGAGTCCACGAGCATAGCTCCTAGTAAGCTCTCGACAATGTCGGCACATGCCTTTGGCGGACTCAGATGCTGCCAATACGGTTGTCTCTCCTCCAGCGGCTTCGCCATTTCGGCTTTGCGTAGGTCGGACACCTCCTTGATGTACCTGTCAATGGCGGTGCGAAGCGGCTCTGAACCAAGCGACAGGAACTTCGGGAGCTCGAGTACCTCAGAAAGAGCACCCAAGCCTGTGTTTGCCACCATCAAGCCTTTCAAATTTGTCAGGCTGCCTTCATTGAGATGCGGGTATTTTTTGTAGCAGTATTCGACGACAAGATAATCGAGGAGTGCATCGCCCAGGAACTCCAATCTCTGCGATACGGAATGTAATGTTTGTCAATCTTCGTCCCTGGCGGGCAAGTAGTGTCATCATTCCGTGAAGTACCTCATAGGATGGCAGTACAGAAGCCAGCCGTGAAGAGTGAGTCATGGCCATGAGTGCAAGGTGTGGTCGTTTGAATTTGTAAAGAAGGTGCTCTTCGAGCATCTTGAGGGCCTCTTGTGAGACACGTGCATCCCAATTGTCGTTTGCAATCTCCTCTGAAACTTGTTTTGCATAAATGTCGCTGCTCAAAAAAGTCGTGTGAGGAAACGAAAACAGGGTGTGCTCAATAGTCCGACCTTGATCCTCACCTGTAGTCACCTAGTTCAGACACAGCAGTCGGGAGGACATCCAGGCGCACAGCGGCCTTCAAGGCCCCAGGGAGTCCAGAGCATTCGTAGGCTGCTCCTACCAGTGCCTCGACGACATCAGCGAGGGACTTGTCCGAGAGCATCGTAGGGCGAAATGGGCCCGGGTGGTCCTTTGGGTAGACCTCTTCGACTTGGACCCTGCCTTGGTCTTCACCGGCTGCCTCCTCGTCGCCCTCGTCCATTTCGTTCGCCTCTTTCTTTTGTACCTGCGTGACCATGCACGTGGGATTGCGATGGCTCGCAGGGGCAGTGATCTCCACAAAATTGGGGGGCTGGTAAGTCCGATGATTGAAGGAGTCGCCTTGCATGTATCGCCACAGCTCGAGCTCCTCGCACTTCTTGAGCAATTTTGCGTTTGAAATGATTTCTCTGCGGGCAAGATGAAGCTCCCCTTCGTTAAACGCAGCACTGCTAGCGAAAACGTGACACGTAGCTAGCAGCTTAATACAGGTGTCGCCGATGAATTCGAGACGTTGGTAATCGAAGCCTTGATTCGCCGCTGCAGTCGTAAGAGCTGTCATCATCAGATCTTCGGTGACCACTCTGCCCATGCACGGCGGGAAGACAAGCCTTCTGCACTCGCGAGAAAGAAACGACTGGTCCATGCGAGCAATGACGGACAGTGCAAGCAAAGCTGCCCTGCATGTGCTCGCTCTGAGAGATTGTAAAACACAGAAGTGGCTCATGATGTAGGCTTTTGGGGAGCGAAAGATGACCCGAGACTTCTTGCTCGACATAACCAGCGCATTTTGGAAACGCTCCAATGGTAGCACCTCCAGCATCCTTGTGTCTTCAGTGGGCGCTTCCGGCTTTACGAGGCTGTTTCTGCTGACGACGTCGCGGTAATATTCGAAGAAAGTCATGCCGGCGTTGCCCTCGCGAGTGGACTGTGGCGCCATGCTATGAATGTTGTATTCCTCCGAGACATTGGAGAGCACATAACTGGTGCATTGCCTCTCCTCGAGTCTTTGCGTAATAATACGGTCACTGAGGCGATTCAACGGATCCTCCATGCGGTCTGTTTCACGCAAGAGCACCGGCCGATCGTTGGTACCTTGCTCAATCTGCTCCCAGTCAAGTTCCTGAGTCGACGACATTTCGGACACATTTCTATTCTCTTCCCTTAGAGGTAGAAGATAGAACGGCATCTGATCCGCCTCGCAAGTCCACGGTTTGCGCGAGACCCATGAAATAAGTCTCAAAGTGTACTGTCTCGCCAGGTCAAGCGATGCCTCATCAAACTGAATAGGCTTGCCGCCGAGAATGTCGGGAAAGGGAATACGGTTGCTCTGGTAGAACACGTCAAAGCTGCGTATGCTTGGGAAGGGAGTGTGTAGAACCAGGCACAGCTGCAGGCGAGTTCATGAGAGTCAGAGAATAGCGACAAGCACGAAAATGAACACTCACTGGACACGAGGAGTTGCCTTGAATCGAAGGCATGGGCAAAATCGACGTATATTTGACAATCCCCGATGTCGTTGACAACCCCGGAGGCGCTCTGTATATAAACTGTTCACTGATCTTGCCCATGTACAGCTTCACAGCTACTCGGGTTGCCACGCGCTTTCCGGTCTGGCGCTCACGCTCGAACGGAAGCTCCGTTCCCAATTCTAGGATCGGCTTCGGGAGAAAGTGCTCATTCAGCTCATCGATCTTGCGCAGCTCACGGCACGCTAGAAAGGCCGCCATGCGACGAGCTTGACGCTTTGTGCGAGCAGCCTCGGAAATGAAGGAGCGTAGCTTTGCATTGCCCGGCAGGCGCACCTTGCAGTAGAATCGAGGCATGCCTTGTCCGTCGAGTTCTTGAAAGAACTCATAGTCTGCCCTTTCGATGTCATGAGCATCGCTGCGCAAAGTCGCAACGTAGCGGTCCAAATGAGCTGGAGAGTCTGTTGGGTATAGGCGAGCTCCCGTGGTCGGCTCCTCATCATAAATGCCCGCTTCTTCGACAACTACCTGCCCCTCATCCTCAGGGAACAGCAGTTGCACTGAGGATTGCGGATTTCCTGCCACTGCTGCTTTTTCAGCTAGCTTCATCTTGATGTTTTCATTTTTGGACTTCGCCCTAAGCCACTCGCGTAAATCTCCATCGTCGCTGGCAAGCTGGAGCAAGTCCCGTCGACTTTTCTCGGAGCCTTCCTCGACCATCATCACGAAGCGACTATCGACATGTCTAGCACGCCCCTTGGACTGTACAAAGCTGATCAACCGAAAGACTGGATCTGCCCTCACAACAAGGTTGCACGGTGACACATCTAGGCCCTCTTCGAGAACGCTTGTAGCGACCAAGAGATTCAGTCTCCGCTTGCGGAAACGAGCGAGTACCTCTTCTTGCGACTTGTAATTCATTCCTTCGGCATCTGTGGAATTGTGTCCAACGAGAGCCTCACACTTGACCCATTTGAGCCCTTCGATACGCTTGATGAGCTCGGCGAGAGCGGCAGCAGCTGCACGGCGCTCGACAAAGATGATGCCGTGGAAATTGACGACTGCCATTTCATTCGAGCCAAAGCACTTGAGGACGTCGAGGAGACGTAGCGTTTTTGGCGTGCAATTATCGTGGGTGGGATGGAGCGTGTCGGGAAGCGGAGGCCCCCTGCGCACGATTGAGCCGATCACCCTATGGATGGTAAGGCTATCCATCTGCCTTTGCGCCAGGATGGCCCCTCTGCTTAAGCCAATTTGAGAGTGCATGGCTACCTGTCCGTCATCGTCGTCATCTCTTTGGTCCATGACTGACTGTACTTTGTTGACGAAGTCTTCACTGACCATGTCGATGACTTGCTTCCCGATAGCAGTGTCGTCTCCATCCACATCCGTCTCTTCCACCGTCTGGACAAAGTCAGGGAGCGCAATGTCTTTCTCAGCGCCATGTCTGCTCCTGGCGTAGATTCCGGATCTGCGGCTTCGACCCCGACCCCAGTTGCGAGCGCCAGCCCAGATCAGGTCTGCAGTTAGAGGTCCGAACTCGGCATGGCTGTATGCATAGTATCATCCAATCCGATCAGAAAGATGGTACGCGCCAGTGAGTAAACAAGGACAATACTCACATTTGCATTGCCTTGTTCAAGACCTCTTCAAACTTTTTCAAGCCGTGACAAGTCTGAATGATGACGTCTGTCAACTGACTGATGGGCAAAGCTTCGGCTTTGGGATAGTTGATGACGAAGATCTTCGGTGTGTTGACATAGCTGTCCAGTTCTGCCGCTGTGTCTTCAGACGCTGTCATGATCTTGCAGTCCAGAGTAGCCTCCAGCTGTTTGGCCGCCGACCGAAAGTTCTTGCCAGACTTGTTAGGCGATGCAGACATTCCAAAAATCTTGGGACGATCTTCAGGCTTTGCTCCGCGATACCAATGCATGATGCGTGCATAGTTGTCCTCGCCTCTGCACCACATCGCAACAGTGTCAGCGTCGGTATGTGAGGTAGATTTGCACCGGGTCTCCGACCAACTCACACTGCGTGATGTGCCTCATCGAGTACGATGACATGGAAATCAGTGATTCGAACAAACCCATGAATCAAAGCGTCGAGGACTATGCGAGAAGTCGCAACAATACAGTCGAAGCTAGTCAAGATTTTTTGCCACGCGGCAGGGTTGTTGAGGTCAGCACCAAGCTCTCCAAACAGGCGGGTCGTCTTGAGATTAGTATTCTTCTCAATGACAGCAGCTTGCTGATGAACAAGGTTGACGAGATTGACCAGGAAAATGCAAACCTTCCGCTTGACTCTAGTCCAGGGAACATGATCGTCGCACCTTAGCACAGGCATCGATTCTGCCTTGATAATTCCGACAACCTCGAGGGTGGCATTCCGGCTCTCCCCCTCTGTAGCGGCTTGCTCGAGTGCCTGTACGCGCTTTAGTTCCAAGTCGTGCATATGCTGGATAAGCAAAACTGCGACCAGCGTCTTTCCAGCCCCTGTTTCGAAGCATGCCAGCACGTTCTGCTTCTTTGCGAATCCTACCATCTCTTCCTGCGTGTATGGACCAGGAGCAAGCGCACATCAGCAAGACCACAGGGGCGTTTTTCTTGCTTTGGATACTGACTTGGTATGTCCTCGGCACTAGAATCGCATGTTTGCATTGCGTTTGTCCCACCTCCTGTTGAACTTGGACATCATATCTATCCAAGACTATGGGCGCTTCATTCCGCGCCTTCTCAGTCGCGATCTTGATCTTATTGCGGGAAGCCATGAGCTCCTTCTCTTGTCGAATAAGCAGGCTGGTTGAGAAAGAATTACGGTAGGTGCCGACCGCAAAGCCTTCAAGCTCGTCAACGAGCGCATCACCCTCCAGAATCTCATTAGGTTCCATTTGAGGCATGGCGACTTGGGTGCGTTTTTTGGGAGGTATTCGCCTGACCTTTTCTGTAGCCCCAGCCTTGCTAGTCTCGCTCCAATGGTTGACCGGCGGCGAGGTGCCAGCGGCCACGTTGTGTTCATCCATTTCGCACAAGGACTCTCGGCCATTAAGAATGCGATGCGAACAACCAAGTTGGGTTTATATCCCTATATTTGGGTGCGAGTCCCTCCATACGTCATCATGTCTCCGAAGATCGTCAGGGAGAGCGTTTGCTGAGCGCAATCGCCAAATAAACGCGAGGAATCTGCTGCGAGCTTCAGAGAGAGTGTCCACAGCAAAGGTTCGCGGACGGATGGCCGCAAGTGGCAGAAGCGTTTACTCGGTCGTCCCAGAGGGAAATACCGTTCGATCGGCTCACCTTGTGACTGGCCTCCAGGATTGAAACTACACAGATCTGTTTCGAGTTAGAGTGATCTCGAGCTTGATTATCAATTGATTCTTTGATAGATGGATTGGGCACATACGCATAGGTGAATACCACAGTTATCTCACAATAAGCCAAAATTATTACTATAATTAGAACAGGAGAGAGTTTCCGAACAACCTTTAACTGCCTTGCACCGAATCGGTTCTCGGATTTTACGGACAACTAGAACTACTTGTTCTCTGTTCTTGTCCACTACGGAAAGGGACCACGTGACCATGCCCTGCCGTGGCATCTCCCCCCCTTCCACGCTTCTTGAGATTGGCCTGTTGTGAGTGCTACGGTCGGTGACACTCACTTTCAATCAGAATCTCTGCCTCGATCTCATCAGAATTTCGATAACCCAGCCAGCTGAATATTGTAATGCGGTCTCTGTCATCCATGTGCGATGTAATCAAGTCTGTCAGTCGGCACACTTGAGTCGGTCGGCTTTCGCCTTTCGTCCCTCGAAAGAGTGCAGCTGAAGGTCCCACCTTGGACACCATCACGATCCAATGCAAGTGAAAGGCGCATCGCTGCTGGCATCGCAACGCAACCACCATGCACTCCGCACTCGCCAATAGCGCCAGGCTCGCCAGGCCGTCACATTTATGTCGATCATGTCAATTCCAACGTCGGCTCTCCCAGGCCTCTAGCATCGGGTGCTCCAATGGTCAGGTTGCTCCAAGAAACGCAATCCGTCCCGTGACTTGGACGTACATTCCATATCAAGTGCCCTACGCATTGGGCCTCAAGTTGCAAGAACACTTGGTCCAGAGAAGAGCCGATGCTCGGGCACTCTTACGCGAGGAACCATCAGCATCACCTGCAGCGAAACAATCCCCATCTTCACGGCTGACCGAAGCGACAGAGGTGGCTACCACCGACATATTTCTTCTTCTACAACACTCTCCGGTATTCACCGAAGGACGAAGGGGAGGCGAATATGCTCAGACACCAGAAGAAGAAGCAGCCATTGCGAAGCGGTTTGCGGAAATTGGAGCCGATTATCATGTCACAAAAAGGGGCGGTCTTATCACATTCCACGGACCGGGGCAGCTTGTTGGCTACCCCATCCTCGACCTCAGCGTCATGAATCTTTCAACGAGATGCTACGTCGATAAGATTCAAACTAGCATTTCGAACCTTCTTCATTCCTCGCCATACAATCTTGCGACCGTCCCGCCTCCAGAAGACCACACGGGCGTGTGGGTGGATACTTCACACAAAATTACAAGCATCGGCATCCAGGTGCGACATCGAATCACATCGCACGGCTTTGCGCTGAATGTCGAAGCAGATGTCCTTAAATGGTTCGGGTGGATCGTAGCTTGCGGCATCAAAGGCAAGGGTATGACTTGCATACAAAGAGAGATTGCGTTGCGCGTGCAGCGAGAGGGGGCCACGCGGCCTGACCGCCGTGGAGGGCAGGTCGACGAAGCGCGCAAGTCCGACTTGCCTCACGAGCAAGAATCTCCGAGCTCTCCATTGCCTTCGTCGGCTGGGCTTGCAGTGGCCAGCATCGGTCCTGGCGTCGGTCTCGTTGACACACCCATCACATTGGGGCCAGAGGCAAAGGCGGTCACGGTGGAATCGATTGTTTCGCCGCTGGTGCAGCAATTCGGCCGGACTTGGGGCAGGGAAATGCAGCAAGCGGATAAAAGCATGTTCCACTATGCGGCAGATGCGCGGGGGCTTCTGAGCAAAGTCATTGTGAAAGGCAAAATAGTGCAATAACATGTAATTTTGCGACGAAATCGCGTCTACTTTCGAACCAATAAAAAGGTACCCCTTCATCGTGTGCGCAATGTTATGAAGGATAACTTAAATAATACCATACAACCAGTCTAAGACAATGCGACTTTTGAGCACTGTAACGCGAACTCTTGAAGGCGATCCGCTTGGTCGTAGCACTCTTCGGTAGACCAACCATACTGATGCAAAGCTGCGAAAGCAAAGTCAGAATCAGCAAGGCATTCGAAGATCACTGAATCCCCGGGTAACAGCTCTTACCGCTGACAATGATGTCCACTTCGTGTGACCTTTGGAACCTCGCCAAGCAACTGCAATGCGAGGACGTCAGCTCGGGTCAGCATCAAGCAGTCAAAGCCGGAACTCACTAGCCGGCGTACAGCAACCCAACCCTCATGATGTTTGGATCGAGGCGCAGATAACCATGACACGAGAGCATCTGCGCCAAGTCGGCCATGCGGAGGGCCCAATGGAGAGTCTCATTGTAGATGTGTCGCTGAAGGTCATCTGCCTGCTGCCTCTGGTGCGGTTCGCAGTCCATTCCATGCTCCTCAAGAGACATGAACATTGCAAACCAGAGAACCTGCGAAAGTCGAGAAACATGAAGTGAGAAAGTCGCTCCTGCAGTAGAATAAATCATATGCTATCACTCACTGTGTACTGGTTCTCCGAGGTGCATGCGGAGATCGCTGCAATGAAATCCCAGTCTTTAGGCCAATTGCGAGGAATGCCAATCCGGTGCAAGTACTCCGCCTTCCAGGCGTTGCAACGCTTGACCAGTGACTGCAAATCATGCAGGCTGACTCCACGCTGAACTCGTCGATGAGCCCAAATGGTCTTGGACAAAAGGCGGTAGACTTCAATGAGGTCACCTTGTGCTTGAATCCAGAGCGAGTGGCCCGCCTCGTTGCCGTTCAGATTGGGGGCATCAACTCCCGTCGACAACATGGGCCGCGGCGGCTCCGTCGTGTAGTCGTCATAGCTGAGCTCTGGCTGACGCCGGTACAACACAGACGTGAACGAATCAGCGAGGACCATCAGCCACCAGCACAGGGTAATGGCCCTCCTTCGCTCCGGGTCGCTAATTCTGACCAGCGAATCCTGTCTGTCATAACCCAGCTGGCGCATGTGTTCCAGCCCCGTGCGTAGATAAAAATTGTCCCACGATTTGCAAGTGATCGAAATGATCGACTCTCCGTACGGGTAGCATGAGAGAGACGAGAAACGCGGCCATGCGGGAGCGTACGGGATCATCAGCAAGCAGGCTATGCTGTTCTCCACGCTTGGGTTGTGCGAGACCCGCTTCGAGTCAAAGAGCTCTAAGACGCGTTGGAAGATATGCTCCGAAATTCTGCTGACACCTTGCTGGCGAAGAAGCTTTGAAAGATGCTCCTCTGGATCACTGCCTACGCCAGCAGTTTCGCCGATCGCCTTTCGTTTGCGGCTTGCAGGCCAATTTTTCTGTATGGTTTGCAGAGCCTCCGCACACTCTTTACGGTCTTCGACGATGATAGGATGGTCACTGAATTTTGCACCCCAGAGGAGCACCATCGCCAACACTGGCTCGGAGATCGCACCATCTTGTCCATACGTGCTTCGGAAATCTGACGAAGCAAAGAGATGCTGCTCCCGAAATGTCTGCGGGTTGAGAACAGGAAAGCGCGGATGCATAATGGAAAAGTACGTGTTGATTAGTTCATGCGCAAGCGCCAGACGAGCGGCAGTGGTACTGAGCTTCGCCTCGAGCGCACTAGAAGGCGCCGGGAGAAAAGACAGCAAGGATCGCTGGCTTTCCGACCTGCTCGCTTTTGGGGCGCTGGCTCCATCGTTCGGAGAAGTAGCCGAAGCCTCGTACGTTGTCACGGAGGACGGAGCAGAGCGCACAAACAAGAAACGCAGTAGAGCATGAACACGCTGCGGCACTTCGTCCTCCGTGCTGCTACTCGCCCGTTCGCTGCGAAATTTGGCGCGCTTGCTCGGCTTGCGTGTGGCATTGGTTGCTTGAGAGACATAGATAGATCTGGTAGATGCCGCCAGAGGTCAGCCTTCGCGCCATTCTCAGGCGGCAGACAGATTTGTTCGAGGGCTTACGCACGTGCATTCAACGCCCTTTGCCTTGCACAGGGCACACTTCTTTTCGTCCCCATTTCGGATGCATCGTACCTTGCGCCTTCGACAGGCGTCGCACGCGCTGTTCTGCTTGCGCGTCGCCTGGTGTTGCGTGGGCCCATCGGCCTTGGCCAAATTTCCCTCTGCATCGTCGCTGTTCGCATACTGCACGACGCCTGCCGGTGATGTCAGTGTGGCCACAACAGCGTCGGCGACGGAGCTATTGCTTGACCTGTCTGCTTCTGGAGGACTCGGAGAGGAAACGCTGCCGAAAGAGGCGGACGATCGAGGTCTCAAAGGGTCTCGGTTCTCATTCGCGAGCGCAGCCGTGACGCCGATGCCACCGCCCTGAGAATGAGAAAAGGCCCGTGATCCGTTCGAGCCGGCCGTACCTGACCGAGTCCGGGAGCCACAGAAGTTGCCGCTTGCGCTACCACCTCCGGACGCGGCCATGTAAAGCGCATCGCAAGGGCCATTCAGCGGTGGCAACCCAGGGAAGTGCGACTGCTGCGGTGGCCGAGCCGGCGCGGCCGAGGCAGCATGACTGCTCGGACCCCAGGATGACTCCGCAAGCTGTGCACCGGCTCTGCACTGCTCGGGGGAAAGGCTGCCTTGGTGTGAACTGTAATAAGGATGCTGGGGGCTGAGAGGCTCAGCCGCGTGTCTTGCTCCGAAGCTCCTTCTCGGTGGTTCATGCACATGCGGCGACGTTCCCCGCTCGGCTGTCACTTTGCTGTTGCTTTTCTGAAGGTGCTCGAGTGCCTCCGACCCGTAGCTCGACTGCCACGAATTCGGCTCTGCTCGTTCTGGCGGAGCTCGTGGGCTGCGTTGCGGTGTGTGGGTGTGGTAGGAGTGTGTGGCCAGCATTGGCCGTAGCTGACGCTGACTTTCGTCGAACCTGGAGCCAACGCAATCGGACCTGCCGTCGTTGGAGTGAATTTGCTCTCCCGGCGGATGAGTGCTCATGCTAGTGTACCACTCTCCATGGCGGTCGAGATGATAGTTGCTACCGGCCTGTGCGTGTGGAGGAAGCGAGCCTTGACTGTCGGAGTAGTACAATGCCGAACCGCTGGCGGTCCGCGAAGTCGACGGTGCGTATTGATGATCAAATGGTCCAGCCGGTGTACCGTAAGCTGCAAGACTTCGTCCTGTGGCGTAGGCAGCTGGGTCGACGTTACTTCGCGCGCAGAAGGGACTGCGATCTCGTCCTGCCCGATAGTCTCCCATGGCCTACTACTGAATCGCTGTGTGATCCGAGCCTGCTATTCCTGAGAGCGCCAACAAGTGGAATCACTTGTCCTTGACCGTCCCTGTGGATTCTGTCCTTCACCGTATTGTGGAGAGGGAAGGGGTGTGTTGCAATGTGGATCGAACGACGCACCCAGAGAATCGATGTGGCAAAAGTGTTGCGCAGTCCTGTACTAACGTTCAAGGTGCGAGCAAGGAGAAAGGCTCGCAGCCGATGTTCCAAGGACAGGCCATTCGCCACAGGGGTGAGTGAACGGATCCACTCAACCGCTGAGTCCACCGTGGCGGAAAGGCTACTCGCCCCACAAAGAATTGAGCTTTACCTTGTCGGATCGCGCGATGGCAAGTCGATTGGGGTCTATTTCCGGTCCTGCTGCACAGAGGGCTACATTCAAAGCGCCATGGGCTGCGACGCCCGTTTCTTGAATGCTAGTTGAACAGATATGATGAGGTGGGTGGCTATCGAGTAGTGGAGGATAGTAGTGAGTCAGGAACCTTGGAGATTTGATAAAGCTCGAGACCCGTTGACTTGAGATGGTGCTAGGAGATGCAGCAGCGCATACCAGGTCTCTGTACGAGCCACTTCGCTTGCGTTCGAAGCTTGCGCTCGGCGTTTCGTTCGAACAGTGCTAGCCGGTCGTCAATGGTTGGATTGTGTGAAGCCCACAATCTGATGCTTTGAAGGAATTGTCTGCAGCCACAAGGAAGTTGGATTGCGAGAGCCCACCAGCCTCGGTTGCCACTTGCCACAGGCGCAAAGTCTTCGCACTGCTGAGCCGCTGAGATCAGGAGATGGTGAGAACTGAAAGGCGCTGGAGATAGCGGCCAGCTACTACTGAGAGCGCTCTGCAGGTTCAAAGACCGCTTCAATTATGTGCCAGATGTGATCAGTGAATATGGAGTGAATACGAATCGACGCAGGCCGACGCACCCGAGACCCCGTTACGAAAGCCCGCGAGGCTGGACACGCTTTCAGAGGTTTTGGGGGGGGGTTCACCGGATAAATCCGGTGACGCATTGCAATGTCCACACATTCGGGCGTACATACATACATACATTCAAACATACATGAACCCCATATACATACGCCGGCGGGTCTCTTTCCTCTTGTTGCGAGCGTTGGCGGTCAGAGTAGACCCATGGGCATAAGGTGCAGAGGCACTGTACGAAGGCAGGGATAATGGCTAGATTCATACACGCCTGAGGAGCATACAAGTGAATATACTGTGGTCCACCATGTGTGACAAGAGGGGAGGAGACGCAGGTGGATGGGCCAATGGTGGGACCCATGGCGCGGCTGGGCTGAATGCTTCGTCACGTGCTCCTTCCGTCCTTCACCCCCCCCCCCCACATCGTGACCTTCCTAGGTAACAGGCCGTAGCCAGCGGGAGTGTGTGTAATCCGAGACAATAGCCCTGTGCCCATCAGCTAGAGCGTACCCGGTGCCGCGTACCTACTTGGTAATGAAGAAGGGACTCTGCGCGCAGAGGTTTTGTCCTGGTGGCCTCGCCTGCAAGCGTGCCTACAAGATATTCGCCCCGGCGGGGAAGCGCACGAGCTGCTGCAGCCGATCAAATGAGCATGCTGGTGAAGCTGCTGCGTCGCGCGCCAGTCCATGGGCATCATCGCGGAACAGGTTTGCGCTATGCAGCAGTGAGAGAGCATTGGCGGGATGACGGCGCGCAAGAGCGAGAGAGTAGGGAGCTTGAGCGCCAGCAGGTATGTACGCGAGCACAAAACAGAATCGCAGGTTGTGCCCCTGCTGCCCCTGAGTGGGTAATCGTCAACAAATGCACGACCAGGCCAAGCAGACGCAGTCAGCCGCCTTCCTGCAACAGCGCCTTGGAACGCGGGTCCGCCATGCAGACCCATAAACCCTCCTTCACCTTTTTGACAACCGTCTCAGCAATGTTCGCGGAAGGATTGCGGGGGGAGAGGAGGGAACGACGGTGCAGCCATGGACGCGCAAACAGTCGGCGACTGCCGTTCTCTTGAACTCCACCGCGTTATCGGAAGGCAACGCCGTGGGTGGACCATAGGGTCAGAAACAAATATCGTGCAACGCGGCGGCCGTGTCGTGCGCTGAGCAGTGATCGACCACACCGGCGGCGATGGACCCTGGCGTCTGGTCGACCAGGATGATGAAATTTTCGCAGACGTTGCGTGCTTAAGTCTAATGTATCCTTGATCCACTTAAACGTGTTGACCCACACCCGCTGGCGCATGAATCCCCGTTGTTGCCCGCGTCGGGAACGCCTTCCCACCGACATTCAGCACTTTTAACCGTCGAGGAGGTTGGCGCCGCGCGCTCGCAGCCACGGCCAGCCGAAGATAACTTCGAACCAGTCGATCTGCCTCAGTTTTGCTGTCACGGATGACATGAGATGGCCGCCCATTACCCTCACCGTTCCCTCGCCACCTGGCCAGACTGGAGTCGATACTCACAAGCTCGGTTGCACCCGCGTGCGCTTCGATGCCAAGTGTAGTACAGAGTTGGTGCGCAAAGACGGACTCTATGGAACCGGAGTCAACGAAGATCTGTGAGCGCGACGACACAGGGGCGAGGCACGCTGAGCACGTATCGCGCCCGTCCGCCGGTTGGTTTTGCGCTTCCTTTTGTCGTTGGCTTTGGAAGCCCACACCATAAAAACTGCTTCGTCGTTTGGGCTTAATGAGGGAACATGTCACGATGTGCATTGTACAGTAGCTCACACAGTCCGATGCATGAGGAAGGTGTGTCACTCAATTTGACGCCGATGGGTATCTCCTATGCAGGCCCATAGTCAAAGTCATTATGCTCATAAAAAAGGCAGAGCTTGGTGCTTTAGAGCGGGGTATGGCCAAGGTGCGTTGAACCATTTGGCGGGGGAAACGATATAAATTTCTCCGAGCAGGTGGAGAACCTGCGAAGTGGGGGGACGTGAGACTGCCTGGAATTAGCCAGCAGGTCGGGAGACCGGAGAGGCAGGCGGAAGCTACGGAGGACAGGGCTGGCGCGGTCCACTGGGTAGCCCTTGGCGGCCGCGTCAGACATCTCGTTGCCCCATCCGCTAGGCTGAGAGTGGAGCCTGCCACATTTGTACTGGCGCTGGCAGGCGGTCGAGTATCAAAAGGCATCGATACCGGACAACTCATCTGTCGAGTGTCGACTCAAGCAGTCAACCTCAAAGGGCGTTGGATTCCCACAGCCACACTGGATGACACACTGCACAGACTCATCACTGCCCCAGGTTACAGCGCTCCGCTGTGAACATATGTACATATGCAACATTCAGTGACTCGGGCGGCATGTACGAGCGTTCCCGAAGGAGTCAAATTACCTGGTCACACCAAAATCCAAAACGACAAACCCCATGTTTTGACCGGATTCAGTACTTGCCAGCATGTAGAAGCATAGTATGGTGCAGAGATATCCAGACATCGTATATATAATAGGACACATCGTGCACTAAAAGGGCGCCCTTAATATGGCTTTGTATTTTAGCTCCAATCGATTTTGCGCTTTTGCTCGTCCAACATCTGATTACTGATAGGTTTTTTTATTCTTAATTCATCAATGTCGGTCCGGCGTCCGGCCAGACTGGTAAATCATTAAGTCTATTGAACATTTACGTACATCCAAATCATTGTAATTGTCTGCGCCATGCGGCTTCTTCGGCAGGCGCCGGCCTGCGTTTGTATGCAGTTAATTACAAGCTGCAACAAAAGTACAGCTTCTATCTTGCAGCAGCCTTGCACGAGTGCAAGGCCTGTATACGTTGTTATATACATGATTAAAAGTATTGTGATCATCGTCTCGACTGCACATTCTACAGGGCTGTAACAGGGTACTCTCGGACTTTAGGAGAAGCTCGAATTGTATACTTCGAGCGTCGGAAGAGGAAAGCCGCCTGAAATTCGACTGTCTGGTCAATAACGTTCGAAAGTTCAATTGCTATGGAAGTACTGCTTCTTGATGATATAATGTCATACTTGCGCTTGAGCTCAAGTGAAGTCTACCGTCGCTACCATCATCATATGCGACGACTGCATCGACAGGAAGGACCTCATTTGTTTTCCTGCATGTCAAACGCGGGTAGATCTATTCGTGGTGGATACCAAGGCATAGGAGTCTGGACGGGAAACTGCCTTCAAGGCCAAAAAGACTCTAAAGGATGCTCGAGTATAAATTGCAATGAAACGATACGCCAGTGCATGGGGTGTGCAATGCTCGATAGAGCTTACACAAAATGGCATTTACGGACCATACTCAAAATAACATTTATGGATCATTTTGCCTTTATCTGCTTTGTAGCGATGAGGAGCTTTACCTTACGCCATTCCGCCATTCCGCCGTCACTGTTTTCCTGCATAATCTTCGCACGCCTTCGTCGACCACCGGGAGGCGAGCATCCTCGCGTCAAGCGTCAACCGAATGGAAACGTGGCGAGCTCTCCTCCGCGCCAAGATCCTGCAATGTATTAGCCGATCTTATGCATGGAGTGCATCGCGATTTTGTCATTACGACTTCGTCTCGCAACAGGCTCTCACGTTGCTGATATGAACAGCTCTGGGGGTCCGGATGCTGATGAGCTACTTGGAAGCACTCGTTCCCGAGTTGCACATGAAGAAGTCTTAAGGAAAATGGGAACCAAATCGCGTCGAGAAGGATATGCTGCACCTGCACTATTCAAAAGCTTGTACAGGGCTACAGCCGGCGGACCGATTTTCCAGTCGAACCGCCTTGCGAGGCGTTCGTAATTCATCAATGTCTCTGCTTTCATTGCTGAAGTATACCATGACTGGATGTGCCATCACATTTAACACATTTGGCACAGACTTATCCGTCAACTAAGCGAACACTGGAATGGTTGCCCCAGTTTACGTGCATCCAAAGAGGTTAGTAACATTACCACAGGGTCTTACATCCACCAACTGCAACTCACAGGAATGAAGGAGTCGCCATTAAATTGTATGCACCGCTGCTGTACTCTCTGGGCCATACATCGGCAAGGAAGTAGTCTGTTCGAGCAAAAGCAGCGTCAGCACTGTGCCTCATTGAAGCTGCCAACTTGGAATGCAAACGGACTTACATAGATGGCCAACGGCGATGCCCATCAGATCGTATACGACGGCAGAAAGTCGTCCCTTGATGAGGAAGCCAATCAGGGCGAGGCACCATGGTAAGTAGGGAGCGGTGGTATTGAGCAGGCCGAAGAGACTGATCCGAATGTGGCGATTCCTTCTACTCCAGATGTACACCAGCACAAAAGCCAACGGTCCACCGAGAAAAGGCTGGGCAACGAGAGGGCTAATCAACAGCAGCAAGACGGACGAGACAATTAATAGCCAGACGAAGTCGGCTCTTCTGCCTGCATAGCTGTTCTCTTCGAGCATGCGACTGTAGCGTAGAAAAAAGAAGAGATGGAAGAGAAAGTCGATGCCGAACGGTCCAAAGTAAACAAACGATGTGAAGATCCGCCAAAGCTCCAGCTTTTGGAAGACAAGTCGAAATGAGAACCATAGCTGGAACCGCGAGACGAGATGGACATGCTCCGCGATTGCAGTTGCCAGGACCAGGCCGCCCCAAAGACGTGTGATCGGTGGGAGTGAGTCGATGTCCATGGCTGCGGCTGCGACCTCGGGCCCTTTTGCGGGATCGCGACCCGGAAAGCCGAAGCAGCGTGAGACCGAAGCTGTCGTATTACCGCATCCTTCTCATCAGGCGGTCAGTACCCCGTTTGATCCAACTTGATATGTAGGGCCAGAAGGCAGAAGACCTTCTCCCCTCGCCAGTCTCCTGTTCTCCGCGTCAACATGGCAAGTCGGCGAGCGAAAGCCCATCCAACCGAGGGATGACGGGATCCGCCGCTTTGGCTATATAGACTGCGCTTCTCAATTTAGGTAATCATACTGACACAGTTTAATTCGTTCTTTTAAAAAGGGAATAAACCTAATATTTCTATATATAAAAGGCGCGCGCTCGTGCATCTGTGTGCATGGATGGGGAAGCCTGCGCTTTTGTGCATTTCTTAAGCACTAAAGCAGGTTTCACCGTGGCACGCATGAAGTTGATTGGTGAATTCTTTCTTGGTTCGGTCGTGGGTTGCGCGGTGCCAAAAACCCAGTCATTAAAGAAAGAGCTGTCTGTGCCAGGACATTTACACTCTTCGAACTTGTAATCGGTGCAATTCTCTCCGTTCGCCATGGCTATCATGGAACGATTTGAGTGAGAAAAGTCGCAACCGGCGACAACATCAACGCTGATGATAGCCGAGGAAAAGTTACGGCCACGCGACCCTTCCCTTTGTCTTCTTGAATGGCAGTCTCCGAACTCGAGCAGGGGGCAGCAAGCGTACATAACATATCCAGGTAGTTTGTTACAACGTCTCCGCCGTCCCGAGAAGATACGGCCCGACTGAAAATCGCCAGTAATTGGACAGTGTCTGCTGGTGTCCCTTTCACGCTTTTGCCACGATGGCACTTCGACGGTGCACGGCTTGTGCACAAAGATTGACTTGCAGCCGGGAAGGCCTGTATACCAAGCTTCATGCAACTTCAAGATCATTTGATTCTCCTGGAGGGTTGAATGCGAGACAATATGCCTCTTTGTCGTTGACGATTAATTCGGCCATGGGCAAAAGGCCCCTTCCCCCCAAGGTTTCTGCTCCTCGACGGGATTCACTCGGCGCCAACTTACCCACGTGGAAGCGAAGAAGTGCCGAGCGAAAGGAACGCCAAATGAAGGCTTGGGAAAAGACTCGAGGCGAATGGAACGGCACCAAAAGAAGCAGCAGAGCGCTGGAGCCTCGCTTTGAAGATGATAGAAAGCTGCCTCCCAAACGAGCCGGCAGACTGCTCGTTAGTTCTTCTTCATGCTCAAAGGGCAAGGCTCGGGCCACAAAAGAGCAGTTGAAAGAGGCGAAAGACGAAGCCTCAGCATCCAAGACACTTTCAAGCGAACGATCGAAGTCGTCGCTTCCTCCCCACAAGAAGAAAACAACCTTGCTTTACGGGCAAGATGCCGAGTCCTCTCGTAGGACAACACGGCGTCTGGATGCGGGTGAAGGGGCATCAGAGCAGACCGCACCTATTTTCCGTAAAACAGGGTCGCTAGAGCCTTCCAACACTGTTATTGAGAGTGAGTCGCTCTCCCGTACTCAGATCTAATCAACAAGAGACCTCAACCTGATAACTCACTCTCCAGAGGTCCAGCCTTTACGGTCGATGGACGTACCACGCCTAGGGCACGGATTGGATCGAGTTCTTTTCAAGTAAGTTAGCGCTCGAACTTCCGACTTTCATTATGAGCATTGCTCATTGTACGCGTATCCTCCTCAGCCCTGGTGTTTATTGGCTCAAAGATCCACGCTCGGGTATTTACAACTTCGACCCTCGCATTCGCAATGTCCTGGACGTAGACCTCTTCGACTATGAGACTTTACCACCGTACATTACATCAAGCCATGACCAAGAACTCGCTCAGCTTGCAAAGAACCATTCTGCAAAATTTGTGGGAAGCACCAGTAGTCTGTGAGTACTGTTTCATGGTGCCGGGCTACGCAGTCTTGCTGAAGTGGGTTCGTTTCGTCCCAATAGTACGGGTCTCCTTAGCCACTGCTACTTTCTCTTGAGCGCCTGGCGATCTCCAGACTTGTCTGGGTTCAGTGCCGGTTACGAATGTATGCCGAAAGGTTTCTCCGCTGGAGCATCATTACCCGCGTCCGTCAAGCTAGTATACAAGGATGGTATCTACGCTGTCGACTCGGACAAGCACGCATCGGGCGAGGCTGAGAACTCCAATTATGTCCTCACATCCCTCGGAAAGGCCATGGAGAAGATGCTCACGACCACGCCGGAGGACTTCGAACGCTTCACCCGCCTCAACAGTTGGAAGGTCACAGAGAAAGAGAAAACCCATAAAGAGAGTTACCATTATGCCAAGGTATGCATTGTCTTGTGTGCGCTTAGCTTCTCTAAGCCTTAACCTGACTTGCGTCAACCTCTTTGTGGCGAAATCTAGACCAAAAAATTCCTCATGCGCTCACAGCTTGATTGCCAAGACGAGCGTCTCCCTCGCAAGACCTTCGACCTGAAAACGCGCGCAGTTGTTGCCGTTCGACAGGACCGCGCCAATTGGGTTGAATCGTCTGGCTATCAGATCCGCTATAATAGCGGCATTGTCGAGTCGTTCGAGCGCGAGTACTACGATATGATTCGCGCTGCGCTGCTTAAGTATAATTTTCAAGCCCGGATCGGACACATGGACGGCATATTTGTTTGCTACCATAACACCGCCACCGTCTTTGGGTTCCAATACTTTAGCGTAGAGGACATGAACGCCCGTCTGTTCGGGAGCCAAGAGATGGCGGATCAATCGTACCACATGTCGATCGAACTGCTGGAGCACATTTTCGAATCCTGCATTGCCATTTATCCACAACAAGTGAGTTCTTGCATGCACCAGACTCGTTGGCAATGAATGACACCGATTTACTCTTAAATCTCTTCTGCAGTCCCTCAAGCTGACCGTCCACGCACTCGAAGACGGAGCGATGAAAGTATTTGTCGAGCCAGATACAGGTGCGCAAGCGGTACCTGACAATGTGGGCGATCATGTCAAGGACGAAATCTCCCTTTTGAAGGTCGACGTCGACCGCTGGCTTGATGGTGCGCTGGTAACAGGTCCTGTCCAATTTGACGCGTTACCTGGTCGCAAGGTCAGAGAGGAAAACGAGGAGATGCGCAAGCCAAGGCAGTCGATGACGCCGGTTCGATGTCAGTGCCGAGTTCTTCAGACTGTTTAACCGTTCAGGTGACTTAGCTGACATATCGAGCTATCTCTCTGGCAGGGTCAGTTGATTATTCCATCGAGAAAATGGACATCTCGTCAAGCACGGTACGATCGCAACTGCAACAAGTGCGAGAACGACAAGCGAGCATTAGCGGGCTAATCGAACCAAATGTGGATGCCATCAATGAGCGTGAGAGGTATCGCGAGACCGTGCTTGCCCAGAACCCCGAAGCATTGCGTCGCTTCTTGGAGGACAGGCAGAATGGCAAGGCACCTGGGATGCCAGAAGCGCCTGGACAGATCGTGGGACCCGTCACAGAAGCTGCTCGCAAGATCGCAGCCGAGAACGTGCTGTCGCAAGCTCACGACGATGGATCGGAAGGCGACGCATCAACAGCAGCTGAGCCAATTAACAAGGACACCAGCAAGGGCGAAACCCGTGATAAAGAGGCATATTTTAGAAAGCTGCTTGAGAAGAGGATCTGGCGCTTGCGACGCCTTGCTAAACTTGGCGCGGAAGACGCTGCGACGGCTGCAAAGGTAGATCCCCTAAAGATGTATCGAGACTCGCTTTAAATCCATCATGGATCGCGAGCGCGATCAGCACGTCAGAAGCATGCGAAGTGAATCAGATTTCTTGTGTACAAGTGAATTGCCATATGCTCATACATGAACGGCCTATGACGAGACCGCACCAGCTGCAGATCGAAAGGACGTCTTGTCCATTCCGGCGATCTGCAAATCTTTTGTTGTCGTGGAGGTGAACAGCGACCGTCTGGCGCGCACAGTGCTGTCATCCACCTTGCCTTTGATTCCCTCTGACTTCAAAGCCAATCATCCACTTCCTGAAGCAGCTGCCCTCCGCGTAAGACGGCGTGCCTGGCCTCTCCTTCCGTGCCTTCTCGCAAAAATATGGTGCGAGATGCTTAGAAGACCATGGCGTGAGGTCGGTCACCAGTGCTGAGCGAGAAGGTAGCAGCAAGGTACTTGAGGTGGGTAGGCCCAGCCTTCTTGACGGCAGCGATGACCTCCTTGTCAAGCGCCTTCTGGTCCGCGACCTTGGCCTCTGGGTGAGCAGCCTTGTTCGCAGGGTCAGCGAAGAAGCTCTGCTCCGGCTTGCTCTTGGCAGCCTTCTCCCGAGCAAAGTATGCATCGTCAAGCTTCTCGTCAACCTTCACGCCAGAAATGTCGATCTTGGTGCTAGTAGCAATGACGTATGCCGCGTTCACACGGCGGATGGGGACGCCGTTGATCTTGAAGGGGCCAGTGACGAGAAGAAGCCCACTTGCAAGCTGCTTCAAGAAGACGACCCGCCTGCCGGCAAAGCGGCCTGCGAGGAGGATGAGAACAGTACCAGGGGTGATGCTCTTCCTGAGACCAGCCTTCTTGTTGGTCTTGCGAGAGATCTTGGGCTGCTTGACATCCTCAGCCGGGTAGAAGCGGAGAGCCTTGCGAGCGGGGATCGTCCGCGAGCCGCCCTTGGGCAACTGCTTGGTCTTGTTCTCTGCTGCTGGGGCCTCGGCCGTGGGCTGAGCCTTGCGGCTCGCCACGTGCTTGTACTTCTGCTTCTGCGAGTACGCGATCGAGCGGTTCACCCGCCCCACCTTCGGGGTTGACGAAATCTTCTTTTGCACCATTGTTGAAGTGTTGGCGGCGACTATATAGGAGGCGCATGTCAGCTTCCGATTCTTCCCAATCACTTTCCGATGAGCCATCAGCAGTAGCGAAAAGTCCATGCGATACCGGCCGATCCTCCAGCTGACATCCACTTGCCCTTCGCAGTCAGAAGGGGGGAGAGGCAACTGTCCATTGACTGCTGCGCGCCTCGAGATAGCATCACCGACTCTCTGCCTGAGCGCGTTGAATGTCCAAATCCAGGTTTAATAACAGTGCCTGCCCATTCGAAGACGAGAATATCGGCTGCTTGATGCGTCCAAGTGGCAGGGCACGAGACCCAGCCAGAGTGGCGTGGCCGCTATTTGCAGCCCATGCAGAAACCTTCGCCATCATTGTGCGAGCTGGCGTACTGTACCCGATACGGCATGACACCTTCCCATGCGCCCGCTGCCCGTACAAGCGCCAACGCCCCTTTCATGGCCCAGCAAGGTGGTTTCACCCCTGTTTAGAGGATGCGCAACCTCGCAAACATTTCCGATCCTTGCTGCCAGCCCTCTCCCTCCGCTTCACATGCATCGCTACTGCTGATTAGCTGCGTTTCTCGCCAACTCACCAACCCTCAGATCTGGTATGGATCTTTGCGTTCGTCTGTCGGTCGATGGCTTGCGATCAAAAGACCTGATACATTGATGATGAGGTATGGCCAGAAAAGTCGAAGCTGGCAGTGCGAAGCTCCAGGCGCGGACTGGGGCTGCCAGCACCCGTAGTGACAATGTGGCGAGGGCTGAATAAATCGATCCGCAGCGCGGTTTATGTGATGCCCTTTGAGCGGAACCAACGTGACGCGCCAAGGTGCAAGCGCGCACAAGCACTGCGCCAGCCTGCGCCGTGCGATGCCTGCTCCCCTTGCATAGCATCCAAAGAGAGGCGTGTGTTTCCAGTCTCCCACCAGTCCATTGATCCAGCCTCGAGCCCATGGTCGAAGGTCGCAGCTGGTCGTACGTAGTTCTCGTCACTCTTGGTGCACCGACGTTCGTACACAATCAAACTCACTCAACCTCATCGCCTCCTGTCTTTATCCACATCTGGGGCTCCCCTGCCTGCACATAGCCTCGACAGGTTGATATACATCGAGCATCAGACGTCAAGATGAATCTCGTTTGCGATCACAGCTGTCGTTGATGCTGCATACGGCAAATCCGCCACTTGGCGAGATGGTAGCGATACGGGCTGGAGGTCCCGAGCGGATGCTCACAGATCGGTGCCCTGCATTGTACTCGTATGTGCGCTTTGGGCCCACTCCACTCCTACTTCCTGTCTTCTCAATTAGCGGCGAGACTACTTCGTCCTTAGCTGCTGCGACCGATGGCTCATACGCATGGCTGGGGCCCAAGTGTTCCCTGGCAAGACATTTCAAAACACGTTCGAATGTGGCAGCATGTATGACACAGTCGCAGCAATGACTCGCCCTGCATCACGCTTGCCTTTACGAACCGCATGGTTTCAATGTGAGCCGGCGCCCCGGCCTTCGTTATTTGAGTCATCATCGAGGCAGGCAATCATAGAAGCCAGATTTCCCATTCTCGCTCTTTCCTCAACGCTCGGCCGCACCGCCCCGTATCACCTTGCAGCGGGAGCAGCACAGCGCTACTTCCTCTCAAATGATCCCCGACTTGCCAGCCTACAGTTCAAGCAATGAGACAATCGCCCTCGGAAGCAAGTGTTATGAAGAGTTGAGCATCGATGTTGTTTTGCGCCTGTCCTAATGTGCAAGTTGGAAAGCTACACGCACCCCATGCACCTGCCTATCCGAATATCTAGCGCTCACTTCTTTGGGTACTCGTACCAGCCGCCCTTCTCTCCGCTCTTCATTCCCAACCTGCCCTCCTTGACCTTCTGTTCGAGCAGTTTACTCTCTTTGACAGCTTCGGCGCTAATCTCGCCCGTACATACGCGCGTCTCGCGCCAGCCCTTCGCAATGTGGGAGAGCGTGTCAAGACCCACGAGGTCGCCGAGCTCAAATGGTCCCATCGGGTAGCCCCCGCCGAGCTTCATGGCTGTGTCGATATCCTGCGCTGTCGCTTCACCGCGCTCAACCATGCGCACTGCCTCAAGCATGTATGGCACCAGCAGGCGATTGACGATGAACCTGCGTTGCAATCATCGCAAAAGGTCGCGGGAGAGGTTCATTTCTTCGTTAGCGTGAGTTGCCAT